AGATTCGACTGTATAGTTATATAGCCGGACGATATTACGTAACGCTAATAGTTACCTAGGATACCGAGCGACCTACCCTAGGAGATTATATCTCCCTATTAGATAGCGGTAGGACTTCTTTCTCTCTTTTCTTTAGCTTAACGTCCTTATTAGATAGGTCCTATAGTAGTTAAATAAGCTCCTATTGAAACCCTCATAATATCCTAAGATTTACTCTAAAGTAGGTAAAAAGATCTATAGCCTACGTCTTTAGAGTACTACTCCTAAGTCCTTGAATCGTTAGTTTAAGTATTTTAATACCGTCCGAGAGCAATATCGAGTTTCCTAGGAGAATATCTACAATATAGATAAAATAGGTGTAGGGGTTTAGCTAGGAATTTAGAGTAATTCGTCTAACTACCGTATAACGAGGATTCTAAAGCTAAGGAGAGAAAAGGAAAAGAGAAAATCTATCTACTGTACGAATGAAGGAAATACTCCCCAGCCTCTCCTATAGTGGGTCAGTATAGTTTCCTAGGAGATAATCGATAGAGAGGAATTACGTAGCTTCGGCTATACAGTTGTACAGCCCAAAGGTGCACCACGAGTAATCGCTCTAGGGCGTACTCTAGAGCTTTGTACGGGTTTAACCCGTGACAATAGGTATCGCACTAGGTATCTATAGTAACTAACGAGTAGTTAGTAAGATAACTACTACCTTATCGAATAAAGCGACACTAGAAAACCGAGAATAGGTATCGATTATTGAGATAATCTTAGTAATTGACCGTCGGCTACAATGTCTCGTTATATTTAAAGGAAATACGCTTTAAACGACCTAGTTTACCGACCCTAACACTCTAAACTACTCCTATATAGTTTCACCTAATGGATGGACCTTAAATGAGATCGGTTTAGCCTAGCTACGTTAAATATTTATTCTACAAACGGTAACTAACGACTATCGACTACTTTTACTCGATGGACATAAAAGTTATACGACGTACGAGTTTATATGGGAATATTATATAAATCGCATTACTCTAGTCTATTTAATACCTTATTTAAGTTATATCCTATAGCTACTCGATCTTACTTACTTTTCGCTCCTTAAATGTCGCTACCGAGACGAAATCGCTAATTTAGCTAGGTACGACGACGCCGCGGCCGTAAAGAAGAGCAAGTTCCTTAAAACCTATGAAAAAGCAAGCAATGAGGGTCTTTCATTAGTCCGTATCCGTACTGGATGGAAAGCGGCTAGCATTTATCCATAGGACCCTCGGAAAGTCATTCGATCTCATCAAGTCCTACAAAACTTTCAAAATGAGCAAATACTACTAACTACGCCACCGTCACGTAAGCAAGCTCAATACGTATCGTATAATATTCATACGCCACTTACTAGACAGCAGATACGGGAGCAAATAGAGTCGATTTCATCCCAGGAGACCCTTTCTCGTCCTGTGCGTCGATTACTTCAAAAAACGAGCAAGGCATTTAATCGACTACAGTGGAATATTGCTCTAAAATCGCAGGAACTCACTACTCAGCGTACACGACTAAATGAGCTAGCTACTAGGAGGCAACGGCGAGTCGCAATCGACTGTAATGAGGTCTTTACGAGTATCGAGACGATTAGGCAGGCTAGGCAGGCTGTGGAGGCTTTAGAGGCGACGACGAGGTCTCCTATACGTACGAATACTGAAACTACTACACGGAATAGGCAGTTGAATGACGCCCTGGCGCCATTCTTGCATCAATTTAGTGTCAATGAGTCTATAGAGTAGATAATTCATAAAATGGCAGTTGGGGTGGCAATATCGAGGCGTGTCACATTACACGGGTGTCTCATTACATGGGTGGCCGACTTAGGACCCGCTATCTCCAGATTCAGGTGTCGGCCGACGCAGCCGCCATTCTTTGATTAGTCATGGCGGCCCGCCCAAGTTGCAAATGATCCTCAGCTCATTTACACATATCGAGGCGCGTACTAGTATGCAGCCATCGTTGTATCTTACTCGCTTAGAATAGGGGATATACAATGTATAGCCAATTGCAACGCAGCGACAATCGAACAAGCATGCCTATTGGGAATCTTTCAGTCAGGATTCAAAGACCAATGTGCTTTCCAAAATAACCCAGAAGTAGAATAAGTCTAGAACTGATCTACTAGCGTCAGCCACGCCGTCTACAAATCGATAGATGGTAATAATTCCTATTTGAGCTCCTACTGAAGACCTCTTTCGACCCTACACTAGTAGTCGCATCGAGACTGCCAGAATATAAGGCCGCTACCGAATGATGCAGAATCATACTCACCCGTCAGTTGCTTGCATAAACTACTCTCCCCAGACTTCTTTAGAGAGTTGGGTCCCCCGTGTCACTGGAGCAAAGTACGAGCCATGGTTATCATTACCAGCGAGTTTGAGCCAACTGCGGTCCGCGGAAGACTTCGAAGAGTGTCGCAAAAAGCTCCACACCATCAACCGGCAAAGTCAATAAGCCTGGTCTGCTGGTCAACCAGGAAGACTCAGGGAATAGAAACAACACTCCCAGTTCAGAACGTAACAAATCTGTACTTAATTAGTAGCTTACTTAAGATTGAAAATTACCGGAGACGCCATTGTTTATGCTGACTTCATTTCACCAAATGAAAGGCACAACAGTACCTTGACGAAAGGATCAACTCAACCCGTGGGATGAACAGTGTCAATGCATCGATCGCTTGACATATGACCGGAACAAAAGGTTGTATGACAGTGCGAGTCAAAGTCTTGCTCAGACGAATATCTAATAGCAATGTCGAGAACAAATTCTGAGAAAGGGTTGCACAAACGGTCCAATCAGCACCTAACCATATGCCAGGCCGTTCTCCAGGCGATGCGGAATCATCCAACAGCTCTTTTGGTGTTGAAGCTTGTGTGGAGATTGTAGAGAATAGGCAGGAAATGCTACCTATATATAAAGATACTTAATATATTAGTGGGGTGGATTTTCGCCACCGCCACAAGGTAGGTACATCACTCGTCTGGACGCCAAAACGCCGGCTGTGCCCTTCTGAGACATTACAGAATAAGTCCCCGGAGTAGAGTCGGCGACTACAAATGCTGTCGGGGACTTCCCTAGTTTTTGAGGGGGAGTGAGTAATTTCCCGACATCATCCGAGGGTCGCTTAGGTATTTTCATCCACTCAACATAGTTTGAGACCGCTGCAAACTTCTGACGCAGCCGTGCAAAGCTCACGCAACTCACCCAATCCTTACCGACGAACTGAGCAAGTTTTCCTGTTAGCTGTCGGACCCCTGATCTGACCACATTTCACGGGTTCGTTCTTCTCTTGGCGGCTCTCTTATAGTAGATACGCCAGCTAAGTCATCTTCCTCATATTCGGGGGCTCATCAAGGCGTACAGGAATTCCCAATTTTCCGCTACAGTACAATGCTTTCATTTGCATCGTTGTTGTTGTTCTTCCACTGTTCGTTGTTGTTGCATCACATACGACAGGTTAATGCTCTCACTGTGTCCTACGATTTCAACATAACATGGGTCAGAGCGGATCCAGACGGAGCTTTTCCCAGACCATCCATTGGTGTTAATGGTCATTGGCCTCCACCCCGGATCGAAGCGAATTTGGGCGACATCGTGGTAGTAAATGTCTTAAACCTACTTGGAAATCAATCTACGACCTTACATTTCCACGGGATATTCATGAACGGCACAACTCACATGGATGGTCCTGCACAAGTGTCCCAATGCCCGATTCTCCCTGGGTCGTCCTTTACCTACAAATTCAAGGTACAAACATTAGCACGCAGAGAAGATAATGACTGAACACGAAACAGGTAGAGCAGGTTGGAACCTATTGGTATCATTCTCATACAAGGGGACAGTATGTGGATGGTCTACGAGGACCGCTCATTATCCATGACCCAGGAAACCCTTTCCATGCACAGTTTGACGAGGAGATAGTGCTCACTCTGTCTGATTGGTATCACAAAGAGATAGCTGAGCTCATGCCGAAGTACAAGGATGGCGGCGGCATGATGTCCATGGAGCCTGTGCCCGATGCAAACCTTCTGAACGATACCCAAAATCTTCAGGTCCCCGTCCAACCTTCCAAGACATACCTTGTCCGCGTGGTCAATATCGGTGCTTTCGTGGGCCAATATTTCTGGATCGAAGGGCATACCATGACAATTATCGAACTTGACGGGTCATACGTGCGGCCGACAGTGGCAGAAATGATATACCTAGCATCTGGCCAACGTTGCAGCTTTCTTTTGACAACGAAAGTTGAAGCATCGCAAAACTATCCAATAGTGGCCTCTATGGATCAAGTACGCATGGCTCTATTTCCTTAATAGCGACTGCTTACATATTCTTCAAGAGCTTAATCAAGATGTCAGACCGTGTCAACACGGATGTGGTGGGCTGGCTTGTATACGACCTTGCCCAACCTTTGCCGTCGCCGGTTGAGATCAAAGAGTATAATCCCATTGATGACATGGGTATCTTGCCGTATGATGATATGCCCCTACTCCGGAAACCAGACCAAACCATCATACTGAGCCTTAACATGGAGCATAAAAACGGTGGTTCTCAGTATGTAGCCGACCTTGCTCCTTTGTGTTTAAATTCGACACCTATGCTGTCAGCTAACTAAAGACAAGTTATTTTTTCAACGATGTGACGTACGAAACTCCACAGGTCCCTTCGCTGTTCACAGCACTCATCAGCGGCGATGCAGCAACCAGTGTTGCCACGTACGGAAGATCAAGCAATCCGTTCGTGCTAGAGCACAACCAAGTGGTGGAATTGATCCTCAACAACCGACATATGATCAATCATCCCTTCCACCTGCACGGACATCAGTTCCAGGCTGTCTGGCGATCAGAGTCCGGGGGCGGAGATTTTCCGGTCGGCACTCTTACTGAAGACGACTTCAACCAGAAACCCGTACGGCGTGATACGCTAGTGCTTCCGAACGGTGGTAGCATGGTGATCCGATTCCGAGCCGACAATCCAGGTATGTTAGGTTTTCGCAACTTCGACGCTGTGCAAGACTGCCCATCTGGGAACGCGTCCCCTTGGTATTAAGGTAAGAAATTTGTTAATGTGTGGTACCCTCTTTAGGGGTGTGGCTTTTCCATTGCCACATGGAATGGCATGCTGAAACAGGTCTGGTGGCCACGATGATAGAGGCCCCCTTGAAACTCCAGCAACAATCCATTCCTCTGGCCCGGGAACATTTTTGTGCACCATCAGGCACAGAAATTTCAGCCAACGTGACCAATGAAGTTGACAGCCTACCGAAAATTCACGAAAAGACCTCCAGGTATATCCTTGTTCAATATTCCCTATCTTCGGAGCCAGTTTGGCTTCGGGGCCATTGAATTGCTGCAAAAAAGCTTGCTAACATGTTCCCCTGTCCTACAGTCTCGCACTCGGCCCTATAGTGTTGCTACTAGCAGGCTTCGTGGCTATCCCCACTGTTATAATCGGAATCTTTTGGATCTGCAAGAAGGGACAGAGTGATGACGAACCAAAATATAGACGCCTAGAACCGAGCTTGGAGCTGTGATTGCAGTTCAAGCTTCTTTGTCAGTGACCCCAAAAGACGGAATCCATGGGAGCCGCTTCACTGGTCTTTCACTCGAATGATGCGCCGAGATTGGCCGTCGAATCTCTGACTACTCTCATTTAAACTGACCATCTGCGATGGACCTTGCGGCTTGTGGGGCTCCCGGTTTCGTTCGATTCCAGGACTGATTGTTACGTGGTGCTGGTGGGCGGCGTTATGTCTCAGTTATCAAGAGCTGATAGCCCACATGCGTCCTGATTTGAAGAATTGAACGTCACAGGAGCAAGGTCACAATATTGTTTGGCCAACAGGTGACTCTTGATGGGATGCTTTTAAATTCTCACCAAGTGTTTTGCTGCTTGTATTGTTAGCGAATTAATTTTACTTACCAACGTTGGCGAGAAATTTCGAGAGACATGTGTGCGTCTTTAGACCGCATAGAAGTTGATCCCACCAGGCTGTCATATGACTGCAATCTACTCCCCTACAGACATAAATAATACGACATCTATACATATCCTGTCTATCAATGTGGCCAGTGGGGCATATTTTCTCGCCAAATGACGCCAAGGTTAGAGTACAGCAGAGGAAGGAGGATACTATGATATTCAAAGCGAGATGGTATGGCTGTGCTGTTCAGCACAAACCGTGTCCAGAAAACAATACCTGAGGCACTAAATCTTGTGGACGGAATTCAAGGTTTGGCAAATGGTGTCTTCGCCGCCTTTACGGCCAAAAAGACTGGGGCCGGCGGAAGCATCTTGTGCTTCACCAAACACTACCCTACTAATAAACGCCAAGCGAGTACCATATGTTTGTTACGGAGTCACCACATTTAATCACGATATTTGTCGTCCAGCTTGAGCGTCACTTGTCACGCAGATAAAAATGAAACCAAACACCATATTTGTGGTTGTCTCCTGGCCTCTCACTTGACGCCTTCGAAGTAACGTTCTTCGCCGCCATCTGATCCCACCTGCTCCCTGGCAACTCTTTAGTTAGCAATCCCTACCGTAATACAGTTGCTTGAATGCCCCGATTGTCCCACCCAGATACCTACAGGGACTGAAAACCTCTATCAGCTTTGCACGCTCCTAAAAACTGTCTGAGCGCTGTTAACAGGCAACCCTTCGAAACTGGAGGCTGAGCACAAAGAAACCGTGCTTGTGACAAGCTTGTTCGCTTAGCATCTACTATCTCTCTTTTCAAGATGGGTCCTTACTTATGAGGATAGAATCGTTAGTAAGTGGGTCGTCCATTTCTATCCGAATGATCTCATACCAAACCCAATTGTTCGATTAGTTGCTCGGAACAACGTCTTATTTCTGACCAGAGGAATGGCGCCCTATTCGTCGATTTTTATCAACGCTTTGTCTGTGTGACTATGAAAAATGGAGTTAATATCTGTTGCTTTATACAACTCACGTATGGAAGTGTGGTCTTATGGTTTTGCATGCGAGTAATCGCTTAACGTAGTAATGTTGACTTCATACGATGTGGTTATAAGCCATCGAACTAGGCACTACAATCGGGATAGGCATTGACCGGAGCAGTTATACTACTTGCGCAACAACGCCTACGAGAAGTCTAACTGCTCTCCAGGTTCGATATTACTCTTTCGTGCGCTATTGGAGAATGTGACCATTTTTAACAAGGCCCGTTTCAGCCGAGCCAGCAATGATCTTCCGTTTTCTGTCATAGCTCACTTGCGACGCGATGAAACCAGACCATCTGCTGTTCCCAGCCGGCCTCTTCGTCTCCATCCTTGCCGATAAGTTCTGAGAGAAGTCTCATACCCAGAGTGCACGAAACGGGATTGGATTTCGCCAATTGGGCTGCCGCAGTAGTGAGCTTGAGAGCAGCACCTTTCTGACTCCAGCCATTGCTATTCCAGACGACCTCATCACGCATAATCTGCGCTCTGTCGGGTCTCTCATCGCCTCTCGGCAGACCTAGCAGAGCGTCGTCCTCCGTATTTCCATGTGCGTTCAAGTTCTCCAGGTCGAAGAACAGGGTTTTGCTGTTCTCGTTACGACGACTGACCATATCCTCCACGCATTGGTCAACATCAGAGCGCGGATGAAGGAGAAGCCAATATTTCCAGGTTCGAGACCCTACGGGTTCGACACTTAGGCATGGAAGCTGATTCCTTCGCTTGTCCCGTTCTGCACGATCCGAATGTGACACCCATGGCAAGTACAAGATAGGCCGATCTTGTCTGACACTTTCATATACTGACACACGAAAGTGACCGAAAGCAGGGTGCTCGTACTCACCTACCAGGGATTGCAGCAATCTTTGCGCATCTGCTCCAATAGCAGGCGCGGAGTCTGCCAACTCTTCTTGCTCAGGCTTTGATGCCATCTCTGGGACCGCGTCCGGCGGCAGCTTCGATCTTATTGACTCGACGAATTTGGTTCTATCTGCACCGTGCAGGCCCAATTTTTTACCGATCAGATTTAAACAGATAGCATCTCCCACAATGTTGCTCGACACCGCTGTGTTACCCAAGGTGACCACGCCAAAGCTGTCGTTCGGTAGGAGATATAATTGCGTACCGAATCCATTCAGACCTCCAGCATGAAAGATGATAGGATGATGAATGCCACATACAGGGGGCGCTAAGGCCCAGCCCAGGGCATACGCTCGATGTTGGTTGTGGTCACCCATTGGTGGCTCGAACAGCATCGATCGAGCGGTGGTGAGCTCTCCGAACAGCTCAGGTGTGATGACATGCTGCCCACCGGAATTTCTGGTGTCCTTGACTTGTTTTGCCGCGTCAAGGAGCTCACTGATCCAACTTGAGTAATCCATAACAGAAGATATAACCGCCCCAGCGGGTGCAATACCCGCAAATTCGAGATATGGTTCAGGCACAAAGTATCCTTCTTCCTGTTTCTGCTGAGATTGATCGTTTCCAACCCAGTAATATCCCCTTGCAAGGTCGTTTTCCTGCTTGTCTGGCGGTATTTCTTCAAGTCTCCAAAATGTCGAGGTCATTCCCAGAGGGTCCCACAGCAACTTCTTCAACAATGCTCCACAATCCAGTGCTGTTACAGCTTTGAGTGTGTCCGCCACAACACTGTACATGAGGTTGTTATACTGCCATGCAGTTCGAAACGGCTTGGTGAGACATCCTATATGCGGCATCGCCTGCACAATAAGTCCTGGATCATTGGACATCCAGTTACCGTACATGAAATCAGCACCGGAAAGACCGGTCCTATGGGATAATGCATCCTCGATGGTGATGTTGGCAGCGACATACTCGTCGTTCAAGCCCCATTTACCGGGCAGCAATGACCGGATTGTCGTAGCCCACCTATTGTGTTGCAGAGTGCTCAGTAACGGGTTAGATTGGTCTTTTGGCCCGTGTATCAATACTCCCGTCGCTGCTGCTAGCATTGCTTTTGTCGTACTGCCGGCATAGTACAGGGTATTAGGAGTTGCAGCAATGTCCGGGAAACGAGCCAGCCCATATCCCTTCGCTGAGGCTCGTCCATTATCCACGACTGCAATGCTCATGCCAGGGATGTGATGTTCTTCCAATAACAAATGCACATTATCAGCGAAGTCATTGTCTAAGAAATGATGTACACCTCCATCGCTCAGTAACGCCGCAGACCCTTGGGCTTCCATGTGGCCAAAAATGTGACTCCTCGAAGATACTGGAAAGACACACGCAAGCCAATTTTGTCAGTCTTCTCGTCAACAGCCACTGCGTGGTCCAAGAGCGGCTTTTCTGAGAAGAATTATATTCCGGGCCATCCGCACGCAAGCGCGGCAAGTCCGAACGAGATCAAGTCCGACAGGAAGATGTTGAAGGCCAAAGCATTGCCGACATTAGAACAAGCTTTCCCATGCCATAATTAGCGGATAAAGTTGAAAGCGTCGGCCAGATCCCTCCACCGAACTTACCAAACGGCCATTGAACCCCACGCTGGTCCAATTGAAGTACAATAGCAACAGCCCGAGTTCAAGAGGCGGGAAATCGGCTCCTCCGCGGAAGAGCCGGCCATAGCACCACGCAGCGGCCTACACAAATAAGAGATCCCCCAGATCTGGGGGTTGGCCATGGACCCATGTGGCGGGGTCAACACCATTAAAATCATGCGGTGCCCCAGACACCCTTGTACAATCTTCGTCTCCTTATTGTAATCGCTTTTTGTCAGCATGGCTTCTACAAGCGAGGAGAGAGACCACACGTCTGCGAATTTCCACCTTCTGCACAACCGACGGCTCATTCTTACAGGTATACCTCAATCCGCCTCGCTATAGAATCACTATCCCAATGAAACCTGGCTGACCTAACTCAGTTCTCGTCTTGACCGAGTCGTATATTTGCTTCGGCTATGATTCATCGGTTATTGGGGGCATTCTAGCCATGCCAGCGTTCATCCAAAGATTCGGCACCGAGCTACCTAATGGCACGAAGATTCTGACTGCGAGCCAGATCTCGGTCATTACTGCAATCAGGGTCGTTGGTAGCATTCCTGGGACTTGGGCTTGTCATTATCTGGGCAACAAATGGGGCCGCAAAAAGACTATTTGGTTTGGCTGCGGCGTCTGCCTTGTTGGTACCGCATTGCAGACAGGCTCAATTCATGTGGCTATGATCACAATAGGGTTGACCACCGCCAGTAAGCTGGAGATGGACCATCTCTGCCGATTATGCTGTTGCGCTAACCCTGTGGTGCAGGCTTTGGGTATTTTACCATGGTATCGATGTCATCCACGCTCATTATCGAGATCTCACCCCCATCAGTTAGAGGCATTGCTGGTGGGCTCGCATCAGTTGCTATCGGATTGAGTGGCATCCTCAGCTCAGGTATTGCCTGGGGAACCTTCCGTAAGTAGATCCACCCTCTACGTCTTCATCATGCCACGGTTAGTGGCAGGCGGAACACACCGTCATGTTCATGGACGAATATTATCACTGATTCTAGCTTCTTCAGATTATCAAAGCGAGTTTTCGTTCCGCATGCCACTTGCTCTTCAAAATGTCTTCCCCGTTTTCATGGCAATCTGTATGCTCTATGTTATGGACTCACCAACATCTTACCTCATCAACGGCGATGATGTGAATGCTGAAAAGAGTCTTCGGTTGGTTCGTCGTGGGTATACGGAGGAGGAAATCATTACCGAGATGGAGATCTTGAAGTGGCAAAACCAACTTCGAAAACAAGTAGAGGAGGTCAGATGGTTCGAGATCTTTAAAGGCACCAATCTACGCCGAACCATGCTGGGAACATTCCTCGGTATCATACAGAATCTCTCCGGCGCAATTTTTGCTGGCAATTACGCAACGATCTTTCTCTCACAAGTAGGAACAGCTAACCCTTTCGTCCTGGTGTTTGGCTTGAACATCCTTATCCTTGGTGGCTCATGCCTAGGCGTTGTCCTCGTCGATACGATTGGCCGTCGGTCATTGATGCTTCTGTCATTTCTGATTCTCGCCATCATCGACCTCTGTATTGGTTGCCTAGGATTCGCAGATGCGACCAATGTCGGAGTTATCAAAGCCATCGCAGGTTTTAGCCTCCTCTTCGGTTTCGTGGTTTATGCCGGTCTGGGACCATTGACGTGGTTGGTTTCCGCAGAGCTACCAACCGCGCGTCTGCGCAACATTTCAAATGCTTGGATCCTCCTCTGCATCTCCCTATCCAATCTCACTGTCACCTACGTTCTTCCTTACATTGCCAATAAGGATGCCGGAAACCTGGGACCAAAGACATATCTCATCTTTGCGTTCTCAATGACTGTTGGCTTTATCGTCACATGGTTCTGCTGGCCTGAGAGTAAAGACAGGTCCATGGCAGAATTGGACGAAATGTTCAATGCTCGTCTACCTGCAAGGAAGTTCAAGTCATACCAGACGACATTGACCGCGGATAATATAGATTTGGTCGATAGAGAGAGGGAAAAGTCCGGTGCAGTCGAAGGGCTTAGTGCCGTCGAGCACAAGGACTAAGGCTTTCAGAAGTTGGTGGTGACAATTGACTTGAACGTATAGCAATAACGGAACGGAACAAGGATATGTGATAGCTGAAACGTCTGTTGATGTGGAATGCAGTACTGAATTGATCTCTGACCAGGCCCAAAGTTGCTCTGATGTTGGTGACTACATCTAACACAAGGATCATCATCACCACTACACACCATGGCACCCATTTTGTCCCGCTCACTCTAATGATTCTAAAAACGCTGCGCCAGAAAATAAATGTCAGTCCCTCTACGCACAGTCCGTATCGCGTCATGTGCCACGTGATGGTATAGAGTCATAAAACACACAAATGTCAATCAATGGTTTTGTACGTTTCCATTGTTTCCCGGTGCCCGAATGGCTCCTTCTTGTCAAAATAGATCGTTGCAGGGGAGGCCAGGGCGAGTTGGGTCGATAGGGGAGCTCTCATTGGTTACACTCGAGGCCGGATGAATCGACATTGCAGAATACCGTTCGTGTCCGAGATGTTAAATACAATCGTTTGCGCTGCAGACTCATGCCATATCGCAAAAGATGACCGTACCAGCAATATCTGGCCATGGCAAACCTGCAAATGTTTTGATGCTCAAGTTTCAACCGTTCTGTGCTCCATACTAACAGGACCGAGGAAGCGTTGCTTGTTTTTCTGTTGGTCCTTAATGTTGCTCCTAGCAGCTATATACGTCTCGCCTTAGATAGTGACCGACAAGGGAGACTCATTCTGGAGTGAAACTCTAAGAATATCGTACAACGCCATCGCTAGTATTTTCCCGAAGCTGTAGAATTTTACGATGAAAACAGGTGCCACCGCAAAATGCAACTCTGACTTACATGAATTCTTCGTTACGCGGCGAAACATTATCCTGGTCTCGCTATACGATACTACTTATACCGACTTGAAAAGTGTAGGAGGACTTAAAGACGACTGGACCCTGGAGGCTATAGCAAGTTCAGTCCGTAGGGGTACTTTAATTCAATCTACTCCTCGGGGCCTGCCCACGGCTTTGCATGATATCATTTACGGAGCTTTTGATCGGAAACATGTGGAGTGGAAGGAAGACATTACATTACATCACATCACATCACAGGTGTGTGCATGAGATGTCATCAGGGTCTAAAGTCTCGGTGCACAGTGGTCGGTCAATCCCTATGTTTACAACGGGCAAGTATCTAAAGCATTGACCACGGGAACCGGTTTGATCTTCACTATAGAGGATTTTGTTGAGATGTGATTAGCGATGCCAAGCGATTGTAAAGACCGTGGTCTACTATATCGATTCGACGCATCCGAACTAGCTCCGAGAGCTATTCGAACGCTATCCGAAGCGGACCCGAGAGCGCCCAGGCGCTAGTCTAGTACGTACTTAGAATACTAGATAGTCTGACGAGTCCCTCGGACCGTCTTAGGAATGATCATGTCCCCTTCCCACCACAGAGAGCTGTCACTACGGATTATAGTCTTGATTTCGTTGGGCGATTACGGAGCCAAGATTAAGCTGTGACCCTTCCCGGTTAATCTATTCCTGACGAGATTTATCTACTAGATACTTGTAACTAATGCTTGCTATCAGTTTGGTGCAGTTGGCAATAGAGCTTAGGCTGTGGCCTTGCTCGATTGTTTCCTGAAACAATTATACAAGGCCACTTCCAAAAGAAGTAGCGCATGGACCACAGACAGGAGAAACACGCCTGTCTTTAGAGATCAGGCTGCAGAAGATGGACAGAGAGGTCTACCTAAGCCATCTGGTGTTTTACTGTGTGATATGGCCAGACTTCACCGCGACTGTCAGGCTCATCTATCCAGGCTATGTCCAGGCTGGCCAGTAGTGACCCATTTCTCCGACCCATTGCGGGCCCTCTGCCTCTAGGATCTGCCCCATCATACATTCAGTGAACTCGACCTTAGGAAGTGCACTATAGAATTCGTCGTACTGTGGATCGAGTGCATTGCGCAACGTCATGCGACTGGATCCATGCCAGCTCGGATGAAGCTGTTCCCATGGGAAGCGGCACTGGTCTGCCTTACAAGTCTTGAGGACAAAAAGGAGAGCGTCGAGACGCTCTTGTACGTCTTCAACTTCACGACCAATGATCATGCCGGCCGAATTGGAAGCGTCCGTTGCAAGATTCACCATTTGTCCGGGATCAACCTCCAAATCATCAGCATATGAGATATCGTCCACTTGGCTTGCCTAGCTTACCGTCATATTGTAAAGTTCGTGTTCATTGGTACACCATACAGAGTAGAAGATGTTATAATCGGTGCCAATAACTCGGATTGCTTTGTACGTGTTATTTGGCTGGGCGACTGGAGAGAATTAGCATCGATCAGCTTCAACCGGGACGAGTCCGGACTATCTTACGTCCATTGACAGCAGCAGCAGCATATTTACCCTCGCCGACTCCCAGTCCCCAATACTCTACAGCAACGTGTTCGCTAGCGTGTGGCTGCGTCTCGGCTTCCGAGATTTGAATGGGCATCGGACTCCCATCGAATTCGTCCCGCAGCCTGATTCCGGCCAATTGGAATAAAGTTGGAGCAATGTCAGTATGTGATGTGACACTATCGGTGACTTCGCCTTTAGCGATGCCTGGACCTCTGATATAGAAAGGGACGTTGATGTCCTCTTCGAAAGCACATGTCTTCCCAGGTGGCAGTCGATGTTGTCCGATATGAAAACCGTTGTCTGATGTGTAGATGATATACGTGTTGTCCAAGATGCCGTATGAATCCAACTTGTTCACCACACTCTCGATCATTTCGTCCACAGCCTGCAGAGCTTGAAGTCGCAGCCGATAAAATTCGTCGTTGTATTGGACCTGTGAGCCATTCTGCTGTGGTAATGTTGATACCCAGCTAACCCCACTTTTCTGCGACCGGTCAGTATCAACAACCTTACTGTCACTGCACACCTACCTCCGAGGGATTGAAATTATTGGTGCGGGGAACCTGAGCATCGGGGAACAAATGAGAATGCCTCGAGGCAGGTTCAGGCGGGTCGAGTGTTCCGTTAGAAAGGGCAAAGTGAGGCGCGATAGGAGCGATCCCCAAGAAGAACGGTCTGTCGTCTTGGCTAGCCCGGTCCAAAAGCGTCAAAGCCCTCTCTGTGACGAGGTCTGTGTTGTATTCTCCAGGATAGGACATAGGGGGATCCTCATCGTGTCCCAATGTAGCATTCCAGTAGCGGTAGGTGCCAGGCTCAAGCAAGACTGATATTAATTAATCAAGCGTTACGCATAAGCCTAGCATCACTTACAATCATGTCCGGTCCAACCACCAGGATATGGACTGTTGTAGTTGGTGATATTGTGGCCGTTAAAGAGCTTTCCAGTATAGAATGTATTATAACCCCCCTCCTGTAGCCATACGGGGAGATACTTGTCGTTTAGATCTTGAGAGATGAATTTAGAGTACCCGCCTGCGGAATGTTAATCTAGATCTAAACATGATTAGATACGACCTACCATAGGGTGGATTGACGTCAGTAACGTTGGTGTTATGAGCCATTCTCCCAGTGAGCAGGCTAACACGTGATGGGCAGCAGATAGCAATTGTGCAGAAATGCTTTTTGAAGAAAGTCCCCTCGGCTCCGATATATTGATTTAGCTTTGGCATATAGTCGATCGAATTGAGGTGAAGATCTTGATCATCCGTAATGATAAAGACGAAATTGGGCCGTTTAGCTGGTGTACCAGTCGGTTGAGCTATGCTCCTAGGTAGAGAGAACATGCTCGAAACTAGTGAGAGACCGAGCCATAGACCCTTGAAGCTCTTGAACGGTGCCATGATAATTCCGCCGAACTCGTCTGTTTACAGTACCTGTGCTTCGGAAAGCCACAGGGAATAATAATATATATTCTACTTTTTGAAGAGCTACCGTGAGTTTGTGGGGCTACAGCCTACAGGGACTGACCGTAGGTCCAGCGCTCCTTCTCAAGTCACTAGTATCCATTTCACAGAGTAGGCTTGTCATCTGAGTGATTTATCCACCGAGACGAGGCACCCTCTCTTTGACCCCAACAAGCAGTAGGCCTGCCAGGGAATAAAGCTAATTGAGTTATCATGCTATAACCAGTCTGCCTAGCTACAACTTCCAGCAAGAGGAACACTAGACAACTCAAAGAGGTAAAGATTTACTGGCTTTTGGCGTATCTTTCCACAATTCATCGCCAAAACCCTTCTCCGCTGACCCCATCTACTCAGTACTGTATACGTGAAAAGCCGGAGGCGGCAACTTTACCCCACGGCTTACCCCAGTTCCCGCTTCTTGTCCTCAGCGTTGGCAGGTCTTAAGATCATTCGCAGGAAATGATCCGGATCATGTCCAAATTATTCCCCACTCACGCTTATCAATAGCTCATGAATATATTATATAATGAATGACTTAGTACTAAGCCTATACGGAGTATTACAACCCCGTCAAGTTTAGTACCAATAGAAGGGTCAGTAAAATCATCCAATATGATCCCATCTAAGGATATTACGATCTGAAAGTAAAGTGGGACTGATCCGACCCGACACTTGTCCCTCAACGCTGGCACAGTGCCCCGCTGTTTACCCCACATACTAAGACTTAACCTTCAAGCTAGAGGTAGATGGGTTATCTCCTGCGCGGTGTCAACCCCGTACGAAAGGAATAGAGAGATTGTGCAATGAGAGATTGGTATAAGGCTGAGTGGAGTTGTATATGTTATGTTGGCTAAGTGAGAGGGGGGTGGCAGGGCTCGTCTATCTGACCTACATACAGCCTTGGCGCCAAGGCCCAACAGCTGTCGGAGTAGTTTCCAGGCTTGGCGCGTTTCCACATTGTGTTTACCACCGCACAACTTATTCTTTTCTACAGCTCTAGCCAGCAAAGTTATGGAAGTCCCCACGCCCATCGCCCATCGTACGTAAGACGTGCTCTAAGTTCATGTCAATGACAGAATCGCCTATAATTTATCATTCCGCGGAAAAGGCTAAAGGTCCCTAAGAAAACATCTTTAGACGCTCAACATCTAACCTAGCATTGTGAGATTCCCACTCTAAAATATAGTCAAATATCAAATATCAAATATCAATGACGCGATTATTCTCCAATTTACATCAAATCGAGAAAGGACCATTAAGTTACGGTGTAAGAAAGACCTAGTTAATTTATTGACAATGCTCCTCGGTGGTTTCAACATAATCACAGGGATTGTTGTAGCGACAAACGCGTGGACATGCACTTAGAGTCCATGGACATATAGAACACTGGGTTCCTACTCTGTCTCGGTCTGCTATCTTGGATAGCTTCTTGTATAGAACAGGGCACACAAGAGCTTCCGACGGCAATCAACAAACCCAGGCAAAGGATAGCCGGATACCGCCAGCATTTCTAATTCTGACAATAACCTATCCACAGAGGCGTTGCTGCAAGCACAGACGACTTCCGGAGAAGGGAGGAAAGGACGTCCAGGGTCCCGTGAAGCTTAGAAGTAAATCTCAAAAAGCGAATTCAATGCCTTTCCCGTCATAGAAGGGTGAAACGTGTGGAAGCGGGCTTACGGAACTATGATGCCAGGATCGAAAGGGTTACTGGCAACTACGCTTGCCGCCCGTGAAAAGAAAAGATTATAGGGTCGAGATTGCCCTATCGATTTATGGTAAGGCCGAGAATCTTCAATCTCGACGCAATGAGTCCGGGGAAGCGGAAATGACCGTCATCCAGAGTGGGACATCGCGAGGTCGATTGGAGGGCCGTCAAGAGACGAGGAGGAGGTCGGGGGCCAAGAGCTCCACCATGTTCGCCAGCACTTTGCTATATTTAAGCCTTGTCGCTTTGGCAATCTTGAGTCCAAGAAGATGTAGCCGAGCGGTTTACCATTAGTGGGTTGGTATGTTGGTTTCAGGCGTGCTTGGAGCAGAGCCTGAAAAATTGGTTTGCCAGAGAAGGGTGTGTATCACGAAACAGCCGTCGTTCAGCACCGAGGCTGAATATGTTGCTGCCAATGCTTTTGAGATCCGCCGTACTACAATGATGGATAACTACTACGCCGTACTTAGGAGTGCGTGGTAAAAAGAGGGATAGATGAAGAAGCTTCAGCCGAACGCGTATAACTCAGTAGTTTAATACTCATTATACTCATCGAAATTCAGTGCCTACAGGAGTAAGATGTCGGAAATTGAAGATTCCGACCTCCATACGAGCGGTCTTCTGCATATCGTCGTCCTATCACGTATCCAATACACTATGAATACACCGACTAGATGGCTTTTAGGGCGAGATTCCGTGTCACTATTGCGTCTGCTCGTAAAGATGAAGGCCCTGCCAAAGTATTACCTATGACTTAGGCATGTTAGATCCTGCAATGTGGGTACCGACGAAGCAGAAGCATACCGGCAACCCTAGACGGAAAACCAATATCATAACAGATCGTTTCAATTCATTATGTAAAGCTGGCTGTTTGTTGCTTTTAGGTAGGAGCCTGCCTCTTCCTCTACCTCTACCTCAACGGGAACCCAGTCCAATCACTGGAGTCTTGCGACACCATCGAAATTCAAGTCATAGACCTCCCACTTCGACTCAATTGAAGATAAGAGTCACTCATATGTCCCGGACACCGCCAGTCGACATATTCATAGGAGGCGGACCGCCAGGCGGGGGAACAGGGGCCGGATATCTTCCATCACCTGAGCCATCAAAGGCGCTTGGTGGGGGAAGCATTCGGCCCATTGGGCCAGGGGCGCCGTTCATTCCACCTCGCATCATCATACCTCTTCCACCACCAGGGCCGCCGCCGCCTGCTCGAGGTCCCATTCTCCCCGTGGGTCCCATGCCTGGGATCTCAAAATCTGGGTTATTTACGAGGAGAACGTCCCTGCGCATCTGGTGTTCTCGGGATCCCGGAGGTCGTCGTGGGCCGAATGAATTGAACTCCCCGCCGTATCCCGGCCGCCAGTTTGGGTTGACACCTCGTTGACTGACAGAGGTAAAGTTACTTGTCTCGCTCTCCGCCGGTGATCGCGCTCCTGGGAGGTCTTCGTAGGAATTTGATGGAGGCAGCTGGAGTGAGTCGGGTCGGTATTGGTCCCCTTGCCCTGGCGGACCCGGCATCAGGAGAGAGGGGATGCGCTGCTGTTGATCGTGAAAGTTCTGGGGCAACGGTGGGACTTCGTCCGTGGCAAACTTAGGATCTACATCTTCATAGTAGAGGTCACTTCCACTAGAGTTGACCCGTGGCCGTCGAGCCGATCCCCCACCATAATTTCTGTCGCCTGACGGAAGTTCCGCTGGTGGGCCCGCATACCTGCCGGGCAATTGCTGTCCGTTGAAGTTATCATTGGACATGTTGTTCCAATTTGATCGGACGGGGACGTATCTAAACAGTTAACGATGGCGATGCAGGGATGATGGATGTTGAACTTACGGGTCTTGACTCTGCGATCTGCGTGGTGCAAAATCCTGCGCAACAGCTCCGCTCAGCTCTGCAGGATGTTGGGGAGGCATAGCAGGCATGGCCGGTGGTGGGGACATTCGGCGAGCAGTTCCAGCAGGAGATTCGACTCGGCTACCATAGGGCGACATCCGTTCCCGACCGGGGGACTGAGCTCGAGCCCCATAAACGCCGTGTGGCTCTTCCGGGCCAGTGGTGTATACCGACGGACTCATGGGAGTAAATTCTCTGTTCTCGCCTTCAATGAAAGGTTGCGATTGGGCAATTTCGGGACCACCCATCCTGTCTGGATATCCGTCAGGAGGCATGTCTCCAGGCGGATATCCCGGTGGTGGGTGTCGTTGTCCGTTCGCCATCATGGCCCCAGCCGCCATCCCACCAGCAACAGAGCCCATTGCAGCGCCTGCAGGATACCCACCACGGCCACGGCCACCATAGCCTCCTCTGGGATCTGGGGAAAATCTACCTCGGCCGGGATAAGCTTGTGGAGGAGGCGGGCCTCGAGAGCCGTAACCACCTCTGGGAGGGTAACCACCACGAGGTGGGTAAGTACCCCTCCCTCGCGGACCATAGCCACGACCACCAGGTGGCGGAAGACCATTCTCGTGATAAGGACTCGGGGGCGTTCGCTCATCACCAGATCTTCGCCCTTGGATTGGGGGACCAGTGCCGACGGGCAGCGGAGGAGGGGTGGGATTACCAAACTGATCCCTTGCACCATGCCTACTCCCGGACCTGGATGAAGGGGGCCCGTAAAAACGATCCGAGGCACCATCTCGGGAAGGAACAAGAGTAGGGTCATTCGACAGAGCTTGCGAGCGCAGTGGCTGACGATCGTCGTCGAGCTTTTTGGACGAGTCGAAGGTGGCAAAGGCGGGCAATCTGTCAGCTCCAGGAGCGCCATTGATCATGGGAATGGTAGGTTCCATGGCGAAAGCCTGGCCGGGGTTCTTGGTTTCTTGGGCTTGACGGTTATAGAAATTCTCACCACTCATCTCGGCGTTTTCGGCGATCCTCTTTTTGCGAGCCTTGCGAGAGACCAAAGTTCTTCTCATGGCACATGTTACAACACCGGAAGCGGTGATTAAAATGGTGGAGACGAGGACGATCCAGCCCCCCCATTGTAAATGCGGCACAAACAACAATATGTCCACTAAGAAAGCCAACAGGGTGACCAGCAGTGTTGGCAGAAGAAGTATTAAAAGGCCCAGAAGGTAACGGGCGGAATGAGATGGTGAATGCAAGTGAGCGGCCGCAGCTAAGGCGAGGACAACGAGGTTGCAGAAAGCGGCAACTGGATGAACAATGAGCAAGGAAGACAGAGACTGTCTCGCACTCGAGGGTAGGTTGAAGTCTCCATCTCCAGACGAGCCAAACAGGCCATCTGTCAAGTGTCAATAAACGGCAACGGGAGGTGTGAACGGGTAGGGAATTTGTCATTTACTGGTAGTATAGCCGACTCTGATGCCACTACATTCGGTAGGGGTACAGTATCCCAGAACACCAAAATTAACGCCCTTGTATGACGCGATAGGTATAGATTTTATGACGGGGGTGGACAGGCAAGATAGGAGGAGGAACACGAAAGATATCAACAACAAAATCGTCAGAGGTGTGGCAGGTCGAAGCATGATAGATGGAGGACTCTTGGAGGGTTTCGAGATGAATTAAGTCGAGGGCGCATATGCGCTGGAGATTGCTGGGCGGAGGACTCGCATATGGATGAAAAGGGTAGCGACCGAGGGAGATGTGAGCGACCGTGTTGGATGTCCGGATGCAAACGGAGAGGAGAGGGGCGACGACGAGGTTGCAACTCGTAGTCCGTACACCAGTGGTAAGTATTGGGGATGCTCGTAGGGTTGTGGGAGGCGGAGAGGAGATGGATGATAGGTTAAGATGGGATCATAGGAATGGGAAGAGTCGTGGTTTGAGGCGCAGTCGACTTAGACTTGGAAGTTGAACCTGACGATGGGAGGGTGCAGCTGGACGCTAAACCTTGCATGGTTAGCCGGGCGGGCATCGGCAGGTGCAGGAGGGAGCAGGAGCAAGAGCAGGAGCGCAAGACACAACGGGCAGGAGCGACTGGGTGCAAGAACCAAGCACGAAACCTGGCAGACGCAAGGCGGCAGGGAACAAGGCAGGTGGGGGGTGGATGGTGGATCTACGGAGTACGGAGTGCGGATACAGATGCATGAAAAAGCGGGCTTGGAAACTCCCAGGCTGAGGCTCAGGCTCAGGCTCAGGCTTCCTAGCGAGTCAGCGACTGGCAGAATCTCGGTTAGTGGAAGTGATGGAGATGTTCTGGAAGTCAAGTCCGTCGCGTCGTGGCGCTTTGGGGGGTCTGAAGGCCTTCTCCGAAGACTCAAAACACAATAAGGTTGAGTTACCGGGGAGAGACCCTACGCTGAACCCCATCACTACGGAGGACTTGGTGACGACGGACTTGCTATTGCAATAGAGGCCAAATGGTCTGGAAGCACGGACCCAAATACGTCCGTACGAATGACGAGGTTGTGTAGCAGCTAAAGATAGAGTGACAAAGTGACAGTTGTCGTGCTTGACTCTGCAGTATATGTATAGACACAAACATGTGATGATACCGGGAACGATGGATTCCCGTGGGTCAAACTCTTGGTGTGGCACAGGGGCACTTGTCACAGTGATAGGCATACCCGGAACTTGGCCCTTAAGGGTCGAAGGCGCACCCAGGGGCACCCGCAGATGCTAAAAGGGGCACAGTCCAGGCACCCCGTCTCTATGACAGGCATCCCCGAAGCGCCTATTCTGCTAGCGCATATCACGTGCAGGGTGCCTGGAAGGTCAGCTCTGGGCTCTCCATAGGCTCCTGTGCTTGTGTTCATGTTCGTGTTTCAGAGATGCTTCATAAAGACCTCTTCACCTATATACGTGACTCTTTGCTTCACGCTATGTGTACGAGTGACTTCTGTCGTCGAACTGCTAGCAACTGCTCCGTACAAAGAAGGGCAGAAATTCCTCGCACCGGAGATACGAGTAAACAATACTGCTTGTCTTTTCATCTTCCCAGAAGTCCCTCTTCATCTCGACGCCACCGCAAAGTTCTCGCTGCAATCTCCCCACCCGTCCAGCCACATCCATTTCCAGGTTGCTTCTTGACCAATTTCGCCGGTTTCGAGATTGCCCATCTCACATATCCTGTCGATTCTATCAGCATTCCTCTCTGGAGATTTCTCAGGCCCATCGCCTATTGTCCAGACAGAGTACGGATAGCCTGTACACATAAAGTCCCAGTCATGCCAAACATGTATGTATACTCGCTTATGGATCATCCACTAGCCTCCGAGTAGTACCATTTAACCATTTAATTGTACAATCTTGTTTTCCATGCAAAGTACTCCGTACTCCGTAATCTAGCTGGGCTAATATTGTACTCGTAGTCCCATAGTTAATCGATAGCAGTTTCACTACTGTCCTCGGGTGCTCCGCACTCTTCGAGCTCAACTATGGCCTATCTTACCTCGTATAGAGCGGCAGTGAGCACTCCTCCCCAGCAGGGGACCGGAAATCAAAATCCCATTCAGTCAGTAGTAGCAACACCGAGTGTCCATTTCGCACATTCCAGCCACATGGACCGAAGTTGCTCAAGCTTTTCTTGGCCTTGGAAATGGAGCTGCTGATCCCAGTATTTGGGCTTGTGGGCTTGGTGGCTTGCTGACCGACGTCATTGCCCACCTTTTTGCCATCTAAGATCTCTATGGGGTACAGTATCAAGTTATCAACATATCTGGACCTCGATATAGCAAACAAGAACAACCTCAATAATCAAGGCTTCATTGTTCTCAAGAGAAACCTCGATGATGGCGCTCTAAATTATCCGCAGCAAGTTAGCTCAAAATGAACGACCCTGGCCTCGATGGGCCTATCACAGATGCATCCGATCAAGTCAAGGAGAATGTCGATGAGCAGCGCGCTGAAGATCCCAGCGATGACATAGGCGAGGAGGAGGAAGAAGAAGAAGAGAGAAGCTTTGTGCTGCCAGCAAGATGGTGGTACGCTTCCACCGGCTTCCCTCTCGTCGCCGGCACATTTGGTCCCATGGCCAATGCCTTCTCCATCTGTGCCTTAGTTGAGAACTGGAGGGTTGATATCCCTCCCGGGGGAACCGAGGAACATGGTATTGACATCAAAGATCCTCGATGGTGCGATTAGTTTCCCTGGCCTACCACCTATGCTCCAGCACATCTGATGATAATGTGCAGGCTGATCGCCGTGAATGCCATCTCGCTCGTCTGTGCCCTGACCGCTAACCTTTCACTCCTCCTGAACATGGCCGGCCGCGTTTCCTTTCAAGTTGCACAACCCACCACAATCATTGGTTTCTGGATTGCGTCGGTCCTGCTCATTGCCCTCATCGCCGTTGCGGCCCACGACTTCCACGCCCCAGGAGTCAGGGATCAAGCCCTGACCCAGGCCTACTACTATGCCATCTTCGCCGCTGGACTATACCAGATCATCTCCTATTTAATGTGCGTCACCGTCTACGGCGCGTACAGGGGCCACTACAGAAAAGAATTCAAGCTTACGATGGCTCAAAGGACGCTGATGCTTCAAACCATTGCGTTCCTTGTTTACCAACTCCTCGGAGCATTGGTCTTCTCCCACATCGAGGGTTGGAAATTCCTCGATGCTGTCTACTGGGCCGATTTCACTTCTCTCACTATAGGCATCGGCGGCGATTATGTTCCCACAACTCACTTAGGACGAGGACTGCTCTTTCCATTCGCCATCGGAGGAATCACCATTCTGGGTTTGGTGGTAGGGTCCATACGCTCGCTGGTGCTTGACCGCGGTAAGAAGAAAATGGCTGCTAGACTGACCGAGAAGACTCGCGCCAAACTGGTGCGAGATGTTCAGTCTGCAATATCCAAAAAGGGCCATTTGCAGCCTCGTGGAGTGATGGGATTGGAGAAGGACCACGTAAATGCACTGGCACTTAAACCTGGAGAAGGTGAGATGTCCGAGATTGACAGGCGAGAGGCCGAATTTCTGGCCATGAGAAGGGTCCAAGCTAGGGCCGATACGACAAGGAAGTACTACAGTCTTCTGGTCTCCACGTTCGCTTTTGCATTTCTGGTAGGTGGTCTTGCTATGCCAACTTTCTCCCTGCCATGGTTCTCTGGATTAACATGCCACAGTGGACGATTGGTGCTTTGGTATTCTACAAAGCAGAAAAGAACCAGCAATGGACTTACTTCCAATCCCTATACTTCGCCTACACCAGCCTGCTGACCATCGGCTACGGCGACCTCCAGCCGATCAGCAACAGTGGCAAACCATTCTTTGTTTTCTGGTCATTACTGGCGGTGCCAACCCTAACCATCCTCATCTCAGACATGGGTGAAACTGTTGTCAAGGCCATCAAGGAGGCCACCATCTGGCTTGGCGAGATCACTGTGCTTCCCAACCAGCAAGAAGGCATGAAAGACAGATTGAGATACGGCATGTATAAAATGACACTCGCGAAAATCGATGGCTGGTCGACCAAGACCAATGATGTTGGAGCTGGAAAAGACACGTCGAACGGTCGCTCTAGTTTCCAGGAGCTTCATCCGGGCTTGGCCCGCGCGTTTCGAGTTCGCCAGAAGAATAGCTCAAACCATGAGCACATGGCGACGGAGGACCGATTGGCAGCGGAATTCGAAGAATCGGAAAAAGTAGATGAGTCCATTGCTCGAGGTCGTGGTAATCGATCAGAGGAAGGTAATATTGCCAGTTGCCGCCCCCCCCCCTCGGAAAACAGAAGAGAGCTGACTTGGCTCAGAGGCGCACCATTATCGGCACAGTCTGATCTCTCAGATACGCAGGGTGTACACCGACAGCGCATCAGCCACCGCGAAGAAATATAGCTACGCCGAATGGGCGTATTTCTTGAAATTGCTGGGCGAGGATGAAAGCGATAGTTCTCTCCATCGAAAGCCTCGCTCGTCATCAAGGGCTACGGTGGTAGATACTCCAAGTGACGAACAAGATGGTGGCCAAGACCATCGCTCACCAAGGCAAAAGGACTTTGAGACAGGTGGCCAGGAAATCGCACACTCACAGTCTAGCAGTAAGATCGACGATGAAGAAATATCGCGCTGGAGTTGGATCGGGAGCAGAAGTCCATTGATGGGGGACAAGATTGAAGCCGAGTGGCTGCTGGAGAAGCTCCTCCAGCGACTTGAAGAAAGTTTACACGATCTGAAAAAGGCGAAAGAAGACGACGTGCAACGAGAGATGCCAGAAGTTCACTATGACAGCCCATCAACGGCTGGACAGCGCAATAGTAATAGCTTGAGTCGAACAAGATTCAGGCCGAACGGAAACCAGTCAATGGGTACGGCTGACAGTAATGGGTAGATACTCCTGCGTTGTTCGCTTAGGTTTGTCGAGTTCATCGAACCTTGACGAGGCTGGACAAGCACAGTACTGTTTTCAACCCAGCCTCAGAACCTGCAGTCGATTTAGGCAGAATCCTTTCCAATGTGCGGGCCAAAAGTCTGGCTCACCAGAAACAAGCATGAAGTTGGAACATTTAACCACCATTGGATGCCTCCTGTGTTTAGGCGACGGTCGCAAGCAGGACGCCTTCAAGTTACTTGGGATATATCAATCCTGGGCAAATCCCTACACTGAACGAGGAAGAGGAAGTCTTCTCCATGGCGAATATGGGTCTTTGGGCTAGCTGACGAGCACCCAAGAAAGCTCTTCACTGGCAATGCGAGCGATTTGATGCAACCCTGGGAAAGCGTGCTCAGGGTTTATCTTACTCGAGCGACCGAATGCGGCAGAGCATCCATCTCCATCGATCCGTGGTTGTGGTGCGGAAGTGAAAATACTTTTGCAGAATATTTCGCCGACACGAGACAGAGACGACGCCACAGGTAGAGATACCGTAGAGGGGCTCGGCAGCAGTATAGTAGTGTTCGGGCAAATGGCAAGCACGCGTTAACGTGCACTGCAGTTTGGCGGCGGAAGGAGCGAAGTCCACTTCCGGCATTAAATATTTAATACTCTTGATATATCCACCTCCCAGCACGCCACTTCCCCGCATCCGAATTCATCTTCTCCAGCTATACCCACGGCTAGGACGCCTTTGCAATAGTATTATGCCTCAGTCAGGGTTGGAGGACCCCTTCTTTTATGAATCCCTCACTTATCAAAGCTCTGGCGAGCCCACAAGGAGGTGGACACCCCAAGTCTCGGAACCGCGACTGAAACCGCCAGGATGTCGGAGGAACTTCCTCCGAAATACGAGTAAATTTGACAGGTAAAAACTGAACAAAGGAGACAAAGCCGATCAAAAGCAGAAGCCGAAAACTGTCCCACAAATTATGAAAGGAAATGAGCTGCAAGCGGGGTCTCGAACTCGACCCAAACAGCTCACCTTCTCGAAACTCTAGTGTTGATGCAACGTCTATCCCATTCAAAATTAATCGCCATTGAAAATATCTTTCCGCCCTGAGGATGCCAGTCTGGTCGTCCAAAGCGCTGTGAATTACCCAGTTCGGGAATTCCTGGTTCTCCTGATTGACACTGCAACAGCAGACACGCCCAAGTATAACTATGCTCGAGCGCCTCGGATTGCCACTTCCGGTAATACGTGAAGGGATATCCACTTCCTCGGTTGAAACAATGCCGATCGACATATGAGATACCCTCCTTGGATGGCCATACTCCCCTTCTTAGATCAAGATGTGACGATTGATCTCTTTTCTCCACACGCTTGCGCCCTCGCAACTTTGGTCCCATCTGCTTCTGGTTTGGCCTATGGGTGTCATTGACTTAAATTTGGCGTTTGCAGATGCGCCAACTCCGAGCTCTCGCCGCTATTCAACCCCTCACCTAATTGATAGGGAGCCTCATTACGAATCAGAAACTCCAATGCCTTCATCCACATAGGCCATCATATCAAAACGAGTTCCTGTTAGCTCGAACGATATCTCCATCGATCTTTGACTCCTTTTGCTCGTTCACCACCCCTCTTTATGGACCCGTTCCGTCATAACGCTAGGTACGCCACGGTCTGGGAGCCCGGGCTTGCGTCGTGATCATAGTGGGGCTGTTGAGCGGTCCAAAATTCTACAAATTCGTAGAATTCCTCCCTACTTGCGAAGACAACCCGTCACTTACCACTTCTAGTAGAAGACTGCTGTCCTTTTTTGAATTAGAAACAGATCAAGATGGATTCCACTCGACCGGAAGAGGTTGATGTGCTTCTCGTGGGAGCTGGGTTTGCTTCTTTTACCCTGTTGAATAGGTGAGGATTCTCGAGAGCTTAATGTCATGAGGTCGGCACTAATCAGCGTTTTTAGACTGCGGAAACTAGGTTATAACGTTCGTATTCTAGAAAAGGGAGGAGCCTCGGGAGGAATTTGGTACTGGAACTGCTATCCCGGTGCTCGAGTTGATACCGATTCCCCCATCTATCAACTCTTTGACAAAGAGCTCTGGGAAGATTTTACATTCAAAGAGCGCTATCCTGGATGGCAAGAGCTACGCCGATACTTCGAATACGTCGAGAAGAAGTGGAACATTAAGGGTTATACCTCTTTCAACAAACATGTCGACGGCGCTTCTTTCGATGAAAAGCGTCAGCAATGGTTTGTAGAGTGTGCTGATGGATCGGAATATTATGCTCGGTGGTTCCTCCCCTGCATCGGGTTTGCCAGCAAGAGATATACTCCTCCATTTGCTGGACTGGGAAATTTCAAAGGTGATATCTATCACACCGCTGTCTGGCCGCAACATGGCGTCAATTTGAAGGGTAAGCGAATAGCAGAAGTTGGAACTGGTGCATCAGGTATTCAGGTCATACAAGAACTTGGTGATCAGGCAAAAGAATTAACTATTTTTCTTCGAACACCAAACATGTGTCTCCCAATGAACCAGAGACCTCTTGATCCAAAGGAGGAGGAGCGAAAGAAGAAAGACGGCACATATGAAAAGCAGATTGAGGCTACACGCCACACCTTTGCTGGATTCACATATGATTTCGTTCAACGGAATACCTTTGACGACACCCCCGAGGAGCGAGAGAAGCTCTATCATCAATTGATGGTCGAAGATGGCGGTTTCAAATTTTGGCTTGCCACGTATAAGGACATGCTGTGCGACCTCAAAGCCAACGAACAGGCATACAACTTTTGGCGCAAGCAGGTACTCAAGCGTCTCAAGGACCCAAAGAAGCAGACTCTTCTAGCACCCGAGGTTCCACCTCATCCCTGGGGAACGAAACGCCCATCATTGGAGCAAAGGTTTTACGAAGTCGTTGATCAGCCCCATGTCAAGATCATTGACGTCAATGAGTCTCCTATCGAAGAAGTAACTGCCACTGGGATAAGGACAAAGGAAGGCTTGACCGAAGTGGACGTCATAATTCTCGCAACTGGCTTTGACAGTGTGACAGGCTCGCTTGCTCAGCTCAACATTGTAGGTACTGATGGCGGAACAATCGCGGATCACTGGAAAGATGGCACAAGAACAGCCATGGGTATTGCTATGCCCAAGTTTCCCAACATGTTCTTCCTCTACGGACCGCAAGCTCCCACGGCTTTTAGCTCAGGACCTAGCTGCACTCAATTCCAAGCCGAATGGGTTGAGGAGACATTCAAGATTATCAAGGAGAGAGGTATCACGCGACTCGAAGCCACCCAAGACAGCGAAGATGATTGGTGCAAGCGCATGAATGAGGAATGGGATGCGACTCTCTTCCCAATGGCCAAGAGCTGGTATCAAGGGGCAAATATTCCTGGGAGAAAGGTTGAACCGTTGAACTGGTAAGGATTGCGCTTCGAACATCGAGACTTCATGCATACTAATGTTTAATGATAGGGCTGGAGGAATGGTCAAATATGTAGGCACCCTACACAAGAGCTTGGAGAATGACCTGCAAGGTTGGAAGTACGCAACCGCATAACTATGAGCGGCTTAGATAATCGGCAAATTATGGAACATGGGAAAGTGGTTGCGTTGGTGGCTCTGTGTCTGTTCCAAAGTCTCTTAATACTAGATTCATTCTATCCAGAGACCGCTTCCATCAACAAGAGACTACGGCCCTTTTATATGCGTGTAGCGACATATCAGGTTGGAGTAGATAGCGAGGAGTAATGGCTGAAGCATTTCCCCTTTGACATTGTCTCATTGGCTTCGAGAGATTAGGGAGTAGGTTGTACTTACGGAGAAAATACAACCAAGTATAATTATAGAATTCCACGTCGCAGCACCGTTTAATTAAGTAACATGCCACACTAGCTACATGCCTTTCAGGCTGCTACGCATTCATGAGCCTCTCTTAAGAACACAAACGCCATTCGTCCCTTGCACTGAGTATTTACGACTGATCACTCCGCCGAACTTCATCCTTGTCAATGCTTCCTCAAAATGTCCACTAAAACTATAAAGAAGGGCCAATTCACCAAACAATTCAGCAGAATGAGGGGTCATAGAAGTCAGTCGTCGCTAAGTCCACGGTTGCAGCGCCTTCGCACGTACACACAAAGCCGATATAACAAAGATATGACCATTGGCGGGAGCGCGAAAGCACAGTCTGGACCACTGCGGGAATCAGAACGTGAAGTGGTCCTGACCACAGTCAAGGGCTAGGGACAGGGGTCGGTGGGATATCGGTGGCAGTGGCAGTCCCGACGGATTTGGCCTGAACGCATTCGTCCATGGTGCGGCCCTGTGTTGCAATGTTAGACATCACTATTAAACCTGGTCATGGCGGAAGGCGGGTACATGGAGGCTGCTTAAGGAGAGGGGGAAAAGACAGGACTTACCGGCTCGCAGCAATAGTTGATCGCAATGCCATAGCCACAGACAAAGCCGCCTGAGCAGAAGCCTAGAGAGGAGGAAGGAGAATCAGCAGTTAGTCAAGAGTCGTTTTTTTTGGAGTTGGGAACTGGGGGCAATGAGATGGGAGAGATGTGCTCGCCGTCTTTTAGTGGATGTAGCACTCACCACTTCCGTCTTCACAACAGCTGCCCTCGACGGGGTCGTAGCAGATCTTGCCGTTCGCGAAGATACACAGCTCAGTATTGGTCGGGCATCGCCTCGTCTCGCCGCGCGGAGTGAGAGTGAGTTTCTTCGTGAAATGCGTTGATGCGGTGGCTTCTATGTTGAAGACAAATAAGGCGATGAGCAGTGCGAGCGTTAGGAGGAACTTCATGGTTGCGTTCGCTTTGCTTGAGCAGGCGTGTATGATTGATAGCTATTCGTCGTGCTAATTAGAAAGAGGACGCCCTTTGGGGGGGGGGGGGGGGTCTCCGTGCGTGTATGTATGTGTATAAATCCGTAGTGTAGGCGTGTGTGTGGAATACCCTGAGGAATAACACGTATGAGGTCGAAGAATAATATTAAGCCTTGCGAAGGCGGGTTAGATATGCACACTCCTCCATGGTTTGTTATTAGTAGTCACTCGCTTAAAGATGGATCACCGCCCAAGTGGCTTAGACAATGATTGGATACCGCAATGGGAATATTTCTAATAATCGCCTTTTGGCTGGATAAGTCGTGGGACAAAGGTCCCGGTCAAAGAACCCATCCAGACTGGTCTATTCCTGGTGGCTCAAAGGATGGCGATATTTGCGGAGTTGAGTGTGGGCATGCTCTTTGTTTGATGGCTACTAAGCGCCTCATCCTTCGAAGATATTTGGTATGACGGATGAAGGGCCAATCTTTCGGTTCCATCAGTTTTAAACTTGGGGTGGAATGTTTGAGTTATACTGGAATATCACGGCTGAATTCCTCATCGCGTATTCGTAAAGAGAAGCCGCTATTCATAGCACTGATGGTACAAAGGTAGGCTCGAAGCCAAGCTGGAGCAATTTGTTGCCACCGCTGTCACAGTAATGCGAGGTCGCCCATGTTTTCACGTAGAAACCTGGAATTGAGATAGATTAGAGTCATGGAATAGATGTGATGTTCTGCCGGACCACTAATTTCTTGGATGACTAAAGCGGCACCGGCTGCCTCCGTTTCTATATTAGGGTGATGTACCGCCAAGGCTGGGTCCGCCTACCCCGCACATCTCACATCTTACTCACATCTCATTCTCAATAGCGTGCGGAGAAATTTTTTGTTTTGGTTCTCGGTCACGCCTCTACAAACTATCCCAAGTAGCCTCACTCTTGAATTGCTCCATCACCCACCCTCCGCCTCTCAAAATTACCTATCTCATCAATGTAAAATGGCTCGAACAAAGCGGTATGCCCGGAAACTGACCGGAAGCTTGAAACGGAGAAGAGATGAGGAGGATCTCGACGAACGATCGCTGAAGAAAGCTAGCCTGTCGCAACGGCTCCTAGAAGAGCAGTCAGATGATGAAGTCCCCGTGGGGCGACCGGCATTCTTCGCCGACCAATTTGCGAAGGCAATTCAAAATCGAGGCCCTTCCGGCAGATCTCCTGAGGACAAGGACGATGCGAAGCACGAATCAACCAAGAAGACCGGCCAAACGCAGCGAGCACGAACGGAATACGATGAAGCCATCGCCTTGATGAACCCGTCCCTTCTCGCAGACCACTTTGCAAAGTCCATACAGAAGCAGTTTCCGGACAGCAGTTCTCTCGAACGGGAAGACCTACACTTACCAACCAAGGCTTTCAGAGACACTAGCGGCTTTGACGAGGCGCATATTGCGCCAAACCTGTCCAGTTTTCTTGAGGCAGCCACGGAGAATGGCAAGGATGCATTGACGCATTGTGAGAAAGGAGCTGGACCACATACACTCATAATCACGTCATCTGGGATACGTACGGCAGATCTGGCTAGGGAATTAAGAGTCTTCAACAGCACAGGGTGTCAGGTGGCTAAGCTAATCGCTAAACACATGAAACTGAAGGCGAATGTGGAACACATGAAGAACAATCGAGTTGGCATCGCAATCAGTACACCAATGCGACTGAGAGACCTGGTGGATGCGGGCGCTCTAAAGCTCGAACATGTCAAACGGATTGTGGTGGATGGCTCTTACAAAGATGAGAAGAAGAGAAGGATTTTTGAGATGAACGAGCTGTTTCGCCCACTAGTCGAGCTGCTGAGCAGAGCCGAACTCAAGCAGAGATACGGGACCACTAATCCGGTGGAGATTATGGTCTTCTGAAGAGAGGAAGTGGCCGCCGATGACCGAGTGACCATTCAGCGGCATAACAATATCAGATATGGACTGAGAGATAGCCAGATATCCTGATATTGATCTGGTGGGCAATTCCGAATTCCCACTTTAGCCCACTGGGGTGCTGACTGTGGTTTCTACCTAGGCATCTAACCGCGATGATAGCAAGCGCCGTCGCCGTGTCTGATAAGCAGGCGGCGTTTTAGGGTACCTCTGAACAACAGCGCCAAAACTGTATCAGCCTTGAAGGCGGTAAGCCTTTGAAGTTGGAAGGTTTCGGGGGGCGGTGCCACTATTGACCGTCACCAATATTCTCCGCACAGGTCACGTTCTGGCACTGGCACGAACCGTCGCCTGCAGAAGCCACAATGGGCCCGAGGGCGACAATCGTGGCTAATAGGCGAGCTTAAGCAGGTTACAGGTACCCGTGGGCCCCCTCGTCATAACCAAATCAGTGCCACTCCAGGCGATGGTTCCTGCTCCACTTAACGAACTTCACCCCACAAAATTCTGCTGCAGACACTTCGAGGTCTTCGTATCTGATTGATTCTATCAATTCTTCCATCCAGATTCATTCTTGCATCACCTTCTTCAAGCTCCCATTCTACGCAGACCTTGTCTGAATTGGTTGCTCGTCTCTTGCTCTATCATTCGCTTAGAGCCACTGTCTTTCTCATACTTACTGAACCATCTGCACATCATCGTCTATCGACAACCCCCGCCCACGGTGAAATATATCAAAGGCCTTTCCCTGGTTCCATCCTTCAACTCCAGGATGAGCTATCAGTCCTTCTTACGGTCGACCTCGGGCTCTGTCAACAAGGTTCCCTCTCCCAGCTCTATCTCTCGAAAGCCTCCAGCTTCCTCCTCCAGTCCTTCTGCTCCACAGACGTCCAGTCCCTCTGTTCATGCCACTGTCGCTCGAATTCAGGCACCCCATGCTATAAATACAGCCAGCAATCCCCCCTTCACCCCTACGTCTTCAACGAATTCCGCTGCTTCACCCTCTGCCTCCGCAGCGGTGCCCCCGACCGACCCCATCAACCCCCCCCCTGCAGCGCAGACGTCCCTGACCAGAGAGCAGGTTGATGCTGCCCTGAAGCAATGTCTGGCTCTGCAAACCACTGCTACCACTCTGCACGAGAAGCGGCCATTTGCAGCACTGCTTCTGGGCCCTGACAATACCTCAATCCTGCTGACACACTTTTCGATCACACATGTTCAACACGCGGAAACCGAGCTCGCCCGACTAGCCTCCGTGCACTTCTCTCAAAAGTTCCTGGCAACTTGTACTCTCGTATCAACATGGGAGCCTTGCGCCATGTGTACTGGTACCATCTACTGGAGCAATATCGGTCGTGTCCTGTACGCAGCCGGCGAAGCCAAGCTGAAGGACTTGACGGGAGGGGACAACGACGAGAACATGACATTATCGCTACCTTGTCGTGATGTGCTGAAAACTGGTCAGAAAGAGATCGAAGTCATCGGCCCTGTACCCGAATGGGAAGAGAAGGTCGTTAAAGAGAGCGGGAAATGGTGGAAAGAGCATCAATCGCCGGACACTGGTCGACAGCGCGAGGGTAGCGTGAACGGCAGTGTCAAGACCGGTAGCTTCTCGGGCGTCAGCCTTCGCCAAGGCACACCGACCACATGGACGGGCGAGAGCAGTGTGCTCAGCAGCATCAATGATGAAGGTGAATATACGGCCGACCTAGATATTGACTGGATGCGATGAGCAACGTTTGGCATGTGACAATATTGTACAATCACGAGAACGAGACGCAGGGATACTGGCATGATGGGGGAACGATGGGCTTTACGATGGGATGCGATCGCCGTAAGACCGAGGTGTACGTATGTAGCTTGTGGTCTCATGGTCTTCATAGTACTACTGCTGCCTCAACATCAGACGACACAAGAAAGGCTCCCAGCCAATGCCATTATCAAGTTGTAGTTGTTGTCAAGTTGCCCACGATGATTCTACGCGGGCATTCGTTTCCTGCGATCCTTCTTAATCTTCCTCCTCCAGCCACTCACATCCTTCCCACCCTCAACATCACGCAAGGCCTCCATCCTGGCCTCGGCGACATCCTTCAGGATTCTGCCCCTGACCACCCTTGTCTCCACATTGACGCCTTCCTCCGCCCACTCCTCCATCTTTGCGCCCACATACTCCTCGATGGCAAGCACAAGCGAGACATCCCGCTGGCCCACGAACGTAACGCTAGTCCCCTGCCTTCCCGCACGCGCCGTCCTGCCCACGCGGTGGACGTAGTCGGTCGGGTTCCGTGGTACATCGTAGTTAATCACAAACCGCACGTCCGGAATATCCAGGCCGCGAGACGCCACGTCCGTCGCGATCAGGATCCGTGCTTTTTGTGCCCGGAAGTCCGAGAGGTTGCGATTGCGCTGGGATTGCGCCAGCTCCGAGTGCAGTGCTGTCACCGGGTGCGAGAGTTGGAGGAGTGTGCGGTGCAGGATGTCGGCTGTCGCCGTTCGGTTCGTGAATATCATGATGCTTGGTGGTGTGGGGGAGGAGGAGGAGGAGGATGGTGATCGGGAGGCGTTGGTGAATGATGGGACTGAGAGGAGTACGTGCAGGAAGGCGTCTTTATGCGTCATGGGGACCTGGAGGTAGGTTTGTGAGAGGGTCGAGGGGAGGACGGTGGTGTTGGTCAGAGCGGAGGAGGGATCCTCTGGATCCGTGATCTCCGACACGAAGATGGGCAGACGGTCTTTTGGGCGAGGGGTATCTTTCAATGCCCGCACTTCGGGCGTCACAGTCGCGGTGAAGAGAAGCGTGAGTCGAGATGAGGACGGTGGGAGAGCCGAGAGGCAGGTATTGATGTCAGGAAGCATCGAACCGGAGCCTGGCGCGAGCAGACGATCGGCCTCGTCGAGAACAACGGCTTTGGCCCTCGATAGGCCAATCGTCGTGTCCTTCCCCGAGCTCAGGACATGGTCGGCAAGGCGTCCGGGAGTCGCGACCACGATGTGCGGACGTGACGACAGTGCCACCGCCTGCGGACGCATATCACTGCCGCCTGTGATCAGCACGGTCTTGAGGTTTTGCGGTGTGCCCAGGGCTTGGAACTGCTCGTAGATCTGCAGGGCTAACTCCCGTGTCGGCGTAAGCACTACGGCGTATATTCCAAACGGATCTTCCGCCCATTTCTGCAGGATGGGGACCGCAAATGCCACCGTCTTGCCTGTCCCTGTTCTTGAGCCGCCGATGCAGTCTCTCCCAGCAAGGATCTGTGGTATACATGTTCGTTGGATCTCGGTCGGGTTCTGGATTGCCATTGCGGCCAGAGAGTGTACGAGCCATGGTGAGACATTCAAGGAACCAAATGACGAGGCGTTGGTTGCAGTGGGAGGTACGTTTGGGGCAGCAGTTGAAGCAGGGAGGTGATGGACAGTGGGTTTCACTCTCGACAATGAGGTCGTTGGATTTATTGGTGTGGGCGGCTGATGGGCATCATTTTCGTCTTCGTCTTCATCTTGGTCTTCACTGGGTTGCGAGATTCTTCGGCGCTTGGGACGAGGAGATGGGAAGTCGTCAATTTCAGATCTTTGAGCAAGACGATCTTGTGATTGCGCTCTGGAGGGAGCCATGTTGTCGACGAGTTTGAACGGCGTCCATGTCGGGATGAATTCGTTCCCGACTTTTTCTCTGCACAGATTGTTGGCAGAAAAGCAGCGGGACGGATTACATAATGTCGGCACGAGCTATTCTCCGAGGGCGGTGAGAGGCCCTTGCTGCAGCGTTGCTTACCAAGGCACCTTCATTGGTTATTTTCCATCCAGCTACAACTTGCGCGGTACAGTCCTAGTAACTACTGCTTTGAGTCAAGTTTTCGATGAAGCTTTGTGCTGTATGCTGGAGAGGCCTCGTTACTCTCGGAGATGGAGTGCTCACCTAGGTACTCGTAGTGTATGTATATAAAACTGTTCCCCCGCTGTAGACATCGAGGCTCCTGTGGTGAACGGTCAGGCTTCCCATCGCTCTCTCCATTGAACATCTGCCTATCTTCGAACTGTTGCGCCTTGATCCTCCAATCCCCACTTTGTCTCGTCGTGTGGCCCTTGGGGTATCGTTTACTGACAGCATGATACCTCTACTCCTGCATGCACATGCGACATCTCCAAACCCGCTCAAAATTGCTATTGCATGCCAATATCTTGGAGTCGCTTACGAGGTCAAGGTATGGGAGTTTGGGCCTGACCCTCGCCGTGGTGTCAAGGGCGAGGACTTTGCAAAGATCAGTCCCAATGGTCGATTACCGGCTCTGGAAGATCCAAACACAGGAGTTCTTGTTTGGGAAAGCGGTGCAATCATGAACTACCTTAAACGCCAATATGATAAGGACGGTATCCTGGGGCCCAATGGCCCGACGCCCCAGGATCAAGTGGATCTCGAGAAGTGGGAGTACATGGTCGTGACCACGTTGGGGCCGATGACCGGTCAAAATATGTGGTTCAGGTATTACAACATTGTGAGGAACGACGATGCGATCGAACGATATACGAAGCAAGTGTATCGTTGCTATGATGTCTTGGAACGTCAGCTGGGTGCAGGTGATGGCCTCAGTATTGTACCAGGCGGAATCACCTCGGTCGATTGCCATTGTGAGCCGTGGATAAGGCCGGCGAGGTATGCTGGACTAACGGACGAGAAGTATCCGCGTATCAAAAAGTGGCTGGCGTTTATGGCTGAACAACAGCCTGTCATAGATGCCTACCAGAAGATCAAAACCGCGACCATATTACAGGATCCCGAGACAGCAGCACGCGGTCTACAGCCAGACCTGAGCCTGATGCGTGAAGCTCAGGCCGAGGCTGCACGAGTCTGAGTGGCGTCGTTAGTAGTGGACATCGTCGAATTGGTCGTGCAGCTTGTTGGAAATCAGAACATTCGTTCTGGATGAGAGCGGTGGCTCATGATCATTATGCTTGTTGTTAAAAGAAGTCATCGCACTGGGTATCGCACGATGAATGCGCCAAAGTCATGATGCCACAGCAGTGAGATAACTGTCCTTCCTGAACCAAACACCTCGTATTGCCCGATTCTATTATTTGCGTCAAATGCCATGTGACTTGGTGCTTGCGACTCCGTCATGGCGGAAAGGATTGATGGCACTGCGGCTGAAAGACCATCCCGATTTTTCGCGATTGTTTTTAAGTCCACATGATTGTTTACCTCAGCAATCGCCCATTGTTGCTTCAGCCAGGCCGTCCTCCGGGCGGAACTTGGGGACAAAATTAGCAATGCCAAGGTGCTTGACTGAGCCACAAGGTCACCGTCGACTTTGCTGTAGCGGTACATGGTAACTTTGTAACCCGTGTTTGCAACGCACAGGCACGGATACCACCCCTTGGCAAGCCTCGTTCGTTGTGCCGTCCGTACGAGGTTCTTCGGTACCATGAGCTTCACGACCCCTCTCGGGCGCTTTCGCTCAAGGTCCGGCTCTGTATCTGTTCCTGTCACAACTGATGCTCTGGGATGCAGATATAATGAAAGCCGCATGGCAAGGATGCTATTGCAAGTACCCTCTAGAATTGACAGCCTTTTTCCTGCATCCTCATCAGCAGTGAACCGCTAGAAATGATTGAAGCAATCACATCATTCCTCGCTCTCAAATGGACACAAGAGCCCCTTTTTCGTCCCTTACCTGTTCATATCACACGAGAGTTTGTCCAGACTTCCAACGGTAATCTCGAGTTGTTGACATCGGAGCCGCAAGTGAAAAGTGAAGGTCCCTCATCCAGAAGACCACCCATTTTCTTCGTTCATGGCGGTGAAGGTTCTGGCTCAGTCTGGCTTGAGTGGATGGGCTATCTTTCAACATCCTATAATGCCCGAACTTACGCATATTCATTAAGGTGCCACGGGGCCAGCTATTCAGTCCCCTATTGGAAGATGGTCTGGGGTACCTCCCTGGATGACCTAGCCTCAGATCTTGTCGCCTGTATACAAGATGTGAGGAAACGGGAAGGACAGGACCCAATAATCGTCGCTCATTCTTCAGGTGGTGGCTTGACACAATACGTCCTGTCAAATGGGCAAGTGAAAGCTCGCGGTATTGCCCTTGTGGGTGCAGTACCCCACTGGGGCAATATGAGCGTCTACTTCAACTGGTTTCGCAGGATTGATCCATGGTTCAGCCTTCGGAGTCTCTGCCATCTGTTCCATCCCAACAGCCCGCTCAACACGCCGCGCTTGGTCCATAATGCCTTTTTCGGACCGGAATATCCACGAAGTCGTGTGCCAGAATTCATGAAGTGGATGAGTAATTACGAAGCAATGTTCTGGCCATTTGGAATGGCAGGTCGCGGCTGGGGCATTGAAAACCGGACATGGCTGGCACCAACTGACATCCTGAGCAACATCATGCAATGGGACGGATCTCAAAAGGTCATGGTCATGATTGGCACAGAGGACAGAATGATGGGTGGAACTGAAACGAGGATGGTAAAGGAGTACTGTTCGGCCATCCTGGCCCTGCAAAGCGAAAAAAAAATCGACGCCGACTATGCCTCGATACAGAGACACGCCAAGGTCGAGATTGATAAGAATGTCAGCGAGGAAGACTACCCAGGAGTGCGATTGGTAGAGGTTAAGAACGCAGGGCACCATACGCAAAACGACATGCAATGGGAAGAATCCGCTGAGGCTCTGAGGAGATTTAGTGAGCAGCTATGATGAGGGGGGCCAATTCTTGACTCGAGAAACTCCCCACCCACTCCCCTAAAAGGTGTATGCTTGCGTAATTTGACTGTAGCGGAGGCCGTTGAGGACCGAGGGGGCCAGCCTCGCCACAAGAGCCTATTTCGCCCCTAGTTGCGAGGCTCCAAGTCGGGCTCACCCGCGAGACATTGGGCTTGTTTCTGATTCTGCAGGCAGTTTTTCATGGCTTGCGAAGACTCACAGACGAGAGGAATTCAGTCACAAGGAAAATGCAACTCTTCCGCAGTACAAAACGACAAACGGACTGTCTTAATGTCTCGACAATTGTTCTGCCTAGAAGAACAGGCTCCATAGTATTTCCACCACAGTGTTTGTGAGTTAACCTTTCCACCTACGTAAAGGTGTGTTACACGGTCGTAATAGAATTCAGGTACCTGTGCGCCGAGGACAGTAAATTGTACCTCGTACTCCAGAAGAAACGTGCTCTACAAATAAGGAGGTGCCAGTCCAAAAGGCAGAAATCATGCGATATACGCGTATCCGGGGCCCACCCGTATCTGCAATCCGGTAACACGAGATACGAGTCGATAATGCTGTCTCTTAGTCAGGTTTGATTCGGCATGCCTAACGGTCCACTTTCGCCCTTACGAGTCCTGGCGGAGGTAGGCCCGGAGCCAGAGTCCAACTTTCGCCTTTCGCTTCGCACTACATTCAAGTTCTCGAAAAGGAGTACATCAAGCTGAAACCCATTTGATTCATAGGCAAACCGCTGCCACGGAACTTTGCAGGGGTATATTTTATATAAGGCGAAGACGTCGTGCTGCGACATTCCTTCGTTCGTCAATCAAAACCACTGTGCACCAATGCGTCATGGGGAAGGCAAAAGAAAAAGCGCCTGCACAGCGGTTATCGCTCCCCCAACCCCCCCAGCTTGATTCACGCAGCTCAGATTATTCACAGTCTCCCCCAGAAGAAGATTCTCCAATTGACGAGTCGCTATTTCAGGATACTACAGATGTCCTAGAAGATGGACGTGTTTCCGTCAACCTGGATTCTAAATTGGCACATGTTTTTGCGAAACTCATAGAAGCATCCGACGACATTGAACCCGTGGTCGAGCCCCCTCCAGCCTACGAGATAGAGGACAGTATAGCTCCTGAAAAGTGGGAGCTGCCTCTCAGCATCGTAATCCAGGTCGTCGGGAGTCGTGGGGATGTCCAGCCTTTTGTCGCCTTAGGACAGGAGCTACGGTCCTATGGGCATCGAGTTCGGGTAGCTACCCACGGCGTATTCAAAGACTTTGTCCGGAGCGCCGGCCTGGAATTTTTTCCAATTGGAGGGGATCCAGCCGAGTTGATGGCGGTAAGCTATAAATCCCCCAGACTAGGCATTTCCGACTGAGCATTTTGCGCAGTATATGGTCAAGAATCCGGGGCTCATACCGAGTATGAAGACTCTTCGAGAAGGCGATATCGGCCGAAAGCGTGAGATGATAAGGGATATATTGGAGGGCTGCTGGGAGTCGTGCATAACGCCAGATCCTGACACAGAGGAGCCGTTTGTCGCCAATGCAATCATTGCCAACCCCCCTAGTTTCGCGCATGTTCACTGTGCAGAAGCTCTGGGTATTCCTCTCCACATCATATTTACCATGCCTTGGACTCCAACTCGAGCCTACTCTCATCCTTTGGCCAATGTCCGAAATAACACTACTGATCCGAGGATGGCAAATTATGTCTCCTATGCCATGGTACAACTCCTGACTTGGAACGGGTAATACCATCCCCAAAGTCTATCTGTGTTGCTCTAACGAGTCATGTCAGTATCGGTGATGTTGTGCAGAAGTGGAGGCGGTCAATCGATCTTGAACACCTTCCAACTTCTGAAGCTCCTTTCATTATGGAATCCCTGCAGATTCCGCATACGTATTGTTGGTCCCCGGCCCTAGTCCCGAAGCCCCAGGATTGGGGCAAGCACATTGGTGCGTATATCTCCTGCGCTTCTTCTCAAATGACCAGCAACTGATATGCTACACAGACGTGTGCGGGTTTTTGTTTCGCGATGTGCCGTCCTACGATCCGCCACAGGAGCTCGACGATTTCTTGAAGGCTGGTGCACCACCTGTCTATATCGGCTTCGGCAGTATTGTCGTCGATGATCCTGAGGCTCTCATCAAAACAGTGCTGGAGGCTGTCAAGAAGTCTGGCGTGCGTGCAATTGTTTCGAAGGGATGGAGTAACTTGGGAAGTGCTGGAAGTGATGAGAATATTTATTTCATTGGCGATTGCCCTCATGGTGAGTGGCCAATGAGGCGCGCGCGTGATCGTGTGCTAATCCAACCCTAAAGAATGGCTTTTTCAACAGGTAGCAGCAGTGGTACATCATGGAGGTGCAGGCACTACCGCTTGTGGCCTATTGAACGGCCGTCCAACGACTGTTGTACCATTCTTTGGAGAGTAAGTCTTAGTTAGCACCTGAAGCGCAAATGCCCTCAGATAACCAACACTCAACAGTCAACCTTTCTGGGGCAAGATGGTTGCGACAGCGAAAGCAGGTCCAGATCCAATTCCTTACAAGAAGTTGAACAGCACAAATCTTTGTGATGCGATCTTGTACTGCCTTACCGAAGTGGCCCAAGAAGCAGCTGCTGTTGTAGCTGACAAGATGCGCCTTGAACGTGGTGTCAAGACAGCAATCGCATCGTTTCATCGCAATCTACCGGTGGAAAATATGGGCTGCGATTTGATACCCTCCCTCCCTGCAACCTGGAGCTATACCAAGTCCAAGAGGCCCATCAAATTGTCAGGTGCAGCAGCCGAAATCCTTCTTCAGTCGCATAAACTCAAGTCTAGCGACTTGATCTGGTACAAGCCGAAGCCTATCTACGTGCAGAATCGCCGATGGGACGTGGTCAGTGGCACGGTCTCATCAGGCCTCGGGCTCAATTACGATCTCCTTGCAGCTTTGAGCGGGATCTACAGAAATCCACGTGAGATGTACAAACTCAAAGAGAGGCAGCGCGCAAGGGCTGTCTCGACATCAGGCGCTTCAGGTTCCAACGTCGGCCTGGAAGACGAAAATTCAGATCTCACATCCTTGGAAGTGGCTAAGATGGTCGGGGCATCTGCGAAAGGCATTGCACAGTTTACTGGGGTCGGAGTTCGAGGCCTTCTCGCCGACGTTCCAGTGGCAGTCGCTGAAGGGCTGAGAAACACACCTAAGCTCTATGGCGAAATGGTTACCGACCATGCCCCTGTGACGGATTGGAAAAGCGGAATATCAGTCGCTGGTAGCAACTTTGCGCATCAAATGGCCGAAGGCTTATCTGATCTCATTGTGCAACCTACAAAAGGACTCAAACAAGAGGGCGTCATTGGATTCGGTAAAGGCATAGCAAAAGGAGCAGTGCAGACTCTGACGAAGCCCGGCTCAGGTATGCCGGACTTGGAATCCCTTCGTGCCCCCAAACTATACTAACTAAGATTCAATGAGAACAGCCGCTCTGGGATTGGTTGGATATACCAGCCAGGGAATCTACAAATCCCTTCGGACTGCTATACATTCAAAGACCAAGAAAACAGTCGCATCGGCGGCCCGTGTTCGCGACAAGTACTACATCCGCGCCAATCAGGAATATATTGACACTAAAAAGGTGCTGACTGACTTTATGAGATTATCCGACCAGGAAAAGTCCTCGGAGCCAGGGTCGGAAGATGAAAGTGAAACGATAACACTAACGACAACGGTGTCAGAAGGGCAATTATCGATGTCCAGGAATAATTTGACGACCCATTCGGTCGGACCGCCACATATCGGATTCAATTCGCCGTATCCGAGTCCAACAACCACCTCTTATTCCGTACCAATGTTTAGTACGGAAGCTACGTCAATTTCAGAAGCATCATCTGCGCCTAGATCAGCACTGAATGCAGAATTAGATAGCGTGCCGATCTACGAGCTTGAGTCACCAGGATCGATCCCTAACGGGTCACCTGTTTCATCGATGCTCACTGTTTCAAGCCAACCTTCACTTACAAGATCCCTTTCGGTCCATACAATATCATCTTCGATGCACAGGATATCAAGAAAACCGGTACCAAACTCAGGCGATCCACCAGTTCACGAGAATGCCGCGTCACCTTCAAGGCCACCAACTTCGTCCCTTCGGGAACAATCAAACACCCAGGACCCAGGTGCCATTTTCGAGCCGCCTTCGAACTCAATGGTACCCGTCATTTCAGAACCATCCACTAGGGCTAAGCCGCACCTTCAGGACAAGCATAAGTCGCTGACAGCGTGGATTCAGGAGCCCTAGTCATTATTTGCCACGGGAGCCTTTTAACCTGTGCCACCCAGGTTTGACGATAGTACTAATGGTTGAGGCTTTGGTCGGAAGCGGCCAATCGAGACCTCACATGCTGACTCCTTTTTCCTATCTTCCTCTTGAGGGCCGTTGCATTCCTTTCGGCGGCATGGGAAACGTATGGCTCTCGTGGTCGAGCTCACTTCTCCATATGGTGGTTTTTGCTGTGGACACGGGTCTTACTATTAACCATAGAAATGAAATGTGATACCCCCTTTTCCCTAGATCTACCTACTAAGGCAAACAATCCTCATATGAGCTACTATCAAGTAGCAACAGAAAGACTTCGGCCCCTATGAACAATGTTTCCAACGCTCTTACATGCCAGGCGGGTTGTCCTCTCCATATTGCCGACTGTCTCGTTTGGTGCTCCAACCACTATACTCCAATCCATATCAAGTGGCATGACAAGGCTTGCGCTGCCTTGTGTAACCATCGACTACCCTTTTCCAGTCACACTACCTCAAGTCATGACCTTTTTGACGCTTCTCATTGATCTGCCAATGACACACTCGGTTCTGATCCTTCCTGTCTGGTGACTTGCCCTTTTCACAAAATATGTAGCAGTATCACACCTGCTCGGCCGTGCACTGGAGACGAGTGGGGTCAGAGATCTCAAGAAAATGACCATAGGGTGATCCGCACAAACGAGAACCCGCTGTGCTGCTGTGGATTCAACTCTTTACGTATCGAGCGTGGCGAATGCCGAGCGTAGGAGTTTGTGCCAATGCGTGGAGAAAGCCCTCGAGTACACAAGATGCTGCGCAGACCCATAGGGGCAGCAAGAGCAGATGCCCGCGACCATGGTTGTTGTTGGAAAGCGTCTTAAGCTATCTACTTGTCGTAAGTAGCTGTGACTCTAGTGAACTATCGAAGGGCTAATCTTTTCTAAAGATTCCGTTGATAGATACAGGTCACAAAACAGCTCTATTAGTCGTCTATTCTAGGTCTCTGTGGGTCCTTTGAACCTGTATAGTATCGGAGTTTTCCCATCGCACAGTCGTGTTCAACTACTTGCAGAACAACCGAGCTCCGCATGGCCATTGCGATAGCCTAAGAAGCCTGGTGGCTCTCCGAGCAGTCTCGCAATGTGATCGGGAAGCTCGATCTTTTCGACTGTGACAACAGTTTCAAGTACCGAACGTGGGCCATTCCACGAAAATGTGGTAGCAGGCCCCTCCACTTCGTGCGATCCTCCACCGTCCAGTATTCTTTCCGGCAAATGAACACCGACCCTGTGAATGAATTGGAGAGCTGAAAAACGTGGGACATTTTAGCCTTGCTTCTGGCTATTCCTCTTTTCAAGTTTCTCTTGGAAGGCTCTCCAAAAGATCAGCAGAGCCAAGCTCGTGAAGCTTTTCTGGTTGGTAGACATGCTTTGACTATTGCTTTCCCCAGGTATTGCCCAGCCGCTATATCGGCCAAGTGCCGTTTATCCATGCTCATGCTATGATAAATTCGGTAAGAATAGGTCATTTCCCCAATGCCCCATATTGCGGGGAACGCTTGCTTAGAATACGGAGCACACATTGTCGAAGAATTCCACAGCTATATTCAAAGGTGGAGGCTCTCCCGCCTTGTTCAAGGCACTGATAAGACCTTTCCGTGCGCGAAGTTTGATATTTGGGCTGAAAGGTCGTCTTATTTCACGCATCACGATGGGTATCAGCAAAGGTAGACGTACCCCTATCAATGACAATTGGAAATGCATATTGCTATGTCTTGCTGTATCAACGGCGAATTGTCAATATGGGTACGATACAGCGTCAGTGGGAGGCTTCCAAGCGATGGTGGGCTTCCTTGAGATCTTTGGGTATCGAAATCCCCAGTCCGCCATCGGATGGAGCATAACTACCAAGGTTCAACAGTTGATGACAAGCTTCATAAACATTGGCACAATTATTGGAGTATTTCTCACTGCACCCTTCGCCAAGTACCTTGGGCGACGTCCAGGGATCTGGGTTGCCTGTGCCATCAATTTCATTTCGGCTGGTGTCCAGGTTGGTACCACGAACTTGGCTGGACTTTACGCCGGAAGGGTCCTCATCGGCCTTGCAAATGGATACTTCATCACCTTCGCAAACGTATACGTTGCAGAAGTTGCTCCAGCTCACCTCCGTGGCTTGTTGGTATCGTTCTTTGGAGTTTGGGTCAATATTGGAAGCATTATGGGCACAATCGCAGACAACTACTCCAAAGAGCACCATAATAAGCTGTGTTACCAGATTCCACTGGCCACACTGTTTGCGGTTCCCCTATTCTTGAGCATCTTTATATTCTTCATTCCTGAGTCTCCCAGGTGAGTGCATGCTTAGGTCGTAAACGTTCCCATCGTCTGACAAATTAGGTGGCTGCTGGTCCATAACCGACCTGATGAAGCAAAACAGGCCCTTCAGAAAATTCGTGGAAATTCATTGACAGCAGAATACTTCGAAGAGGAATATGTTGAGATGGCTCGCGGTATTGAGGAAGAGAAAGAACTCGCGTCTGCTGGTTCTTTCTACGACATGTTCAAAGGGCCTGACCTCCGACGCTCGATAATCTGCTTTGGGACGATCCTTTCACATGCTGCTGCCGGGCTTTGGTTGATCATCGGCTATGGGGTAAGTCAGTTCTATCGACAGTTGCGGTAGTGTCGCTTAACATATTCTTAGACGTTCTTTTTCCAAATCGCTGGTATCGACAAGCCCTTCCAGGCATCAATAATCTCAACCTGCGGAAGCTTTGCAGGTGTTTTGATCGGCCTATATTTCACAACCAAGGTGATTGGGAGAAGAACTTCAATGCTGTTTGGGTCCGCTATGGCTTCGCTCTGCATGTTAGCTATTGGAATTGCAAACACCGTTGCTGGGAATTCGCCGCCGGCGGGCCGAGCAATCGTCGCGTTCATGGTGTTGTATGGCTTCTTTTACAATGGGTTCTCAGGCACTTTGAGTTGGCCGATCGCTACCGAGGTTGTGAGCTCACGGCTCCGTGTTATCACAATTGGAGTGGGAACTGGGATCAACTACTTCTTCAACTGTGAGTGGCGGGTCATGAATCCGTTGTTGACTTTGGGAACTAAAAGAAATATAGGGTTGGTTTCCTATACTGCACCTTTCTTTATCAATCCCAATGACCTTAATTGGGGAGCAAAGTATGCATATGTATGGGCTGGTTCAAATGCTTGCGTCTTCGGTAAGTGATAGGTTGCTGGGGTGCAGCCAACTGGATTCTACAACAAGACCCTGCTAAAATTAATCACTACCTTGTAGTATTCTTTTTCTTCTTTCTCCCAGAGATGAAAGACCGATCCCTGGAAGAGCTTGATGAATTATTCCAAAATCGGGTTCCTGTTCGCCAATTCGCCAAATACCAGTGTGTTAGTTCTGAGCGTGCAAAGGAGATCGCCCTCAAAGGAATGGGTGACCGGAAGGGCGAAGCTGCGGTTGAGACAATCGAAGACGCCGAAATCTCGAAGGTTTGATTGGGTAGGATCTGGGATATCAGTGGGAAGACCCCACTGCCATAGTTAGAGACTGACGGCTATTCAAACCCTGAGGGAGGGGATAAATAACCAAGTACGACAGTCCTCCCTGATCCGGAGGTTGGCCGAGGCACAATTCCGTTTGAAGCCCACAGCCAAGACGCCCATCTGTGTTGGCTTACGGGCGAGGATGACGAAGTTTAGACGCGGTCCATTGTGGCTTAAGCAAGAAACGCGTTGATTGATTGCCTCTTAATGAAAAGGCCTTGATGCCCAGACCTCTACTCTTCTTTTTCAAGCTTCAAGGGGGCCACTAATTATCCTGTCATAGCAGCGGTCCTGTCCGCTCTTGTGAATGCTAATCCCAACGGTGTTTCCCACAAGAAGCTCTCCACCATAAGCCATTTTGTGGCCACCGCCAGGCGATTGAAATCAAAATCTCAGTGGCCGATGAAATACCAAGTCTAGCTATCATGTCCTCGATCGGGAAGCGCGTCAACAGTCTGCCCGATGCCAAAAAGTCTCTTACGTTTGTGTTTTCCTACGCACGCACGTTCGTTTGTTGTCCTTTTTCGTATGAACACCCAAAGCCTAGACGGGGCTCTTTTTGGGCCGAGGAGATCCTCTAGCGGCCAGTCTTGTGGAACATCGCATGAGTGTGGATTCCTCCGCTTCATTTCGAGCCCCCAAATCGACTGCAAGTCTCCCGGCAGAATGAGCTTGGATATGCTGCTTGATTACCAATGCGGCGTTGACTGCGCAAGTCGGGCGCGCCGGAGTGGCCACTTCCAAAATGTGGTAAAGGTATTTATAGCGAAACCTCCTGTCACTCGTATTCTAGGTCAACTAAAACAGTATCCTCACGAGCTCGCATAGTCGACCATTTCATCCCACCATGTCGCATCTGATATATAGCAATTACGAGGGTTTTGGCGAACGTGCCAGCAAAGACACGCACTGTAGCCAGGCTGTTAGGATTGGAGACTTCATTGAGATTTCGGGACAAGGTAAGCAAAAGCGGCATCATAGCGTCCATATCTGCCACTCAGAATAGCTCTCAACATAATTTCCAGGCGGTTGGGATCGCATAACGGAAAAGATTCCGAAAGAAATGGAGAAGCAACTCGCTCAGGCGTTCGAAAACGTTGAGCATACGCTGAAGGAAGCTGGCGGCAAAGGCTGGGAACAGGTCTACAAGATTCGTGCCTATTTCGCTCCCCTGGATATGTCAGAAGTTGGCACCTTCATTGAGCTCCTGCGGAAGTATTGTCCCAACCATCAGCCGGCTATGACAGCCATCGGGGTAGAGAAGTTGGCATTTGAGAACATGCGTGTCGAGATCGAAGTCTCCGCTCACCTTGGATCCTGAGAGGACGAGATCATCAATGGATCAGAATGACACAATGTGAAAGTGGTTGCTTAGCTACATTTGCTTATCATTCCTTTATGCCAGCGACTTCTCCTTCAATCGATTTGGTTATTAATGCCCAGTATGACAAGTTCTCTTCCTCATGCTTAGTGTTATCGGAAATTTCGATATTTTCCCAACACACTCCTCAGCCACTCTAGCAGCAAGCACACACCGCCAAGCGGTATGGTCGCCAAGAGGCACAAGCCATTATTGACTTTGATATGAGGTGTCCCAAGTACCGAATATGTACGAAGCTCTTGTCCGAAACTCGAGTAAACGCTGTCTGTGGTGTGGTCTATTTTTGCTTCCATGGACAGAAACAAGGTCCACGAGACTTAGAGAAGTACACCAGAGCCCTTGAAGCTGGGAAGGCGAATGGCTTCGCGAAGTGACTCAGAATCTGGGCGGTTAACTTCGGGCTGATGATGCGTGCTTCGACCAGGCAACAGTTACCTTAACGTCCTATGCACCAAGCCCCACAAGCATTTCCTATGTTTTGAATCTTGACCACTATATTGTTAACTGACTATCCGTGCGGCCCGATTCACGCCCCAGCCAAGGCTCTGAAGTCTTATTCCCCGTATTCTCAGCCATTAGGAGTATTGGCACAGATTATACCCCAACCGACAAAGATGCTTGAGAATGATGTTTATATTGACGTATGGTCATATCGGAGTGAGACATGGCGACTACCGAATTCTACAGGGCATGAATCTACAGGCAAAGGTGGTGTTTTCGGGTTGACGTTGACAGTTGAGGATGTTTACGGTATGGTTCTCATTGCAGCATTGGCACTTTTGGTCAAATGGGCCGGCAGTCATTTCTGGGGGAGCATTTGCTTTTCCATATAAATACAGAATCCTGGAGATGGACTACACTACCAGCATCAGGCCCTGTTGCCGGCAACTTCAGAGGCCAACCTTCTTTGCCCCATCTACGAGATTGCTCGGACCTGCAGATCAAGTGTGCCGGCATCGTTTCGAAGAAGTGCTCTCTTGGCTGTGCTGGCCCTTGTCAACCTGTTAGTCTAGCTCTGCGCAGGGTTTCTTTTGGAAGTGTTACAGCCACTGGTGGCGAAGGTCTTCTAGTTGGGAAATGTGGTTGGATGAGCATGACAGCTGACTGGGACTTCCCACTATGGACTTAGAGTGACTGGGAGTATAGAGATGCTGTTTTTTATCGCAACCTACAATGAATACTGGGACAATATGGCATATATTAGTACCTGCTATGACAACCTCTACAACAACACTGACCCAAGATGCATCGCCCCCACAATCCCATGTATCGAATCTACTTTTGACCGCAACGCACCTTGCCCATTCGCCCCAAGCATGTGTGCAGGTCTTACGATCACCATTGGCTCAGGCCTTGTTGACTCGGACACCAAGCTTGTCATAAATAGCCCTGTAAAAGATTGACTTCAGCTCAGGAAAGTGACATCCTGTGTTCCAATTCCCATTGAACCATACCCTAGGGTGGACCGGCGAAATTGAACTATGCATGGACATATTTCTTCTGTTGATGATGCCAAAAAGTCACATATCATTACTACTCGGTGGGATCAAGCTGGTTATTTGGTGTTCCTGTCAGCAATTTCACATTTGTATACAGCAACTACTCGGATGACACATTAGCTCTGCCATATAACCTCAAGCGTTGGCTGTGCCTGTATCTAGGCATACTGATATCTCGAGCGTGCACACTTACCACCCAAATAGCCTGACTGGACGTGGGTTTTGTCCTATTGCCAAATTAAATCATGCTGACGCCAACATGTCTTTTCTCATTCTCAACAATTGTGTGGCATACACGCGCGGTGTTGATGGGCCTTGTTCCCGCGCTTCTCGGCAGGAAACATTCAATCGACTAGAAGGCTCATAGGTCTCCAATACTACTTCCACTGGCGGAGCCTGCCCTGAATAGTACCAGTTCTGTAGTCCTTTGATGAATATGACAGGGAAAATAACGGAGCCACCGCATGAGGTGCCATCTCTGAATTTGACACGGACCCTCCACCACCGATTCTTGATTTGAATCCTCGACAAGGCGCAACACAGGTGATCATGAGCAAGGTTATCTACGGAATGCGGTCCAACAGTTTTCTCATGCTTCTCAAGAACGAAATACTAAACCCAGCCAGGCTGATATATGGGTCTTTTGGCATTTCTACCCCTTTACCAGATAATGAATGACAGATTAAGGTCGCGAAAAGTCACGACTTGTCACTAGCCGGCTTTCAGTTAAACGCAGTTAGGCATGCTGCAACTCCCAATATCCAGATACATCCTGACCTTAGCCTTCATGAAGGCATGGTTCAAGAAACGGACACAGATGCGCAGGCTCTGTGTCGCAATCAGGGTACTCGCATCAGTGCATACCGTTCCTTCAGTATGCTAGGGATTATCATCTTCACTGATTCTAGTCATTTGATTATCCTAGCTGACTACTGTCTCCCGTTACTGCTTCTGAGGAGCAACTTGGCTTCTAGATATTCCCCATTAGCAGCCCAAGCTTAGGACATAGACGGTATCCTGCAGCTTCAGCAGCAAGCCTCCGAAGTTTGTGGGACCCGTCCGTAGAAGACGAGCAGTAGATAAGTCCCGTCACCAAGTAGTCACCAAGTAGTGTGATTTAAAGTTGCAACGAGATGGCACTTGCGTACGATACAGACTCTGGCATGATTTCCGGAAAGCTATTGGTAGCACTGCCGTTCTAGGACATGAATCCGGCTCCAGAGATGAAAATAGCCACCAGTAGCTTTTTGCGACTATGAATACAACATAGGATGTTTTAGTCCGGCAGGGATTTACGATTATTCGAGATTCAGAGCATATGCGTACATTCATCATTTAACACATGTAAAAAAAGCCAATAACCCCTGTCCGCATCCCTCATGGTCGTCAGACCTTGCACCTTGGTGGTTTGCGTGGGCGCGATAGGCCGGCTCGCTTTTGATGGGTAGGCGTTGTTACAGTTGGCAATACTGGCAATGATTGAGAGTACACACGGACGCCGTGGGGCAGTCCAACACAACCTAACCAGCCGCCGACATATAGCAGAACATCATAAGAAACTCGCTCGAACCGCTCATAGCTCTCACACATAGTTGCTACCGCTCACAAGAGGACTGCTTGCAAGTTCCAACGTGGGATGCGAATTGTTCGGCCAATTTGGCAAGCATTGTAGTCTGCCCGCCGGTCTTCCTAAGGAACTTGCAAGAAATCGAAGAGGAAGTTTTTCAGAATAACCCGAACCCAACCAATTCCTCGAGCAAAGTCTGGGACGTAAATGAGGCGACAGTTAGGATCGCTGAGCGGCTTGAGGGTCTGACCATTCGGATGCTTTGATGGTGTGGCGGGTGTGTAGACACTTGAGACTAACAGTACCTCTGATGTTGAGATGAGTACATGGTTGGCCTCAATCTGCTGCATTCCTTGGAATTAGACTCAGCGCGATAAGGCGAGTCCGCGGTCCTCAAAGCTCCGGTCCACTTCACCCAAGATGAGGCTCAAGCAAGAAAAGGGGAGCTGACAACTTGGCATCTCTGGTGATCATGGGATTCGGATGAATATTTGTCAGCTTCGGACACCAAGCGCATTTCCGACACTTCGGTGGATAAGACTCCATCAAATATCCGAACGAATCAAGGACGACTTGCTCGACCCTTTTTCTTTCTCATCGTTGTAATGGTTCTCGGACAACGACTCAACCTGCAGTGAGTTGGTAACTATTGAGACACGGCAGAGCTAAGCCACTGCCTTTGGCTCCGCACGTGATATCTGTGGTAGCCACAAGTTAACTCCTCGGCTGGCCTATCGATACCAGATCTTTGGCCTGTTGGTTTGGCCTTCTCAATATGCATGCCTTTCGGCCTTTTGATGACACAGGGAACCGCCGCTCGGCATGCAATCGGTGCCGAAGCCATAAGTTACGATGCGAGCGCTTCGCTGAAGAAGGACAATGTCGCCGCTGCTTGAAAGCGAAAAGCGAGTGTGTGACCAGTGCGGCGCTGAAATCTGGTCGCCCGGCCCACCTATACGTGCAAAATGAGCAGAAGGCGAGTGAACAGGTCTACTACTCATCGGAAACTTTGCACCTGGGAGCTCAACAAGCCTTGCCAACATTTCCAACTCCACCACCGACAACTCGAGAGGGCATTCTAGACAATCATGCTATGCTTCAAGATCCAATGATTGACATGCATCTGTTTCGTTCGCCCTCTGCCTTTGACACTACCTGGACAGAAATTTTTGAATTCGGTTCAGCTTCTCATGGTGAAAGTCTAACAGCAATGAGCCGGCACGTGGCTGAGCAGCAAGCAAACACGACTGATAGTCTTCTATCGGACAAAAATGTGGAGCTGATGAGAAGGCTCGGCGAATTGCAGACAAAGATTTTGATCGACCTTGAAGCAGTAAAATCCTGTGGTACAGCAGATAAGTGCACGCGTTCAGCAACCCCTGGATCTGAATCTCATCAGGCCTATAATTACCTTATTGGACATATGTTGGACAGCTCGACCGCGTTACTCAATATCCTCGAGTGTTTTCAACCAGTCTCAAACACATCAACCCAGCCTTCAGGCGAGAATGGGTCTGACGCCACCACGAAAAGGGACGATAGAGCCCGTTGCAACGCCCCCACGATGTTCACACTGGCGTCGTGCTATGTGTGTCTTGTCCGAATCTACCGCACGATATTTTCATGCATTTATGATTCCCTTCCGTTCTTACTTGGCTCACCAACGGCCAATTTCCAACTATTTCCTGGGATGAATCTAGGAGGCTTTAAACTTGAGCCACGACTCGACCTGCAAGTACAGATCTTGCTTCATGTTAGCGAAGACATGTTAGCGAGGATTGAAGCTAAATTTGGCATACCCAACGCTAAGTCTAGTGGTGGGAATAGCATTTTTGACCCTGTAAAGATTGCAAATACTCTGCATTCAATGCTAGAGGAGGAATCCAATGAACAACCGCCGCTGCAAGAACAAAGGGGCGAAAGTGCACCACTAAGGCAAATCCTGGCCGGGATAAAACAAGCAATCGACATAAGGAGCGCGAAATGAGAGAATAAGGTATCGCTCGGCCGATAACTCCTTCTACCTGCGACGGAGTCAGATACGGCATCGGAGGGTTTCTCAAAGTGGGTCACTCTATCAAACTACTAGTACCCATGGTGTTGACTTTTAAAAAGGGCCATCCCGCTGCCCTTCAATCCTGTTCATGGGAGCCCGATTTGCAAAGTCTAGCCTACCACATAAACACTTATCACGGAAGCATGGCCATCAAACCTCCGGATACACACGGTCTTCCCCTTCTCTGGTGGGCAGCTCGTCATCCACCCGCAGATCCACAAACCTCTTTCTCAGGTAAAACAGTCCTTATCACCGGGGCAAATGTTGGTCTTGGTCTTGAAGCGGCAGTCAAATTTGCCTCGCTCGATGCTGCTCGACTACTGCTCGCTGTACGATCTTTGAGTCGGGGTGAAGATGCCAAGGCCCAAATTTGCAGACGCGCCAACTATGACGCCAGCAAGATTCATTTATACGAGCTCAATATGAGCACATTCGCATCGGTGAAGGACTTAAGAGACCAACTTTCAAAACACGAACCGCGGATCGATGTCGCTGTTCTCAATGCTGGAGTGGCAGTGCCAGCGTACAACCTGAGCCCTAATGGCTACGAAATGACGTTACAGGTCAACGTCTTGTCTACCGCTCTTCTAGCAATCCTTCTTCTTCCATTGTTACACGAAGCATCCCAGGAGTCAGGCGGACCATCCCACATTGAGTTCGTTGGCAGTGATGGTCACAGCATGGTAAAACCCAATACATTCATCTCCAGCAACAAATCAGGCATTCTTGACTTGGTAAACTCCGAAGCATTCTTTAACTTCCAAACTCATTACCAAGTCACCAAATTGCTTCTCATGTATACGATGGAGGGCATTGTGAGGTCATACTCGACGAAATTTTCCAGTCCCAACGTCATTATTACGACTGTATGCCCAGGCATGTGTCGAACGAACATTGGCCGAGACTTCTCGGCCCCCATGAAAGTAATCAATGGGATTTTTCAACACTTGTTTGCCCGATCAGCAGAGCAGGGAAGCAGGACAATAGTCAGCGGGGCTACCCTAGGAGCAGATTCCCAAGGTGAATTCTGGTCTCACGATGTCTTTTTCAGGTACTATTTGATCTAGCTTCTATACATCAGAATTTCCCTAACAATTCTGGCAGGAAGGGTGAACTCGTAACAAGCATGGAAGGAAAAAGTCTCCAACGGCAAACTTGGGCCGAGATAGTCGAGGTACTCAAGCCACATATACCGCGACCGAATATTCTCGGTCTTTAGGTAGATGTCCAAGGTTCGACTTGTGAAGGCGATATTGACTCAAACGGATGCCTGCATGAAGACAGAGATAAGCTATGAGTTAGCGCACAGAGTGGTTTGCAAGGCAGGATGACCATATTTAAGCAGACGTCGACGAAGCTTGAATATTCATGGTGGCATGTAACGACTGAGGATAATCATTTCATTCAACTTGTCCTGATGATAAGCATCGATTGAGCAGTATGATTACCGGGAAAGACAAAGACAATCGCGACTAATTGTAGGGGACCTGCCATGGAGACCCGGAAAACCGAAATCCCCAACCTATCACCGATTGACCGTGCCCTCCAGGTAACTTATCATAGAAGTCGAGCACATATCTTTGGTTTCGCTTGTGATAAAAACAGGTTCCCCATCTGTGGATTATCAAATTCTCAGGAGGATTTTATCGTTTTCCCATCCAAACTTTGCCCTTTGAACTCAGTTCTAGTGAATCAAATCATGTCCCTATCTCATCATAGTCTTCGTAGGGGTAGCCCACGCTCCGCATAGTTCGGTCCTCTCCACAGATGCGTAGTGTCTCTATGCAAGCTCTGGTTGGATTTGGAGACGGAATCCGAGGGTGAAGACACAATGGAACACTAAGTTCTTCTAACCTCACCCAGGAAGTTCGCATTGAGGCTCATCCAAGTACCGAACTACATTACCATCGTTATATTTACCCACATTCGTGTATCCATTGATCAAGATTCCCATACAACATAGCTCGCGGATGCAGCGTTCTGCTTCAATTACGGCAGCGTCAGGATCCTGCGTAGGCACGCATCCGAAGGCACGGAAACGATGGGCATGTGGGCCAGTCCGACACTGCTGGAAAAGCTCATCATTTTCCTTACGTGCGGTCTCAACGGCGACTTTCTTATCTAGAATGGTAGCGTTGAAAATACTATTACTTGTGGGTGTCAGCCATCATTGCCAATTCCGGACTAGATTGAAATCTACCTCTTAGCCCCGACTGGCTTCTCAGCTGACACATCTCTACTAATACGAAGACTCCAACCCATAGACTGTCCGGGCTGGTGAGAAGTTGTGGGTTTTCGCCAACGGCTGTGTCTTGGCTTTAATTGACAATCACTGAGATGGAACTACATGTTCGGTGCGCCTAGCCCGTGATCAAAAGTCAAGCCTTGGATGCCGTACACAATTCCTGAAGCATCCCGAGGATGCCACAAGCATCTCAACAGGAGCACTAACTAGTGGCCTCCAATGGCTGGTGCGAAATTAACTCCAGGACAACTAACGGCAATCAGGAGTGCGACCTCCCCCATCTTACTTCTGAACATCAGATGTTAGACGCTTGATGATTAGCATCCTGGTATTTAGGGCCAGCGCCATGCCTCGAGTACGTGGGACCAACTTGAAACTTGTAATTTGATCTGGGATTCTGCGGAGGTTCAATCAGAGAGAGAGAGACAATACTCGGTCCCGATGAAGAAGCCAATCCATAGCAATCAACGGTCCCACCGAACACTCTGGTGGAAGTCATTTTTTTCTCTAGCCATGGTTTATGGAGTGCCCATAAGAAAAGCAGCAAATACTTCTGCCCACATTTGCCGTGACACGTATTAGCATCCTCTAAATGCAATGAACATTGGTGGAACCACAAACTTTGCCAACATTCATCGATGGTCCTGAACAGGAATTTCGATTGGCAGCTAGGCCGTTTCTTTTCTCAGCTATCTTTGTCATGCGCTCGAGTCGTCCTCTACGCACAATACCAACCCAGATATGCAAGGAATACGGGGCAGCTTCAAGTCTTACAGGGACCCATACTTCAGCGAGGGTGCTAAATACCTTAGCAGCCAGTATTTTTATTGTTATGAGTCCATGTATTGGCAATTAATTTATGTGGACCGGTGAGTCAAGTGACAGCCCACCCATCCGATGACATTGACCCGCAGGATTCTGAAAATATATGCTTTAAAAACTCACGTCTGCGGTTATATCGAAGTTTCACTCCTTTTTTTTTACTCACACAAGGAAGTGTCTTAACGTTCGAAAAAGGACAAAATGAACGAGCAAACAAGCTCCAAGGAACGATCGATGGAATTGGCTCACGAGGAAGCCATTGGCGACCAGGAAACAGTTCGTCAAAAAGTCCCCACACGAATGGCTGTACCCTGTCTCTTCATTGGCTTGATCGGCTGGGTTTTCAAGTTTGACCTGGGCATGTCGTGGAAAGAATATCTACTACGGGCTTCACCAAACTGACGACATATCTGCTTACGGCGGTACTGTGCTCCGGATGGAAGCTTACCGAAGCCCTTTGGTCATTGCGCTCCTCCAACAGACCCTGTGACCTGGAAGATCACAGAATGTTGTCGACAGGCTGCTCTTCGGCAGGCCTTGGTTTCATTGACACTCATATTCATTACTCTCGCTGGAGTCATGACTAGCTTGGTCGGAACATACCTCGGCCGATGTGGGACAATCCAAGTCGGGGCCGCCTTGCTGCTGTTGGTGCTGGTGGTTTGCTCGGTACCGCTGGTAATCTCACCAATTATTGATCCGAAAATGTATTGGAGGAGTGGCCCTCGATGACTTTCATTTCTACTAGATTGGCATCGTTGGCTCTATCCTGGGGCAGAAGAGCCCTCATGCAATGGCTGTCCTCCTAGTATTCCTACTTCTATGGTCGTTCGCCCTCGGGGCGTTCATTGGAACTTCGGTGTGTGTTTCTGCACCAGGACAGCAGGATTGCCGATGGGCATATTGTCAATCATGCTGGCGAGGATTTATTACATTCGGTAGAGGTGATAAGCAACTAAAGTGGAAGACATAGTATTCTAACCGCAAATTCATACTGTGTACACCCTGAGGGTGGCTTCGATATATATCACCGATCCACGGGCTCCTGCACCACTATCTGGGAGGATGGTACACAGTGGCGTTTTTAAAAAAATTGGAGTATATATAGTGGACGGCAAGCCGTATTCAGAGGTTGATGGAACTTGATCGGAGTCATTAACAAGAGCCACCCGAGACTTGGGTTCTCAATGATTAACTGCGTACTCTACCAGTGCCCTCCGCATCACGGACTTCGGCCCCCCACAACAGCGCCAGAATGAAAATCGAGCGGGGCCATGAGATATCAAGTGATTGAACGAAGTGGGAGCTGCGGAGAATGGTTGAGAAACGCCCTGCGACTAACCGACTAATATGCTAGGATCGCACACCTAATCGACCCATGGTGCGAGGGATTCAGCGTATGCCTTCGGGCCGTGAGTTTGCTCTCTGACTAACTGGGTAGCAAGAGATATGGCCTACAGCGTACGAGATACAAGGCTGAGCTTGATCTAACCATCTAATTGAGTTGCTAGCACGCAATATTAAAAACGCGTGGATGGCGATGTACTGATGCTGGTTTCGACTGGTAAATTCAATCTCTTAACACCTTGGCCCAGCAGCGTAACGAGAAGCCTCGGCCGGTCGTTATGATAGGTATCTAGTCCAGCGTAACCAAAACCGTGTTTTGCCTGCAGCCCCCAGCCTTGCAGATATCTACATATGCTCTCGACAAGCTTGCCAATCACAACACGCCACGAAATTTCAATCAGCTGTTCCTCCGCAGTCAACGAATGAGACCCCAATCTTTGATTGCGGGGTTGCAGTATGCAATGAACAGTTTGAAATATCTTCGTCTTCCTGAAAATAACAACTAAACCTCCAGATGGAAGGCTAGTCCTATTGATATATCGGATCTCTGCTCAAGAACAAGGTCTCCCACAACGACACTGTTGGTCAACTGGAAGCTACAAATTTTTGGGATAAGTAATGGCGCCTTCTGAAACCACGGAGGATTATTACTACATCTTGGAGATTTCGCAGTCAGCAAACTTGATCAGCATCAAATCCAGCTATAAACGCCTTGCAAAAGCCCGCCATCCCGATAAGAACCCTACAAATCCCAGCGCAACGGTCGAGTTTCAGCTAGTAAGTGCTCACAATGTCAACCATCGATCGCGAATTGACGAAGTTGTCAGCTCCAGGAAGCATACTCAGCCTTATGCGACCCCGAGACCCGTCGAGCCTATGACATCCGGTATCCATCGATCCAGCGCATGTCGCAAAATGGAGATAGCACTACTCATCATGTTCCTTGCCAACCAGCCAAATCATCGGATACGAAAAGCGAAAATGAAATAAAGTTAGAACGATTAAACACAACGAGACTTCGCAAAGAAGGTGAACTGTTCAATGAACGGCGGGAGCTTAGCCAAATCCGCCGAGACTTAAGATTACTACAAGATGAGGAGGCCCGAACAGAGAGAGAGAAAGCTAGCAAGAACGGTTGGTGGGCGTATATGGCTTCATTCGTGTCGGTAAGCACGCGAGAAACACCAGAGCAAAGATTGGAAAAGGAACGTCAGCAAGTGGATAGAAGAGCCGCTCATAACATTAAAGAGAGGATATTCGAGAGGCAAGACTTCAAGGTCAAGAGCTCGGAGACCATCCTCCAGAGCATTAACGATGAGATCAAGAAAGTTGAGCTGGCCATTTGGATGCAAAAACGTGAAGAAGAACGGGTGAGAATGAGACAAGCTGAAATGAGAGCGGCACAAGCCGCCCAGGAGCTCAGAAGAGCTGAGGATGAGAGAATTCGCCGAGAGTATCAACAATCCATGAGAGCAGCTGAGATGGCCAGGATTCGGAGAGAAGAACAAATCAAGAGACAGCAAGAGGAACATGTTCGCAAAGAGGCTGAAGCCAGAAGAGCCATGCAAGCTGCAGCAGCGGCAAAGAGAATGGAGGAAGATGCGGAAATGAGGACAAGGTTTTGCCGAGGCACCTCGATCGACTCGTCCTCCTTCCCTATCACCTCTTCCGCTTGCAACCATCGAGACTTCTGGGCTCAAATTGAGGGTGGTCACAAGTGTAGTAGATGCAAGATCACAACTACAAAGTTCGCATTTGAATGTCCAGGGTGCGCCAAGGTGGCTTGCGCAGATTGTCGGAGAGCTATCAAGGGGCAACCACCAAGATTCAAAGTACAACAACGGCACAGGAAAGGGACCTTTCGGTAAAGCTCGACCATACCAGTGAAGGAGGCGGCTTAAGCATTAGCTGCGTCTGCTCCTCACATCCAGTTTCCGAAATCCGAGTACTTGTCCAGCTGTAAGATTGTTTAACGAGGAATACTATGGACTTAAAGAGCAAGCTGGTTCGATTATTGAACTGGGATGGTCTCAAGTTGACCTGTCTCCTTTTGTTAGAACCAATTTAAATTACCGATGAAACCCCTTCGTTTCTGAAAGCAAATAGCACTGAGTGCTCTACGTTTGTAGAGATAACAGCCTTGAAACCAGGCCAGTATTGTGGTTGCTCAGACTAGTGACTACTACGTTGCTATTACCTATTACGTTACCCATGAGTCCTTCTATATTAGCAGATAAGCTGACCATGGTTGATGTGAAAGAAGAGAAATATGTACAATACTGAATGATAGTATAACGTTCTTGACATCCTAGTATGATCATGAGCACTCAGACCAATCCGCACAGCTTGGAGTCTGTGTGTTTGGAACAAGTCACACAAGCCTCGTAGACCTAGAGGTCATGTAAGTCTACGATTCGCAACAATTTGACAACTGTATCACTCCTCGGCTCAAGAATGGTCGGGCAGAATAGATAATCGAACATTTTGGGTCAAGTGCCCGCAAAAGTTGTCCCCATGTCAAGATGCTATCCAGTTCGTGGCACGCTAGATAAGTCGCTATGACGAGGCAGTTGCTGTGTCACTCCTTTCTCTCCTTCCTATATTTTGAAATCATCTGTTCATATGGAAAGCAGCATAGTTTCCATCTGAAAATTATCCAAAGTACATTACTACTACACATCCTAGCTATTCCTAATTGACTGCATATAAATATTCCAGCACGTCAGCGAACGACAACGATCCAGAACAGTCGCCCCTGCGAATTTCCGTGGTACACATTACTTCACATAATGAAGCAGGCAAAGCCAAAGTCCACACTTCAAACAAGGATCCGGAACTAGTGTACCTTGGTAATCGAACGTTTGTCAAGCTTGGATACACGACATCTAATTTTCCTGCAGACCTCAACGATAATATTGATATCGAGGAACATGAAAAGCTAGCCTCTTCAGGAGAGCTAGGAATTGTCAAAGCGAAAGGCACTGCGTGCCGGTGCGTAGACTTCGTGCCTCATGACAAGATGATGATGCACCGCACACAGAGCCTTGACTATGGTGTCGTGTTGGAGGGTAAAGTGATCATGGTGCTAGACGATGGGGCGGAGACTCATGCTGCCTGGCGATTTGGCGGTCCAGCGCGCTACCATGCACGCCTGGAAGAATGCAAGTGAAACCGAATGGGCCAGAATGCTTTTTGTGCTGCAAGATTGTAAGCCTCTTGTTGTTGAAGGAGAAAGGTTCAAGGAGGATCTCGGCGTGGGCTACGATGCTTTTCCTAGCAGCGGCAACGACAGGGAGTGATTATGCCGGACGACTCTGGTGGATGTGTAGTGTCCATCACAGGCAGCCAGAATAAATTTATGTTGGTGTTTAGAGACGGTGTTTGCCAGGCGGAAAATTTAGACAAGAAGTTGTGGAGGCTTGTAAATCCGTCGCTAAAGTGTTCGCTCCTGGACAACAGCTTCACCCAAACTCCTATCCAGGTGATTTCGCTGCCAGTATCCCACTCATGAAGCTCGAAGTCGAAATAATCAAGGCTCAATGGGCTCGTGTCAAAGTGGGAGAAATCAGCCATCTCTCCATTAGGAAACCAGTTAAACATTTCAGGATCAAAGAACGGATCAATTACATCCTGTACTTGCGTGTCCATAATCTGTTGGCCCGCGAATTGGCTTGCCTCTGGTGAGTTTGGTAGCCTTTAACAATCCTCTTGTAGTTTTTCTTGGCCCTGGGATTACATTTATTCGCGTGAATCCAGTGGAGCAGGCCTCCCCCGAGTATGGACGGGAGCCACCAATCTCACTCGAGTCCTGAAGATCGTGATTGATTGCTACTAGATCTTTCAGATACCTGATCAGCTTGATGGCCATAGAGAGGATAAGGAAATTAGCTATTAATATTTCATACCTTCGAGAGTGCTCGAATTGGGCACAGCAACCCCTAAACTTTTCTTCTCTTCCCCCGGCTTTAAATGACCAGTTTCTTTGGACCGTAGAATTGCATTAGATCCAAGAATTGTGCCTCTTACGTTGCTGGCGATGATTTTAGATCTGTCGGGTGGCTGATATTAATGTTCTTAGGTTCGTCCTCGAGAATGGTCTGGCCCCTTTCGATGGACGCTATATAGGTAACAAACGTGAATTTTCTGTGTGAAGCACGTTCCGCAAGAGCTGTATTGTTGATGAAGGGCTCAGACCAATATCTCGGCGAATTTCCAATGAGGCGCCAGAACATGTATAACTCTGACATTCGCTTTTACATTTGCGTTCACACGCTCCTTAATTGTCTCATTCATGCACCACATGAACAGAATTTGAATTGCACACCCACAGTAAGCGGAGTAAGCGACGAAGTTGGAAAGAGCGCCAAGCCTTGGATACGCTAGAAGCACTGATTGGATCAATGTAGATATATCGTAGGTATGATCGGAAGCACCCTGGGTCGAGGATTGCCGCGCCGAAGGCCAGCAATTGTCCCCTGGGATTCCGCAAAACAGCGGCACTATTGAGCCGTGGAGAGCGCAAAAGGACTGATGGTAAACGGTGTTCATCAAAAGAACTTTTAGCAATACATCGTGGGGTACCACGAAAAGATTCGAAGGTGTCAACTTGAAATCAAGATAGAGGTGGTGCTACTAATATGCAAGTTTCTCATCAAATGCATAGATTTCCACCATTCTCTCTTTAAAATTCAATTCTGAAGATTTGACTAATTGAAGTATAGAAGACCTGTGTAAGCAGTGTTAACATAGACGCCGCGGAGGACTATTGTGGAGGCTGTTAGCATATCGTCAACACTCTGATCAGTTCGGAGAAAACTCCTCCATTACTGGAGTCGGACTGTAAGGAGACCTATACCGATTAAGGGCCCCCCCAAGCTTTGAACTCTTCCTCGCTCCAAGGCAAGGGCATTGTTAACATATCTACTCCATACTCGAATAACGACAGTCTTTCAGAGTTTTGGCAGTGCATCAGATAGCAGGCCTAAAAGTGGCGGCGACAAATTTCTGCACCTAACCAGTTTTCTGTCTGAAATTTTTCGGGAGCCGGGTCTAATGATTTGAAGCAGACTGCATGCAGTTCCTATGCCACGTTATAATTTGAAGAGTATGGTAGACCAGAAAACTATAGCTTTGTGAAGATGGCCAATACGCTATGAACCCCTACTGTGCCAAAAAGGCGCTAGGTTGTAAAATGTCACGATATTCTCTTCGAGGGGCTTCTCAACATCTTTAAATGCGCGTTTTCCAGCCCTCTGAGCTCACTCAATCATGAAACCATCGTCTTTAAAGTGGCCTTGCCGTTACTATTGCCACCACAGTCAGCTGGGTTCTCACACTATCAAAGATGCCATGTCAACATACTTCGCCGCCTATGCGCAAACGCTCAGAACCATATGTGGGCATGTAGTCCCTGAAGCTAGAGTCCCCAAAAACAGCCTTTTGTGTAGGAGGAGACTGTCGTTATAGACATTTTTATAGTACAGCTCGACGAGCATTGACACCAAGGTTGATGGAATGCCGAGGTAGTGCACTTCTTGTGGGTTCTCGAATCCAGGGGAGACGGGGCCTGAGCCATGATTCCCAGTACCCAATCCAGAATTCAAGTTACTGTCGAGGAGCCTTTCGACTGCATCAGCGCTCGGGGCCACTGGAGAAGAGCGCTGCTCAGCGACAACGCCGGTGCCCCTGCCTATACGTCTGGCCCCCTTCTGTGCGGCTGCCGATGGGCGGCTGCTGTTATAGGCGCATGGATGATTTAGCCTCACACAGCGCTTGTAAAGGGCCGCTCGCTAGAACAGCGAATCTTAGATCCGTTAGCCAGGAATGGTGTTCGGTAAAGAACGTAAGTGAGGACTAGTTTTGGTACCTTCTGGGGCCTTGTAGGTACTACAGGCTTTCCGCGGTCAGCCGACCGTCATCAACATGAGTTTGGTATTGTCGCCTGGTTAAAAATGTCCGGCATGGATAGCTTGCGATTTGAATATCGACTAGTAGGCAAATATTAGGAGGCAGAAGCCTGTGAAGTGACAGGCAAGCCAGGAATGTTATGAGGACTGATTGTGTTGGTTTTTTCCAGCCCCAGCGCCCGGTCATATCAAGATGCCAACCCCACGAAATAGAAGGGCCAAGGAGACCCTGACACCTTTAGCGAGCCCCGAGGTTGGCGTTTAATTAGACACTAAGTAACTATATAGAAGAATGCATCGGTGGCGTCCCGAAAGGTGTATTTTCCTACGAAATTAACCAATCGGTCAACTCTCTCCTTACTTAATGCTTCACCCCTGCGGGCACATTGCGACCACCTCGCTAAGCCTGTCGGTTCGCCTCCTGATACCCCTTCGTCCACCATATCTACATTGATAGGTCCCTTGAACAGTTATAACGTTTAATCATCTCGCTATGTACGGCTTCCATTCCTCCATCGGCACTTTTCTCGATGTTTGTATGATGGACTCGGTTGACAGCCGAAGCTCCTTCCTAATTTGTGGCCAATCCACGTTCAACCTACCACCTGTTTTAACGATCTCGCCGTTGAGGAAGACCGTATCGACATCCGAGCCATTCTCTTAAAGAACCAACGTCCCAACAGGGGCTATGTGCAGGTAGCAAACGAGTTGACTCGCATCTTGTAATCACAAGGTCTGCTTTTTTCCCCGTGGTAATACTCCCAACTTTTTCTAACCCAACTACTTTAGCACCATGCATGGTCGCTATCTCAAGAACCTCCGCGCATCTGCGAGAGACGCTCATTGGCGGGCCTGCTCCTTTCTCATGCTCAAGGTGCCGTTGCGGTTGGATCAAGAGTCGCATTTTCTGAAAAATGTCGGCCGGCGTACTACAGCAGACGTCTACGCCGAGCGATGCCGCTGCCCCGCGATCTTTCGCTTTGAACGCGATGGGAAAATACATACCCATTTGAAACTCTGTATCTGGCGTGCTCGAGGTACCGACGCTATTTCCCTAGACTGCCTCCAGTTCATCACCTTTAAGAGTGTTGCAGTGGCTCAGGACCATGTCTTTCCCCAAGAGTCCTCGCTAATCATGCTGCCTAACGATACAATTTCCAGGATTCCTCTTTCTAAAACTGATATGGGCGCCAATAACTGCCGCGCCGATGGACCGACTAAATTCATTTTCGCTGACAAGTTTATCGATTTGGGTGGCATTAGGCTCTGAAGACGCAAAGCCGAATCTCAAGATATCTTCAGGTTCAGTTGATTTGAAGTATGTTTCCCGGATGCGGTGTGCATCATTAAGTCTCCAATTTGGTGTTTTCACTTCCCGCTCTTTGTCCATGCAGGAGCCCTCCCATGCAGGATTGGGATAAAGAGCATAGCGGAAAACTCCTCGTATTTTCGAATCTAGCAGGCCTTTCACTGCGGCATCGGCATGCTCTGACGAGTTCATAGATTGAGAGTGGTCCACCAAATATGTCGTTCCGTTGTCGATGGATTCTAGTGCCCCACATAGATTTCCAATATATGCGTCGTGAGCAATGTATGATGCTCCATTGATGTGCCTCAGAGCCAAAACGTAATCGCTCAACGCAAAGTCTGTAGCGACAGATTTGAGCTGACACTGCCAAGTATGACGATGGGTATCGAAGAAGCCAGGTGATACAATGGCATTTGTACCGTCGATGATGGTGTGGTCTGTGGAATGAGTGAGTCCAGAGCCAACCGCTGAAATGGCTCCATCATCTATGAGCACGTCGCAATTGCGCACGTTTCCAATCTCATCATCGACCGAAATGACGGTGATATTCTTGATAATGTACTTTGTAGCCATGTCGAATGGTTTATTTATTCACCAATACCCAACTCCCAGATTTTCCAGATTTAATGTATCACCATCATTATATTCCAGGAATCAGGCTTCATTCTCACGCGCACATACACGGAATATCGAGCTATTGGGCAAACTGTCGTGGTGGGCTAGTCAGCCTTTCCTCGGGCTGCGTATGGAGGCCAAGTCCAGACACCTGGTCCATCTCACTAAATAATTGGGAAAAAGCGGATGTCCAGGCGCCCTAAGAGCTCTTTTGGCGCTGCCCAAAGCATGGAGTCTGGAGCGTGGTCATGGCTGGAGCTGCGAGACAACGTGGAAAAGTTGTTATCATTTTCCGTGTCAATTACCTCCGTTTATTCTTTCTCTGATCAACGAACCCTTAGCGGTGTGAGTTCTCTGCCTCGCTGACTTGGGTTAAGCCGCGACCAGGTACGCATGTGGCTTTCGTCCAGCTCCAGTGAATGGTTATGTGCGTGGTCACGCAGCTATCCTTGGCCATCTAAAGATCTGATTGCAGCAGGAACTGACTCAATGATCTCTGAAGTTCGCGACGGGCCTGATCGGCCATCCTACAGAGTGGAAGTAACGTCGGACTCAGGGCTCCAGCGCACGCTTCGGATGGACCCTGCTCAACTAGAGCCAGCAATTATAAGTAAGAAGTTCATCCAGTCAATTATTTTCTTATAATAGCCATCATCAAGAGTAATAATAGAATCACACGACTGCTACGTAAGCTTAAGATAATGTCGAAGCAAATTGCTTACGCAGCCATGCCCAGTGTCTAATAGCGTCTACCAGTGCATACTACTTACAAGTGAATGCGCTTCATGCGAATACATGAGGCAATAAATGCTTCAAGTGAAATTGATGCTCGAGTTTTCAACACCTGTTCGTCACTGAAGGGCATCATTTTTACCATCCCGGACTCTCTCAATCCTCTTCCTCAGCCACCACCATGCTTGAGAACATAGCAACCGTGGCTACTTGGTCAACACTAGAATGGCTACGCAATCTGACCGCTGTAGGTATAATCTTGACTTGCACTGCAGAAATACTCTCATATGCAATCAGAGAACGGGCGAGAAAAACCAAGCTTGTTGACTTGCCTGTGCTCAATCTCCAAGGAAGTGATTATGCGGCGGCTGAGAATAGTTACATCGCGAACATGGTGCACTAGATGAAACTGGGTCGTGAGAAGGTGAGAAAACTCCGAGACCGTCGCATAGACGGAACTGGTACAGAATCCTAAGGCTAGCTTTTTGACTAACAGGAACAATCTATAGCATCGTGAAAAAAGCTACCAGCTTTGGACACCTGAAGGTTACCTCACTGTGATTCCTGATGAGTGCGTGGAGGATTTGAAAGACGTTCACGACTCATTCGCAGATAATACTGCCCTTGCCAAGGTATGTCTAAGTTGTGGTGTCGTCTCCTGGGATTGTTTCATCGCTGCTTACATACTTGAATAGGGAGTGGTGGGTGGTAAACTCTGGGTCGATTTGATCAGACCAGAGATTCCACACACAGTTCGTACCTAACTAACCCCAAAGCTTGGTACACTAACATTCCTTCCTCTTCCGTCCGAGAGTGATTTATTCACGTACTGCACAGCCACTGTCATGCCAGACATTTGTGATGAGATTGAATATATTTTGAGGACAGAACTTCCGCCGTGCGAAGGTACTAATTCTATAGTAGAAGCATGTTCCGGGAATCTGGCTGACTGAGATACATATTGGACACCAATCAATATCCACTCTAAAGCCTTGCGCATAGTGTCGTTGATTTCTGGACGTATTTTTGTCGGATCCCAGCTGAATCGTGATGAGCATTGGGTTCAATCAAATATCGATTTTACTATTGACCTCTTCAGAGGAGGCGAGCAAGTCAAAAAGCTTCCTTACTACCTCCGGAATCCTGCTATTAAGCTCGTTTTATTGGACAAGGTGAACAATATCCACTCATTTAAAAAGTATGCTATGCGACATCTAACACCGATTCTCAAAGAACGCATGAAACAGCAGTCTAAAGATGGCTCAACCAAACTAAGAGACATGATACAATGGATAATGGAATACGGCTAAGAGATGAAGCCACCATTAACCCTGGAACAGCAGGCGAAAACCCACCTAATACTTGGTAAGTCTGCGATTCACGCATCGAGTATTGCCACCATCAATCTCATATATGACTTGGTTGCGAGGCCCGTGTATTTGAAACCTTTGCGTGAAGAGGTTAATCAGATCTGGGAAGAAACATTCAGGATTCTTGATGAGAAGGCAATGAGCAAGCTCAATAAGCTCGACAGCTTTCTCAAAGAGCTACAGAGATTGAACTCTGCCGCCCATAGTAAGCATCATCCCACTTTCTGTTGCGTAGATGGTTGCTAATGCAGCAAAGTTACTTTCGACAGACAAATCACTAACAGAAAGAGCTTCACGCTGAAAAATGGGCTTCATTTACCAAATGGATCTCACTATGCCGTATCAGCCTCGTTAATAGCCAGAGATCCTAAAAATTGGCACAGTCTAGACGAGTTCGACGGTTTTCGGTTTGCGAAGCTTCGTGATCAAGAAGGACAACAACACAAGTACCAATGTGTCACTACTAACTCAACTCATTCAATGGCATTTGGGCATCCACCGATGCGTCCGTAGGACGGCATACAGAGATGCGTTCAAATGCATCGACGACTTTGTTGTAGTGTAAAATGGAGTTTGCTGTGATGGGATCACATAGCACCGCTGTCAGATCGCCGTCCATTATCAGCACGCCCTATTTACTCACAGGGAAAATGTTGGATTTTTATTGTGCCAGACTGATCCTAGGAATTTGGAAAGATGATAATTGTCCGTTGAAATTATGTGCTCGACAAATATTAACGATACTGGTGGTCGATGGTGGATTCATTCTTTATTGCTATAGAATTAACGGACTATTATCCCCTCGGACAAGTTTGATCTTGATGCCCCGGAGCATGTGCACGAAACATCTGCTTAGATTGAGATATCTGAAGAATTTCAAACTTCTTCAGAGCTCTTCTTAATGGTTTTCTTTTGACCGACCGGAAGGAAAGGATTTCGCCTGACGAGTACCACCGTGACGAAATATTACCTCTAGTGATCATCGAAGGCCTATCTGGTACTCTGGAATGGACTACTTCACCCCACAGTTTCAAGCAGTGCATGTCCGGGGATTATGCAGCGGAGAACGGCTGCTATGACCGATGCTTAGAATACCATGAAGCGACCTACCCAATCTCGTGGTCTCCCTGGTGAGTAATTGCTCCGTGTAGGGTCTTGCAATGGTATTTCATTCGTCTTGGCGAGTAAGCGCCATTTCGGTTGTTGAAGAGTCTTATTCCCCGGGCTCTTCATCACTTATTATTGTGGACGATTATCGGAGGCGACCCCGAGAGGGTGAAAGAGTCTCCAGACTGAGCTTCTGCGCCAGTCGCACAGGGTTTATGTTCTTGAAGGATCATTCTAAATTTTCCGAGCCAAGGTCGAGTAAGCATTACCATCTCTATCCAAATCGGCTCGTGATGGCCAGTAGTGATTGGTTTCGCAAGGATGTAAATGCAATACGTATATGTGTCCTACTAAAGCTTTGACTCCAGTTATCGTTGGTGACTATGAACGTGATAGAATCGCCGTATGAAACTCAATGTTTGCACTCGAGCTGGCCCCAGGAACTTGGTTTAAAGACGAAGAACTGAACGGTGCATCTATGAGGACCACTCTAAGTATGATAGTCATTGTTCGATTTATTTGTCTACTTTTTCTCTAGTTCTGTCCCCCAAACGTGGAAAACTTCATCTCTCTGCAGATCTCTTGCCCGAAAAACAGATGTAAATTGCGGGTGAACGTTTGGGTATTCCTGAAATCTAAAGCAGCCCCTCTATTTTCCCATCCGGTCAATAGGAAAGATGCCCTGGAATTGTTAGCAGTACCTGGGTTCTCGAACTCTTCGACGGCGCAAACCCCTGCGAAGTACTTAAAGCCTTTTGCTGTACAATCAAGAATGTTACCTTATCGTTGCACTCCGTTGTGGAAGCGCAGCTGGGAAGATCGGTCGTACTGCGCGGGAAAATACAGGATCACAGTTTCAGTTACTTGTCCGGGAGACGCGGCCAGCGCTGGCGTTGGAGGGAAAGGTTCCGAAGGAATATGCCATAGCTGCGGTGGCCCAATGATGAGTTCCGTAACTGCATCCAGGATCGGCGCGAATTTCCTACTTCGTTACCTAAGCTGTTACGTGGAGAGGGCATGAGTTCACATACCTGGTCGCTGTAAACCTTGTATGGTGGTCAACACTGTCCCAATTGACGAAAGCTGAAGCGACATCAGGACATCCTAATTGTCGCCCCCAATAATAGCTTGGAAGACCATTGGCTCGAAGGAGCGGTTGAAACAGCGTTTTCTACTTCCTTCCAATATCGGTCCTAGGGTTGTCGATATCTAGGTATACACCATCTTTGAGATGAAGCCTCACAAGCTCAGTCACTGGAGTTGCGCTGTGGCTGAAAGGCTGCACTCCTAGGACTGCCCTACGGCATTGATTCAGAGATCGGTTTTGTTGATGAAACCCTGGCAATAATGATAGTCTGGGAACGAAAACATTCATCATGCCGTGCTGCGAGGTCAGGGCCGGGGGGAGATGATGTGGCTTAAAGCTTAGAACATAATCGGTGACAATGAGTTGATGGTAGTTTTACACATCTGACCACGGCCCCCCCTTCTTTACAGCCACTGTAGAATTGGACAGTATCGTATTGTACCGGTACAGTACGGGCTGTCACCAAATCGAGCGAGGTCACAACGACGGAAGGTATTATTACCGACCATGTGTAGCGTTGCCTAGATGTCTCCTTTGCAGAATTCGTCCACGTCCCCGACTTTTCACACGCATTCACATACATCTCATGTCTAGCACAAAAGACCCGGAACGGAGTCACAGCTGGTAGGAAGCGCTGTGTGACAAGAATGGTTCTGGCAACGGAGCCTTGGCAAAGATGGAAGCTCCGTACTCTGATCCTGGGTAAGATCCTTCTAGAAACCCTACCTTGTAATTCCGAACCAGTCAGAGCATGTACCAATGAGCAAACCCTGTTCGTTAGCAGAGATGTGTGAATAAATATCAGTGGCCGTGTCAACGTCGACTGTTTTCACAGGATACGATCGCCGGTCGGTATCATTGATCGACAACAACCCTCTTATCCAAGGTGCTTCACAATAAGACATGGCCAAGAATGAGCTTCATGGCGTAGCTCTGGTGACAGGTGCAGGTTCTGGTAAGTATGTATGATTGTTGTCTTTTCAGCGTGGACATATTAATTTATAGGCATTGGAAGAGCCACTGCAATCGCTTTCGCGAGGGCAGGATGCACGAAGATTGCTCTCCTCGATCTCAACGAAATCGGTGTGAACGAAATTAAGAGTGCTCTGGAGTGCCTATTTGCTTCAGCCAACGTCGCGGCCATTGTAGCAGCATTCGTCATTGATATCTTGTCGCTAGAAAGCGTGAGCAGAACATATTCTGCTGTGAAATCCAAATTTGGCAGAATCGATTACGCCGTACAATGCGCTGGGATCGCCATGTTGATTGGCCGGCCATCGAACTCCCTCGAGCAATTCGATAAGCAGATAGCAGTCAATTATTGAGGGCTGTGGCTCTGTACTCGGGAGACGTTCAAAATCATGTCGAATCAAACACTGGACAGCGAAGCCTACCCCAGAGGCAGTGATTATGCCCATTCGTGCGCAACGTGGCTCTTTTGTGAATTAGCATCAAACCTAGCACAATATGCGCCACCCCAGTCCGCAGCGTATATCGGTTCCAAGGGCGCCGTTTGTGCGCTCACCCGTGCTGACGCGATGGATTATGCCAACCAAAGATCCGGGTGAATGCAGTTCTTCCAGGAATCACAAATATCCCGATGACTAACCCCTCACCTGAAGTGCGGGCATGGTTGGAGGGTTAGTCGCTGGCTTCGATTGAATGACTTATTTCTGAAGGAGGACCCAGTTGTATTGCCTTGGAATTCAATGTGCACAAGATCTGTGTTCGCACTCGGCATCACACAGACGAAGATCCTTCCTTGCCTACACTTCGTTCCAGTAGTTCTCCTTATCACTGACTTGAGTCGAGGTTCGGCTCGATAGTTACTGTTTGATATAGCTAATGATTACATATTGGGATAGACGCTTACCACATCACTTCAGACACTGAAGCATCCTGAGGCCGATGAAGAGTTTGCATCTGCTTGGTTACAACACATGTTCCAGAAAACCCGGAAGGGTCATCCGTTTCGAGGGTCAGGCTTCTTGTGTCCCTGAGCGGGTTTGAGTCGAGTCTCGGCTCTGAATATGGCATCCTCTCCTTGGTAGTCACTCCGTCCCGAGTGCTCGGTAGATGTTGGAGGTACGAGTAAGACATGCCTGAACCCAATTTGAGCCTTGAGAAGTCTGGGCCGTGTGCGGGTCTCGCTAGTATTTTTAAATTGGGCTGGTCGAAATACATTCAGCGCTACTGAATGTTAGCCGAAGTTGAGTCATTGTGTCTTCACTAGTCGTGGACTTGCCAGTTTTCTCAGAAGTTTGATAGCTCCCGACTGTGTCGACGGAGAACGGTGTCGAGACATGGCCGTTCCTAACGATATGCCTTCGCCATCGTCCAGTCTCTGGCAGGCTGCTCCAACAAACATTTTCAAACGCGTGTACCTCGGAGGGAGGGAGAATTGGGTGTTATGGTGCGCGAGCCAAAGAGGCATAGTCTGCGGTTAGTGCCGGGACTAGTAAAAAGCCTTAATTCGAGTTAATCGAGGCTTGTTAGTGACTTATCAATTTCTTCCTCGAGTTCCCCTTTCCCCCTTTCACCTTCTCGCCGCATGTACGAGTCCTCTGTACATTCGCTTCGAGTTTTGTGGGAATGATGCACCTCGAGGCTGGCTGAATGGATGGGCGCTCCGAACCTCAATTGACGCCACAATATTTCCTAGACGCCACAGTCTGCTTTGGGCGGCCACACCAGACCATGAGGCCGTTCCTATCCAAGCTTTTCCTCACAGTGAACCCACCAGACTTTATGCGATGTGGCAACAGAAAGTGACCAGCGACAGCCTGAACACCTCTGGCTCAACTCCTAGGGCCACCTCTCATTTCAGCCATGGCCTCTCGCATGTCCCGTTCGAGCTTTCTCTACTTGAGGTATCGGTTTTCTGCCCTACTGTCGCCTGTTATCCACGTGGCTGTCTTTTGTACCCCACATCTCTCCCTCTGGAACATGAAAGACCGTCGCTAGAGCAAATTGTTCGGCTATTCGACATGTCTTTCTCTGGCGGCGATCTATGCCACTTCCCAGATGGGAACCACCTACCGACTACTCGAGAGATATCTCTGCTAATGACCTATGACTTCTAATCTGATGCAATTTATGTTATTAACCTCCTCATGCGCTGTTTTCCCATCCACTTTCTTTGCCCATTTCTCTGCCTGGTCCTACGGCACGTGACCTGTCCCCCCCTTAAAATCTTTCGGTCCTATTGCATTGCCAGTCGTTACAAGCCTTCAGAGCACCTTTTCCGTGAGCAGGCGAAGGCCAAAATGGCTCCAAATGATACATTTATCCACGTAAGGGAAGCACCAGGTTCTAGTAGTTCGCACGGAATGGGCGAGAAGTCCTTCCATATTCCCATGTCCTACCCGCTCAACTCCAGACCAAGCATGGCACAGTCAAGGATCACCGTACCAGAGGACCAAGATAAATGGAACGATGAACACACGGATGACGATGGTGAATTATCCAAGCTTGGGATGACTTGGCAACGCCTGCGACGAAACGTCTTAATCCGATATACCTTCTACATCGTTCCCGTCGCTGTCTTGCTCGCGATACCGATTATTCTCTGCGCGACAGTGTATGCAGATGCAAGAATAATGTCGCACTTCCACGGCACAAAACTACAACCTATCTATACATCTAATATCACTAGTATAGACGACTCACCAACTAGCAACATTACAAATATCTACAACATCACATCGTCGGAAATTTACGAGCAAGTCCAGACCAGTGACGATGGAGGAATTCGACTTCTCGGCCTCTTCATCTGGATCGAGGTTGTTTGGGTTCTCCTGTGGGTGGCCAAGCTGCTCGCACAGTTTGTTCCAGTACTCTACCAGACAGTGGCTGGGGCTGTGCAGACTGGCATCAGAAAGTACGCATTGGTCCTCAAAGCTGTTGAAATTCCACTCTCGCTTTTCTTCTGGGCCATTCTTGCCATCGCTTGCCGCTCAATCATCTGGACTTTCGACCAACCATTTCACAAGAAATATTCTGGACAAATTCAATGGCTCAGCGTGCTTCATAACGTTAACAAGGCCACCATCGGTGTCACGGCGCTGTATTTGGTGCAGAAGTTATTGATTCAAATGGTCAGTGTCAATTATCATGGCAAAAAGCAATATGACACCATCAAGGAATTGGAGACTCTCAGTCGTGCAATTGAGACCATGTATGACGTGTCCCGAAGACAGTTCTATGACAGCCACCCTGCGTTTAGAGAGGAAGACCTTGACATTCATGATGTGCGTGGATACCGCAAAGACAAATACGGGCGCCGAAAAGGGAATTCAGACTCTGCTGCGGTTTTCATGACGTCCCTCGGAACCACCGGTGACAAGATCACATCTATCCTGGGATACATGGCAAGCGACATTGCCGGTCAACAGGTCCTCACACCAACAGCATCAGGAGCTATCGTCGAGGCGGCACTTGACAGACCTGTCGCAGCCGAAGCTCTAGCACGCCGCATCTGGAACTCGTTCACCAATTTCGGCGCTAACAAGTTGGATGAAGCATCAATTAGGAACATGTTTGGACCTGGCTGCGAGGCTCAGGCGATGTATATCCTTCGCAAAGTCGATACGGATGGTAACGGTGATGTGACACTCACCGAGATGATCGATCTAGTCAAGAAAGTTGCTGCGGATCGAAAAACCATCTGGGAAGGCGCAAGCAACGTCAAGGATGCCATCAAGGTGCTGGATAGAGTCCTGAGCGTGTTCGTGCTTATCTTCATCTTCTTGATCTACGCGGCATTCTTCTCCGATTATCTCGCCAACCACTATACTCAAGTGTGGTCTACCTTCACAGGTTGTTCCTTCCTCTTCGCTAGCACTGCCGGCGAGCTTTTTGCCGCGTGCATCACCGTCTTCATTAAACATCCATATGATGTCGGAGACCGCATTTCAATCAACGATACCGACATGGACGTGGTCAAGATCTCTCTGCTCTATAGTGTGTTCAAGGAAGTATCATCACGTCAACTGGTCCAGATCCCCAACTCGACCATCAACGGCCTATGGATCCGGAACATCACCAGGTCCAAGCAACTGAAGGAGCATATCACCGTCAACGTTTCTGCCGACACCTCTTTCGAAGATCTCGAAATCTTGCGCAGTCAGCTAGCTGCCTTTGTCGCGGAGCACAACCGCGATTTTCTCGCAGACGTGGATATCCAACTGACATCCGTCTCGGACATGAAGCAGCTCGAGCTTCGTATTGAATACGAACACAAGGGCAACTCCGCATCTGACCAGACACGTGCTCACCGCCGCAGCAAGTTCACGTGTGGTCTGCTGTCGGCCATGCGAAAGGTTCCCATCGCTGGCCCGGGTGGAGGCGGTCCTGGTCCCGGAAGCAAGGAATCTCCCACATACACGGTCACCATTTCGGACCAAGAGTCCAGGGAAGCTAAGGCAGTATTTGACGAGACCAAAGACTCCAAGCGCTTGATCCCAAAGAATAGCTCTCCACCAGCAGCAGCAGCCGCCGGGGTGTCGCTTGCTGTCGGAGGCGCGAGGGGAAGCACCGCTCTCGAAATCCTACCGAGCTTGCTGAGGCAGGGTAAGCCCAAGCCCTCGGAAGACGGCATATATCAACGACGGTGATCCTCGAGATGATTAGTTAGCATGTTTTGACGAGGGCGGTACAGATATCATCCGGGTGGAGGAGACTTTGTGCCATTTAGCGATATACCATATTTTTCATGACCTTTACATTCCTTCGGATGCAGAGGGCCAGATCTAAACTAATGATGGTTATTAATCTACAGAATTACGCTTGCGCAATTCGGTCATAGAGCAGGCCCTATGTAGTACATCGGACTCTTGCCACGATTCAATATCACCTATTTCATCCCCACTCCCTATTCCTGTACTGAGTCTTCCCGTTGCCATTGCATATCTAATAATAGCACGAATAATATTCAAAATAGGTGTCCGTTTCGCCAGGCTACTAACCCATCAAGCAATCAGCCACCACGGCGGCAGATCAGCAATCTAGGGCACGTGATATGCCTCACCGACGGTTGTGATTTTTCATGTCTTTTCTTTTCTAATGACGCCTGGCCTCGGCATGCTACGAATACCTTCGATAATACATTTGCGTCATCAATAACGCCAAGGCTGGTCGCGAATCGTGTATATAAATTGAATTAGCCTTCGTGGTGCTTAGAATGACAACTTACTTTCTCTCGACCTTACACGGTACGATCACACGGTCTTGCTTTCCTTATCCTTTCCGGCTGTAGATCTAGATAGCCACAATAGATGAGCAAATGGTGTACCGTTCTCAATCGAACTTGCAACAATATGGCAGGTATTCTTCGTCAGTATTTCTGATAGGTTGCTTTGTCAACAGCTTCTGTAATGCGGTAAGTTCTAACAAGCATATCAGAACCTGCTCTGTCTTTTCGAACTTTTGCTTCTCGAGCTATTAGCCGGTGCTTGCATCTTGAAAGCCAACCTGTTTCCGAATTTACAGCAATGGAGGTACCTCAATGGCAATGCAAGCTGCTGAAGATTGGTGCTTCTTCGCTGACTTTCGCAGGACCCACAACTGACTGCGACGTTCGTCTCTTCTACCTTTTGGTCGCGCTGTCGTGGGAGAAATGACCACTTTCAGAAGTGTCTATTCCCCTATGCTAGTGCTCCTCCCCTTTAGTAGTCGACTTCAAGGCAGATTGGGTGGTATAATTGTAATCTCGTGATTTTGTGTTGCTGCTGAAGCCTAGTGCCCACAAGGGACAGTGGCGAATTACGTACCTCAACATGAGAGGTTGTCAGTTGAAATACATGCTGGCCTGGTCAATAAATCTTGTCGTATGGCTCATCCGAATTAGTAGCTGTGGAATTTTGAGACAGTACGGTTTGGATTGATTCTACCAAAGTGTTATAGGGGGACTAATGATAAGTACCTTGATTTAGTAAGGTCCGTTGGAAAAGCCACTCATATGCTATTGAAATGGAGGATGGATATTTTTATTCCAGCCACTATATCGGTGACAGCCTTCCGCGAAGCGCAAGCTCTGTCGTGCTTACGCGCTATGAGCAGCTTTAATATTGAGACCTCCAGACTTACCCCGGCGCAGCGACCCGAAATTTTGTACTTTGTCGAAGGTTTGCTACATCGACAATGGATTTAGAAGCTTGGTAAGAGCACTCTCGAGCTCCGCATAGGGGTCTGTCGTCCCTTTGTAAAAGCGGCAGGCAACGTAGCGATCAGGTCGCACGAGCAGCGCGCCGTCAGCACTGATTTGGCTCAGCGCGGACCAAGAGCGTGTCGGGTCGCCGAGGTCACCACCGGGCGCAATACGATAAGCCTCAATGGGAATGCCTGAGCGGGCAGACAAACGCTCGGTCGCTTCGCACCAAGCTTTACCACCCGAGCCGGTAAGCAAGATGAAATTCCCGATGCCGCCGATGTCATGGGTCGACACGCGTTTACCACGTTTGTTGAGCCAGGCGTGTGGCAACCGATGACCCGGCCGAGTAGTTTGAGTGTGGGCGATTCCCATCGGATCTCTTGGTGGAGCCTCGGACCCGTCAGGGATTAGTACGCCCTCCTCGTAGTGGAAGCCTATCTCGCGGTCGTGAGGGTCGAGTTCCATGCGCCCAGTCCCGAACACTTCAGCACCCACCGCCCGCCGCGTTCGACCCATTGGACTGTCTTCGAGGAATTTGAGAAATACAGCCCTACGTTGCTCAGGCGTCTTGGCTTGGATCAGCCCAATTCCGGCTTCAAATGCGAACTGGTTCTGGAAAGCGAAAAGAGCATACTCGATATTATCGTTGATTATCGGCCTTCGTTCTGTCTCGTATGTGTTCAGGATGGCTTTATTCGCCCAGCCTTTGATCACAGACGCGAGTTTCCAGGCCAAGTTGTCTGCATCCTGGATTGCCGACTGCAAGCCAAGCCCAGACGTCGGGGGCTGGCGATGAGCCGCATCGCCGATAAAGAAGACATTCCCGACGCGGCTTTTTTCAAGTTGCACCGACTCTATATGCCATGGGCTGACACCAAGAATCTCCGCATCGAGCTGAGGGAGATTGAGGAGCGCCCTAAGTCGGATGAGCGCGCGGTCCTTGGTGAGGTTTTGAGCATCAGGGTCATCAGGCGGGATCATCAGATGGATAGTCCACGTTTCGGAATGGCGGTCCCAGTTCTTTGGACCAGCCTTGACCAACGCACCGCCGGTCCACGACCCAAATCGTGGGCCTACGAACCAGTGAACAACCACATCATCGTTTACGTACTCGGAAAGGTCTGCTCTGAAGTAAAGGCTCGTCATTGTCGCAAGACCCGTCTGCCCGATCATTGGGACACCAAGCATTGGTCCGACAGTACGACCACCGTCCGCAGCGATGACAAAGCGTGCGTTAAGGCGATGCATCTCATTACTCGCACAGTCGCGGATTTCTACCACAGACCCATTGCCATCCTGAATTAGGCTGATCAATTCGAACCCGAAACATACTCTTCCCGGGTTGCGCTGTTCTGCGTTATTGCGTAGGAGAGGTTCTAGGAGGTACTGGCCCAGACCAGCGGAGAGTTCGGGGCTATCCTTCTCGAATATCTCGCGGTAGACGCCTTCTCCATTAACATCGATGCTAAACAGTTCTCGCCGGTCGAGCTCGTCATCTCCACCCAGCGAGGTCAACCAGATGCTGCGGATCCGTGTTTCTGCGGGCATACCAATCGCCTGGATTTGATCGGCTATGCCATGGCGTCGGAAAATCTCCATTGTGCGCTGATTGTGGGCGCCCGCCTTGGGCATGTGCGAAGTTGCAGGACGACGCTCGATCAATAAAGAGTCTATGCCAAGATCAGACAACAAGATCGAGGACGAAAGCCCGCTTCCGCCTCCACCAACGATAAGTACCGATACTTCGGCTGGCACCATAGCTGCGCAACTTGAAGTTCGTAGCGTAATAGAGTGAAGTGGACTCAAAGAAAGGCTGTAGGGGCGATAGAAGGAAGGTTGTCGCGATTGGAGATGTTTCTATGTCTGGGGGAGCATCTTTCGTCCAATTATAGAGCAACCTTGTTCAACTTTTAACGGAGAGTCACGGCCTTGATAACTGTGACTTAGAGTGATAAAGTTAATATGGAACCAAAAGCTTACGGTAACCTGGACTTCTAGCGGATGCCTGCCGGAGGGGATGGCTAAAAGCGCAGGTACCTCGTCTCAATGTCGCCGCTGTCTGTGTCTTGATTTGGGGGTGGGGCCGTCTCGGTAATATAAAAAGATTCCGAGTCTCATTCCGACTAGAAACAGGTCATAGCGGAACTAGCTACCCCCTGCTCCGAATCTCCCAGTCCTCTAGTCGGTATATGGCGTTGTTCTTCAAGGTGGAAGGTGTCAATGATATCCGAGGTGAGCAGAAGCAAGGTATCGTATCCGCTGCTGTCTTAGCATTGTCTAAGCAGGGGAGTTTTGACAGGAATTCTCATCGCGGTCTCCGGTAAATGGAGACGTACAATATTGGGGTTAGATATTTGTCTTACCGCTTGTGCTTGCTGTAGTCACAGGCCACCATTGGAACGGTCTGTGTTTCCACAATAAGCAATGCACTCTAGAGGGTACAACCCATATAAAAGCAAATCTCATAAGCGCCCAGGCCCATATTCTCTTTCACGTTTCCTTTCCAAGAGGACACTAACGGGCGGAGTCGATCTATTTTGCGCCTTCTCGTACTGATTGAACCACCACATCCAAATTGCAGTCTAAGCACACTTGATGTGGCTGCGTCCAATCCTTTTTCTATCTGTACGTATAGTCTGTAACGTTGGCGTAGGAAAAGAATGACAAAACTGGAACATGCCATCATTTAAAAATAGACCGCCAATGTCCTTTCAAATACTTCGTGGCTGATGCCGTGTTTCCATGGATTCTCGCATACCTGGGTCAGGAAACGATCGGGAATTTTGCTTTGGGTCAATGTTGAACTTCCTTTCATCAATAGATGCTACGTGCGGCTTCTCTTCTCCTCCTCAATTTTATCTTTCCTACCAGCACATAAGATGTGGATTGAATTCACACAGACAAATAACTGATTAGTCTTCTCATCCATCCCCGTTCAGCCCACATTTGCTCAGGACAGTGTAAATTGGGTGTGAAATAGGCAACCCGTGTGATACAATGTTTCGGATGATTCGGGTGCATCGACCATTATTAGCCAAATGGTTTACGAGCTCGTCGGAAAGATTTGGATCCCTGGACAGCCAGCGATTAGGGATGTACTCCTTGGCAGGTTGGTATTGGTTAAGCATAATCACGGATGAAGCGCCAAGGGCTTCTCACAAAGGTGGGTATGGACCGATAGTAGAAATGACATGTGTTGTCGCAAACATCTTAATTCTTAAGAGCGAGAACGTTGTAATCAGATACACAGGTTGTTGTTGAACAAGAACAAAGTACAATGGCTGTTTATCTTTGACAACTATGCCTCGACCAGTCAAAAGTCTAGCGATCTCGAAGTTGGGTTGTGTATTCAAGCCTTTGTCGTAATAATGCTCTATCAACCTTCTAAGCGTTGGAAAATAGTGTGATGCTAGTGATCTCTACTAACTGGGCTATAGATGTGCAATAATCGTCCTTTGCCGTGGCTCTGTTCTATATATGCCCCTCCACAGCAGAACGACAAACCCTTTTCGCAGGGATGCAGAGACGCAGGGATCCAGCACGCTATACCTAGCAAACCAATCTCTGTCACACCCCAGGTTCAATCTTCTCATTTCTCAGATTTGGCCTATGGAGAGTCTTGTTAACATAGTTGGTGAGATATGCATTCACGTCTGTGATGAAGAAAGACGCAGCGATTCCAACGCCTGTGAAGGCAAAAGTTGACAAATAGACTATTTTGAATGTATGAGCATACGCGTGCTTTGTAGCCAGGGCCAGGGCGTCTAGCACTTCGTTGTCAAATCCGGGAACTGCCATCAATGCTGCTTCAGTGCCATTGGCGATCGCTGTGAACAGATCTGGAATGCTACTGGCAGGTAGACCAGCGGCCTCGACTTCCGGCACAATCTTTTGAGGTAGATATGCGGTCAGTCTATTACTATATATGGCCAGATAAATACTGACTGTAGATTGGCACTCAGTCAATATTTCAATATGCGTAAAGTTTGTTGTCACTTACCCGCGACGGTGCCGAAGATTAACCTCGTTGAGGCGAAGAAGCCCTGGGCAACACCGATGTCGTTGGGTGGGGCCACGAGTCCGACAACGACAATAGTAACCATCTCGATCCACCCATTTGCAAGGCCAGCGATGATTGTGAAGGCAATGCCTAGACCCTCTGTCTTTGACGCCGCCATACCTGTGCAGAAGGCTGCAGTTATTAAGCCTGCAACCACCATTTGCCATTTAAGATAGCCAATGCTTCGGAACAGAGGGGCGAAACAAAGTTCTCCCGCGACCAAGGCGATACCTGTAGTGCAAGATTGAAAGCCGATTTTGACTTCGTTCGTCGTGAAAAGAACACTAATCTGGATTGGCCAAAATATATTCAGGGCAAACCAGACCATTTGCATTGTCGAGCCAACGATAACGCAGGCGATAATATTCTGTACCTTGAAGAGTCGGACTGGGAGGAGTGGCTGTGTAAGTGGTACATAGGTCTCGTAGACTGCGAAAGCCACTAGTGTGAGGAAGCCCACAATCAAAGATGCAATGACGCGTGCACTTTGCCAGGAATATGTGCCTTGCGCCCAGGTAAATCCGAGAAGGACAAGAATCAGAGCTGTGAAATATAATATAACGCCCTATTGAAATAGTAAATAATGTGAAGTCTGGAAAGCTTCCCGGAAGAACTCTTGAGTAAACTCACCCCGTAGTCTAGCGACTTCACTTCTTTCCACTTAGTTAATTTATTGTTAATCATACGGAAGTTAGGCGGAAAGTAGCAGCTGGCGAAGAGAACAACTGATAGTCCTGACACTGCGACATTTAACCAGTAAACTCCTCTCCATCCTACCTTAGTTTGAGCAATTAACGTCCTCGCAATAACGGGGCCAAATCCCAAGGTAGGTAGAACGGCTGCAGTTATTATAGCCTGGCCCCAGTGACGATACTTATTAGGAATTAACTCATGGACGATAACAGGATATAGTAACCCTGCAGCGCCACCGATACCGGTCATGACACTTCCACCGATAAGGACATTAATGCTGTTGCCGGTAGCGCAAACGATGGAACCGATGACTCCGAGTATTTGTCCGCCGATGATGAAGTACCGTCGACCCAAGATGTCGGAAAGGCGGGCAAAGAATAAATGCAATACTCCCGAGAAAAGTGTATTCATTAGAGACACCAGGTATATGTTTGGCGAAGGTCCAATGTCTGCGTTAATGACGGTAAGAATGTTGACTGGCATGGCATAGCCGATGAAAATACTGTTGGCAAGAAGAAAAGTGGCAGCGAGAGACCCAATCAGTCGAGGTGAAGCCCAATAGTTTTCAAGTTCAGTGGCATCATGGCCAAGCTCGTTGCGGTGCAGAGAGTCCTTTGAGATGATTCTGTCCAGATGTTCCATTTCGTGGTGTTCAGCCCCTTCCTTATTGCTTCTGCCGGCAATTTTCTCCGACATTGTCTCTTGCCTCTCAATATTGTGCCTGGTATGAATGCTCACTGGCGTTGCAAAAGGAGAATCTCGGCGATCAGGCCGTGTCGTAGCAGAAGGACGGTGGAATCAATACGTGCCTCTCAGTCTCCATGTGAAAGGAACAGAACATGACAGAACATGACTTTATACGTCGACAGGCGGTCGGATTGCCTAAATTCACATTAATTCACGTCCTTTGATGGGAATGAGTATCTCCCTGTCAAAACTCAGGTCTAGCCCCCTCCCAGGCTCCAAGTGCCGTCGGGCCCACCGGCCCCGCCTCAAGTATTCGGATCGATATCATAGATTTCTTTCGGATTATCTTTTGCCATGTATATGATTCTTCATTACTAGCGACCGTTTCCGCCATATCTTCGATAACAGATACCCAGTTGGATGGTAAAGCATCTCCAAACACACGCGAATTCATCTGAGCAGGCTTGGTCGGCTCTTGGCCTGTTTGTACTTCCAATGTCCAAATGAGTATTATCCTGCCACAATTTTGATCTGAATGAACACTTCTGGGTTTAAGAGTCATTCTCATCAACCAAAAATTGCTGCACTCAAATCGACCCGAAGCCAGGCCCGACATCAAACTACCCGGACTACACCCAAATCATGCTCGGTTTGCGACAAGAAGGTTCTTAAACTTGAAATTCTCCAACGCCGTCTTAGGTCGCACACAAAAGAGAAGCAGTTCAGCTGCGAGATTGCGAGAAGACATGCGGCCGCTCGCAAGTTATCAATCAAAACCTGAAGTGCTTCGGTCAATCGACTAACTGGCGTTCTCAGAGATACACTCATAAGGCATTATTCTGTTCATCAGCATTCGACAGACCATCAAGGTAGCACAAGCAGGACTGCACGCCCAAGAGCAGCAGCATTTGGCCCATCGCGACCAGAGCATCCGCAAGAATCGACGAGTGAGTAATACTTGAGATCGGACATTGATGAGACCTGCTAACACAGACCCTCAAATACAGGCCCCTTCCAACCACGACCTTTGTGGTCCTGCAAGAAGAACTGGAAGCATCCAATTTCAATTCTTCAGCAGGTTCAGCAGGAAAGAATTAACGAAGCGCAGCCCCTGGCAAGCATTTCGATCGCAGCTCAATTGACGAAATCATTGACCGGCTGTCAACAACGTCAGAGTTCCTTGTGCCAGGGATCGAAGTCGCTATCCTGACTCACGATACCGTCACTGCAAATGATCCATCTCAAGCCATTCACAATGACTTCGATCACCATATGGCGCAGATTGACGATGGAACATCTGGGTCTGCTCTTTTTCCGTAACCGTTCTTTCAATTTCGAGCAGTACCGTGTCATTCGGGAAAGCTTCGATATTGGTGACCTAGATTGGTGTGTTCTTAGATGTATTTCCGTTGGACGGCTGACATGCCACGCCAGACGCGCGCCTATTTTAGACGACTCCAAAAGTTTCAAGGACCGGCTCGCTGGAGCAGTGGGCAGGGCATCCTCCACAGCGCCGTAGTCGAGCGCTCTTGGCATACGAGACTCGAGACAGGCCATCCCGATCGGCTAGCCTCATTGTAAAGATTCACTTCCAGTCGTACTAGTCCTGACAGCGAAGGAGCCCCTCAAAGTGAAGTTGCAGAAGGCCATGCTGAAGCCGTCATAGCCCTTAAAAAGTCTTCAAACAGATTGAACCCATAATGAGCTAACTCTAAGCTGCCTATGGAAAGGCAGCCTATAGAACAGCTTGAGAGCAATAATCCGCTGTTGCAGGTTGTTGGACGACAAGTGAGACCATGAATAATTGGCAACGCAGGGTTTGCATAGCTGAAACACATCTAGATGCACAGTTTCTAAACATGTATGGAGTCAGCAAGGCATAAACATCTGTTATACTGCACACTTACTCACCAGGAACCCAGTCGATGACAATGGCTCTTTTGGCCATCTCGGACGAAGACTACTACATAAGCTCTGTCGATGACAAAACTTTCAACACCCCAATGACCAGATTCCGCAGATCAAATTTTATTGACACTCCATTCAGACACGCCAGGAAGAAAAGACAGCTCTATGGTGCAATTGGCTGTCCTAGGACAGACATTTGGCCTACTGTCGGGAGTGCGTTGCATATTGGTATAAGGTTTGAATTATGCGCTCATTGACGTATGTGCAACCCGCCAGCTTGAGATGGCCTCCGCTTTCCATGGGACAGTTATTTCATTTAGGTTTGAAATTGGACAGGCTGGAATATAAATCGAATACTCATGACAAGGTCAGTGGACGAGAAGGGCGGAGATTTTCAGAATTGAGAAGGACAGACCTGTCCTCCAGGATCTTTCAGGTCCTCAATTGATGGAGGCCTGGAAATATTGGACACGAAAAGAGGAGATAAAACGGTAAAGAGTGTCTAGACATCATTGAGGTATCTTCGAGTTTGCTAAATCTCGCGGTTCAGCGCCGCCTTGACGATTCTCGTCGACGATGCTGAAATCGCAACGCTGTACCATCATGGGCCTTTTCTCCGTCACGGAGGAATCTGTATTCCTCCACCCTGCCGCTCGGATGCCTCCCTCGCCACCAGCGTCCATGGATGGGCACGTCTCGTTCAAAATGATCCTTTGAGAAGCTCAAATACCAGATATTGTAGTCACTCTGGTTCTGTTCCCCCCACTGTTGAGAAGAGATCTCTCGGCTACAAGTTGCGGTTGAACTGTCTTTACGGCTTACACCATCCATCAAGGGATAAGGCTTCCATCTGCGAAGACAAGATTGGAAATCGAGATGACCACATATCGCGAGCAGAGCACTATGCCCACCTATTGCATGGTGCGAGACCTATGGTGAGGCAGGTAAATTATAGTCTGGCATACAGCTACTTTCTTGTCTTATGGCAGTGGACGAACATATCCGACAATGCCGACCTCCATCACCTGGGGCTTGCGGTCGGAAAGCAGGGACCGGCAGAAGCTTTAGTGCATAGTGCACGTTTCCTATGTGAACGAGTGGACAAGCTCAGTCGAGGCCAGGCGATGTGTGACCCACGCCTTCTTGCTTCAAAAGACCTTGGATGGGCTCCACTTGAGACGAGTTGTTGCGATGCACGTTCCGAGGTCTCTGTTCTCTGCGGTTATTGTATGGTCAAGGTATCTAAATTCATTGTTAGGGCTCACATCCTGCCCCATGCCCGAAGCTGCCATGGATTTCTCAGAACTGACCTTGCGTGGTATTGATTTCACTCACCAATCGAAAAGCAGGATTGGACTTGGAACGGATATGCTCAAACATATAGCTTACTGGGATATTTCGCGCAAGTTCAGCGGTATTCTTGCACCATGGATTCATGGAGGAACGGACGACAATATAGTCTTTCGTTGAATCAGGAGGTCACTCCTGATTGCCGGAAAGTCCACGGCCTGTTTATTCGCCGGAGACCTGCTAGTGGAGGAGCCTTGCCGAACGAATACTCTCGGCTGCTTCTCCTTGTCCAGAGCCCTTGCGCCGACTAACAGCCAGTCAATATATTGGGACTTTAACGTGGGATGCCACATCCCTGGAAAGGGGAGAACACTAAGTATCGAAGTCCCAAACATGCGAGCTCTAAAGCTGCTGAGAAAACTATTGAGGGTCATCTCACGATCATGAGAGAAGGACTGATCTGGGCCAGAGGTTCTGTGACAAGCATCCGCCAATATTTCCTATGACTACAAAGAAAGTGATCGAACAGAGCAGCTTCCAGCTCATCGTATTTATTGTATGCCCCAAAAACCAGCAGCTTCACACACGGCCACGTTAATACCCTGTTCGTTTATATTAAGGGTTTATACTAACAAGACGTAGGGCTGGCAGATTGAGAAAAGATCTGTTCCCCATACGTAGCTAGTGACCGATGTCGGCATACACGCTGGCCGTCAGTGCCGCTGGTCAGATCATCCCCGCCATTAGTGAGTCTTCCATCGTCAAGTTAGCAGACATCACCTGGCGTCCCAACACCTGCGTCATCATCCTCCTCTTCTACTCGTCGGCTTTCCCGTTACGACTAGCTCGAGCACCCAGCGACCGGCAACAAGGCGAAACCCAAGGTTGCAAACTGTAAGTATGCAGTGGTTTCATGTTCATGCTCCCTAGCCTTGCTTAGGGTGAAAGTTTGGAACGGAATGGGCCTTCGGTAGCCGAGCAGGACGAGCAGCCAGAGCGGATTTGAGCCGGACCCGATGCAGCCTGAGCAAAAGCGGCGTGTGATCGAGGGGAGCCAACGAAGATTCCGGCCGTGAAACAGCTGCTTCCCTGCCTTTTACCGCCCCGTCAATTTTGTTAGCTCTTTCACAAGGTTCACCAGCTTCTCCACCATAGGAGGCAGGTGATCAGTGGTAGCTGTATAGTTGTCTTCGAAGATCTTCGCAATCACGGTCGGTATCATCTCGATGTTAGAAAGCGCCTTAACTTCATCCGCGAGAAGGAGGGCCGGGCTGCCTTGTCCGGTCAGAAGGAACGACTTGGTTTGCATGTTTTCTGGGCCATTCAAGACAATAAGATCGACCTGCTGGCTGATGTTTGTCGTCTCTCGAGTCTGATGAAAAGTCGATAGCGCATTAGTATGAGGCCCCGGGGTCTCTCCCCTAGAAGCCATGCTTATTGCTTCAAGCATAAACGGGAGTGCCAACACTAAGCACGCCTGATACACAGCACTGGCGTAGAAGCCGCAAAGACGGGTAGGCTTCGCAGCATGCGCCACTTTCAAAATCTGACCTGCATGCCACATTGCATAGCGTGATTCGTCGTTCTCAGACCAAGTCTGCAAATGCAGTATCGTCGACTGAGACTCTTTGGAGCCAAACCGCCCGACAAGTTTCTCGATGTCGACAAATGAGACAAAGAGGGCCATCATGAAGACCTCGCATACTATTCGAGTCTCATCTGAGAGGGCCCCAATCATGTTCGCGGTCACTCTTATGTCCGCTAACCTTTTATACAAGTCCTGGCGTTGTGCTTCCAGCCAGAAGTTGTTTTGGGGAATCCTTTTAGTGTATCGATGCCCTCGATGCAACGTCTTTGCGTCCTGTAGTGCTACAATCTGTGGCCAAAGACAGTGTAATGATGCGAAGACACTTAGTCCACAATCATATTCTTGTGCCAAGGTTTGTAATATCGAAGGATCTTGCATTATATCTAGCAAGGTAGGCCTGGGCAATTCGGCCGCTGTGGTTTTCGCAATATATACCGCCCTCCAGGCCAACGGGTTAGGAGCAGCCCATAGTTCGTGTGCTGCCGGTAGACCGAACGTAATTTCTGTGCTATAAAAACATGGACTTCGCATATAGGCCACTGAACCCTGAATATCGTTCATAAACGCTCGGAATACACATCTATCAAGAGTTAGTGGGGGGCCGGGCTAATATTATTGGTATCCTCACCGTTTAAAACATTCGAGTTCGGTCCATTTTACCCACTTCGACTGTAGTGTCGCGCTGTCGTCGTCAACCGTTGGGACCGACGTGTGCTCGTAGTAACCCAAATAATAGGCCCCAATTCTTCGTATCAACTGCCACATTTAGTTGGATGTTCGTCGGGTTTGACAAATTACCTACAAAGGGAACATTGTTTGCGGCGGACTGGGCGACTTCCATCGTGCGACGGACGCCGCTCCACAGACCTGCTTCAACCCACAGAATTTGAGCTTGCAAAAACTCCAAGTCTCGTGCAATCGAGTTGTTGTGGTCTACAGTCTGATAAATGTCTAGCCGCGTACGTTCTTGAATTGCCAGCCCCAGTTTCCAAATCTGGCGATTCGCAAAGTTGGCAGAACCAGCGACAATCAAAGCGCTTAGTAGTTCAGTCCTGCATTTGTTGACTCTGAACGACGAGAGATGGAGAAAGGGGACAGGGCTTACAGTCTCCTGGACAGCAAATGCCCTCAAAAGCAAGCTTAACACCTTCGGAGAGGGAAAACTGCATACTGCGACTGTAATATCAGAATTGCGCTGGACCAAAAGTAGAAGAGCATCTCGGGCATCGCTCCCGCAGGCAAAATCTGCCATTATTGATGACCCGGCTACTTTGTCCACTGATACTTTCTCGGTGGCCGTTGAAGACAGAAGGAGTGGTTCTTCGGCCTCCGAGAGATGAGATGATTCGTCCATTGTGGCTGAATCGTGAGGATCCGGGTCCCATAGCCAAAGACAGCGTTTGTAAAACTCTTGTACCAAAGGCACACGAGATCGACTCGCACTGGTCATGGCGTTACTTACTCTTAGATGCGGTGGAATGCTCCTAGCTTGACTTTCGTGATTCAAGTCGTAGTCTGCCGGAATTAAAGAGTTCCAGTCGAAATCTATTTCCATAAGAATGTCGTCGTCAACATTTAGGGCAGAATCATTCAAAAAGATATTAGAGTCCCAAATAGACGAAAAAGCAGGACCGTTAGCCATGTGGCTCCCAGCGCTTCTCTGTGAACCTGCCAATGGCATGTCCACAGAACTGAATGCCCGACATTCAACTCTGTCAACAAATTGCTCTTGATTTTGCGAGCTGGCGAAGGCTATCGGCTCATTTTCTGCACCATGGAGAGTCCCAAGTCCTTGAGAGCCCACAACGGACGATGGGGCTCTTGCGCCAGGTTCAGACTGCGCAGATGAGCCTAGAGGAATCTGAGGCGAGACTTCTGACTCTGAGCCGCAGGTTTGCCCTCGATCTCGACATCGACGGCACGGGCGATCGTCGGAGCATTTCGTTTTGGAAAGAATACATTGAGCACAGGCTTTTGACGTCCGAGTTTTCCGCTTGATGTGATGTTCTGCATTGTGGCTGACAGTGCTGTGAATCGCTGTATGGCGGTCCAGAAGATCCCTGAGAAAATTGTTAGTCAATTTGCCCTGAACAGAGGGGAGCGTTGCAAGTTGTTACTTTCGGTTGAAGCCTTTCGAGCACAGCTTACATAGGTAGATACGCTCATTTACATCTAGGCAGTATAAGCAGCTCTTCTTTAGATAAAGGCGAGCCATGTCTGAGTCGGATGCATGGAGAAATCAAAGACTCACGCGATCGACAGTGCCTCTTGACATGATCGAGACGCCCAAAATGCTTGCCACACCGCCGACATTGATAGGACTCCCTGGTTTGGACACGAGGATCTGCATGGCTGTCTGTCGAAGTGCTAATGAGACAGCTGAAAAGTTCATCCGAGGAGATGGAACTTTCGGCGTTGGTGGCTTCCATTGACAGGAAGGACTGCGAGAGGTGCTGGGATGGCAACTCTCCCTCTAGAGGGTTCCCAAAATTGCCATTCACCATAGTTCGATCTTGCACTGGGAGAAGCAGGGACTGAACTTGCCTGAAAGATGGGAAAGATTCTACGGAAAGGGAGGGGCCGAACAAGATTTATAAGGATTCGGGCGTCTTAAGTGGAAGTCAAGTCGCTTTCCCTGATACCCCTCCGTGCCCCGGGGAGCCATAGCCCGAGGGCCTCTAGTCCCCACACCACCCCAGACTCTCCTCTGTGGGGAGGAATTAACTACCTGGGTTCTACTAGCAGAGGCGAGACGGAACAGTATACATTTGCTGAAGCGAAGGACCTCAGACTCGCTGGCTTTTTTCGCATACCTGACAGCCAAAGAGGCGCGCAAGCAGAGGTTTCTTGGTTGACTGCAGCATTGTCGAAAGTGTGATCCGAGCCGTGCTTTACATGATAGACAAATATACACCGATTTACCTCGATAGAACACTTGGCCTATGCGAATTTAGTGTGCTAGGCAAGGAGTCTAGATCTGCAGATTGTTGGGGCCGCTGTGGTGGGCTTGCCCTACGCTACGACGTCGCCCACGTTATCACAGTCTCAAGTAGGAATTAGGCATGTCTTTCCATTGGATCACTTGGCTGGACTTAGCCGCAGTCAACAATGAGTTCCAGGTGGAGATGAATTCAAGCCCTGGTAGAAGATCCAGTGGGCGGTGTCTATCGAAATCAGTACTATGACAGGTTGGTGGCAGATCTCGAAAGTCGGTAAGGATCATTGAATCTTTTGGTCCGGGCTGGCCTCGATTGCAATTCGACCAACGTAACTGGCTCCTTGACCAACACGTTTTCATCGGCAAAATTATTTCTTGGAGGAAACATGCTCCAACCATGGTTGTGAGCACGAAAGCAAGATATGTCCCTCATTATCATCTAAGAGTTGATGCAGCTCTCTCGCAAGGTGCCAGATGTGATTTTTATGAGGCCTAGAGGCACAGTCCATAGTTTGTGTTGAGATGTCTGGGGTTCCTATCATGGAATAAGGACAATTTCACGGGAGGAAGTACCACTAGCGAGGCGGATAGTCGGTTTCAGACAAGGGTTTGAGGGCGCTGTGATGAAAAACCCTAGGGTTTGGAGTGAGAAAGACCATAGCGCCATCACCAGCCTATTGAAATTGGAGTGGTACTGTAGAAACCTCGGAACAAAGTTGCGGCTTAGAAGCAGTTCTCGTTTGCCGCCGCGTTGCGACCAGCGATATGTCCAAAGACGATTGCTGGTCCCACTGAACCCCCGCCGCCTGGGTAGGCCATGCCTGTGAAACCAGCGCTGACATTGCCAGCTGCGTAGAGTCCTGTTATTGGGCAGCCACGCACATTGAGGACCTGTGACCTGGCGTTAATCTTGGGTCCGCCCTTTGTTTGAAGTACACCGGAGTACACGCGGCAGGCATAAAACGGCGCTCGTTCGATGGGGCCGAGGGTTTGAAGTGCACCGTTGCGCGAGCCATCGCCAAAAGCCAAGTCGTAGCTGCTGCTTCCTCGGCCAAAATCAGGGTCAGAACCTTGCTCCACCTGGGCGTTGTATCGCTTCACTGTAGACTCCAGGCCATCTGGGTGGACCTTGATTTTCTCGGCAAGTTCGCGCAGGCTTGCAGCTGGTACCAACCACCCAGGAACTAGATCACCGGGCAATCGAGTACCGAAAGTATAGCGCTCCATGAACTCGTGATCGACAATAATCCAGGCGGGCAGATTTGGATAGTCGAATTTCATCTCATCGAAGTTGTGCATGGCTCGACCGATGTCATTATAGTTGTGTGCTTCGTTCACGAAGCGCCTTCCAGCCCTGTTCACCATGATTGATCGGGGATTTGCTCGTTCGCCTCCAGTCAATCGGTAGAGTTGGCGCCCATCATATTCTTCGCCTGGAATGCAAATCGCGGGCATCCACGCGGCTTCTTTTGTGTTGGCAATGGCTGCCTGCGCCTCCATCGCCATGACGAGGCCATCTCCTTCACAAGATGGCGGACTCAATGGCGCTTCGATTGGGCCGGCGACATGGTCCTTGACCAGGCCCTCATTCCACTCAAATCCGCCGCTTGCAAGGATCACTGCGCGCCGCGCGCCAATTGTGCGAGTTTGTCCTTCGTTTTCGTACTCGAGTCCAACGACCGTACCTTCGTCGATCACGAGGCGTCGCGCACGAACATTGCGTCGGAACTCGACTCCCTTGTTAAGCGCCTGCTTGATCAACCCTGCCATTAGTGCCTCTCCTCCCCCGACCAGGCCTCGAGCGAGTCGGTCGCGAAAAACCTCTGGATTAATCAAATTGATGCCGCGCTGGATGTCCTCCCAGCAGAACGGGACTGGGAAACTTGGTGCTGGCCGTAAATGTGGGCGGAGATCGCCGAGCTCATCGGCGGGGAACAGTTGCGGCGTAACCGTCCGCCCAAAAGTGCCTCCGGGATTCTCGGGCTGATAGTCAGGCAAGCTGGTAGCGTTGAACGAGAGGGAGTTATCTGTTTCTAGGAAGCGCACCACGGCAGGAGCTTCGTCCACGTAGATCTCGGCCAGCTCCATATCCATTCCGCCCAGCGAGAGGCTGCGCAGGTAGGTGAGTGCCTGCTCGCGTGAGTCACTCGATCCGACCTCGTGCATGTGGTCATTGTTTGGAATCCACAAGCCACCTGCCGAGCATGCAGTGGTCCCTCCAAGCTTGTCGCTGCGCTCGAGCACAATGGCTGTCGCGCCGTGGTGCTGCGCGCTCAAGGCTGCGACGACACCGGCGGCGCCAGATCCCACCGCCACGACATCGAACGTCTCGTCCCAGCTACTAATCTTTCCCATCCTCTTATTGTCGGGATCCAGCGGCTTGTGGCGAGCTCACTGTTCACGGCTATTAGCGGCACTCGCGTTGTGCTTCTTATTGTATGAGTCGCCTTCCTCCAGAAAGCGAACCAGATAAACTAGCCCATATAGTCTCGACCTTGACAGCCGTAACTTATAGCGATAAGGAAGATGCAGCAGTAGAAAACCAATCACCAGTAGCAATTTACTGAGTCCAGAATTCCAACGGAAAAGAAACTTTCAATGGAGCCCCAATCTAGTTCGAAACAAAGGTGGGGCTGTGGTCGGTGTCACTAAACAATGGTTTGTGCTCTCAGGTTACGGAAGCTATTATCGGAAGGGGAGGGGCCGACCTTTCAAGTGGGTTGGCAAATTAATACATTCTTCGACCAAGCGGAATCGTAGAGAAATAGTCCTCTCCCCTCCCGAGCTGATTGCCCCGGAAGTCCGGCTCCGCTATTTCACTGCCTTCGATGCGATGAGGTATCTGTTCGGATCTAGAGTCATGGATTGGACAGCAAGTGCTCGTAGATTTGTCGGAAATAGATATGGCGTTTCGGAAGACGATCCTAGGCAGCAGTGAGTCCTCGGGGTGATCCTTTGTTTTGCCTTTCAATAAGTTATCGAGATGAATTATTTGATAACCGAACAGGTCAGCAACCAAAATCACAACCATTCATTAGCGACAAAGCAACGCTAAAAAGGAGCATTCCTTCACAAACTTCTGATCAAATACCGTGGCTTGAGCGGAATTAATTCAAGCCATCTAGAAATTGAGCAAACTCCAAGCTACAGTGGATTGCACTATCCGCCCAAAATCATCGGTAAAATGATGCCAACGGAGGTTTTCAAATTCTTGGGCAGCTATGCGCTGAAGCTGGGAATAGCCACTTGCTGCATATGGCTTCTGAAAGTGCTGCTGACAGTTCGTCTCATCTTCATGCTCTCATTGTTATCTCTGTGATTGGCTAATTTACTCACGAAGGCATTCTATAATCTACTTTTCCACCCTCTTAGATCTGTACCCGGCCCCTTTCTGGCGAAGATCTTCGCGCAGTATATGGCACTAGCGATGGTTCGGGGGCAGCGGGCGCAGGTAGCCATTATTGAATGGCAATGAGACGTCTCGCTAACGTTGCTCGGTAGACTTTATTCGAGTTACATAATAAATATGGACCAGTAGTCCGTATCGGCCCTGGGGAAGTGTCTGTAGGAGATTTCCAGCTGTATCGAAAGATCTATAGTCAGAATACCTGCACAAAGGAAGACTCATTTTACAGGGCTACCACACTTCTGGGTCACGAGAGTCTTGCGGGTTTCCGGTAAATTTGCACATTATGGTCATATTTCATGAGCAGCCTTAACTCTGTACCCCTTCATTCAGGAACAAAGCAATGCATTCAGCCCGGCGCAAGATGATGAGCCAGCCATTCTCGCAACAGGCGATCAATGAAAATGAAATACATATCACGGAGATGAGTGACAGATTTGTTCAGCGGATTATAACAAGTTCTGCGGCCTCTTCAACAAGCACGACAGATATTATGCCATTCTGCAAACTGTTCAGCCTTGAAGTTATTTGCAAAGCGGCTTTCAACAAGGACATCTCGGTCCGGTCGACAGAAGATGCTTTGACGTTCTTACAAGCAATGGAAGACACCCCGAGAGTTCTTATCATGGCATCAGTTTTTCCATTCTTGAGAAGGTGGAAGAGACTTGGTGAGTATCTTCCTGGCATGGCTGGTCATGCTTTTAAGCAGAGTAAACTTTTCGAGCAGTTTACACGATCACTTTTCCGCGACTTCAAGCAAGAATCGAAGACGGATAACATAGAGCGTTTTATGGGGACACCACTCCTGCAAGGTGAAGATAAATATCTCGGCAGACTGCTTAGTGAAGATGAGGCTATTGAAGAAGCAATGGGTCTCTTCTTTGCAGGCAGTGGTACTACGTCTTCTACACTTCTTTACCTCTTTTACACCCTCTCAAGACCACAGAATCGACACATGCAGCACAAGCTACGGAAAGAGCTCCAAAATACGGGTTGCAAACTCGCAGAAGTTAAGGACCTACCCTATCTCAATGCAGTGATCAAGGAAACGATGCGTCTCTACCCAACGATCATTGGAACTCTTCCACGCGTTCTTGATCTCCCAATACAGTCGGACAAGCTTGAGCTTCCGGCCGGCACGATTGTTGGTATGCAAAACTACGTGCACCACCGAGACCCATCCGTGTACACAGAGCCAGATACATTCATTCCAGAGCGTTGGATCGGCCAAAGCCCATCAAGTGATCTGGAAAAAGCGTTCACTCCTTTTAGCTTAGGCTCCAGGAATTGCATTGGCCAGAATCTAGCGAGGGCAGAGCTCTTAATAGCGACTAGCCTAGTTTTTCGACGACTCGACTTACGACTAAACGACGCCATGGAAGAGAGCGATATGGACATGGAGGATCGCTTTGCAGTATCACCTAAGGGTAGGAGACTACTGCTTGATGTATCGGAATTGTGTTAGTTGCGCCACGCCGTGAAACAAGCAATGGCTAGATACAGAAGGAAAGGTTGGCGTCACGCACTTGGCCTGTAGGATGTTACCTTAGTGGGTAGGATGTATCCAAAGGAAGGTATATAGACAATGCGCCAAAGAAATGACATGACAGCAGAGACACCTATCGGACTCTGCTGTGCAGTTCACTATCTATGCGCAAATGAAACAGTTCGACTTCACGGAGCACTGTGCTTACTTTGCTCGAAGTGCCATATTCAATCCCTCAGCAAGGCTCAAAGCTCATCTCCAGCAACATTCCGAATATGGCGATAAGCTTGCCGGAAACTGCATACGTCCTGGAAACTGAGTACCTGTGTGTGAGCAAAGTATCAAGGTGTTGGAGATTCGGGAGTTCCAAGGTCCTTGCTAGTAACCCCAGACTGTCGCAATCGAAGAACATACGACTTCGCTGGACTGCTGTCGATTTCGCCGAGAACGGATTGTGGTGCTCGTCCATTGGATAGTAGCTACTACTTGGCCACCACAGTTTCCCCCAGAAAATCACGGTTCGGGTGCACTGACCGTTCTCTCTGGCTCAGCGTTGTCTCTGAGAATTCACTCTCAGGCGCACGAAAAGTTGGATCTATCATTTATGACGAAAATGGCAGTTCTTCCAATGATACATCTCCGGAAAGTTCTTAACACACCCCAGGAATACAATCGTGGGCTAAAAATGGGGGCGGGGCCGTCTCGGTTATCATCGTAAGGTCCGGATCCATCGAGGACAACGGTGAATTAAATACGAGCGACTCGGAATGTCTAGGTCATACAGCCATTCATGGGAAAATTGTGCAATTTGCTGATTGTTGGTGACTCTTTCACTGAGTTTCGATAGTTTAAATGAACCTGATTTGCGCCAGCAGGAATCCACCATCGTCTTCACAAACAAGTAAGCCATAGGAAGTTTCTGAACTTATTGGCTCATCCTGCTTCAAACATTCAACCATCCACAGAGCAGAGAAAATGCCGGAAGGCTTGTGGAGAAGCTCCAATTCCATGAACCTAATCTCTCTAGAAGGCCTGGGATACCTGTTAGCTCTTTTATTCAGCATTCTGACAGTACGTTCGATCAAACGACGATATTTTTCAGCTCTGTATGCTATACCAGGCCCTTTTACCGCATCAATTACCAGGGCATGGCGACTGAAAGAGGTCTACTATGGTCATGTGGAAAAGACGGAGCTAAAATTGCACGAGGTACATGGTATGAGTCTCGATTTCCAGGATATACGTGAAAACAACTCATAGATCTCGGTAGGCCCTCTTGTGCGAACAGGTCCCGATGAAGTGGTGACAAATGACCTCAAAGCGATCCAGCTTCTCTATGGCATCGGGAGTAAATTCCCCAAGGTACGTTTCATACTCGTCTAAGTGAACTGACCTTGGATCTGGATAACTGAGTTCCCGATTGCAGACGGATTTCTACAGACTCTTCGGAATTCCTGACGTCTATGGTGTTCACCAGTTCTCGGCACTTCCCAATGCACTACATAAAAGGCTAGTCCGGTTCACCGCTGCGGCATTCTCCATGACATCGATCGTGGAATTGGAGCCGCTTGTGGATAGCTCGGTGGAGTTCTTCGTCCGCAGAATCAAAGAAATTGGCTTCAACGACACTCCTATGAACATGGTGGAATGGTTTCAGTGGTATGCATTTGACGTTATAGGGGAACTTACGTTTTCTACACGCTATGGCTTTATGGAAGAAGCTAAAGATGTGGGCGACTCGACCAAAATCCTTGATATGTTCCAAGCATATGTTTCCTTCGTGGGCCAGGCGTTTTCTTATCACTGGCTCCTCCTTGGAAGTCCGCTATTCTCATTAATCTTCACACCACCTTCAGGTATAATTGGTGAGGTATATATACCAGCTGGCTTACACCGTGTGCACACTAATTAGGTTAATAGATGGCTGTTCGTGAGGTCCAAGCACGACAAGGCCGGTCTTCCGACCGACGAGACATGTTGTCGCGGTTCCTTAAGGAACACGAGAAGAACCCGTCAGATTTTACAATGGACGACGTCTACCGAAACGGAGCCATGACAATGTAAATATGGAATCTTGAAATGACCATATTCTGGTCTATTACTAACATTCTGGTAGCGGAGGCGGCTCTGATACAACTGGAATTGCGCTGGCTTCTACCCTTTACCATCTGCTAAAGAGTCCTGAGACCTACAAACGACTTCGAGAAGAGATCGATAAGGCTATAGACGATAATAGACTGTCAAAGCCTGCCAAACTTCGTGAAACTCAGTCGCTGTCATACTTGCAAGCAGTTATCAAAGAAGGGATGAGGATCCATCCGTCAGTGGCATTTATCCTGCCTCGACATGTTCCGCAGGGAGGTTGTACGATTGCCGGAAAATTTCTGCCAGCCGGAGTAAGAAAGCCGACCTAAGAGCTTGATCATCCTTCTATAGCACGAGACTGATCCAAAACCGAACAGACACGCGTTGGGATGAACCCTTACGTTGTCCACAGAAATAGAGAGATTTTCGGCGAGGACGCGGACGTCTTCCGGCCCGAAAGATGGCTAGAACGTGACGAAAAGGACATGAATCGCTACATGCTTCAGGTGGGTCAGCCATCATACTTTTCATAAGATGAGACATGTTATGCAATCGATTAACACAAACTCATCACAGTTCGGTCAAGGCTCAAGAATCTGTGCGGGCAGACATATAAGTATAATGGAAATGAATAAAGCCCTGGTGGAATTGATTCGAAATTTCAACATTGAGCTCGCAGATCCGAAATTCAAGCTCATTACTACGACTCGGTGGTTCATGAAACCAGATGCACTGCCCTGCATCTTCAAACCACGTACAGATGCCTGAATAACAATCCTGTCGCTCGGCTCTATGTTCCTCCGCGCGATATTATACAGTTGAGGGGCAGAGATTCGTATAAGACAGTTTTTCGGGCTGAAAGGGATAGTGTGCACATTTCAGAGCATGAACGCAGGTGGTACTGTCGCTTGGAAATAGCTACTTCCAGTATTATGCTACGAAGCGGAAGATACCATGATGATGGAATTACCCTGCGTAAACGAAACTCCGCCTGTCTGCCAGGCTCACAAGTTTATAGTGCAGCTGGGGCAATCCATTCCTTGAACATTGGTGCCGAAGATAAGATAGAACCTAGTTGTATTTTGGCACAGATGGGGACTTGTCGTTAAAGTCGCTACCAAGCGAGCGATGTCTGCCTACATAATGATGCAGCTTTATTGTCCGAATTTCAAAGTTACTATGGACCGGAAGGTAGGCAGTGTGCGGGCGGAGGATTCATTCAGTGGAGTGAGCAAGAATTCCTGGATACTGATGCCTTGCACCACAACAGCTTCCTGTCGACAGGATGTTGAGCAGGCACACCTGCCGTATAGTCGGATGGTGAAACCTTGAAAATAGACACATACTCCTTAATCGTGTGAAGTATATCTATCACCGACACTACAAGGGCTTTGACGAAGCCTCGGTTGGAAACACAGTATCGTCGTTCCAGCTGCTTGAGGCTCCGCGAAGCTTATCTCTGATTGAGTAGTAATGCTACCTGCACACTGAGCTGGACAACGATATCAGTTGAACTACATTACGCTGATGTCTCAAATCTGGCATTTTTCACGACCGAACATAGATATTCTCCTCTGGGAAACAGCAGCTATGCCTCTATGCCTAGTGGAGGGATCTTAGGCCTCGATCTTGAACAAGAGCTCTGCATTGCCTTGACACACTTTTCTCATGTCGGGTGGCGCCAAAATTTCTCCCAAAGCACGCAGAAACCCAGGAACCTTCTGCGAATCAATAAATGGATAGTCGTTCGCAAAGAGTACTCTGTCTACCCCCCAAGTCTGAATTGCGACCTGTGTTGGGGGAAGAGAAAAGAAGCCAGAGATGGCGATCCATACTTGGCTGCGCAGAGCCTCCCCGACGGACCTCCTCAAGCCAAAAATCTGTTTGTCGAACATTGCATCGAGTCGTTGCAACATCATTGGCAACATCTCTCCCTGGTGTCCTACAACGAGCTTTAGCCGAGGATGTTTATCCAAAGTTCCGGAAACTGCGAGTCGAATGACATGAATGGCAACCTCATTGTGCCAGCCCCATCCCATGCCCCCGAATGTTGCAGAGAGCTTCGGTTTGCCAACAAAATCGTAGTATGTCTTCTGAACAGACTCCGGCGCGATACCTGGATGTAGAAAAAGAGGTACATCAAGTCGCTCAAACTCGCTCAGCAGCTCGTCGAATTCAGGATCGTCCAAAAATCTACCTTCACCTCCGATGGACCCAGACACCATCGCGCCCACAAAACCCAGCTCCTTCACACATCTTTGAAGTTCACTGATTGCGAGATCTGGCGCATGAACAGGTAGCTCGGCCAGAGCGACGAAGCGGGTAGGGTTTGTAGCCACAGCTTCCTTGAGGCTATCGTTGACGTCTCTCGCATGCTGGAGACCGGCTTCTGGCCCCAAGTGCATAGAATTGACAGCGGCAGCTAAACTCAGCACTTGGAGTCTAACTCCAGCCGCGTCCATGTCGGCAATCCTTTTTTCGGCAACATTGGACACGCGGCCGGCGGCGAAAGGCATGCTTTCGTGACGCAATAATTCTCTGAACATCCTTCTAGCATGCTTTGCAATGCCTGCATTGGGAATTCTTTCGGTCAGCTCAGGGAAGGACACATGCTCTTCGACGCCGATGACTCGAAGAGATTCGAATTCAGAGCACAGATAACTCGGACTTATACCTTCTATGGTTATCTTCTCGAGTGTCGGCCGTTCGGATACGGGCATTGTCATGATGAGTTTAGAAGGAAGACAATTCGTGCGTGTCCGCGATATGGTGGATAGATATCTCAAGGCCACGAAGTGTTGCAGATTATATCTGTCGATTAGGAGCAGAAGAAAGTACTTGCCAATCTGGTCCGAGACAATATCAACTGTTGCTCAGGTGTTCTTTTACAACAAACACGGCAAAGTGGGTGGGAATGCTGACTGACCTCCCCCCAGCGGACCGGCCCCCACAACGCCGGGAAATCGCTGTTCTACGGGGCAAAGGTGTGGAAGGCCACACCCACCCCAACTCAGTCGACGGGTCTTACGTCATCAGTGTCAACATCAATGTGATGAAATCAAGTCAATACCTTGTTGGGTGTACCTGATTCTCCCACGGTCGGGACACAATATATCCTGTCTCTGCGTGTGGAGCCTGGCTTTCAACCCTTGAAACCCCAAAACCAGTCCATCATCAACAACCTTGTAAAGTTGCCTTATCCTTGAGAAACATGATTTCAAATGTAAAGCTAATGCCCAATAAGAGAAACGGCCCAGGAATGGGACTTATTACGGGTGATCAGAACGATGGACAGCCTGCCTGGGAGGTTGCTTAGTGGGCTGAGCCGAAGTTGAGCCATATCTACGAGTACTACAGCAAGAGGTACTACTACTGACCGAAGAGAGATTTCCAAGAATATTTGACCAGAATCTTCAGACACAGAACAGCACAGATCACATAGTGCCTGAGTCAAGTGCAAGGAGGCTGTCCTAAGTAGATAGCACGGTTAGTGTCAGATTCGCCGCGAGTACCAAGGCTATCCTACGCCTAATATATTGACCCCTGAAGCTCGAGCTTTGATGGTGTCATGGCGAGAGCCAACTAGTTGAAGCGTTGCGAATTCTGCGGGCGGTTCAGACCATATTTTGAAGACCGGCGTCTGACTGGGCGCTCCCGGTGGATCGACTCCAGAGCCTGACCTCCGACAGCCGGACCGCCGAGCAGGTCGGCGATGAACAGGCCACAGACACGGCTATCGCCCTCGGTCGTCACAATCCGCATTTCCTTTCACCATATCCGCATAGTTCGTGAGCCACGTGGACCTCGAAATCTACGACCTGAGAAGGCCGAGCCAGAGCCATCCACATAGCCGTGCAAACATAAAAACTTCGAGCCCAAGACATCACCTCTGGAGAGCACTCGATTCCGCACTCGCCGCCCGACTTTGACCTGGTTAGATATTCTGAGTGTTGCAACTTCTGCCGAACTCTCGCCAACATGTTGGGCTTTGGGCATCTCGCACTGCGCGAGACTTTCAACACTCGCCTCTCCCTGGCCATCTTGCTCATCACCTTCTCTCAGTTCAATTTCGGCTTCGACCAGCAAGGGTTCGCAGCCACGCAGGCTATGGACTCGTTTGCGAAACAGTTTGGTAGATGGGACGCCGAGAAGGAAGAATGGTATCTCCCTAGCGTCTGGCTCTCTTGGTTTAACGGGTTCAACTACCTCGGCCAGGCCTTCGGTAAGCCGCGTCCCAGTGGCACAGGAAGCGTAGATCTAATTGTGATGCATAACAGGCGTGGTCTTTGGCAGCTGGGTAAGCCGACGTTGGGGTCGGAGGATGTGTATGTTCGTCATGAGTCTATGGGCTCTGGTGTGTGCCACCATCATCATCACCTCCAAGTCGAGAGAGCAGATCCTCGTCGCTCGAGTTTTGAACTGTGTGCCGCCTCTAGTCACATGGTCTCTTGACGAAGCGCTGACAGTCTTCAGATATCTACATTGGCATGGAGCTTGCCGTCGTTCCTATCTTCCAATCCGAGATCACACCTCCTAAGGCCCGGGGCTTCATTGTTGCGACATATCAAATCAGTCTGATGGTAAGGCAGCCTCACCGACACGAGATCGTCTGACTTACAGTAAAACAGTGCGGAGGTCTAGTGGTGAACTGCATTGCGCGCGGCACCGGCTCTCTCCCAGGCAACGAGGCATGGAGAATTCCGCTAGGATTATTCTATGTGGTGCCATCTGTCGTAGCCGCACTGATCTGGTTCATTCCGGAGGTGAGTCACGAGATAGAAGTATTTCGGGGATGGCTATTGATCATGTGCCCTAGTCCCCGCGATGGCTAATCATGAAAGATCGTCAAGAAGAGGGGATGAAGGTGCTGCGGGAGCTGCGAGTCGGCAAATTTACCGACGCAGATATTGATGCCGAGTTCGCCATGATTCTGCACAAGATTCAAGACAGTCAGAATCAAGGAACCTTGTTCGATATCTTTCAAGGCACGCATCTACGACGAACGGGGATCGTTGTTGGGTCCAACTTTTTCTTGCAGGCCACCGGTCAGCTATTCACAGCACTCTATGGAGCACTATTTGTCAAGTCACTCGGAACAGTCAACCCTTTCACGATTACGGTAGTTATTGCCGTTGTCAATGTGTGCACTGCTTTCCTCGCAATGACGCTCTTTGACCGCCTTGGCCGCAGGTAAGACGCCATATCGTCTGGGCCGTTGATTGTCCGCGTACTGACTGGATGGCATTGGCAGAGTCATGATCTTGGCTGGAACCTGTGTTCAGGTTGCTGCTCTGATGACCATGGGTGGCCTAGGAACTGCTTCCCACCCCGGCTTCAAAATCAAGTCGGGAATCGTCGCCACAATGGTCGTCTTCAACTTCGGATACTCGTTCGGCTGGGCACCTGCGGCGCATATCCTATCGGCCGAAGTCCCCAATACCCGCGCTCGTGATATGACCTATCGCACGGCGAGTGTCTTAAATATTGCCACGCAGTGTGCTGTCGCCACATCGATGCCGTATCTACTGAACGCCCCGTACGCTAATCTTGGTTCCAAGGTCGGCTTTATCTTCGGGTCTGTCGCAGCGGTGTCCCTTGTCTTTGCGTACCTGTCCGTTCCAGACTGCGCTGGTCGCTCCTTGGAGGATATTGACTGGCTTTTCGAAAATCACATACCTGCAACCAAGTTTAGAGCCGCCCAAATTGACCTTCAATCGGAAGAGAGAGCGGAAGTCGCAACGAAGCAGCCATGTGCTGAATGCGTCGAGTTTCGTTCATAAGGTAGCTTTGAGTTTAGGAAGATATGTGCTCTCAAGGAGACCATAGATCGCCGTATAAACCACTATTTGGACAGAGATGGCCGACCATGATGGCAATGTTGGCCGGGGCTATTGTAGATAGATTGCGTGCCGTTCACCCTCATCGTGCATACTGCCTGATTACATCATCTAACGTATAAGTCACGTTTCCACCACAGATGCTTATTTTTTCCCTGGGCTCTATTACCTTGAAGGGAGGCTGGAAGCTTTAAGATCCATACTCCCCCAGGCGTTAGTCGTCGATCATCTTTGCTCCGTGTTGGAGACGCTGGGGCTGCCAAGCCAGAATAATCCTGAATTGCAATCCTCATGACTGTCAACTTCGCCTCCGTATCTTCTGTCGTATGAGCCAGCTGCCTCCCCTTCTCATCAGTAAAGAGGAAGCATTGCCGAGGAGGGTGAGAAAACATCAAGCTCCAACTCCATGCTTCTCGACTAGATTGTGCACAATCCAATGTGGAAAGGCCAAATACTGTTGACCCTTGTGCTCCGGTCACATCTTAGCCGCCGGGGTGCTTCGCACCCAACTACGAGGAACGCTGGCCCAACTGGCCATTCGCCAGAAATCGTCGGTCGGCGCATTCGAGCCATAACCCCCTGTTTACAGCATGGCTAGGTCCTCGAAACGGAGCACCGACACCTGCAATACGTGTAGGGCTCGCAAAGTCCGGTGTGATGGCAACCGCAGCGTCTGTGGCAATTGCGAGCGACTCGGCCTTCCATGCTCCTACCAAGCCTCTCTCGATCAGGCGATTTATTTCAGAGATTTGCCACGCCAACGGGGCCAACGTGCTTGTCAGGAATGTCGCCGTCGCAAAATGCGCTGCACCGGTAACGTTCCTTCTTGTCAACGCTGTCAGCATCTAGGCCTCGAATGCTCGTATTCCCAGCCCCGGCCACAGGCCCACGCAGAGCCAGCCTCGGGCAGTCCAGCTACGCCTTACATAACCACCGAAGTGGCCGGCTCATCCGCCGTCGCGGGCGCCGCACAAGCCTTGAGCACCCCTTCGAACATTGCAGAGTCGAGGTTTCCATGTGGTCCAGCCTCCGTAGCTGTCGCGTCGTACGTATGCCTCCAGCTTTTGTTCACTCTTGAGAGGCTAACACAGCGAAAGGCTGTCTCTGCCAGATGATGCAACTATGTATTTGGTCTTTGACAACTTCTTTCGGCATCTCTATCCCATCCCGGTATTGTCCTTTCTTCACAAAGCGTCTCTTATCGAACGTTATCGAAATGGTCTTAGGGATGAGATTCTCCTGTACGCTTTGGTTGGAATCACTTCATTGCTGACGAAGATGAGCTCCGAGATCAAAATGAATAGCTCTCAGTACATCGACAAAGCCCAGAGCCTTGTCCTCGCCCAGTTCGAACAACCTTCCATCACCAAAATCCAAGCTCTGGTGTTTATCATTGAGCATAGAATCCTTTCCGAGCGTAGTGAAGCTGCCTTTACGCTAATTTCCATAGCGGTCAGGCATTCTTACGCTCTACGGCTCAATTACGAAAATCCGAATCTGTGTTTCCTGGCACGCGAGTCAAGGCGAAGATTGATGTGGTCCCTTTTTTTGTTTGATCTACATTTGGCAAGTGGCCTATCCGATTTTACCCTCTGCCCGGCAGAGTCGATCCATATACGTCTCCCGTGTCGCGAGGAGAGCTTTGAGCTGGATATCGAGCAGACTACGGAGCCCCTTTGCCGTACAGCTGACGAACCGCCCTCCTGCAAGGTTGGTTTGGTCGCGTTCTTCATTCGTCTCTACTGGATCCGAGGCAAGATACTGCACACGACCAAGAGACTTGTGGTGTCGAGGGCGCAAGATCTCCACTCCATCACGAGCCAAGTACTCGCGTTAGGTACCGAATTACGAGTTTTTGCTGCAAACCTTCCATCAGGATATGAGCTCACCGAACGAAACTTGCATCTGCGCGCTCATACCAGCCGAGTGGCACCTTACACATTGCTGTATATCTGGTGGTTGCAGTGTCATTGCGACTTGTATCGAATTGCTCTGGAAGGGCTGTATGAGGCCTTGCCGCGCCAGATAATCAGTCAGTTGGATCCGACCTTTGTGATCACCTGCCAACGGGAATGCTTTGAGAATGCACGGACGATGGTCGACACTTTTAGAACGATTCTGTCGTTAAAGGAACACCCGCCGTTCCTCGACTTCCACCTACCGATATGTGCCTATCAGTGCGCTAGAATATTGTTCTACACTTACCGCACTAATGCAGCCGCTTTCTGCCTCAGTCTCGATGGCGTAATTGAGCAGACGAACCGCTGTTTGGACATGATCAAATTCTCCCCCTCGCCACGCCAAGGTCTGCTTGTTATCCAGCGGGATCTTGAACACCTCATGGAGCTTGGCTGCTCCCGGTCGCCCTCGCCCAACGCACAGCCAGGGATCTCATCTAGGCAGTCGGAGCCCCCCTCTTCCGGACCTGGAGCATCACAGCACATCATCTCACGGCACAGTCTGATCAAGGGCATCGGGGTCGAAAATAACCGCGAAGAGTTGGCCGTGCAATCGCCCATCCCGCCGGGGACTAAGATGACGCCACAATCAGAGTATCTGAACGTGGGACCAATACTGCTTGATCCCTCACCGATGGTCAACGCGCATGGCCACCAGCAAACACCAATCACTTCCGAATATGTCCCAGCCATGCCAGAAAATGGTAATCCTTACATTGGCCCCGGTCTGGACGATCCAACCGCGGATTACTTCACTGTGAATACATTTAAATGGGCCTTTAACCTGTGGCCTAGTTTTCACGACCCGACAGCCACTATTGTAGGCCAAGGCGGCCCTTTCGGGGATGGCTGGGAAAATTATGGAGATACGAGAAATCATGTATAGAATCCAAAATCACGTTTCATTCTCCTTGTTAGCGGGGGATTTTTTCTTTTTCATTTCTTAATTTTGAAATATCTGGTGTACCGGCTCATCTCCAATTTCCAACATTGTCTGGTTTAGCTCTGCGGTGAGATTTTGCACGACTGAAGTATATGCGGGTGAATTGTACAGGTTAAGGAGCTCCAGTGGATCCTGATGACAGTCAAATAATTCCCATTCCTTGTCCTGCCCACCAGCTTTAGTCCCCGGAAGATCGAATCCCTGGTTGTACCAGTAGATGAGTTTATAACGTTGATTTCGTATGCCATAATGGGCATAGCAGTCGTGCATATTGTCCTGATGCATCCAGTAGCGGTGATATGCCACCTGGCGCCAGTCCGCCGGAGTTTGTTCTTGCAGTAGTTTCTTGATTGAACGGCCTTGCATATACGACGGTACGACGATGCCAGCGAGATCGAGCCAGGTCGCGGCAAAGTCCACGTTGGACACCATGTCATTACACACGCTGCCCGGTCGGATCAGGCGCGGATACTGTATCAGGAAGGGCATTTGAAAAGATTCCTCGTACATGAACCGTTTGTCGAACCAGCCATGGTCACCGAGGAAGAAACCTTGGTCAGATGTGTAAATCACCACCGTGTCGTCTACGAGACTCTCCGAGTTCAGAAAGTCCAGGATCTCGCCTACGCCATCGTCGATTCCCTGGATGCACCGGAGATAGCGCTTTATATACCGTTGATACTTAAAGTGGCGAAGCTCATCTTGTGACTTGAAACTGAACAACTGAGCGGTGTCTTTGTCAATGAGCGGACGCATGACGCTCACATCTGTAGGATTCGGTATCTTCCGATTAGGGTTTCCTGAGAAATGGCGCTCACCGATTTCAGCACCGCCCTCCGGTTGCACAAGGCCCAGGTCAAAGTAGTCGAGGTCTGCTTCGACTTTGATTTTCGCCACTGCCGTCGCCCTGGCGCGAGTTCTATAGTCGTCATTAAACGTCTCTGGCACTCGAACGTCCTCTTGGTAGAGATGCTTGTGTCGTGGGTGGCACTCCCACTTGCGATGTGGCGCCTTATGATGGCACATTAAGAAAAAGGGTCGCTTGAGGTCCCGCTGCCGGAGCCAGTTGAGCGATTTCTGCGTAATGATATCGGTTGCATACCCCGGATTCACAATACGACCTGTTGGTTCGATGAAGACAGGGTCGAAATAGTCCCCTTGCCCGGGAAGGACGGACCAGTAGTCGAAACCCGACGGTTCGTGAGGGGCCCCTTCACCCAAGTGCCACTTCCCGATCATGGCAGTCTGGTAATTGCCTCCAGCGCGCAGCTGCTTGGCCACATTAGGTAGGTACTTGTTGAGTTTGCTGTCGAGAGTGTGCACTCCGTTAACGTGCGAATGCGTCCCTGTCAGGATCGTACCACGAGATGGGGTGCAGATAGAGTTGTTGACGTAGCAATGATTGAAAAGCATTCCATTTTGGGCAATGCGATCAATATTGGGCGTGGTGTTGATGCCATGGCCGTAGGCAGAGATGGCCTTCGAAGCATGGTCATCGGCCATGATGAAGATAATGTTAGGTGCCCGTAGGGACGACATGATGATTTTTGTTGGCAAAAGTAAACGAACGAACAAACAAGTCTTAATGATTGTCCGGCTTGCGTCTTTTGTGCGACGTTCTCGCCGGGACGATTTCATAAGATCGCGCTAGATGGACATGAGGCTCCCATGCACGAGTCCCGGTGGGATTGAAGCTTACAGCTAAAGCGTTGGAGTTCAGCACCTCAGTCTATTTGCCGTAGTTGACCTTCGTTCATTTCCACCCAAAAAAAGAAAATGGCGACGCTGGTGCGAGGCCTCTCTGTCGGTCTACCAATGGGGATTGGATGTCGGCGAGCGGTCGGATGTCGGTGACGGCAATGAACCCAAGGTCTGCGGACCGAGGGCCGCCTCGACCAAACAGTGGCCATGGCTGGGGATCAACAGCTAGTGCCAAACTTCTGCTGAGCAGGATCACAAGATGGCGAGAAATTTGGACCACGCCAGAGGATTTCTGTGTGTTTAAGCGCATCCCTCCAACACAGCAGCCATAGAAATGTTGTCGTAATTGCAAGGGCCCTTCCGCAGGTAAAACCCGTCGCTTCGAACGTTATACCATGTCGTCGACATACCTCCCCATGGAAAGGAGCAAGAACATCGTCTTGCTAATAGCAGACGACCTCGGCCTTCATCTCAATTGCTATGGCTGTGCTGTCCAGACTCCCAACATTGACAAGCTGGCATCCCAAGGAATTCGCTTCAGCAAATCCTTCGCCAGCACAGCGTCGTGCAGTGGCAGTCGTTCAACAATTTACACGGGATTGCACACACACGAGAATGGGCAGATGGGGCTTGCGCACGGCTGGAACCATTTCCAGACCTATGACCATATTGAGACGATGCCACAGGCATTCAATGCACTGGGATATCAGACGGGAATTATTGGAAAAGTACACGTAGGGCCCACGCACGCATATCCTTGGGAGATCAGAGAGGAAAGTGGCACCCGGGATCCACGGTGGTACGCTAGGCGAGTGGCAGCGTTTGTGGATAGAGCAAAGGAAAGTGGAAGGTCATTTCACTTAACGGTTGGGTTTCGGGATCCTCATCGCGATGATAGTCGAGGCGGGTTCGGCAGCGACGAAGATGACGTGACTACTCTGGGTGCTCCGAAGTATGCAGCAGAGGATGTAGAAGTACCGTTGTTCTTGACAGACTTGCCGGAGGTGCGGACGGAACTCGCCCATTATTACCAGGCCATCAGTCGCATGGACATGGGGGTCGGCATGATAATGGACGTGATACAAGAAAAAGGCCTCCGCGACTCGACAATGGTTGTTTTTCTGAGTGACAACGGAGCTCCGTTCATCAACTCCAAGACAACGCTATACGACGCCGGTGTGAAGCTGCCCCTGATTGTTCGTTGCCCGGGCTCCGGCGCACAGGGTGTGGTCAACCCCAATATCACCTCCTTTGTTGATATTTTCCCTACCTGCCTCGATTGGGCGGACGCAGGCAACAGATGCATACAGACGGCGAGCGCAGGCAAATCTCCAAGACGGCTAGGACGCTCATTTCTCCCTATACTAGGCGCTTCCAGCGTCCTCAATCAACATGACTGGCAACAATGGGTGTTTGGCTCACATACCTTTCACGAGATTCAGAATTATTGGCCCACACGATTTATGCGCACCCATCGCTTCAAGTATCATCGAAATGTTGCGTGGCGGCTTGAGTTTCCTTTTGGGACGGACCTAGCGGTTAGTATGTCTTGGGAGGCCATCAGAAATGCGAAGCAGCCTGTCATGATTGGAGGACGGCCTCTAGAAAAATATCTTTTCCGAGGGCCCGAGGAGCTATTTGATCTAGAGAATGATGCGGAAGAGCTGCGAAACTTGGTGGATGATCCTGAGTATCAGGATGTGTTGTTGAACTGCAGACAAGAGTTGGAAAAGTGGCAGTATCGGACCAGAGATGCATGGCTGTATAGAGATAGCATTTCCGTGGTGGTGTCAGAAGCACACCAGAAGCAGGGCTTGAAGATCCCGGATCGCTTTGAGTTGGATCCAAATAACCCGGGGAATAGAGTAGGCAAATATTGGGAGCCTCCAGAAGTCAAGATCTCTGGACAGGAGAATATGATGTTTGCTGGCTAAAGCCTCGCCAGCATAAACCATGCTAGATCACTTCACAGTAGACACCATATCTGACATCATATTCGAACTATACTAGACCCTCTGTCTAAGCGATTGATATCTTCCACCGATATTTACAAGGACTAGATATCTGGAGAACCGATGTGAGTCTCCGCAGGGCTGGAGGTGAGATGCTAGGTTGCGTTGCTGTGAGGGCGAAAAGTACTCACTCAGATGGTTCGCACGTGGAGGGGAAATGCGGATGCCAGGGTAGGCTCATCGCCCACGGAAGGTCTTATATAGATACAGATACAGATCTCTTCAACTTCTTTGCCCACATAGCACATAGCTTTTGTTATATCAGAGGTATGACATCTCGAGTTCTTAAGGCCTCGTAACCAGACGTATGATGAGATCACAGGGCATAGGGCATAATTGACCAACATGACAGCTAGTAAGTTCCGGTACAGATCATCCATACCATTCACTTAGGAGACAGGCTATCGAGACACAGGTACTTCTATAGGATAACCGCGCATGAAATGCTTCGCCTAGCAAACGGTTCACATTTTCAACAGCTCTTGGATAGCCTCAGTGGTCTGCACTGGGCTCTCTAGGGTCCAGAAATGGCCACCAGGCATATACTTGACCTCCACGTCCTTTGCATTGGGAATGTAATCTCTGGCTTCCTCATAGAACTCTCGCGGCTGTGTTGGGCTATCATAACCCTGCATGATCATTACAGGACACTGCCACAGAGCCAAAAGTCGGTTCCGACGATCGAGTCACTCCGCGCGGAACGAAGATGAATTGAAATAACGGGGGACGGCGTGTGTGATTTCGGGATAACAGTATTCTTGTATCACACGCGTGAATATTTCGTCAGGTATCGGCACCTTGGCGATCCAGGTATACACCCAAACGACAAACCGGGCTGGGTCTTTCATGATGCCGTTGTAGGGTGCGTCCTTGAAGATGTCGCCCTGTGGTGCGAGAACCGGGTTAAAGTGGTAGAGATGCTGCTCACCGCGGCCGTAGCGAAGTACGGCCGCAGGATGTTTAGCAGCGATGTAGTCGCCCTGCACAGTGCCTCGGTCGTGACTAACAACATTGAACTGTACGAGTCCAATCTGTTGAAGCATGGCGTACATATTCTCAGCTGCGCCTTCGTGACGATAGTCACCTGGTTTCTTCTCCGACTGGCCATAGCCTTTCAGGTCAGGCGCAATGCAACGATATCCAGCCTTTGCAAGGGTGGCCATTTGATGATGCCATTGAAACCAGGAGTCGGGAATGCCGTGCAGCAAGACAATAGACTCTCCAGTGGCCGGCCCAGCTTCTGCATAATGAAATCGGACTGTCTCATGGTCTCCAGGGGCGTCCACGAAATGGTGTGTAAAAGCCACACCGTCCAAGACTTCTGTGCTACCTTCCGTGTCTAAATCTCGCTGCTTCACAAAGGCAAAATCTTTGGCGCGTTCCTCCACTAACTTGTCGCTCGGAATGAAGTTTTCGATCGTCTTCTTCGCCCGTTCGGGGAGTTCGGTGTACTCATGGGTCGTCATCATGGTCCAGTGCCTTTGCAGTTGCTATGATGATAATGTCGAAGCCTTGCTGAAGGAACTCTTATGTAACAAACTTCCGATACGATTTGTAAGTCTGCGCGAAGGGAGTGATGGGACAAAGGCGTCCTGATATTACACTCCAAGAATGACATTGCATGGTGCTCATGTGTACATATGCTACTCTCTGTGTGTCTCTACTTCTTTCCGGACGACCCTTGGCCGTCAGCCAAACCCGTCAACCCGCCACCTCCAGCAGGTCGCAATTGGGTTCACGGGTTTCAGGCGTGACACCGTGGATGGCCTGGACCCTTTCGCGATTCCCGGGGTAGTTTTCGTTTGCTCACTGCGTACGCGTGGGCCGCCCAACGATCAGCGGCGAGCTCATTCTAGTAAACGAGAGACGGCATCGATGGTCGGCACAGTACGAGATATGACGTCCGGAAGGGGTGGGCGACGAGCGCATGGCTACGGAAGAAGTGGGGCCCTCAACAAAGAACTGTATTGTAGTTTGTGGTGGTCAAATCATTGCATGACTGCCAGTTATTTCCAAACGATAGCTATATAGCTGTATTCGAGATTCTGTGCGTTTTTGAGACTATTCTCGAAACAAATCAAGTACCGACCATCTGTGCAGTTCGTCCCATAAGGTCAATGTACGCCTCCTCACCCCCAAAAATATTCTCGCCACCATCACGCATGATCCTTGATTCAGCAGGCACTATTCCACGCCATCAATCTGAAAAAACACCTAAAGTACGACGTAAAAATCTCAATCTTCAACCACCTCCTCGCATTTCAATCACGCAGCAACGGCCACGACTGCCAATCTCTTGCCCCCAGACTTCTCGGAGGGAATATCCCAAATACCCTGCGGTTTGGCGGCGATCTCGTGGTCCTCTCGTTGGCCGTGGCAGCGACAGCGTCTAACGCCGTCGTAGAGGCCTTCCAGCTCCTCATCCTTTTCGCCCTCCATGAGCTCTCGCACGTCGACATCGGCAGGTAATTGTGGAGGCGACAGGGGACCGTCATCATCTTCATCCGACGATGAAGAAGTCGAGCGGATCATGCGCGGTGGCCGGGCGGATGCGGATTCGAAGCGCGTCAGGGACAGATCGCCCATGTTGTCGCCGAGTGGGTCGAGCTCGTCGTCCGCGAATTCCAGCGCTGCGTCCTCTTCGTCTGAGTATTCGTCATGCACGGGGCGTTGCTTGGTAGCTTTTACTTCGCCAGATGCAGAGGCCGCTGCGCCGTCATATTGATATGCGTCTGGCTCATCGTAATCATCTGAGGAAGTCCCCTCGGAGTCCGAGTCATCGAGATAGTCTTGTTTTGCGGAAAAGGACACTGGTGGAGGAGAGTGCCTACGAGCCGGTGAATTAGTACCCCGATTGTTGGATGCCACGCCAGAGGTCCTCGACGGGCGAGCATTGTTGTCCCGAAAGCTGATCCTGCGCCCTCGGGAGTCTGGTTCTGCAGGGGTCGGTGTGGGCTTGGTGCAGTCGTAGTGCTCTTCCGGTTCCGGCGGTGGAGGTGGCGCCGCTTTGGTACAATCGTAATGCTCCTCTGGCTCGACTGGTTTTGCGGCAGTGCAATCATAGTGGGCGTTTCCATCATCGCCGGGCGCTTTTCCCTCCAGGAACGAAGATTTTGCTGTCTGGTTCTCAATTTCCATGATCCGGAGCATCACGTTGTCTAGCGTGAAGGCATGGCCGAGGATGAATCGAAGGTCGCGGTCTCCACGCTTCGCAGAGAGTTTCAGTTTACATTGTGCGGTGTGTGCGAGACTGTAGGTCGACACCGTGGTGAGAGATCGAACTTTGGCAGACATTTTGTTTGTGGAAATGGGATTGGCGAGTGAGTCGAGGCGGTACTACAGTTCTTGGATCTGAAGGCTCAGAATAAAATGGCTGGTCCAGCCTCTGTCCCGCTGATGTGTCAGTGACTCAGTGGAAACACGAGCCAGAGTCGCGCTGCTTGTGATAAGTAATCCCTGCTGATAAGGACCCCTCGGCCAGTGGTGTGAACAGTGGTCTATCACAAAGAAAAGCGCGTCACAAGACTGCTGGTTACTGGACGATGTGCGATTACGGGAGGAAGCTGAAGAGTGAGATTCTCTAGATCGTAAAGAATCGACTAGAATTACTTCACCGGGCGTCGTTTGGGTCCAGGCTTACACATAGTGAAAAGCAGCGTCCGTGCTGTGAGGAGTTGCGCTGACAAATGGTGCGAAACAGGCTGACCAATGATGAGGTCTGGACACCTTCCCAGCCGACGTGTAAGTGATGTCCCAATGTGGAAAGTGGGTCCTGACATGCCCAGGAGCACGTGCTTGATGGCACGTGTTTCCGATATATCACCGCTTCATACGAGGCACTCGCCAACATGCCAGAAAGCTGGAGCAATCATGATCGGATTGGAGTTGAGAATAGTACGTATTTTACTCAGTATGTTACCAACAGCTACCAACACCCATCTGCTGAGTTCAGCAACATGACAGGTTGCAGCTCGCCGGAACCACTCTCACTGCTGAAACTCCGACTCCAAGCCTTCCGAGCCAGACGCGCAGGCGGCATGGTTATACCCCTTTTTGTCTTTCATCTTTCCTAGTATATGGTACATAGTAGCAGCAAATAATGCTGTATTAGAACACGGTTGAGATGCGTATATCATAAACGGATAAGATGGCTCCCCGTCAACATGCCCGTTGCTGAGCGTGCGCAGGAATATTTCTGCTGGACCTCTTCAACGGTACCGTTGCTTAAATGATCGTCACGTTGGTTCGCCAAACTGCATATCTTATGCGGCTGTGGCCTTCCTTGACCCTCTAGCCTTCGGATTGAGTGACTTCTTCTTCTTCGTTCGTGGGCTACTGCCCGTCTCCGCGCCTTCGATAAACTTCAATAATTCATCAATGCTCCTATGATCCAAGGCGGCATTGCCAGTGCCCGTCCGTACGTTGGGTTCAGTCGCCGCGGTCCTGGCAGACGCATTGGGGGCGACAGCGCTGGCACTCTGTGGTTGGAGTCTTGTCCCCAAGCCCATCCGGGGAAGTTGTCGAATGCCACCAATACGTCGGCTTTGCAACAGCTTGGCTTGTTTGGCAATTGAAACAGCATTTTGAGTCAATTGTTCAAGCCAGCTCTCTGCCTCTTTAGTATTGCGGTCTGCCGGGCCCAGCTCCGCCAAAAAGATATTATAAGCATCGCGCATTTTAGTCACGGCCCCCTTCGCGTCACCATCCAGAGCCAGCGCCTGTGCCAGTTGGAAAAGGATTGTTGCTGCATTGATAGATTGACGACCAAACAAGCCTTCGCAGATTGTGTAACAGGCTTCAAACCACTTTCGTGACTCAGAGTACTCCTTCAATGACTGAAGCATGACTGCAGCATTGTTCATCGTTGTGATGGAGTCGGGGTGGTTGGGTCCAAATATGATCTTCCAAACATCAAGAGCATGTCTAACATATTTCAATGCCTGTCGAGTATTCCCAACATGGTGTTCAAACAATGACAGGTTGAGGTACGCCAAGATAGCGTCATGTGAATCGACTCCCAAAGTTCGCTCGGTCACAATGACAGCTTTGCGAGCCAATTCAACAGCCGCCTCCTTTTCGTCTGTCTGGTAATATATCGTTGATAGGGAGTGGTACATCTTTGCCACCTCTGGATGCAGAATACCGTAGATCTGCTCATGTAGTGATAAAGATTCGAGAACCAACTCTTGGCCCAGTTGCTTTTGTCCTTGAGCCAATGAAATCTTTCCGGCTTCTAATGCCTCCTCTGCCAGTGCACTTCTTGGGGCTGCATCTTTGACAATTGGCGCAATGTTCAATATATCCTCTGGTGTAAATGTAACGTTGGATTTTACGACGGTAGCAGCTTGTGTTTGGTCACCGCCCTTCTTTTTCTTTTTCTTGCTTCCTTCGTCGGACTGTGCACCATTGTTGGAATGAGTGTCGCTACCACTCCGTGCTGGAGAAACATCGAGAGCAATATAATCCCCTCTACTGAATGAGTAGTCTCTTGCTGCGAGTTGGAGGCCAAGTTTCAAGCAGATCTCACGCAGCAGTGGGAGGGGTTGAATAAGCGATTTCCAGCCACTTGGGAGAGTGTATCGATAACGCAACTGAACTTGCTTCTCGATCGCCGCCTTGATATTAGTAGGGTTTACCTTTTCAAAAGAGAAATCGCCATTGGGATAAAACGCACGCAGATCTTCATCAAGTTCGGGTCGTGGGTTGGAGTTTAGATCTGCACCCAGGACAGAGTTCAGTAAGTGGGAGATGGCCGAGCTTGCGAAGATGGCGGGGAGATGGCGGAGGTAGCCATTGAGGATATGTTTGATGGCTCTCGCAACCATTTCCTGGAGGACCACAACGGAGAACGCATGAAGTCGATCACCTTTCTCGGCAGCGGCCTTTGCAAGACGTCCAAGGTATCTGATATTGATGCCACGCTTGTGGATCAATTGGCAGAGAGATTGCCCGTCCATCGGATAGCCCACATCACCGTCGTGCAGATCAGTGAGCAGATCAGGAATGACCTTGTTCCTGAGAAAGTCAGACACAGCTCGGACCTCTTTCTCGTCGGCGGCATATTCCTCCTTCTCTTCATCCGTCTGCGGTACTTGACCACTGCAGACATCAGGGTTGAGGGCCAGGTTGAAATTTGAGATATCCACACGCTCCTGATCAAGGGCGGGGGCTAGCTTGGAGGTTTGGTCTTCGCCTTCGACGTTAGCCGCTCCTTCGTTCCCTTCTTCAGCGTGGCCGTTGGTTGCGATCTCATTGCCCTGAGCAAGCTTATCATCATTGCCATTCGTCGTTTTCGCGCGGCGTTTTTCAACTTCCGCACGGACATATTCCTGCATTTTCGTGCGCCAGTAGGCCTCCACCAACTCCAGCCTCAATACAGACATTCGATGTGGGTACTTCTCCTCGTCCGACCCTTCCTCAATCTCCTCCGACCAGGCCACATCGAGTGGAGTGATGCGATAGAGATCCAGGACATACTTGCGACCGTCCGTGCCCAGCAATCCTTTGGTCTCAACACTGCCCTCCAGGTCATGGCGTTTGCCCTCCTTATCCCACACGGCATGTTTCTTAACACGAAGAGACCTTGACAGCCTTTCGAAGACGGAAACAAATGTTTCGTTTTCAGTCACAATATCCCGGCCTTCCACGCCACCATAATCAATCTGATGTTCACCGGGCTCTCGTTGCTTGAAAATACCAGGAACGATACTCTGACCGACTATACGCTTGCCAAGGTAGTCTACTACGACGGTACCCGGGGTGAACAGCCCATTAATGTCAAGTTGGTTGACGGCCTTGACACCAGCAACATCTTTTCCAACAGCCACTCTGGCAGCCTCGTCTCCACCTTCGCTCGCAAAGGTTTGAACTCCATCCGCACCGAAGGAGTAGAAGATGTTGTTATAAATGAAGATCTGGGCGTCCCTTCCCTCTGTGGGGTTTAACGGAGCAACCTCTCCACGAGCGACGAGGACCGCACCTCTGGCAGCTGCATCGTTGTAATCAGCAAACAACTTCGATGTCAGCCGTTCGCGGAAGACACGGTCCTGCAACGTCTCTCTCGGTAGTTCTCTCGTTGTTTGAAACTCTTCATTCCAGTCGCGGAGGTTCTCTGCGCCATCCGCCCCACCGATAAGATAAGCTTCTTGAGCTCGGGTGGGATCTGCTTGATGCTGACACGCTTGGAAGCTTGAAAGGGGGACCAACCAGGGATTAGCGGGAATGGCATTCTGGAAGGGAAAGGTGGTTAAGAGATCTTTTTGGCCATTTAGCTTCTGGAGCTCGAGGAAAGCTTCGTTAAAGGACGGCGACAGGATTGATATTAGTGTCAGCAGAGAATGAGCGCCGTGGTTCTTCGGAGCTAGGCGGGGAGCAGGATCGAACTTATTGCTGGAAGACTTGTTGACATAGAATCCAGCAATCGTAGAGGTCAGGTGGAACTGCTCGCCTTCATTGGTAGTCAGTTGGAGGTACAGCAAATGACCGCGCTGTCGTAGGTGGTATGGAGGTGGGTTCCATTGTGAGACGGAGAGACTCTTGATCGTCTTCGGTGGGCTGTCCAGACGAGCCGGCAGTATGGCGTTCAGGGATGGTCGTCCGTCCACCTCATACCCGAGCAATGGATTGTCTTCAGACTTAGGAGCTGGTGCTAGAACGGAGCCAAACTTCTCGTCGTGCAAGGACAAGCCTGCGGATATACCGTGCAACTGGTCGGAGCGATCTCCAGTGGCACCAATCAACTCTCGCATCCGAACAACATGTAATCTCGCCTCTTTCTCAGTATAAGGATCCTCAATCAGGACCAATTCGTCATTAGGCTTGAGATCCTTGACCTCGGACAACTCCACAAAGTCATTGATCCGCAGGCCTGCGTGCTCGAGATGAAAGCAAGTGTACTGGAAGGTGTCGGGTGTTTCGACGATGGACTGTCGCACGTCTTGAACCTGCTCTTGACTTGTGACAGTGATTTGCATGGTATAAGGCTTGTGGGGCAGCTTGACAGACACCTGGAACAGAGCTCCGGCGTTGTCGTCATGCTGGTGATCATGGCTATGGTCGTGGTCGGGGAAAGGGCCGTTGTTGCCGTTGGTCAGAGCTTGAGCCGTCTGATCGTTGTTTGAGGCGGTCGTCGCTTCTGTAAGAGCGTTAGCACCAGCATCGAGAGTGGAGGAACGGAAGCCGGAGACCTTTGGTGTTGTTCACGTCACCATTGGAATCAGCCATTAGGGAAGATTTATTGGAGAAATGCAATAGTGTACAGTGCAAACGGAGAGCCGGGACTAGGAGAAAAGAGTGACAAGCAGATAGTGTACAAGAAGGGAGCCAGTCAGGCGTAGAACAATTGTAATGTACAGCAGAGACAGAAGGAGAAGGGAATGAAGGTGGAATCAAGAGTCGAGACAAAATCGAGTCAAGTTACCTCAGAGAGTTCCAATAACTTTTGCAGAGGATTAATTTTCTGGAGCAGCGCCAAATGGGGACTAGTTGGCCCAAGGATGTTTCCGGATTGGCCGGCCGGGGAGCTGGAAGGAAGGAACAACCCACGACCTCCAGGGCCACCAAGTCACCGGCACGAGAAGAAACCGCGCTCCTTCCATGCTTGCACCCGCCGCTACGAAAAAAGGCCGCTATTGCCGAGGAGTTGCTGGGTGTGCCTGCCTCAACTCGCTCAGTTGCCCGACCGGAATGGAAAAACAAGATTCCGTTTCACCATTCGAGCTGTTCCCACACACCACGCGTTTACTTCTCGTAGTCACGCGATCTGCCCGCGGGCGCGTATACTAGTAGTACTCCAGAAGGAAAGTCGCGCTCGTCATGCTCTTTTTCCGCCTTTGTAATATGCAGGTACGGAGCACTCGCTATTGAATCGTGGAATCGGCCGTAAGAGAATTATTCTTCAAAGAAATTGGCTACCAGCAACTCTCAAGTTTGTTCTGGCGGACTCGAGCACGCCGCGTAGTGGCACGTAAGAGTGATTGCGTAGAAAGGAGGCACTGCTGTACATCCATCAACACTCATCTTGTAACATTAGAGTACTCGGTACAACTGCAATTGATGTACATTCTCTCCTCGTTGCCTCATAAAGATCCCAACTTGCCCAATGCTTGCCTGTAGGATCGATCATGTCCCTGGCTTAGCTTCCCCATCCGTCCACTTAACCAAAAAAAATGGCACGAGTCTGATTTGATCTTCCTGACTGTAAATTGGACTGGGCACGTGGGTGATCCAACTCTCATCCCTTTTCCGAGTCTCCATCCCAGACAGTAACGCTCCATAATCATCAAAACCCTCGACCACATCACTTCATCCACGGCAGTCTGGCCTCGTCGCTCTTTAACACGACCTTTCTAAACGTCTTGTCACTTCCGTCTTGATGCCTTTAACACATAACATTGCCGTGCAATTCTAGCGCATCAGAATATCATCTGCCCCACCCTGCCAAGTTGTGCAATTGCGCTCGAGTCGCGCGGCTGTAAAAGCATGCGCATGCGATTAATCATGAGAGCTGTTCAAGGATGGATGATGGCCAGAGCTCGAGCTGGCCCAGCGATCTTAAGAGGTCGGATACGAGCACCTGTGGGCCGACCACGCCGACATGCTTCGTCTCAGTTTGGTCCAACAAGCACCATTCCTGGGCAAGATCAAGATGAAGAAGAACCACCGAATGATCCAAAATCAGACAAAGAGCCCAAGACTTCTCGGATGGGTCCGACCTTCTTCAAGATCTTCGAGACTGCTGCCACGACATTCGCGTCCATTGCAGTTCTAGGCTTGGCAGGCTACACATACCATATCTACTACAAGGCGCTAGTCCTTCGCAAAATCGAGAAAGCCTTTGCTCCGGGTGATCCCATGTTGGATCTAGCTTCGCCGCCTGGACCTCATGTTCCACCTGGGGATACCTCGGACTCGCCAGAAGACGATGACAATTGGATTCCCCGTCCCGAGCAGTCCAAGATTGACGCCATCATCAACGGCGAGTCCAAGGGTCGATACTATCTCATTGTCGGCGAGAAGGGCACGGGGAAATCATCCATGATCCTAGAGGCCATGCGCAAAACTGACGGTGAAGGTGTGTCTATGTTCGAGGCCCATGCCGATCTGGAAATTACGCGCATTCGACTTGGCAAGTCGCTGAACTACGAGTTTCATGAAGATTATATTGGTTCTTTGTTCTCCATTCGTGGGCCGAGAGACACGACTGCCTTGCTGGACATCGAACGTGCATTCAACAAACTCGAGAAGATTGCAATGGCCAACCGTAACAAATCTCGACGTCTTCTTAAGAGGGGTCGGAATGGTCCACTAGTTCTGATTGTGAATTGTGCCCACTTGATCCGAGATGACGAGGACGGAAATGACCTGATCGAACTCATGCAACAACGTGCCGAACAATGGGCTGCCGCAAATTTGGTCACGATGATATTCAACTCTGACGATTACTGGGTCTATGAAAGGCTGAAGCGATACGCTACCCGGATGGAGGTCATTCCCATCCTAGATCTGCCCAAGGACAAGGCTATCCAGGCCCTTGCACGATACCGTGCAAAGTACTTTCCCGGCCACGAGCGGGACATGGGAGTATTCAAAGAGGTCTATGATTTGGTGGGCGGCAGATTGAACTTCCTCAACCGGGTGGCGAAAAGTTCGGACATGCTCAAGATGTGCCATCAAATCAACGAGCTGGAGAAGACATGGTTTCTGAACAAATGCGGCATTCTTGGAGAAACCATGGACGACGATGTGATGGATCAGCAGAAGTATGCCAGCGCCGCCATGGTCCTCGCAAAGGCTCTTGTCGAACGCAGCAAAGAGATGGAGACGAACTATGATGAGGACAAAGGACATATTCTGCCGCAAATACCGCTATACATTGCTCGCGAGATCATGACCCGTGCAGATTTCATCCAGACGTACGACCACGATAATATCTTTACCATTGACAGTAGTGCGATGGTTCGTGCAGACTCAGTGCCCATGATGAATGCATTCAAGGCAATCTGTGCAGAAGAACGCTTCGACAAGCTCCTGGACGACACCCTGGAGCGAATTTCTGCAATCGAGAGTATCAACAGGACGAAGGAGCTCACATTCAAAGACCTTTGGACGATCCAGAGTGGGGAGCAGCAAGGAAAATATGCATTTACCACCAAAGACGCCAAAGGGCGTGAAACAGGAGTCATCGAGATGAGGGTTGTCCCAGACAAGTCTCCCGATGACGATGATGATGACTGAGCGTCTTGGGTCTTCCGCCCATCTGCAGTCGCTCTGGGGGCTCGATCCGTGACCATTCGCAATTTTATCTACCTCCTTCGTCGCAACCTTAGCTGGGCAGGCCATGCATTGTCACAATATGCTTCAATCCAGAGATTCCACCAAGACACAAAACTTTTATTATGGCAGCGGCCAGGCAACACTGCCTCAGAGTTGCCTCCAAATTCTCAATGAATAACTGGGAAGTCATCCCTCAATACGACAGGACGGATCAATGAAGCGATATCTGCCTGGGTCCAATGCCAAGTCAGAAGCATTAGACATGAAGAATTCTGTTAATATATCAGTGTAGCTTCAATCGGTGAAAACCACCACTTGGTGTGCCTGGTGCAACTCATGAACCAGGCTACCAAGGCCCGCACTGTTTTGCAGAGTTGCTGCATTGCATTGAAACCACGGAGGCCATCATGGCCCCTTGGAAGTCTTGGGCGGTTGGAAAGTATGTAGTAATACCAAGACAGGCGGGAGGGACATCTGCATTTTGCATTTCGCCGAATGTATTACTATCTTCAATTTCCTAGATTAGCATAGACGCACTTCTGGTGTGTATATACGATACTGACAGCGGCCATTTTGCAAGGGATTTGGCAGTTAGAAAGTCACTCATGGACTATATATTGGTCCCTTCTTTTGCTCAGACACAGAGGTCGCGACTTTGACAAGCAACACGCGTTTTGATGGACTGCTTAGTCTTCATGGAATACTACGATAGAGCTCTTCAAGAACCTCAAGAACTTCAAATACACCACAGTAACAGTAGAGCAATAGGAACAAGAATAGTAGAGGTCAGGAATACAATACCGTACTGGTCCGAGCCACCAGAGCCTCGCCTCTTCGCGTCTCGTCTCTTCTCTTCTGCCCGATGTTCAATTTCGTAGTTATGACGTTGTGATCAACCAGTCCTCTTTCCACCAATCGCGTCATGATCGCGAAACCTCAAGCAGCTTCACCTTCACCCACCACAACATCACCCGCGACCACTCTCTGCCAGCCATCCGCTTTTTCTATTCCTCACCCACAATCATCGCGTCTTAAATCGAATCTCGCACCTCGCATTCTCTCTCTTGATGCTCGACGACCTCCTCGAGCTGACCGGCAGTCTTGTCCATCAAGAGGAGCACCATTCGCCCGCAGCCAATTCCCCGCCTCTTGTTGTCGCGTCACGCCTCATCAACGATCCCGCCAACACCACAATGCCACCACGCAGCCGGCACTCGAAATCCGCCAGCGTCGCGTCCAGCACCGGCGGCAGCACCGCCGTCGCAAGCAACGGAGAAATGCTCCCGCCCGCCGGTGCAGCGTCCCCAAGTACTTCCAAGGCCAGCTCGCCCGCCACGCGCAAACCGCGGACGGGGTCGCGTTCAAGCAATACCTCTCCTGCAGCCACCGGCTCGCCCGTTGTGGTGATTCCCGCACCTAAGCATAGGAACCCACTGAACAATCCCGCGACCGCGGTCTCCGCGTACGACGTCACTGCAGAAGCGGCGAAGTTCGTGGTGACGGTGGTATTGAGCACGATCCTCGAAGCTACATTGCAGACTGTCGCGGGCAGTGTCGGCGTCGGCGACCTGGCTGCCGTTTCCAAGAGGCCAGAGTCCTGGCTTGAGATCGGGGCCCTGTTGGGGTGGAAGGTCGTGCTGCTGGGCATATACTGGTTCTGTGGATTTGACGGTCAGGACCTCCGACCTCCCTTCTCCCTTCTCCCTTCTCCCTTTGCTTTCGAGCCCGCAAATGCTAACATGATACACTTTCAGCATACGACGTCGCCTCCCTGACACTCCTCGTCAGCACACCCACCACCCTGCTCCTGGGGCTCTTTTACGCTATCTCTCCTGCGACCCTCCTCAGCACAACTCTCTCCTCCATCCTCTCAACCTCAACGCCTTACTATTTCCTCCGCCCTTTGTCCCCAAGCCACACACCCGGCTCCGCGCCCAAATCCAGCCTCCGGAATCGCCCCATCCTGACCGACCCATACACAACCATCGCAACCTCGCTCCTCGCGAGCGCCATCTTCGCCGTCCTGCTGGAAGCCTCCTTCGCCACATTCTTGCCCGAATTCCTCGTCGCGCACTTCTTGGGACTGAGGACAATCGAGGCCGCGCACTTGGGTCCCTCGGGGCTGCCTACACTCCTGCTTGCGCTCCTCCCCGCCGGCGTCGCGGCGCAGGAGTACATCTTTGCGCCTTCGACCGCAACACCATTGCAATCCCCTCCGGGGATAGAGTTCGACCCCGTGACCGCCTCGTTCGCCGCACACGTATACCACAACGCGTGGGGCTGGTACTCTGCGCGCCAGAAGGAGCTGATTTCGCGGACGACCATCCTGACGGTCTTGATCGTGGCGCAGACGCTGCTACATGTTGGCGGCACAATCAATGGTGTTGATGTGGAAGGTGCGCTTGGCTACGCGAGCATCTGGGGTTCTGGGGTTATCATGGTGGGCGCGGTGCTAGACTGGGTGGGTGGGCCGAGTGACTGATTGATTCGGTGCGTAACTAGACTAAGAGGAAGAACGTCTGAGTTGGTGTTTTCTTATTTCCTTGCCTACTTGCTTTCTTGCTGGTTGCTGCTTTTTTAGGCATGGCATTGGCTATTGCTGGAATTCACGTGTAGGAGAAGGGCAGATTTTAGAAGCATTGCTAGGAGCGGGATGGGATGGGATGGGAGTGCAGCCAGCCGGCTACTTTTGCGGGAATGCGGATGTCTCTTGTGAGAAATTCCAGGCACACAGGGTTGCTGCAAGGGAGCGAGCATCGACAGAGAAAGGCGGCAATAATGCAAACAAATCCGATTGAACCTCGTGAAACCCCTTTTGACGTTTAACACCAACCAAGTCCATTCTCAAACCTGTCAATTGTACCCCGTCTTTTGAGGCGCTGGTGAAGCAGGATCGGAATTCAATGCTCTCATGGGGTGGTGTGCAGCCGAACATGCCTTTCAAGAACCAACAAGTGGTTTCCGAACATCCTATCACCCGCTCTCCAGCGCCGATGTTACCACAATATCATGCAAACATAATTTTGGCCCAGAGAAGGGCGCTGCGGCTTGCTCTATCAAAGGCCATGTCCTGACAGAGGCGACACTGAAAACAATGGGTCAGGAGCCTTTCCCACTTGCCATCCTTCGACCCAAGAAACTCATCAAGGACTTGCCGCCGCGATCACTACTTGTACTCCAATACCTGGACTTGTTGGTCTTCCCTTCCTCTCCCTTGCATTCTTCCAGTCTGGCCTGGACCTCATCCTCCACCGACGGGCCAAATTCAGTTACAGTGGCTGGTGCAGTCTGGGGTAGGCTAGCATTCCTAAGCAACCCACCACTGGTGAAAGGACTCAGTGGCCGCATCGTCTTTTCTAGATCAAAGTCTGCCCCATCGATGGTAAGAGTCAATTTTCTTCTCAAACCTTTTCTGCGAAGTGTCGCTTTGGTAGGTGATGGGGGTGTTTCACTTGTATCCAAGATCCTGGCCCGGGGCGATGTATTTTTGGGAGATCGCGGAGATCGGGAAATAATTGAAGCCAGCTCTTCAATACTGTCCTTGGTCTTTACACTCAGAGAATCGTCCAAGTCACTCATGGCCAACTTATCGGCAACGAGCTTTTGTGTTATGGGACTGTAGCTTGGTATTTTGGCTGCGCACTGAGCCGGTGACGGAGTCATTGAGTCATGTGGATCTGATTGCGATGGGGGTGTTTCATTTGTCACCGCATCAGTATATTCAGTGGTGGAATTTTCGGTATTCGAAGACGACACCGAACTGCCACATATTGAAGAAGGGTATATTTGGAGAGTCTCAATGCCACGGTCGTCTAGGTCTTCTGCGAGATTCGTTAGCCAAGGCCTTTTCACTTGTGAGTGGATGTACTTGCCAGCGGGACAACAAAAGAAGCGAAAAGCAGCATAGGGTGCATCTTTTGGATCGACGAGTTGGTATTTGTATCGCTTGGGGTGTGGAACGTGGTCGAGAAGGCCACCATTGGTGAGACTGGTTGGTCAGAACCTGAAGGGCATAAAGGAAGGCACTTACTGGAGGCCATCAGGACGCAAATCGTCAATGTGTACACGACCAAGGCCCTCTTCCAGGTCCCTGATTCTCTGACGGTGTTCAATTCGATGGACATTGATCTGGATGCAATCTTCAAGGGACGTCCTATGGTCTTGTTCTGGGTCCGCGTGAGACAGTTCATCCCCAAACTTCAAAGCTTGTCTCCTGATAGCGGCCTTTCCCGTCACAGGATGGTGACCTTGATGCACCAGGGTGTACATCATCTTCCCGTGGAAGCCATGCTTTGCAGTACAGTCCCACGACGTCACGTCTTTTCCATTGACCAACAACTTGAAGAAATATGCTGCGCCTGGTGGGTGTGGGCCTTCGATTGTGTATTCCAACCAGATCTGGCTGCCTGGATATATAGGGACACAGCACGAGGCAACTGGGTCCTGTGGCGAGTTTGATGGAAGAGGGCTATCCTGGGCTCCACGGCCAGCTGGCTGATAGAGGTACTCTGGAAGTCTGTAGATGTCGACCTGGGAGATGACGGAGACTTCAATGCCTCGAAACTTGACCATGTTGAGAGCAGGCAGAGGGAGAAGGACGGCTCGAATGGTTGGGCCGATGAACAGAACGGAGAGATGGAGTTGCTGTTGCTTGCGTGGATTAGATACAGTTGAATGGTTTTGGTATAAGCCATGCAAAGAAACAGGAAGGAACAACCTTGAGTGTTGGATGAGGGTGGATGTGGAAGGTGCGCCTGCACTGTCTTCACTGTGTCCCTTCATTTGACTTCCTTTCACTTCCTTTGATTTCACTTCAGTCTCAGTCACGGTTCTGGCTGCTGATCTGATCTGATCTGATCTGATATTGCATTGGCTGCTGCCGCTGCTGCTGCCTCGTGCTCTTCTGCAACGTCGCCGCCGATGTCTTGAAGCCAGGCAGATCCTTACCGCCGGCCGTCTCCAGCTCGATGTTTTGTGTTGACTTATTTCTCACCCACAATACCAGTAGTGTACTACTACGTGGTCGTCCGTCTCCCTGGTCCGCCTCCTATCTCTGGCCATTCCCTTCATCATCCCCATTTACCTGCTCCGCAATTGCAGCCTCAGCCTCCTCCTTCGACCAGACCATCTTCCCCTGCTCATCCTCTCCTTCCTCGATGTAGATGAACTCGACCTCCTCATGCCCCGGGTTGGCATACAAGATATTGAACCAGTCCAGCATGCTCCTCCAGGCTTTAACAACCACATTCTCATGATAGTCGTGTTCTCCACTCGCGTAGCAATTGCAGCCTAACCTCTCTCGTCCAGAAACGGGGGCTTCGAGCGGCGAGGGAGAGACACTGTAGGCTCGACACCGCTTGGAGACGAAGGCCACAAATTCCGGAGGTGCGCCGCCCTGCACCAGGTCTTCCATCTTGTACTGTGCGTTGGCGAGGCAGATGCCCGTGATACGGCCGGCCCAGTCGCTCCCTGTAGCACTGGTCAGATAGTTCATGAGTTTGAGCGATTCCGTAACGACAACTCACAGTGCCCGGCAAGGTATTCCAATGCCGCACCCGCCGCGTATTCGAGGCCAATGACATCGATCTTTGCATCTTTGCTCACCAGCTCCCGCAGCACATGACTGAAGATGTATTGGACGTGTTGGCTGTAGTCTCGATTGTGCTCGACGCGATTCACCTCCTTATCCTGCCTCAAGGCCTCGCTCACCCCGTTCGGCCTCGGCATATCCATCCACTCACCATCACTCACCGCCCGTGCTCCTCCCCTGAACCACAAAAGCTGACACGGATTGGCAATCACAATCCCGGGAGACTTCTGCTCAGCCGTCGCTGTTGGCCCGTTCAGCGCGGCGTCGACAAAATCCACCATGCTGCCATGTCTGATGCCCGTGTCGCCAATCACCCGCCACGATAGCACGCCGGGCTCCATCTGCCGCTCGCCCAGGAACACGACCACGCGGTCCTTGCTGCCGATGTCCTTGGAGACTAAGATCGGGACGTGCTTGTCGGTTGGTCCGGCGCCCAGCGGTAGTCTGACCGTCTCGAGGCCTAGAGCGTGTAGTCGATCTAAAATGATCTTGCGGGTGGCCACTATGAAATCGCCATGGTTAGCCCTTGCCACGCTCAGTCTGCCTGAACCACGCGCGACATTCCATCGACAACCAGCGCAGTGCTGTAGTCCCAGCATGCCAACTCACAATTGCTAGCAAACTTGTAAGCCTGATTGACCCTCTCATTCGCATTCATCTTGTACTGGAACTTCTGCGCGGGGTTCTTGATCTGCCGGATCTGGTCATTGTCATTAACGAAGAACCCGAGCTGCGCCAGATCCGCGGGGAAGGACGGATCCGCCGGCAGAGTCTGGGGCAAGCGCCGGAACATGTTGCTGGAATGTACGAGTAGCCTCTCAGTTGTAGAGAGATGCGGACGAGGCTGAGAAGAACAAAATAACCACACACGTTCTTGGATGTACAGCGGTGGGTTGGGGGGAACAAATCGTATATTTTTAAGGAGTGTCGGGATCTTCACCTCCACCTTCACCGTCTTCACCATACAGACTACAGATACCTAGCGTTACACCAGCTGCTACAATTGTTTCAAAGACATGTCAAATTTTCAAGTTTATTGCTAGTCAGACTCATTCATGCCTACCACTAGTACTAAAAATACAAGATATAACCTTTCGGGGCTTCAATTCTGGGTTGACGGCCGAGTGACTTCGGACGCCATTCCGTCAACCACTGCATTGTTGAGTCTCCCGTGCCAGTGCAACTGCAAGTGCAATGTCTTTCAGACTCGTGACAACGTATCAAATAAAATCATGCCATGCCATGCTTCCCACACATGCATATATGCGCAAACAAGAACACCCGTCCGTTCCACGCCCTCCATTCAGCGTGTTGATATTCTCAATGTGTCTCCCAATATGCAACCCACAACCCTAGCTAATCGTACAAGGCACACTCTGTGCCATCACCAGCCCAATCGGAAATCAAACCACGACATAGGGAGCAGAGCCGCGACGGGAGGGTCTATGCAAGGAACACCACAGTGTTCCGACTTAGGAACCCGCTCGTGCGACACCAATGCTGCTACTCCGATTTGAATGGAAACTTTGGCTAGCGATGGGAGCAAATCCTTTGGCCAGATCAAAGCCACCTGCTCCATCTTCGTCCTCGCCATCATCGTCATCCCCACCCCCACCGCCACGAAGCTCGGGATTAGAGTGGTTTCCCTGTAACTGTGATTGGGTCGCGTGGTTGAATGATCCTGAGGCGCTGGCTCGTTCGGGCCCCAGACCGAAGGGACTCGCCTTTCCTGGAATATCTCCGATGTTGCGATTGAAGCTGCTGCTTTCGTCAGGCGCAGCCCCGTTCTCCATCTGATTAAATGAAGGCGTCCCTTCTTTCTTTGCACTGGAACTCGATGCAGTTGGTGCTTGGCTTCCCCTGGCTGGTTTACTGGGACTCCCTAGGCCAGCATCCATTGGCGGCGGGCTAGAACTCATCACATGGCGGTCAATTCCATTCGATCGCGGGTCTTCATCTTTGACAGGCGAGATGTCAGGAACCTGATGTCCAGGTGTAACACCCATGAGTCCTTTCCAAAACAATCCTGGCCCAGCAGGAGAAGACTCTGGCATGAACTTGCTAGGCGCAACGAGAGTGCTTGGAGGGGCTAGTCGAGGGTTCTGTCGCAAGGGAGCTGGAGTGATGATACTGTGCTGTGAGAATCGATACGGCGTGTCTAGATAGGACGACGAGAGGGTGGGATTTGTTGGCGAATGATGGGTTGGCGGGACCGAAGACGGAAGGGTATACGCAGGCAAACCATTGCCCATCCGCGGTGTAGGCCCACCGTGTCTGTGAGGAAGAGGAGAATCTTCGAGCTCAGTATCGGGGAGAGTGCTAAGTGTATCTGTTCTTCGTCGCTGTGGCGTGATGGCGTCTTGGTGCTGCTGAAAGGGCGGTGCCAGTGTTGGACCTGAGGAACCGCCTGGATACAACGGCGGGAACTGGAGGTTCACTTTCGGAGTGGGCGGAAGGGCACGACCTTGACCATCCTTGGCGGAAAAGGAGCTCACCATGGACGTGTCATATCCCAGATTCTGCCCATTCGGGCCTCGGAAATTGGGGTTGACATCTTTTGAAGAAGCTGGGGACGAAGGAGCGGAACCTCCACCTCGACGGGCTTGTTTCTTCCAGTATTCTTGTCGGAATTCTGGTGCAATTTGCCATTTCATGCCCTTGCCAGGCTCGTCGGTTCTCCGAGGAACTTTCTGGAATGCCTTGTTGAGAGATAAATTATGTCGTATCGAATTCTGTGTTGCGGTTAGACCAGTTGCTGCGTTCACGGAGAGGGGAAGACGGACCTGCCAACCACTGTTGGAGTGTCGATAGAAAGCATACTTGTCCGCAATGTAAGAATAGATATTACTCAAGGTTAATTTTTCCTCGTCGCTGGAGAATATGGCCTGTGCAATCATGGTAGCATAGCTGAAGGGCGGCTTGAGATCTTTGGCAGAATCCCGGCTGTAGTCAATTTCTTGAGTGCTTTCCATCATCATTCCTCGCCCGTACATGGGGGACATGGGCATTTTGCTGTCAAAAACGCCGCGTTGAGTTCTGCCCCCGTCTAGCTGGTGAGGAGGGGTTGCTTCGCGCTTCAGGTTCGGCGGAGCTGGTGCCAGCGAAGGAAATCCTGTCGATGCAGCGTAGGGGGCGGTCTCAAATCTGGCAGGTTCAGGGTGGGCATGGGGAGGGGCAAGGTCGTCGCCGGCAGCTAATGCTTTGGCACGGTCGATGAAATACTGGTCTATTTGGACTTTGTCGCCGGGCGTCACAAACATCATCTGGGTCCCGGCGATTTCGAGAATGTCGCCTGATTTGATCTGTCTTCGGAGGCCTTTCTTGATCAAAACATTATTGACCCGAACGCCGTTGCGGCCGTTGACTCGGACATGCCAGCCACCTTCATCCTCGGGGAAATCAGCGTCATAGTAAATGGAGGCGTGGTGGCGCGAGACTATCTTGCTGGGGCCTAGGTCAATATGAACGGGAAAGACGTCTTTGAGATCAGTGATAGGACTGGAGGCGCCGTTGACAGCTGGGCGATCATCGGGAGGCCTTCCAAAATTGACCGACTGTTCGCGCACGAAATAGGTCCAGTCGCGACCGGCAATCTTTGCGTAGGCGGAGACCTTCTGCGGACTATTGTTCTGCTCTTTATCATTGGAATACTCGACGCTGGCGACGATGGGGTCCTTGGAGACTTGGAGGTAGGAGACAACGGAATCTATGAGATCTGTTTGGGACACTGCCTCTGCTTCGTCGGCGGAGTCATGGTCTATCGATCGGGCGGGATCAGGATCGGAAGTCGCAGACTGTTTGAGGGCGGAACGTGTGCTATTGACCTACGATGGAAGCATGAGTCAGTTGTGGCAGTTGATGTTGGGCAGATCAATGTACTACCTTGCGCTTCTTCGCCGAGGGGCGTGTGGGCGATGAGTCTGGAAGATCAAGCTCGGACGAGTCGAGGACGTGGTGAGGTTTGCGACGAGCTTTACGCTTCGAGGGAGGCATGGTGTCTAGCGGATGGGAGGGAGGACAGGACGGGCAGGTGGTTGATGGTCCAGGGCGAGGCCGGAGGAAAAGACCACGGATGGATAGGGATGTCGTGGAGTGGTAAGAAGATTGTTGGTGTCTGTCCTGGTATTGGTGAGGGTACCGAGTAGCGGGTGGTGGTGGGTGGTGGTGGTCGCTCTGGTCGTTCTGGCAGTGGTGGTGGTGGGAGCGCAGGCTAGAGGGCGCTAGTTGGGATATTTGCGACGTCAATGTTTTGGTTCAGACGCAGGGTTTTTCGTGGCAGGAATTTCGATGCAGGAAAGGGAGAGACATGGAACAATCTGACAGGCGGCACGACAAGTGGGTTGTTCGAACGGTGAGGTGGCAGATTTTGATGAAGCGAACAATGGTGTGCATGGAGTGAGTGCGAGCATGAGAGTGAGTATGGATGTGGGTGTGGGTGTGGGTGTGGGTGTGTGACAAACGGCCGGTTGCGAGGAAGGCGGATAATGGATGTTGGAATTGGTGGGTGATGAGGGTGACGATGGGCGTCTTGAGGTGAATGTGCGTAGTGGTAGAGATGTCGGACTCAGTACAGGAACTAAGTAGTGGTGGTGGTGGCCTCTCGCCTGCACTACCTACGCCTACGAGGACTCGGGACCCTCGCGTACTACTAAACAGTACTAGACAATGTGCGTGGATGTGGGATGCGGTCGACGATGGACGCGTCTTATTATTATGACTGTCCAGGGCACGAGTAAATATTACGATTACTCGTACCACCGAAGCGTGTCTGTGTCTGCGCAGTGGGCTCCGAGCAGCAGCGAGCCACCGCTTGGCCCTGCCTATTGTATGCCTGGGTTCGCCACCAACCACCGCTGCCAGGCGTCTGTTATTTAGGCATACAATCCACATGGTTTTGGCTTGCCACGCCCAAACGGACTTACTGGCAAGCCTGTTTGACCTTCCCGCGCTCGTGGCCCGGGGCCCGTTGTGCAAGTGCGAGCTGCTTGTACTCGTAAACACGTCCCAGCTCGTTTTGTATTGATTTATTATTGCCTTGACCCCTCCCTGGCAGATTGGCACCACTGGCTTTCAATGAAATCCATGCACAGATGCTTTTCATGCACGTCCGACCTCTCACAATCTTCACCTCTCCGCTCCTCCCGCCCACATCCCATATCCTATAGCCCACCAGCACCGCACATGGCATAATCGATGTTTGCAAGTACGGCTAATTCATGGGCAGGCGTCCTTTCGCTTAACGCCCCTCAGCCGATTGGTCGTGAGATGGCACTTTTTACCCAGCTCCTATCGAACGCTGCCGAAATGTAAACATCATGACGTCGTTCCCATGCGAGTCATGCGGGCCAAATCACGCGAGATTCGATGATTCGATCGTGTTATTAATAATCATTCATTCACGTGCCAGCCACGCCCGCGGCCCAGCGCCCTCCCTCCGCTTGGCACAGGTTGGGCGTGTTTCCTATGTACGAGGATGTACTGTATGCTCTACCACACCGAATTTTAACCGTCTTTGCACGATGCATATTTGCTCTCTTGGTGGACGAGTGCTGCACATACAGATGATGCCCTCTCTCCCCCCACAATTAGTACGGGGACCACAACGGGTGTCTACCCCGGCGGTCTTGACTCTTCACCCCCAGCGTAAGCGCGCAATCCTCCCTTTCTTCCAGTCGCGCTTTGAAACTCCTTCGCCCTGCATTAGCCTCCAAACATCCGAGTCTCTGACACGCCCGGCCGTTCTGACAGACAACCGTCAGGACAGATAGACAGCCTTGCTTCTCCACTTGTCGTCCACCTTGCGCCCACTTTCTGCTATCGCCCCTTGGCCTGGTGCTCAGAGCAAAACACCACTATTTCTAGGGACCCTGAAATATCATACAAAAGAATATTCTACACCCACTACCAGCTCACCATTCAATCAACAATGTTAGCACAAGTGACCCTGCTCAGGTCAAGTCCCGATTCTCGGAACCACCCTCTCAAACAAGAAATCCAGTCGTTCCACCAACACCTTGCATGCAAGTACTCAAAACAAAACAAAAAAAAGATCTTCCAAGTTTTCCCTCCGACTTTTGGTAATAGGTGGCAGATGTCTATGCCAACCCGTGTCCGCTATTCCGTTTCGTGAGCATCGCGTGTCGTAAGAGCGAAGTTTGGTGCAGATTATGTTGCACGGCTGCGGCCTGTGTCTTCGCCGTATCCCGTCTAGGCCTCCACCAGGTCCACGCCATCGATGCCATATCCAAAGTCAATAATCACCACTCTCCCATCTTGGCTGGTGCACACAATCTTGCGATAGTTGCTTTTCGCGGCCAAGATCCAACTCGACGTCCATCCTTCAAAGTTGATCTGAAGTCCACCGTCGTCCGCCGATTCTCCCTTTGCCGCGTTCCACACTTTGATTGAATGGTCGTAGCTTCCGCTGATGATCCGTGAGTTCGCAGAGTCCAAGTGGAGTGATCGCACCAGGTCGCGATGCCCTTTCAGCTCTCGGATCCGCCCACCCGTCATAGTGTCATACTCGTAGATCACTTGATCGTTGCCTCCAGCGAAGATAGTGCGACCGTTCTCGGAAAACTCGACACACGCAAGCCCTCGGTCCTTGGACTGAAATTCCTTGATGCAAACCCCATCTTCCAGTCGCCACAGCTTGGACATGCCATCACCGCTGGCACTGGCCAGGAGATTACCACGCACTTGGACCGCATTTACCGGCCCTCGATGGCCGACGAGCGTCCGAATGAGCTGGCCGGTCACCCGATCCCACACCTTGATCGTCGTGTCCTTGGAGCAAGTCACGATTCGTTGTTTATCAATGCAAACATCCAAGACCCCCGCGTGGTGCCCGACCAAGCGGAAAAGTGGTCGGTAGTTTTCCTTGATCGACCATACCAGGCACGAGAAGTCTGAAGACCCAGTCACCAGAGTTTCATCGTCATACTGTAGACACAGGACCGATGCTTGGTGCCAAAGCCCACTATCGAGAGACGGCGGATCTGGGGACGAAATATCCGCCTTGAAGAAAGGAAGCACTCCTTGAGGTTCCACCGGCGGAGGTACAAGTTGCTGTCTTTCCCGCGGGTTGTTGGGAGGTCCCAGTTTGCGGATGCACTGGTATGTGTGAGCATCCCACACCCGAATTGTATTATCTCGAGAGCCGGTGATGATTTTGTGCTCATCAAACTGCGCACAGTAAACACTGTCTTTATGGCCGTTCAGGTAGATAGCAGCGGCTTCCCCATTTCTCCAGCGCTTATCAATCAGAGTCCGGACTTGGAAGAGCTTTCTGAAGTCCTGCCCGGGCGTGTTTTTCCCAAGACCTGCAGCTGGAGCAAAATCAGGAAGCGGAGATGCCAGCTGGGATCCATACTCTCGGTAAAAGACTCCCTTCCACACCGCCTGTGACTGACACAAGTCGTGCCACTTTTGTGAGACCAGCGCAACTTGAGTCAGCGATTCGACATCGAGGAATGATAAGATGGTCTCCAACAATTCTGTCGCGAGGACCGAGGTTGGATCTTGGCAGAGGACGTGGGCATTGTCGGGAGAGGAACCACGTCGGGTGCGACTGTCGAGAACAATTCCAATTCCGCTCTCAGCGTCTTGCTCCGCTTTGTTCTCCGCACCCTGTCGTGGCTCATAGGGTGGCAGCGGAGGTGTTCTAGAGGCATGGAACAATTCATTCTGAGCAGCTGCAGATGCTCGGGCTCCTGCTCCTCCATAGACCAGATCCGACAAAACAGGTTGCCCTCTCCCCCGAGCCGTCAATGGTACGGGATCGATCACCTCGCGCTGCGCATCAAGCATGCCGTGGGTGTTGAGAAGCGGCAAAGACGGTCTTCTTCTGGTGCTAAGACTTCGAAGCAAACGGCCTCGGGATTTTGGCCTCGTGGACATAGCTTCTGTCATGTCCATCATCTCGTGTCCGGGTTTGAGAGGCATGGCTGGTGGTGCCCGTTTGTCCGTCAGGTCCTCCCTCTGTTTGGAATTTCTGCTTCGGACTGTAAGCGACATTCTGCGAGTCAAAGACCTCAGCTCCGATATGCCATGTTTCCAGGATTGCGTGAAATGCGAGTATCGCCGCTGGTGGAGTGTTTGTCGTGGAGGATGTTCCACTGAAAAATCGGCGAAAGGGTCGGCGAATTCTGTGATGGCATGCTCTCCACCCGTTTCCTCTTGGTTGTGGCTAAATGTCTCCCAATCCAATACGTCGTGGGTGCGGCTCATGGGCATCAAAGACATTCTAGTAACCGGCCGTGAGGAAACAGGGTAGTTCTCGGGGAGATTATCGTAAGCGGTCTTGGGTCTAGGCTGAACCATGAGAGAAGTCCGGCGGAGAGGGGCGATGCCTGAGCTTTCGGTGTGCGACATTATGAAGGCTCCTTCAGGAGGATTGTGCAGCGATCGGACGCGACAACGTTGTGGCAATTAGCTGAGGGATCTACCATCAAATCCTTTCGGTGAATCCGGCTGGCACGGCGCAGAGTTTGCTTGACGGAGCAGCCGATCAGGTGCAGGGAGCAGCAGCTGAAAGGAACGACAGCAGGTGCAAAGAAAAGTGAAATAGCAACACGCAGCAGAGGATGCTGTTTAGCAGCAGTTTGGCATGGCAAGAGATGGAGGTGAAGCAAGGCCGTGGCCAGAATTTGTTGTTAATGGAGAAAAGAACAAAAAGCCAACCAGCACAAATCAAACCGCAGACTGCAGACAGGGTTCGAAGGTTGTGTTGACAGAAGTGGAGAGGACGAGCACCCGACAACTGAGTTAGTTGGTGGGCATTCCAGGCGGCATCCTTGTTTTTGCAACCCCCCACCGGCCCCCCCCCCGGGCCTCAACCCTGCCCGTCACATTCCTTAGCGCATCCCTAAGGTCTAATGCCTGGTTAAATGCCGCCGCCTGCGCTCGGATCGTGAGCGCCCAGCTGCCCGAGGCGTTGCCCCGACGAAACGCCCCTCAAGCCCAGTGAACCCACGGCTCCCCTGGCACGAACCTCGACCCAGAGTGTTGGCTCAAGGGAGACCCTCCCCCCTGCGCCGCTCCGGCTTAGTTAACCACCTGCCTTAGGTTTCTCCGCCTTGCCAGCTAGATCGGAGCAGGCGGCCAGTGAGAGGATGGACAAAGGATGCAGAACAGGGGCATCGCTTTGTTTGGCGGCCCTGCAGCGAGATTGAGATGAGGTCTTCGGGCACGTCATGGATGGGTTGAAACACCGAGCCCAGCCACCCCAGCAGAGGCGTCCAGCTACGAGAACGATTTGATGGGGGTTGTCTGGGGATTGTCGGGGGGTTTTCGGGGGCATCCTGCTTGTCCTCCATCACCAATGACCATACGGAGTACATACTTGCACTGTCATCGTCAAACCACCCATGTTTTGCTTCTGACTTTGTTCATGCCTTAGGAACTCCAAACACACTTGACTCGTATATGTAAAGATTGAGGACCCCCGCCAGGGAGTAGCGGTCTCTGTCCTCGGCAATCCTCCTCGGTTTCTAGCTGAGATACCGGCATACTGTGTACTCCGTACGGACCACCATCTGCCATCACCCCAACACTACATACATATCTGTACAGATCTCAACCACCTGAGTCTTGCGAGTCCTTGGCTGAAAGACGCGGCCATCAAAAGTGCCTCAATAATGGCATCACATATTCCTTTTCCCTACCTCGCCTTCTTCTGGTGGATCGAGCCGGTGGCGACGTTGGTGGGCGCTTATTTCGCATGGTTCGAGCCAGGTAGCTATTTGCAACTACAACATGCTGCTTCAAGCCCCGACCCATCTGCGGTGCCTCTTGGAACAAACGTCGTCCTCAGACAACTCGGTAACATGTACTTTGTATTTGCCTTCAATGAAGCTTTTGTTTTGAGGGCCACCAAAGATCTCAGAGTCTGGCGTGTTTTCCTCCTGGGGCTTCTCATCGCAGATTTCGGCCATTTATACAGCTGCTATCCCCTCGGCCTGGAATCCTACTTGGATGTTTCTAAGTGGAATGCTATTGACTACGGCAACTATCTGTTTGTCGTTATTGGAGCAACGACACGAATTTTGTTCATATCCGGACTTGGTATCACGGAAACACAAACACCTTCCATCAGAGCCAAGAAACCCCTCAACATGCCCAAACACGAGTGACCGAGTGCGACTGGGACCACTGTAAGACCTAGATCAGGATAAGGCCACGTCGACGCTGGAGTAGCTGGAAAGCATGATTCCCTTTTCCAGACATGTTGAAGCCATAACGACAACAACGGCCGACAGTATCCAAGTCCAAGCACCGGAGCATGACAGGTCGAGCGCATCTATTTTACCATTGTAACTCTTTCTTAGGCTGGTTCTCCTCGACAACCTGTAGGACTTCTGAGAGAGTGGTCCTCGGTTTGCCATTTGTGAACTTCTCCCATATGCCCTTGCCAAACCGTCTGAATGAAGCGGCTATGCCGTTGTTCACGGTCAGGTTGTACTCCATCTCGGACAACTGGAAAGGGAATTCACGTCCGCCCACGGTCACGGTTCGCTCAGGGACATCGATGGTTATATCTGCACCTTCGCTGGCGGCTTTATGGAACTCGTCGTCGTCGATTGCAATTCCAAGCAATCCAAGACTTGGTTGGTTCCTGGCGTATATGAAGGCATAGGAGCGAGCAATCACTGCTTTGACACCAGCACCTGTCCAAAAGAAACACGAGTTAGTAGCGAGGTCGATCAAAGACGTTGATATGGTTCCTGAATACCTTTCAAGGCTGAGACTGCCACTTCCCGGCTGGAACCCACTCCAAAGGCGTTGCCAGCCACCACTATCTGCTGCCCGTTTCGCACCTTTTCTCGGAATTCTGGATGAGTGTGTTCGAGTACATGTTGCCCGAATTCCTCATCGGTCGTACAAGTCGTTAAAGTGGAGCCTGGAGCCAGCTGTCGAAGGTCAGTGGGATCTTCCAATTCTTCAGGACTTGTAACTTACAGCATCTGTGTCGACAAAGTCTGGTAACATCACCACTTTGCTGCTTATCTTGTCAAGCACCTTAGTTGGCTCTACGTGATCGTGCTCTGGCTCAACTACTCCTCCTTGAGCGGAACTCTCGATCGTCAGTTCAGACTCAAGATCGGGTTCAGAGTAGTCGACTGGATCGAGATCAAACTCGGGGAGTCGTTGATAACCCTGAAAGAATTCCGCGTCAAGATCTTTCAAGTAATCGGCGGGGCTAGTAATCGACATGCTAAAGCTGGACGCCGCGCAGACGACCGCGGATGTCACATGGCCGAATGCACCTATATCAACAATCAGTCCCAGGCCTCAGGATTCGCCCGGTCTTGAATGAACCAACCTTTTCCCATCCTGTTCTCGAAATTACGGTTCTGTGAACTCAGCCACGTCTCACCCTGGGAGGCTTTCTCGGCAGAAAGGCCAACGCAGTATGAGCACCCGGGCGGTCCACGCGTGAACCCGGCCGCTTCATATACCTCCAGTAAATTGAGTTCTTTCAGCCTCTCCACGATTGGCAACGAGCCCGGCACATAATGTCTTTTCCCCTTCGCCAGGGGCAGCTTCCGCGCTAGACCCGCCTTCAGCACGAGTGCCGCTAAGACCAGTTCTTCCTCAGTAGTGGTACAGGCACCGATGAACACTCCGTCGAGCTGGGTGCCCGCTTGTTCCGATACTGGCACAACGTTATCGGGCTTAGGGTAGATGGCGACTGAAGCTTCGACTTTGGACAAATTGATGCTGTATCTTCCAGCATAGTGAGCGTCATGGTCTGGTCTGAAGTAGAGCGAGTTCGTCTTGTTGGCTTTCCGCCGCCGCCTAGAGATGTATTCACTTGTAATGCGATCTGGCACGAATATACCAGTGATCGCTCCAAACTCTGTGCACATATTTGCAATTGCAAATCTTGCATCGCAAGAGAGGTACCTGAGGCCTTCTCCAGTGAATTCAACAATCCGCTCAGCCGCAACGGTGTTTCGCTTCAGTTCCTTCAGAATATGCAGAATGACATCCTTACCGGATATTCCAAAGGCTGGCTTACCCACAAACTCGATCAGTATCGACTCCGGGATCTTGAACCAAGTTTCGCCCAATGCCAGTGTCATCATGACATCCGCTGTCCCAAGTCCAATAGCCAGGCAGCCGACTGCACCACCCGAGCATGTATGAGAATCCGCCCCAATGGCCAGCATTCCTGGCTCAACTCGCTCCCGGACGAACTCGGTGTGCATAATGGTATAGTTCATGCCTTGATACTCGGTCATCTTGAAAGCATGCTTAGCACGTTCTGACGCCTCGATCATAGCCTTGATTTTAGGATTTGATACCACATCTGGATGAACCACGTGGTCTCCAGCGAGCCAAAATCTATCGTTGCGCCAGATTCCTGGTGATCCAAGGTCCTTGTGGATTCTGTCCATGGACTAGTCATCCATTAGCATTCAACATTAATCCAATGGCTTGCTTCACACATACCCCCCAAGACAGCTCCGAAGACAATATCCAGTCAACCCCCACCCTCACAACATCCCCTGCGGCCAAGCCGTTCCGGGGCTTTTCGCCTATGACATGTTGAGCAAATATCTTCTGCGCCGCAGTCATCGGGCGAACTCCTGGTGCCGAGGAGGATCGACAGGACAAGTAGTTGATCGATCTCTCTCGAGACGTGATCGCTTCGAGCCATGACTCGATCAAGAAGAGTGCCTCGTCTTGCTGCTCCTGCGACGGAGTCAATACTCCCTGCAAGCCCAGTCCGCCAAAGTTCCTGCTATCGACGGTCTTCTCTCGAGCATCATCTAGCGCACTAGCTTCGGAGGTCCGCGATATCGTACGAAGTTTGTCTGAGTACTGCGAGACTATCTGATCGATGGATATGTGCGGCTTTGTATTGTCTATCTGCAATGAATCGACATCGATCTTTCTCAGACGAGATAGCAATTCTCGTAGCTGAGCCTCGAAGCGGCCTGCAACAACAGAGTGGCCAGTAGATTGTGTTTCCGAGCGTGTCGTCATATTGGGCGAAATTTATGTCATGCTAGTCGCTGGTTCAAGTGGCCGTACCTGGTGGCCGTATGAATATATATGGAATCTCAACTCATGGCTAATCGAGCCGACATCGTGCTGACAAGATTGATGATCTTCCGCATAGTATTTTCCATAAGAACAGTCACCTTTTTTATGTGCAACCAATAGAAATAGGTCAACATCGAATGCTGCCGCAACACGGTGCGCGTCAAGGCGTCTGATCTGCAAGTCCGCAATTCGGGGTTTGAGATGCGATGATCGGCCCGTTCTTGACCATGTCGGCTCAGCTGTGGAGAGGGAGCCGATGATGTAAACAGGCCGATTAACAGTTGGCCTGGGTTAGAGGACGCCGATGCTTTTTTCCGACTTCAAGAAAATACATCTTCGTATCACGCTTGCACTACTTGGTACAACCTTGAAGCGTGAAATTGCAGGTGCTACAATGGGTTCTATCAGCGCTGGCCCTGCCGATAGCAGCAATGCCATCAAGTCGACCGCCCCTCTCACGGGTGCCAAACGGCTCCGAGAATTGTTAAAAGACCCGTCGAATCTTGTCGTATGCCCTGGGGTGTTTGATGGTTTGTCCGCTCGCCTGGCTATTGCTGCTGGGTTCGATGCCCTGTATATGGTAGAAAATCCTCCTTGCAATGTCGTGGATCTCTTTACTGATTGTAGTGCCAGACAGGCGCAGGGACTTCGATGTCGAGACTAGGCTGGGCCGATTTGGGGATGGCAACTCAAAACGACATGCGCGCCAATGCAGAGATGATTGCCTCGCTTGATCCTTCTGTGCCATTAATCGCAGATGCAGATACTGGCTACGGCGGACCGATCATGGTGACCAGGACGGTCATACAATATGCTCGCTCAGGAGTGGCCGCCTTGCACATCGAAGACCAGGCATGTCCAATGCAATTGGGAGAGTATCAACTGTGCTGACGACTCCACAGGTCCAGGAGAAAAGATGTGGCCACCTCTTGGGCAAACAAATCGTTGATCGCGACATCTACTACAGCCGCCTACGAGCTGCAGTCGCAGCCCGGGACCAACTACAATCCGACTTACTGATCATCGCACGGACAGACGCCAACCAGACGTACGGATTCGACGAAGCGATCGAGCGTCTCCAAGAGGCGGTGCGGATAGGGGTCGACATCGTGTTTTTCGAGGCCATCAAGACCAGAGAAGAAGCCGTGGAGATCTGCCAAATCTTCAAGGATGTTCCCGTGCTCCTGAATGTTGTCCCAGGTGGTGTGACGCCTTTGTCGACTGTCCAGGAGGCCCGCGAAATCGGCTTTCGAATGGTCATCTATCCCGGTCTTTGTCTTGAGCCGTTCATACGAGGTGTGACGAAGGACTTGGAGGTCCTGAAGAAGACGGGAAAGCCGTCTGAAGCGGATCCTGATAGCGGCATCAAACATGCTTTCAACCTTTCGGGCCTGCAGGAGTGTATTGCGATTGACAAATTAGCGGGTGGAAAGGCTTACGCTGGTGTAGGGAATTGATTTCCGTGAAGCCTAAGCTTTCTGGTCCGTTAGTGAAGAACCTCTAAAAGTGAGATGGCTTCACTGCAATAGTGGTCTCTTATCCAGCTAATTCAAGAGTGATAGATCAAATGCAGTGATTGCGCTGCCTCCCTTTCATCAAAAGCTGGCCCCAAGGCAATAAGATGCGTGTCTCTTCGAACCACTCGTCCTCTAAAATCTTCTCCAACCGACGGAATATCTGTAGCAAGGTCCAACCTTCGAAAACTCGCACTGTTTCATCCTTTCCCATCACGGCTGCCTTATTCACTGAGAAGTCGGCGCCAAAGAAACTAAAAATTCAGCTCCCCATTCCCGATCCCACTAATCCTACGTTGCTCGGAGGTCCTTGTGAGATCCGAAACAAGATTAATGACATCGCAGGACCTATCCGCGCTCTTGAGGACATGCGAACAAGTGAAAGGAGACGTAGATATTATCGCTCACAAGAATGTGCGATCACATACTCACGAAATGCTCTCGATTATGAGAATTATGTCCCTGAAATACTTGCCGCGTTATTTCCTCAGCACGTTCATCAAAGTGTCCGCAAGCTGCATGCCCGTCACCTGGCATCAGGTCCAATCGATCAACTTAATACTCTTGTGTTTGTGTGGTGGCTATTCCCCAGTCTGCAAGTTACCGAATATCCCGTACTATGGAACTTCTTTGTAGATGTCCCACAGATATCGCAAGCTTCATCATGTCGACGAATCTCGCGATGAAAATCCCTTGCGCTTTATCAATTGCCACCACCCAGAAAAAACCCCCCAAATATTTTGAACTACGAGTACGACCATGGTGGGTACAAATTTCAAATGATGATGGATGACTTTGATTCTGTAGAGGATTACAATGGGGCATTTTCACATATCTCACCGGGTTGAATGAGGCTCTCGTCGTGTTATCGAGCTGTGTCGCTGACGCAATGTCCTCTTGCTAGATATCTATCGGAGAGAAGAAGGTGAATCACCCCAGTAGCCACTGTCTCGTCTACCAAGAGTCTTTTCCCATCCATTTGCCTGGGAGGCGTGCATTCGTGGCTGCGTGTATGAGAGCGTCACGCTTGGTTTGGGGTCACCCCTGGACAGCACTATCGAACGGAGCAGAATGATGGGTGGTTTCTAATCGCTTGGTATAGGTGCGCGCCTGATTCATCCGTGTTGCTTTTGCCGCTGCTTGAAGCGCCATATGTTGAGATGAGGCACCTGTGGCGCGAGCGGGAAGCAATGGCTTTACATTGGCCCATCCAAACATGCCTTTTACGTTACGATCTCGGACCCTCTACAGAATCATAGGACAACACATTACAGCGGCAACCATCAGTGATAAAAATATTTTGAAAGCATCAGTCTACTCGCAATTTGGGATAGCAGAGAAAGCATATACCATCACCTCGGAATTGGAGACCGTCCACGCATCCACGCCTTAGAGGTTGCTGGCCTTCGGCAGGATGTACGTGGCTTCTATGGCCCCTAAAGATCTGGATCTCGTCTTCCTACTTTTCTCGCGCCGAACATCGGACTTGTTTGTGGAAATCGGCGTTCTGGGCCAATTGGAGTCCATGCGAGTCCAAAGTCCGATACGGCCCGGCGATAGTATTGGGATGCACTCGCAGCGACAGTCATGAAGGTGCTAGTTCCGATACAGGTGTGAATCTATGTGCATGGAATCTGTGCTTTATTAGATCAGTCAACCGGTGTGGTCATTCAATTTATATTCTGGAAAGAGACAGAAACTACCTGCGGGCCACCTACAAGCGGCGAGACGCGGCAAGGAACATGTATTATGCGCAGCACAAATACTTGCATCAGTATTGTTTCGAACTTGATACAGATATAGTAGAAAAAGTAACCAAATTGGTCGACGCTGCATAGCACTCAACAGGAATCCCTAGCAGAAAGACTCCGGATGGCAAGATGGCTTGAGACATGACCATTTCGTCGTTTCCCTGATCGCTTTTCCATCTGATGGTCGTCATTGATTTCGACGACGTTTTTCTGCCACTTGCGAGCAGGAGCATGACGGTTGAATAAGATGCTAATCTCGCGGTAAGAGCGGTTTTTCATCTTGCGCAGTCCGAGAAAAGCCATGACAAGGCGGACAAAACCGGTACCAGCCCAGACATAGCCGCATTTGCAACCAAGGTTTCCGCCGACCGGGTTGAGCATGTAGCTTGCTAGGTAGATGCAAGAATTATTAATCGCGTAGTAACACCCACGTCCAACTCCAGTGGTTAGGGGCCTAAGGCGGATGGATGAAGTCTCTCCAATAATGACCCACGAGGCGGGCGCAGGTCACGGACAGAACAAGACAGAGATCATAAGACCAAGAAATGCTTGCGCTAAGGGAAGTCGAATTTGATCCCTTAAAGGAGGCTGCGATGCCGAGACAGACCAGTAGGAGGGTGTTAAAAGCCGGGCCCCAGAGGTAAATAATACGTCGACCAAGATACGTCTCCAAGAGAGCATAACGAAGACCGCCTGAAGGGCGGAGGTAATGAGACCCATGGCAAACGAAGTGTTCGTAGAAATACCGGCCCCTTAGCTTATATTAGTCTATACGTTCTCCAGGGACAAAGTAGGAACACGGAATGATAACTCACGATCTCGGAACAGTATGCTGGTGCCTAAAACGATGATTAGCTAGTCGAGAGGATAATCACCCTCCAGCTGGTCCTATATATATTCGCGATGAAGATGCCCCAAGGGATGCCCTCGAGAAGTTGAGAGGCCAGCATGACTCCAAGAGAGTTTGCGAAATACAAGACGAAAATGAATGCGTTGATACGAATGAGGGCCCAGATGGTTTCCCAGTGGTATCCAATCTTGCTGGTGAGATGGCCGGCAAGGAAGACGCTGATGAAAGCACCAACTGGACCACCCATCCCCAAAGCGGACTGCCACGGGGTCGTGATAAAGTGCTTGCCGGTTTCCTCGTCGAGAACGCCGTATTCGTTCGTGAACGCGGGAAGCGCAATAAAGTTTTCCATGAGAAAGAAGCAGTAGGTCTCCATGACCTGGGCAAGGATTTGGTCAGAGATGTCACTCCTTGCTGGCAGAGACCGGGTGGCTTACAATAGTGCGAGGACAAAATCAAAGCCCCCCATGAGGCTGAGGGGAATGCTCGACTGTCCTCCATGACACCCATGTTGAACTTCGCATTTTCAGCCTCGCTGCACCCGCCGTGTTGTACATGCTCTTCTCGTCGACCTAGCGGACATATTCCACCGAGGACTTGTGGATCTGTACCTCGGGGTCGGCTCCCGGTGATCGCGCAATGGTGTGTCCGGTCATGTTGAAGGCTGTTTTCCCTTACGAAGTATTGATTGTGGGAGGGGAGGCAGGGATGGCCCAGCGAGGGAAGAGCAGAAGCGATAGAGGATCCCAGGAATCCGGCATCATGACATTTGGTATACCTCAGATTTCAAGGCTAACCTGATGAAGGGACAGGTCGATTCGCCATGCTTGGGCCCGTCATTCGCCCGCCGGACGCGGGCAGAACATCCAGAACTTCCCTGACGTCTCCCTGGCTTCCGCAAGCTTCCCCAGCTCGTCTGCTGCTTTCAAGTAAATTTCCGCCGGCCACAGCGAGCGGCGCCACAGCTGCGTGCTGTTAGACTGAGTAGCCGCTGCTTGAATGTGCCGCACGGTCGATGCTGTTCCGGCGCGGGAATCAGTACCATCAGTAGAATATACCTTAGGTACCCCTGGATGGGCCTTGTATGAATACGGAGGATCCTCCAGCCAAGACAAGCACTATGGAAAGAAGCAGAATGGAGAGAACCCTCCGCTTTCCTGCTCCGCTTTCCTGGCCATGTTGCTTGCCACAGTGACAGGCATAACTTGACCGCCGGCACCGGCGAGTCTACGAGCGGGCAAACCCACAACTCACGCAACAGGCGCGGAGGGATAGGCCGAGGCGCAGATTGGTGTATTCCCGCAGGAAGTATAACGCGACAGGATCGTTGATCACCGCAATACGAGGCAGTCCATGGATAATCTAACTCGACACAGCACCTCGTGTTCCATCAAGTGGCACGAGGTGGTGGAATTCCAATGGAAGCTTCGGTGCAGCAGCCGCCGACCACATGTGGCTATATGTGCCCCCAGTGGGCAGATCGGAGGCTCTTGAGAAGCTTTAGGCTTCCTTTTGAGCTTTGATCATTATGGAAATCTTGGTCGCCCGCCGCCCACAGTAAAACGCGCCCCTTGCAACTCCGCACTATTCTCCGTCAAATACCGGACACGAGTATGAGGAGTGCTAAGGACGGCCAGCACACTGAGCTGCGTTCCTGTTGGTACGCGGGACGAGCTACGGAGTATACTACCGTTGTCCACGTGGCATGATCTTGGTGGAGCATTCCCCATATATCTGAGGGTTTAGTGCGGACCCTCAATCTCCCTCATCTCGCGCTAGATTGGAAGAGAACCGGCCTACCGAGTACAAGGATAAGGAACGCTTAGCCTAGGTCAGCATCAGTCGTCGAGATTTCTGGATAGATGACTTGTATTAACCGTGGACCTCGTTTACCACTCGCTTGGGCAGCGTATGCCGTCGCTGCTCGTTATACAATCGATTATTCAGACCCTTTAGCAGCCTCGCTGTCTGTCTTTGGTGTACGACTCGCCGACAACATTTGGCCCCAGTGGGTACAAACATCCAATTGGGTACAGGACTCCCAAGACACTCCTAGACGAAGGACAAAGCCTTGAAAACTTGCTGTTCCACGCCAAAGTTGGTCACCTGTCTATGGACCGCGACACATTGGCTTGTAAATCCAGATCCTGTGGTCCTCTCGCCCTTCGATCACAACTTGCTCGACACAGAACTCAATGGTGCCGAATTGACCGCCTTCCACACACTTTGAGCTTCCTCCCAACGCGTGTCCTCCCAAATATCCGTGGTGCCTTCAGCTGTCAATCTTCGAGAGTACTTCACCCCTATCTTTTCCCATTCCACGCTATCTCCCGCTACAAAACGCGTAAATGCTTCGTACAAAGGAGTGACGAAACGTTTTTCGGCTGCTGTAAGCCCGTTGCCCCATCCATTCCCCCACCACCAGAAACCCTCGTCGGTGGCATGCGTAACCTCCCACTCCGGTGGCCACGCGCTATCGGCACAGTCGACTCTGAATTCGACCCGATATCTGAGGATGTCTTTTCCAACGACCAGTCCAGCATCTGACAGCTTCTTGATCAAGCCTCGCTCGAGGCAGTGAACTTGAAGGTCTGCATAGATTTTGCCAAAGAGAACGATCCAATCTAGACAGTCTCTAGGCAGCTTCTTGTTAGGAGCATACAGTCTCATGGTGCTGTCAACTGCCTCCACTGGATAGTCCTCCAGAAGTCGGTCATAGACTGCTTTCCATGAGTTCTTCGGCGTTTTCCAAGCACGATAGAGATTATGTTCATCACGGCACTCTCCGATGAACAGCTTGACTCCCCGCTGTTTCATCCTTCGTCCATAGTCTCCAGTATTGATGTTGGCAATCAAGCTTGCGTTGACGAAGTCGTCCTCCGAGCAGCCTCGAAACTGTGAGTGGTTCATCGAATCTAAGGCATTGATCAGTTCAGCAGCTGGCACGGCGCGTAATCGATCTAGCTTATCATAGCTCGATGTCGATGCATGAATCCGAAGCTTTGACAAGAGCTCGTCAAATGCCATTTGGTGTTGATCAACCCTTTTTGGTTGTGTCCCAGGACCATTTGACCACATAATGGCTCTTTTGATTATCGAACGGGAACTTGGTAAGTACAAGTCATGTGAGAGTTGGTGGAAAACAGAGTGAGCCCCTGTCAAATAATCAGACTTTTCCAGAGCTCAGTTGAGCAGGTAGACGTACCGGCAGAGTATCCTGCAACAGTGATATTCTCACGGTTTCCGCCAAAGAACGAAATCATGCTTGCAGTCCATTCAATTGCAGTCCTTTGGTCCCAGAAACCCATGTTCCCGGCGTTCTCACCGTCTCCCTGTGCTTCCAGCTGGAGCTCCTGGCTTGCCAGGAACCCAAAGAGGTTGAGGCGGTATCCGGGCATCACAACAATTGCCTTGAATGTTGTTTCATCGTACATTCTTGCCACTACGTCCGCAGCCTTATTTGGGCTTCCAAATTGCAGAAATCCGCCATGGATGTAAAAGAGCACCGGCCAACCTTCGGGAGGCGGTGCTCCTGAGGGCACCCAGATATTTGCACCTAAGCAATCTTCGCTCCACTGATGTGGGTCCGTGGGAGTCAAAACATCAGGCCAATCCGGCTGAGGACAGATACGGCATCCTTGCGTGCAGGGGCATGGTGATTCTTCACTTCCGTAGCGAAAATCTGGAGCCAAAGGCCGCGTTCTGCGGAATCGAAGATGGCCGATCGGCGGTTGGGCGTATCGCACGCCGCCAAAATAATGGGCTACAGTCTTGCCCGTTCGTTCAGAGACAAGATTGATACCTTGCACCCACCCTCGTGGGCCAAGGTTTTGCGTGCACAGATGTCGTTTGTAGGAGGTAGACATTGTGAGTAATTGAGAGAATCGGGAACAAAGAGAATTTGTCTTGAACAGGCCGGTTTAGGTCGGGATAAGGATCGACTTCTCGGCTATACAGTTAATACCGAACCTTCGGTCCATATGGAGTATTCTGTGGGCCGTGCCCTACTCGTAACAACCTGCCCGGTCCCCACACACTGTCAAGGGGCCTGGTCTATCTATCTAGCTTGAATAGGGCATTGAACCCCACATCGCATTCTCCTTTCGTGCTATGTATGGTACTTGAAGGTATGGCTTGCTGGACTCCTACGGCCCTGCCGATCTACCATCTCAAAATTGGCGGCGAGAATCTCGCTGCTCGATCTTGGTCATGTACAGCGGCTTACAAAATAGAACCATCTGCTCCTTTCGGGGCGCCTTCGAAGCTACTTGTGTGCTATCAATAATTACTGTAGTCCTACTTGGCCCTTCAAAGGAGAGCTTTTGTTTGCAGGCGGATTCGGGACACAGATTGGAACTCTCCTGTCTAATGATCGAGGAGCCCTACGTAGAGAAAAGGTATTCGAAGCCTATCGTGATTGAAAACCTACGGGAAATAGGCCTCGTAGTTACATGAGTAGAATTCTGCCTTTCATTTGGAATGCAATTAAGTCCCCTCCTGCCACTTGGTAGTAACTGGCGAGTGTCGACGCTTGTGGCATAAACAGCCAAAGCGACTCGAAATACAGACTCTCAATAATCAAGCGTGCATTAGGTACAGTAAATGTACTCAATCAACGCGTCCTTCTTGTCACCCTTGTCTTTCACAGCGACGCCGAGCTTCACGTCCACCTCAAGCACCCTCTCGCCCTTCTTCTCAATCCTCAAGACTCCACTCGGCCGCTGCTCCTTATCCTTGCTCTGGAAATCAATCCACTGGCCGGGAGTGTAGGAAAAACCCATCTCGGTCGGTCTTGTACCCTTATTCGCAAGCGGCGCATTGCTAGGGCACACGATCCAGAAATTCACGGCGTTGTGGTTCGAGGTGAGGCCGGAGAAGAAGTCGACCATCTTGGTGCATGCCGCGGTCGTATGGCCAGAGCCAGTGGTGCCAGCGTGACGGATCCAGATATCGTAATCACGGCCGCATTCGATGTTCTTCGGGGTTGTCAGGCCTTCGTCTACGGTGAGAGCTGTCAATTCGAATTGTTCGCGCACGGCGGAGGACGGGAGAGAAAGCACAGTCTGTGCGAGGCTGCCCCAGAGGATCGAGAAAGCCAGGACGAAAGTAGGGAAGTGCATGACGAACTGTTGATAGTTTGTCTGTCGGAAAGAAAGTTTTTATTTTGAAATTATCTTTGCGCGACTGTGCAGCAAAGCTCCAGCTCGCCTACTGTTGATGAACTGAAAGGACTTATAGCTCTAGAGGAGTTGCATTGTTGAGGGAGCGTCAGTGCGAGCAGAGTCAGAGCGCCCGAGATAAATGAATGACTCTTTTCAAAAGGAAAGGACGTTTGTCACCATCATCACTCTCATTCCCGTCCCATTCTGTGAAGCGCAGAGAGTGATAGAGAAGACACGAACTCCACAGCGAGCGTATTCGTGACTTGATTCCCGGTGACTCGCCGGATCCATGCATTCTCGTCCGCCACAAGGGCTCCAGAACTCTCAGTAGCTGACTCGCTGCTATCAGCGACCTTTAGATGACTCTTATGGCCATCTACACTTCATCAGCGCAGGGCTCCTCAGTTCTCGGCTTCCGCTATAGTGGGGCTCGTGATTAGTGTCCTTGTTTTTGTTTCAGTCACTTGAATCGTTGTCGTCTCTAAAATCGTCACTGTAGGAGTTGCCGCCGATTTGTTCACCTGTTCCAGGACCCAAGTCCTCGTGGTCGGGGTGGAGAGAACCACCGTAATGGTTTGGGTTTCATTAGGGGTTGAATTGGGTGATTCTGTGGATATGGACACGCGTGAGATGCTTGAGGTTGTAAATGTTGTGTAGGTGGTGACGGTTGTGGAGAAGGCGAGGAACGTCGTGAAAGTGCGGGTAGAGGAGGTTAGGGTCGCGGGCTGCTCAGGGACATATCAGTAACACATGAGCTATAATGCCACCGGGAAATATGGGAACATACACCTGAAAAGCTCGCCACAATACTCGTAATGGTTACCCGGGTATTGTACACCACGGTCAAGGCTTCGCTGGATACCTGACAAACGGACCCGACCGCCGTATCTGGTAGACAATTCTCTACCCGCACGATGTTGGGAATGGGGTGCTGTGCCAGCTCATATCAAAGAGTCGCATAGAATGCCACGGGGCCAGTAATCCGCGGTAGAGTCGGGGCCGCCGATGATGGAATCGCCAGAGGTCTGAGAGTGGGGAGTTCGCCATCCTGTAGGACAGCAGAGTCGGTGCTTGAACAATTCCCAAGCTTTTGAGAAGAAATGTAATCCATTGATCACAATCCGTGGCGGGCACTGGCAGCATGCCAGGGGCGCAGATAGTCGTGCTGTATACAGGAATAGTGGCAACCGTGTACACCGTCTGGCAGCCGTTACTGTCTTTGACTATCCTCGCCGTCTGCGCGGAAGGTGGCTGGGTAGGTTCTATTGATAGTATGGGCTAATTGTGGCAGTGGATGTGCTGAGAGAAAGGAAGACAGTGCTGCTGCCGTTCGTGAGAAACACTGTTGCATTGACGTAGATGGGAACATAACTCGTTATAGTGGGTTGAGTAGCTTGCATTGTGTTTGTGGCATCGTAGGAGGCGAGATCGAGGGCCAGAAGGGGGAAAATCGGTGACGACGACGGCGTATCGGGACAGACCGTTGCAACCGCCATCTGGATGACTGCCGTAGGAGAGGCATAATGTGATATTGTCGGAGTCCTCATCGCAGGGGCTTGGTCTTCTATTCCTGTCAGCATAGGACTGGTAGGTGGTACAGTGTCCTGGAAGCTGGCATGAGTTGAACTAAGAACGGGCTCGTGCACAATAGGCGGAGGGAGTAAGTCAGTTACTCCTGCTGCAGGGCCATTCCCTTCTACTTCCTGGCGGCCTTTTGGATGTGGATAACTTCTTCCGCTGTGTTTGATTGCAGGGCCAAAAAGAGACGTGGGAGCGATGATGCTAAGAATTGTGAGGAGTTGAATTGTCATGGATGTCATAGCTCGTGGATCTGCAGCTTTTGCTGGAAGCGCCTTAATGAAGGAAATGATAAGTCAATTAGTCATTGATCTCATTCGTGAGGCTGACAGCCGCTTTATAAAACGTATGGGTAGCGCCAGATGAATGTGGCGGGAGCAAGAACAAAATTGCTGGCATTTGGCCTGTGCCCATGCCAAGTCGGTGGTAAGGCTCTGGCGGGGCTGGTATGCAAAGTCGCAGATAGGTATGTACATTTACCAGGCGTTTCGAGCCCGCCACCCCCTTACACCCCTTTCATAGCTGACATAGCTGGTCTCATCAAGATAGTATCGAAAACCACTAGAAAATCTGCCGACTACTTTGTCCACCCAATGGTCCAGGCTGTGATGATCCAGACTGTCCGTGACCTTGGTTATCGTGATACACACTACTCATGAACTCGATCTCAGCATCAGTAGGTGGATTGCCCTGCTGATGTTGATCGATCATTAGGTCTGGGGGGAAGTACTGATCATATTGCATCATGGAATCGTACATGGCGAAGGATTGAGCGTTGGAAGCTGGTGGAAACATTGTACTCTGTATAGTGGCTGGTGCAAATATTGATTGCGAGAATCCGAAGTCGGGCATAGCAGCCTTGGGATGGGCAGGAGAGTACTTCCCTGGTGGATCATGTGGCAGGTCTGAGGCGTCCAGCCCGATCCTTTTGCACGAGTCTCGGAACACGGGAAAGCACAGAGCCCATGCTCGCTTTGCAGACGCATTTTCTTCTCCTAAAGCGTGAAGCCATCTAATGCTCTTTTTCCCAGACTCAAAAACTTGGTCTGCAGCCTCTGGCATATGATTAACTCGGAAAGAAATCTCGAGCATCAAGATCGTGGTGGCTTGCACCAAGAAATGCAGGATAGACCACCAGGGGCCAACTCTCATCAAGCCAACGGCATTAGGCTCATCGGGAATGGAACGCAAGAGTTCCATGGCTGCTTCCACACACGCCAGCGCTGAGATTCGGTTGAAATCAAGAGACTTGCTGGACTGATGAGGTATCTTGCGGTCGAGCCGGCAAAGGCAGGGTCGATGAATGGCCATTTTTGCTCCAAAGAAGGTGAAGCCCAAAGCCAGTCGGGCCTCATACGAGTTTCGGCCACGTTGTTTCCGGCGGAAAACAAACGCAGGGGGCAATCTTCGATACCAATGCTCAAGTCGCTCGTCTAGTTCCTTGATCTTGGCTTGTACATCCGACCACGACCCAGTGATGGAGGATGGGTTATAAAGCTTGTGGAAGATGTCTTGGGTCAACCTCGCCAATTGCACCAGATGAAGAAAGTACAATGAAGAATTCGGCGGTATGTCTTTAGCCCACTCAAGGTCTCGTCCCCGGTTACCGGTGGACGGTGATCTGGAGTCGATGTTGTTCTGGGAACGTGAACGGTCACTGGATGGTGTTGTGGACAGGACACCCGGCGACTGCGGATTTGACGACGGTGCACGATCGCCCCGTTGTCTCTCCTTGCTGAGAAGGTATAGGCCTTCAGCAGTCTCAAACTGTTCTTCTTCAAGAGGAGCAGGGAGCGGCGCGGTGCAGTGGTCATCAAGAATACAATTAACTCGTCCAGTCATACTGCAAAGGCGATGCTCGAGGGTATAAAGCGCCCACCAGACACGATAGCGGATTTCTTTTAGGGAATCTTTGAGGTTGACACTATCATTCCGCATATTCATGGCCAGCGCACCGGCCTCTCGAATGGCAATGCCGTTCAAAATCCATGCCCGGTTGATCTGGCTGATACACATCAGGTAGAAAGTCATCAGGCCAAGTATTTGGATCTGCTGTAGATCGGGGTGGTGAAAGATGGTCTCGGAATTCATACTAAGCATTCGGGCTCTTGTGAAGTAGATCAGATGGTCTCGTTCGTCACCTGCCCATTCAGCCTCGATGAGGTGAGAGTATGTGGCACCGATTGCAAAGATGAGATTGATGATGGCTAGCCATTTCTCTGGCGGTCTCTGCACGGTGCCAGAGATGAACTTTTGGAACTGGTTGCTTAAGTTCAGTTTCCCAACAATAGGGAAGGAGGGGTGAACCCTCGCGATATAGGCATTGAACAAGTGTTGGGCAGTCTCGCGGCTAGGCATTTCGTAAGGGTCGACAGCCTCGAAGGTGGTGATGGGAACGTCATCTAGGTGATAGCTAGTGTCGTTGATGGAGAAGCCGAGATCTGCCTCCGCTAATGGCATCTGTGGATCGCCTGGAGCCCGGCTGGAAGTGAGCGAGGCGGCGGAGGTGCTTCCCATTCGCTGCCGCGCTTCGCCTCCATGAGGAGCAGGTTCATCATCGCCATATTTGTTTTCCTCCTGCACACGCTGGAGCCACGTTATCTCAGAGTTTTTGCCCATGAAGCCGGTGGATCGTGCCTCTTCGCGGGTGAAGTCCTCGTTTGTTCGATCTAGGGCACCCGTAGACCCCGCGCCGGCTGAGGCCAGAGATTCGGCACCGGATTCGGACTCGGCGTCAATCCCATCAACGATTGGCACGCTTGCGTCGGTCCTTGAATCAATAGACGGCTCGTCGGGATCGTCGAGGGTCTCCTACAAAGGTGGGTTAGCATCGCCTTCATATGAGGCCAAAGCCAGAGTGGAAATTCGTACTTTCTCTAGAGAAGCGCGAATGAGGCTTGCATCTGCATCGCCGACTCGGGACATCAAGTCCTTCAGGAGTTTTTCATAGTCTGCCAGCTTCTCTGTCATTGTTCCAAACTGTCTGTCACTCGTCAGTCCGTCCGTATAGTTTCCCAAGTCATACGTTCACTCACTTCTTGACTCGGTCTCGTTTGCCATCGGCATAGAAACAGCTAATCTTGAAGTCTGCGCAATGTCGACATATGGGGCGATCGCCACTGCATTTTGTCTTTCTGTGCCGGCACGGCTCACAGGCATGTGTGACCCGGTGTCTGGCACCCAATCTATTCGCATCTTCGCCCGAGGCATCGACAAGGCGTTTTAATCTTGGGATGGCTACTTTGGCTGCTTTCTTAGAAGGCTCGCAAAGGACTGTCTGCGGAGACTGTGTAACGCGAAATGTAGCTGGAGAGGACGGGGGGATAGAATCGGCGGATTCAATGGAGGGAACTGGTGGTTGGGTGGAGGAGTTTGATCTCGGCGGCTCTGTGCGAGACGCAGGATGTCGAGTATTCCGGCCTGAAGGCAGTTGCTCAGACATGCTCCCACATCAGTATGGCGGGGGTATGTCGCCTGATTTTGGCGGAAATGAAGATTGGGTATGGCGATGATTGAGTTGCGAGCACTAGAGGTCGCTATGAGAGTCAGAGGGATGGAGAGTGGCGATGGCGAGAGTTGGCGGTGGTGATGGTGGTGATGGTGGTGATGGTGGTGATGGTGGTGGTGGGATGTGGAACGAGGCAAAAAGTATGGGAAATAAAATATGGTGTCGTGAGAATGCCATTGGCACGACGGGGGTGTGAGCGGGCTGCATGCTGTTCGGCCAACTCCTTCGAGTCAATAGTGTAGTGTTACTGTAGCTGTGGAGCAAGTGACTGCAAGTTCTAGGATACTCCATCTACAGTCCATGCACCATTGAAACTTGGCATCTCTCAACATATTCCCTACGGAGTACTGGGCAGTGGAACCAGGTGGGTGACTGTGTGGTAGGCTGGTCGCCAGGCTCTTTTGCTAGAAACCGCGCTCCCCTTCTCTCAGCCCCTCCGAGGCCACTACCAGCAGAGGCCTGGCCATCGGGTTCCTGGCAGGTAGTGCATATGCCCGTGCCCGTGGTGTACCAAAGCTCTCCCGGAAACCTGGCAACCCTGATACCTTAGTATTGGGCAGAGTGCAGTCCGAACTCCTTACTCCCATCACCAAATCGCAGCGAGGTTGCGGCCTCGTTCCGGATCTTTGTCCCGAACGGCCATACGCTGAGCAGCCGCCCATTTGCCCGTCTCGCAGGCCAGCACGCCAAGCCAAAGTGCTATGATGTCATCTTGCAGCCTCGTTAGTCCGCCAGGCCTCAGGTCTTAGGTCCTTCTCCTCGGATTTTTTGCAGCCCCGGCAACCTCAGCAGCGCGGTACAAGCATGTCGTCGTGGCATCGCGTGCTGTGGGGAACCCTGTAGCGAGACATGGGATGGCAGAGTACTCCGTAGGCTGTGTCCCGCGCAATCGCCGGAGCCAGCTCGACTGGTGCCTCACCCTGCCCCGCGGCTGATCATTGCGTGCTGATCCGAAGTGATTGCGTAGCAGGACTGTGTGGCAAGCGTCTATCTTTCGGTTGATATCCTCGAGCGCAAGGGCACGTGATGCAAATCCCCTTGTGACTGCCAGTCATATGGCGAGGAGTAATATCTCCTCATCCACGCTTACTCCTGTCTCTGTCGCTTGGCTCCATGCTGATTCCAGTCCCCTGCACCGAAATTGGGCCCCTGTCCAGAATTGAACATGGTTGGATTGAAAGGGTTTCCTTGAAATCCTGCGAAAGAGCAGATCATCAGCAAACCGCCGCAACACAGGTAGCACACTATCGATACTTACCTCCCATGCCCATTCCGGCCATCATAGGATTCATTCCCATGTTACCCATCCCCATGCCCATCCCGCCTCCCATCGGCATCATGTTGTTCATGCCTCCTCTACCTCCGCGCATGCCACCCATATTACCCCCCCTCATAGAGTTGTTCATTATAGCGCCTCGGTTGAATCCGCCATAGTTGTTGTTCATGCCCATGTTGCCTTGGAATCCCCCATTGTTGTGGTTGTTATTATTGTACCCACCCCCCATAGGACCAGAGAAGTTGCGGTTGTATTGGTTGTGACCACCGTGGGCGTTATAGCCTCCACGGTTGAATCCACCACCTCTTCCACCTCGATACCCTTGATTGTTCGTGCCGTAATGATTCTGAGTGTGGGTTGTGGGGTTAAAAGCAGTCGACCCACCTCGGACCGGCCGCTCCTCTCGGGCACGAGTAGGAGCGTCCTTGGGGAGCGTCTTGAATGGGTTTTGCATGGGGTTGGTGAAGACCACATTGTGCTTGCGGGTAGCAGCATTGGCTCCTCCGGCTTGTTCAATTTGGTGTTTTGTGGCTGTAGCGGCATGGGGGGAGGAAAACTCGATGTAGGCTTGCCTAGAACGTGTGTAAGCTTGGAAACAAAACCAGGCGAACAGTAAGTGATCAGCTGTTACCCTTTGCTCTTCCCATTGACTTTGTGTTCACTGAAAGTGATGTCTTTCAAATCCTCTTCAGAGCCAGCATCATTAGCCCAACCACGAATGTCGTCCTCGGTAGTCCACCAATGAAGATCTGAGATCATCAGGGCGCTCGTAGCACCGGCATCGAGAGGTCTTTCACCAGATGATTCCTTGCGTTTCGTTCCCTGCTGAGGTGCGAGGCCAGATGGTGGCTTCACGGGGATTGTCTGGGGTTGACTAGGCGCATCTTCTCGTCCACTGGCATGTCCTTGTGGTTGGGATTGGGTTTCGGTCTTGTCGGTCTGCAAGGGTGTTTCAGGCTTCTGATTCTGATGTGGCTCTATGTCATGTTTGACTGCGGCTTCCTCAGCGTGTGCAAAATCGTCTTGACCTAGGTCAAAATTAACCTCTTCATCGTCGTCGTTATAGTCCATATGACCATCGTGGCCCATAGCGCCATCAGGTTCACCTTCACCATAGATGTCAATGTCAAAATTGTCTTCTTCTGTAGCCATGGTGGGGAATCTCTGGATGGATCAAGTGGATTGTCTTGTCTGCAACGATGAGGGCAAGAGGAGCAAAGGACATAAAAAGAGGTTCTGTACAAAGCCATGGTGAATTAGCACCCCAAAAAAAGAGGAGGGAAGAATCCAGACATCCGCGCTTCACTCGACTCGACTCATTTGTCTCCACCACTCGACCATCAAGGGCCTTTCCACCAAGAGATACGTACATGAAGTGTAGAGAGGATTATACAATGATTGAGAAGCTTATGATTAAGCAGACCAGCTGAAGCAGCACCCGGTGATTGTCCTTTTCCCCTTTTTAATAGTACATGAAGTCTGACGCGACAATGCCAACAGATTTGGATGTATGGGGAGGAAAGACGATGTGTCTTGGTCAAACTACAATCGAGAAGGGAAGTAGATGGTCGACAAAGGATATCAGGTTGGCGGGCGCCTTCCCTGACTCAACTTGGAGCAATGGTGGGTGAGAAAGGACGAGAGGAAAGCTGGTAGGACAACGAAATAAGAACTATGAGGGTGGTAAAGTCGGGGCAAGGATGGCCAAACAAGCAAACAGAATGATGAGTTAGATGAGACTCTGTGGTAGGGAGTTGAAGTTTGACGCTTGTTGTCTGCGGTACGAGTGCGCCCTGGGCTGATATTGTCACACTGGGGCGCAGGCGTTGATGATTGGGCAAGTCCGGACTAGAAGTGCCCTTTAGCCTTATCAGGCCAAACCACTCACTAAGAGCCATTAGCATGAGTCTAGCCACTAAGAGCTTCCCCGCCCCCAGTCCGGCCACCTACGCCTCAACTGCAACTGTACGAGTAAATAACTTTACGAGTAGGGAGCGCATCTCGGACTCGCTTGATCGCAATCCTCTGCTTCCAACATCGACTTCCTCTCTTCACGACGCCGGTCCTAGCTTGATCATCCTCTGCTGACCCTCTCACACAATCTCACTCTTCGCTCCCTCTATTCTCCTCCATTGCAACAACTATGTCCGATCTAATCCAAGAAATCGCCGACGTGCCGCGGGAATTCTTCAAAGATGGGACACAATTCATCAACCGATGCACAAAACGTAAGTGCCCATAGTCCCGTCCAACGCTACGCAGCGAAACCTCGTATATGCAAGAGCCCAGCTAGCTAACACATACCCGCTCTTTCTCTCCTCTAGCCGACCGAAGAGAATTCATCAAAATCTCGCAAGCAGTCGGGATGGGCTTTTTGATCATGGGCGCCATCGGTTATTTCATTAAGCTGAGTGAGTACTGCCCTCGGTGCCCTCACGAAACTCGAACTCCTATTCTGTCAACTCCTTGCTCATCTCGCGTACAGTACATATACCAGTCAACAATGTACTGGTGGGATAGGGATCATCGCAAAAGCATGCGCACAGTGATTATATTGGCGTCGAAGAGCCGGATAATTTGTACGAACATCTGATCCCAGAGAGGTTGAAAATCCCTGGGTGGGAGCGGCCGTGCGTGCCCAGGGCCAAACGGGAGGCAATCTCAATATCGATCGAGCAAGAACCGTCCTGTCTACCCGTAGAAACAAGAGTTAGTACGCCTCGCTTGTAGATCAAGGCTGGTACAGAGAGGATAGAGATTTCAAAGCGAGGAGGCTCTTGCCCGTTTGGCACAGACTGGCATGTCACATTCGCTTATCTGTATACTTTTTCGACTAGAGTTCAAGAACTTTCTCATTTACGGTTTCGTTTCGCCTCGCCTTGCGGTCTATCTCGATCATGCTAATTCCGGTTCTGTTCTTGAAATACGGAAGTGGTCTCTCTGAATCGGTATGAGCAAGCCTCTTCTGCGATTGCCACTACCTGTAGCTGCGATCGTGTCGTCCCCGTAAATACCTGTGGAGGAATGCGCCGGCTACTTTGTGGACCCTTACGCCTAACTCAAAATGTCGTGATCAATTCATTCGTCCTCTCCACGTCCTGAAAGCGCTCGATATGTATTGTAGATAGAACGGCAATGACCCGTACTGCCAGCGCAAGAAGGAAATTCGAATGTATTTGTAGCACAGTGGCTAGTGGCTGCGGTGAAGCCAGGAGACTCAGGAGCGGTGACGATAGTTGAGCTCCGCCCGCGAAATATAAGTGTGGATAATATTCCTCTGACACAATTTTAACCCGGACCGCCGCGACTAAATATCCCAGACATCGACTATGATTAGTTTGCAGAATGTCCAAATGCCCCGTACGCAAGACGCCACAATTAAACTCCACTCATGAATGCATCCAGATCAGCAGATGCAAGGGAGCCTAATAAGTAGCATCTAGGATCACCAATCCATCACCAAAGCCAACCATCTTGTCTGTACAGTAAACGTTTTATGCATTATGCTCTTGCTGTACTATGATAATATATGTTGCATCGCATCACATCGTCTGTCGTCCATTCTCACTCCACGCCGCAGAATGCAACATGTCGTGAGATTCGAGATCTGAGGCCATGGCCCGTCTCGATGAAGAAGTATTCTATTCCCCCCCCCCGGAAACCCTATCCAAAGTCTGCGTAGCGTAAGATCGAGGTTCACGTCTCCTTCAACACCAGGTGCTTAACACGATACAGTAACCGCACCTCGCCTTACCAAGCGCCCGGTGCCCGTGGCATGTCGTCGTCGTCGTCGTCGTCGTCATGACCCTCGTCAGCCTCCGGCGCCGCTCGCACGACACGACTTCGAAGGACTCGCCTAGCGAAGCCTCCACCACCGGCACCTGTACCACTTGATCTCGTTGCGCGGGCCGCGACACCCCTGCGATTGAAGTCCTCTCTCAAGTCTAGCCGTGCATTGTAGTTGCTGCCCATGGGCGGTGAGCCCTCGTCATCCTCCATTCCGTCGGAGAAACTGTGCACGGAGACGGTGCCGGTCGCCATCCCCCAGCCGTTCCAGGAAGTTGCTGTTCGGATTAAAGTCAGCATGGTCAATCGGGGTTCCAATGCACCAAAAACGACGGAAGGGACTTGAGACAGAAAGATGCCGACGGCATACGTACCAGCCATGATCGGCGCGGTGGGACTCCAACTGGCGTCTCGCACACACGTCTTCCACGCAGAACTGCTCCGCCCACCCAGCTCATACCCATAATGATCGCCCATGCCGCTCGTCCTTGGTCGCGTGTTCTTCGTCGCGGCTCCCACATCGAGCGTGCCCTTACACGTGCCGTCCAGATTCCAGATCCACACCTTGCCGTCTTCGGACCCGCTATAAACGTACCGCGAATTGCTGCTCGTGGGCGGGCTGAAATGGCAGCGGATCAGCGTCTTGAGTACGCTGTGCCCGCGGAACGTCACCACCGAGCAGTCCTTCGGGTTTGGGATATAGTCATCCTCGTCGTACGGGCTAAAGCGGTAGTCGAAGTTGGTCGTGTAATTGTGGAGGTTGATCTTGGAGAAATCGTTCGGCGAGATCATCTTCCGCAGATCCCACAGCTTCATCATCTGGTCCTTGCCGTTCGACAGCACATAGCGACCGTCGCCCTTGGAATCCACGTATGTCAGGCCTTCCGTGTGTCCAACGAAGATACCCGCGGGTCGTCCGTCTGCCATGGACCGGCGATCCCACACGCGAAGGGTCTGGTCGTCGCTGCCGGAGTAGAGAATGTGAGGGGAGAGCTTGTCGCCGTAGCATACCGCGTTGACGTCGTCTTCGTGGTTGGACAGCCGCACGATAGACTGCCGCCGCTCAAGATCGTACACGACCACGCTGTGATCGGAGGTCCCTGCCACTATTTCTCGGCCGTCTCCACTGAATCGTAGCGACCAGATGCCAAAGCCATGGCGGCCCATGTAGCCATAGGTCTGCCTCCCCATGCTGGAGCCTGGAGCAAAATTCGTAAAGTCGAGAATCGTGTGGTCGCTGGTGTCGGAGGGATCGGTGGTGGCCAGGCACACCGCGTGACGGATAGAGGAATATGCGAGGAATCTATTATCCGGCGAGAGGGTTGCGTCGGTGATAGTCCACTGACCAAAGGGATAGTCCACCGTCTTGTAGTACTTCCACTCGTATGGATTACTGGTATCGTACATCCTGACCTTGAAGTTCTGCGTACAGCTGAAGAAGAAGTTTCCATCATCGGAGAACTGGCCAGAGTATGCGCGACTGTCGTAGTGGATGATGCTGTCGGCGGTACTGTTGTTGGGAATTAATTCTTGAGCGATGAGGTTGTTTTGGCGCCGCATGCTCGAGCGAGGATCGACCCCAAGACGCCGCCACATCAGCCGCTCGCTGAGTGTTCTCCTCCTCTTGTAGCGCAGGTCTCCATGACTGTCCTGGCTGCCGTACAGACCGGAGTTCATCAGGGCTTGACCGTGTTCATTGGGGACCTTGGGCCATCGATCGCCTTTGGGTTTCTCCGGCCTCCTCCTCCGCTGTCTTCCATAATGGCCGGGATCTTCGTCATCATCGTCATCGGCGAATAGAGCCCGGCCCGAGGGGGTTATGATGCGGTACTGGGAGAGTAGAATCTGGCGCAGGGGGTTGTTTCGCTGTAACAGGCCTCGTAAATCGGCGTAGGTGACTGCATTGACAAGACATGGTTAGCCAGCCCATCTGAGACGCCACAGTGATACGGAGCAGATGTGTTTGACATCGCGGGGGCATGGGCATGGGCACGGGCACGTACTCTGGGTGCCGCCTCCGGTTGGGGTATCTGTTTCAGTCTGTTCGTCCTCGCCCTCGTTCTCATCGCCATCCGCCCCTTCAAATACAATCTCGATTCCACCGAGGGACTCTTCTGCATCTGACGTCGGTCAGCCTCTTCGTCCCAGCACGTCAAAAGGGTTGATCTTGTTACCAATGAAATCAGTATCGCTGCTGTCGTCTTCGTGCCGGCCACTAGCCTCGGTACCACTTTGCTCGTCCGAAGGGTTAAAATCGACGTCACTATCTCCATCTCCGTCTCCGCCTCCGGCGAACAGATCAAGAATATTGGGCGAGGGGCTTAAGCCCTCGCGGGGATCTCGGTGGCTTGACATGATGGCGAGGTGTCACCTTCGACTGGGAAGAGCGAAAACGACAACTGAAGACGGCGAGAAATGGTCATGAGGAGAGAGAGTGAGGGTGTGGATAGTTCGCTGCTGTTGGTCAGCCGTGCCGGTCGATTGTGGTGATGGACTTTGGGGGAAGTGGGTGGACGTTATCTCCGCAGTCATAAAGGCGTCATCGATAGCATGATTAGTAGGAGACTCCCCCATCAATATCGCTTCTATACAATAATTGCACCGTACTTTGGCATTGGAGTTGGGCTTTCCCTTATTACAAACTATCTATCGACTATCGAACTCCTTGTGTCGCTTGGAGAACCTGCGCCATGGCGTAGACTTAACACATAGCTTCTTTTCATACCAGTAGGTACCAACCACTAGTCGACAATGTATGTGTCGTATAGGGAAAGGCATAATCCTCCAGCGCCGCCAACACCATGCATACCTTCCAGCCAAGAGTAGAATCAATTCCATTCATTTATCGTCATCCAACGTGCAGGAAGACTCACTATCAGTCCACCCGACCAGTCTATTGGCAAGGTCACTGGCATAGCAATGCGTCGCCGATCCCTTCCCCAAGTCCCCAGAGTCATCAATTGCTCCAGAGTTGTATAAACGTGCGGCGCGGTAGTAGGCCTCTGCGTATTCGATATTCTCGACCTCTTTCTGCGCATTGATATCCGTGGCAAACCCGTGACCATCTGCAGTGCCGCCAACTAGAGAAGTATAATGTTAATGATCCCGAAAGTGAGTCATTCGAGAAGCAAGGGCTGGTGGAAACAAACCTCCATCCGCGATCATCCCCAAGATCTGATCTCTCGGGCAAGGTGTTTGCACCTTTCCCTTGTCGTTACATGAAAATGTGCCCTTGAATGACTGGAGAAGGCCCGGGTTTCTGATTCCGTCTGGTGACTCGCTGGTTGCTGCGCGAACGCACCCTTTGGTTTCCTGCATGACAGCCGCGAGAATGAATCGATGGTCGACGCGTGACTCATGGGCGACGGAATTGATTGCATCCTTCAGGTCCTGCGTCTCCTGGTCGGAATTGTTGGGGACTTTATATAATTGGTCGCAACTTCGGCTGATCGTGTGTAGACTAGCGACCCAGAGATCGTTGAAGCTGACCCAGGTGAGAACCGCAGGCCACCCTGCAGCTACCGATCCGTTTCCTTCATATTGTACATAGTGGTTTGACCCGCCTGTTGATTCGATTAATCTCCATATTTCGTGTGGCATCGCAAGCTTAACGCACCGTCATATTCGTTCCAGTACTCGTCCGTTCCCAGTGCGCCCTGGACCACGTCTTCGGCCCGTTTAGTGAGGGGACTGGAAATGGCCGAAGCTGTAAGTACGCTGGCAGAGAGCAACTGTGCATGTGATGTGAGTTTGAAGGATCACATTTGATGGATGAGAAAATACTTACCAGCTGTCCTAACCCCATTCTTGGTAATGCGTTCGACCAATATCAGATTTCCGGGTCCAGAAGGAGGATTGCCAATCTTGAGATTATGACTATGGTTAATTTGGAAACCTGAAGTAGACTTCTTCAAAACGGGTACCTAGAAAGTGTCGCGCCAGATGTAATTACACGGAGGGCAGAAACAAGCACAAAAGAGAAAACAAACTAGTCCACCGCTTCAACAGTTAGAAATCGCCATGAGCATGTATCCAACACACAGGGTTTCAGAGCCGGCCTCGCCTGGCTGTGGCCCTCCATGGACCGTTGATCGTTCGGAAAAGTTGATCCTTGGGATCCTCAGTTCGAGGCCACCCGAACTGCCACCAGAAGCGCCTGTCTGCGCACTGCGTACTGGCTGTCACGACTGGCATTGGGAGGACGCCTGAATCGACGCGGGATCGTTCCATTTTGGCAGTGCCGTGCAGAAATGGAGACAACGAACGAAGCACGAGCGAGTTGCGTGAATACTATTCAGTAGCGTCTCGTGTCATTCGCCTGACATGAATGTGGACTGCTCCATGGCACCGTCCCAGGGATCTGACGGGCAACGGTCTGACGATCCTGCTGCTGCGGGAATAAACATTTTTTGGTGTGTGGCATTATGGTGGTTCTCACTATGGAGGAATCGGGTGAGTGGCGGGAACGAGGCAAATAATAATAGTACCTAGTATCGTTATAGGCGTGTCCACTCGGAGTTCATTTGTGTCCCTGACTCCCTGTCCCCATTTCGAGCGAGGAACCCCTGGATGTCTGACCTTGAGTCGCTCGGAAGTGCCGGTGGCATGATTTGCTCCACAAAGGTTTCCACTTCCATGTCCTGGGGACAGGCACGGAGGGTAGTACTCGTACTCGTCCTTACTACTCGTATGTGTGGGCGAGGAGAGCAGGCTGGGCAATATTGGTACCCCGTACAATATATAGACAAAAGATTCCAAGTCGGGTTGGATATTTAGTCAATGACTAGGTTGGTACCAATATCCAGTTTTGATTGTTGACAATGCTGCTTGACGTCCAGCCGCCACAAGCGAACGTTGAACCGAACCGAATGCTTATAAACTTGGACAAATCGCCATGAGTGGATGCCATATTGTGGCTGGCTGAAATATGCAAGCCCCCGGATCTACCAACACATGGATATTGGAATGCCCTCTATCCCTATCGATCTAGCTACCGACCTGAACACTTGAACACCCAACCACCTGGACACCTGAACACTTGTCCATACCTTGTTCGCACGTGGGTTCATTTCGTACCATTCCACAGCTACATCCTGACCCAAATTCTCCAGCACAGATTAACCTCCCCTTCCTAGTATTGATTCTCATTTAGGTCATTCATCCGCCATCTACCTGCCATTTGGTCATTGATTGAATATGGATTTACACCCACGCGACACCACCTGGTGCAGTCCCTGCTCCCGCTCCCAATCCGTCATCTGTGATAGTCTTCTTATCTCTAGCTATTGCCGGGGCGGTCACATGATCCCTGCAGCCACTTCCAATGTCACTCAGCTTCTCCTTGTCGTTGTATTCGATTTGCGTTCGAGGACCTGGATTCTTTGCATTCTCGTAGGTAGGTCGGCCAACCCAGAGCGGTCGGACTGAGTCTGGGCCGGAATTATCCCTCGGGCTGGATCCTCGAGGGCCACAATCGGATAACGTACGTTGCAATTTCATAGACGAGAGCGCTGACACATCGAGATCCGCTGTGTGGAGATCCCAATCATCTATCTTAGATTTGATGTTGTTCATCAATGTGGCGTTTCTGCCATCGATAAACGATGATGGCTGGACCGCTTGATACTGCAGGAATGCGTCATGCGTCGGGCTTCCGAGGAAACTTACACCCTTGGTGTCCCGACTATATATACTGCTTGCTTTCTGACTTGGATGGCTTCTCGGAACCATCATGGGTCTGAGCATTGCTGAGAACGAAGACAAAGAATGAACTTTTGTATGTCGTTCGCAACTCTGGACATTCGAGAACAGAGTCAAATTGAGACGGCCTGGTTTCAAGCGTTTGGTGGCACTCGTTGGCGGAAGCGGCACTACCGTGTGACTACCAGGAGCCGAGCCTGGAATATGTGCAAAGCCGAGGTGCTGCGTCGTGGTAGCTTGGTTTTCTGAATCAGGCTGGCGACCTGCAAAATGACTTCGAGACGGGGCACTGCTCATGTCCAGATAACGCGGTGATGTTGGTGGAGTGGATGAATCGCCAGGTGTATCGAATGGATTCACAGAAGGGGTACATTCGTCTCTCATGGAAATTGTCCCATTCGTGGCGGCCTTGGGATTTTCATTGAAGCGTTCGCCCATCTCCGCGACAGGAGTTCTGGGCCATGTTACTGTTCCTGCCCTCTCCAATGTGGATCTTTCTTTACTGCTAGCCGCAGTCGGTTTCTTTTCTAGGCTTCGACTTCTTAACCGAACCGTTCTCTCTGACAAATCGTCCAAAATGACCTCACCCGCAACCCTGCCTGGCTCGACACAATCAATATTGTCATCGCGGTGTCGGTGGCCAGTGCCAGCACGGTGGTCCCTTGATAGGTTCAAGCGTCTGGCTTGATATTGAGGAGGGCAAGGTGTACCAACTGTGTCAACTGTTGACTGAGAAGCTCGTAATTCCATGCCCTCGAATATTTTTGATGGGTGTAGCAGATAGTCTTTTCGCTTAAGCGTTCCAATCGGCATGGGGAACCTCTCCAGTTGTCTTGTGAGTGGTGGCGGTCTTCCTGCAGGTCTGGGTTTCAACACAAGTGGTTCAGGCACAGGAAGAACATAGTCTTGATTGTGTTGATAAGCAGTCATCTCAACCTCCTTCATGCTCTTGGCTTTCCCTTGCGATCCCAAGGTCTCCTTTTGCGAGATCGTGGTACCCAGACGCCGCTGAGGGCAATCTTTGGTAGGTGAGAAGAGGCCATGGCTACTGCCAAGCCTGTACTCTGAATTTGATAAAGGGCCTGTGGTGGTAAAGGGTATAGGTGCCGCGCTCCCAGGCAAAGGCCCATGTGATGGGAATGGTGACTCTGTTCTGGGGTTGTATCGGTCGAGAGCTGGTCCTTTCTTGCTACGAAAGCCTCGAAGTACAGCAGGATGGCTGGGAAAGTGATGATCGCCATGACTACCTGATGAGACTATTCCTCCTCCTCTGCGCAGTGAGCTGACGTCGGTTTTCTTTCTCCACCTGGGTAGGACAAAGCCCCAAACGAGGCAGACGAGGACAACAAGCAGAGCAATGACAGCAAAAACTATGGAAGCTGTCTTTCCTGAGGCTTCAGAACGTCGCTGGAGAAGGGGTCGAAATGGCGTCGGAGGCATCGTTGGTGTGCTGAAGAGACTGACTGGCCTTGTCCAGTGTAGACAAGTCAATGAATTGGAGCAAGTCAACGTGGCAGGAAGCAAGGCTTGTCTGGGCTGGCTGAGAGGAAGATGAAGATGAGGAGATCATTCAAACAAGGGATAAAGAGAAGACACAGGAAGAGGACACCCACATCTCATCTGTGGTGTGTGTGCTTGAACGGGAAGTCACGTCGCTCTGATGAAATCGCGTGCGCTCCTTCCCCGTTCACGTCACAATCTCATCGTCACTCTCGCCGCCTCCGATTGATTCAACACCGACTGAGGAAGATGTCCTACTTCAATCTCACAATGCAGAAATGATTGAATGATATTCAGCGGAAGATTCAGTCAGGTGCTACTTACCCACTGCAGACCATTACGCATACTCGCTCCTTGACCCCGGCCGTTCATCACGACTCTTAAAGTCATTGCGATCCTGGGCCTGGGCCCCGAGAACCCATCCCATCCCACTGACAATACCACTTGTGACCATGTTTGTGACTTGGTCTCTCTTCCGCACCCTTCCTTCAGTGGGTGGTGAGCCTGGTGTCGCATCCTCCATCTTCGAGTCGTGTTGCACCGAGGAAGTCGAATTGTCTCGGATCTTCAAGTCTTGCAAACCTGTCGACCCCAAGGGAAAGAAAGAGCTCTTCCGAAGAGCAGTTGCTGCTCCCTTTGCAACGTCAAACAGCCCCATAGGAGCATGTTCTTCATAGGAAATTCCTGGTGTAGATCCAGGCCAAGTCCGCCGTGCCATAGCACGTTGTAACTCTGCCGCATCCAGTTCACGATCGTCCAAGCCGAATGCGCCAGGTATTTCGGCGTCAGCTCTCGCATCGGAGGCTCGTTCCTCCTTTACTCCCTCTTCTCTGAAGGCGGCCATCTCTTCCTCATGTCGACGCCAACTCCCAAGAATTTCAGCGAGCGAGTCTCCCACAGGTGCCAGTACCAGCGCCCGCGAAAGTAACTCCATTCGTTGTGAAAGGTTCTCGATGCGAGCCTCTAAACCCTGAGGCGATGCTACAGGCCTGTATTTTCCGGCAGCATACGCAGCCCTCCACGATATATCGTCATCGTAGCCAGGTGTTGTCTCATTGGATAGTCTTGTCGTGATGTACGAGTAAGCTGTATCGAAATCGCTATTTTTCAACGCCGCTTCGATGGCCAGACGTGTGATCTCAAGCTCGGCTTGAACTAGACGCAGCTCAAGCGGTTCCGATGTATCATCGATGACCACGCGGGCGGGAAGGTGAGCCTGCACCAGGCTGCGGCCTATCTCGAGAAGGTCATCAAGTTTTGTATAGGCTCTGGGGTCTTGTTCCAATGCTGTCGCCACAAGCTTGAGCGGGTTCTTCTGCACGCGGATCGCAACAGGTCTGAAAGCAATCCCGTGTGGTAAATCGAGCCGGTAGAAGGAAAGACGATGGGTGGCTTTGATGAGATGGTCAATGTCTTCCATTTTGGAAGATTGCGGCAGCTTAGGGCGAAAATATTTCAACATCTCGTAAGCAGGACGGAGCGCACCACGTTCGCGGTTGCCGTCGGTGGCGTTGTCATAGGCACGTAGAATCGCGTTCGTAATATTATTTTCAGTTTCCAATTGAGGCAGTGGTGGTGTTGGGTTGTCGAGATATAGCCTTGCCACCGCATCGTAATGACCCAAGGTCAACGCGGCGTTCAAGATTTGAGTATCCAGTATCTCAGACGGGACTTTGGATAAAAGGCCCAACTGCAACTCACTATCTTTTGACATATCTTGGTGAGTCCACAGCCGTAACCAATGTAGGCGACCCCGGATTGATAGCCAATCAACATGTGGTCTCGACCTCTCCGAAATTCGTTGTAGAATTCTGCCCAATTCGTCTTTCTGTTGCCTTTCAGACCCAAACAGACATGTGCGTGCCAAAGTCACCATTGAAGCTGGCAAATTGAAATCTAGTAACGTGGCAGCAGTTTCCAACAGGCCCGTCACCAGAGCGATTGAGGATGCGTTGACTTGTGTAAAGGGGTTGTCTGGTTGAAGGAGGGAATTGAACAAAAGATCGATTTCCTTGAGTCCGCGAGACGCAGAATAATCGAGGGAAATTTCAGGTTCGCTAGTAGTGAAATCTGGTGGACGCTGACGGACAATGTTGGCGACTTTCGTGAGGATGGTCTTCGCGACAGAAAGTGCCCCTTTTGAGAGCTCTGGGCAAGCATAGATAATAGCCAGTCCCGTCTGCGCAAAGCGAGCCAGGGCCGACTCGTCAAGCTTGCTAATTGGATCAAACTGACTTGGTTTTGGACCGGCCCAAGATACAAACGCTGTGCCGGTAATCTCGAAATGCTCGACACTTGCAGCCAAAAGCCATACATTTACGACATCCCATGACGAACCGTCAGCTTCCGCAACTTCTTGGCCCACCCTCCTCCTCTTCCATTCGCTTGCCCCGTGCACCCAAGGGCTTACAACGTCATCTAGATCGCGTGCTATAAGAGCGGGTTCGTGGGTTTCTTGGGCATACTGAAGTAGGGTCTGGACACCTGCAACACCTGACAGTCTCTGGAAGTCGTCTAGCCCTGTAGTGTTGATGGCATCTGGATAGAAGTCATACTGAAGTCTAACAACAGGAAGGAGACAGGTAGCATGCCACAAGCGAAGGCAAGAGTCGGTACTCAGAAATGGCTCTACAAAGGCGAGTAGAGGCTGCACTCCACCAGTCGACTCAACACGATAGCACCAGTTGATAATGAAGTTTGTCAGGCTATTTTCGGAGCCAAAGATGGCATGAGGGGGATTCGGGCGCAGAGCTAACAGACGACAGCGGCGTAGGGCATCTTTGGGCGAGAGGGTGGAAATGGAGGGATCGATCTTGAATTCGGCCGCGGCCGGAGCATCGCTTGGACGATCTTGCACGGCAAGAAGGAAGTCGGCGAGATGGGATAACTTTAGCTGGTTGACAGGATAGAACGAGAGCAGGAGCCTGTATATCAATGTTACAGGTAGGATCTCCTGGCGCAAGCGAGAGAGGATGAAAAGGTGATCCAGGTCAGAATTTGAGGCCAGGTGGACGGCCAACAGAAGTACATGGGCATCTGTCAACAGCGAGACGTTCGACATGTCAGTTCATGTGTTGGACATTACATGCGCATGACACGAGGTTGTAGGAAAATGCGTGTTTGAGAGGAAGTCAGGCTTGGTGGTTTACACGGCCAGAGTCTGCATGATCAGCAGTACGGAGTATGATAGTACGGAGTAACTGGGGTCTTGTAATTAATTACTTGAGCCTCCGCCCGATTTGGGAACCCTAGTCGGTACGAGTCGAACACGTAAGTGGCAAATTGGTACGAGTAATTATTCGTATCTCACAAGCAAAAGCTTGGCCGCTCAGCTGCAGTCACGTGCAAGGCAGCTCCGTCTCCAACTTGCAACCACCAGCAACAATCACCACCACCACCGTCAGCCAGAGTCACTGCTACTTCGAGATACCCTCCCTTCACGCCACTATCTGCAGCTCGCGAAGACCCTCACTCGCCCGTGGTTGGATGGGTCTTGCTCACTTGGCTTGACACCACAAAGATGGCTTCTGGTTATGGCGCAAATTCAGGTGAGCTACATCCTCGTTAGGGCGGTCTTGGAACCTGCAACTGCAGCCATACTAATAGTGTGTCCCAATTCACAGGCGTCTCGCGGTGCTTTTCCTTCTGGCAAGAATATATGGCGTGCTATGTCATCAATCAAAACGACCAAGTAGCAAGGCAGCAAGGCGTTTGCTTGCCGCGACTGGAAGACTACTATGAGTGCTTGCATCATAAAAAGGAGGTCGGTGCTCTTTTCATCCTGCAGCCAGCATCGGGACTAACTAGGCTCCTTACAGTATGCTCGCGCCCTAGCCATGCAGGATGCCCTGCGAAAAGCTGAAGCTGCGCATCCTCGAGAAAACGCCCCGAAGATCGATCAGATTCGAAGTCTGGGCCTGATAGGCAAAGAGGCAGAAACAAAGACTATACTAGGCTTATAGTCGAGGAGCATCTTTGTCGTGATTGCTTGGTTTCCCACGAACTGTACATAAAATATCGACGAGGAGACGCCCGAGCATCGCGGGAAGCGAAATGACAGTAGAACAGATCACGCACCATCTGACCATACAGAACATTCAAGCGCTTAAGATCTACCAACGAGAGGGCTCGCTGCCGCTCTCCCACCTCGTTTCTTTAGCCTTTGTTGAAGTACTGACCAGCACTCGACCAGCCCGCGCCGGAAAGCAGAATGTGTTTGGCTGCAGTTCCGTCTATTTCAGTATTAGACAGACAGAGTCAAGACCTGACTACGAATTCCTAGCGATGAGACCAAGCCAGACCTCGTGCATTTAGTCCGTTTACACATGCTTTACACAACACTCTGTGATAGCCACGGGACGACTCGGATGTTTTTCGAGTTTTTCGAGTTTTTCGGTGCTGGTTGTTCTTGGATTTCCATACGAACAAAAAGGCCTCATGTGCTATCAACGGCTTGCTTGTAGCTTTCTACCTAGACATCTGGCGGAGTATACAAGCCGCAGTGAGAAGCATAGACATCACCTGGTGACCTGAGTGTATTCAAAAAACAAATCCGGTTGTGGTGGTAATGGTGAGTGTACTCCGTACTCCATACTGATGCCAAGACGCTAAGAAAGGCTTGAGTGGCACTAGCGGTGCTTCAGAGGCAAGAGGCACCAAGAGGTGGACGTTTAACGTTAGTGGCAAGGGGCGGCGGCGCACTGCAGGCAGCTTCGACCAAGCGAGGATTTAAATGCGGTTCGAGACCCCTCTTCACTCATAAGCCTGCGCAGTGCCCCCCCGATTTCCGATCCCCAATTCCAACTTTCCACCCACTTGAGCCACTGTCTGCACCAGGAACCACCAACCACCACCACCAGCAAGGCTCTGCATTGCCTCGCCTGCCGTCCGTCACTGTACTGGTACTCCCGTACATACCTGGCTGAAAATATTCACTGGTCCAGTCACGCGTACATTAACTTGTCCCGACGCGTCACCTACCCCCATTAATTATCAATCTGACATTCACAGCGAAGGGCATCATCTTTCCATCACTCGCAATTCATCTGTTTGTTGATGCATCGTTCTTGCATTTGATGGCGTTCGACTTTCAGCCTGGCCTGTTTGTGCAGAACAAGAATTGGTGGTCGGCCGCGTCCGGATAATTGACACGCAAAATGGCCTCTTCAAGGTTTGACTCCGTGTGGATCTTCTGCCGAGACTGCCGCTAACTGGTTTCGTATAGGCTCGACCGACTCGTCACGTGAGTACAGATTCTCTATTCACCTCTCGACGTTGGGTGAGCGTGGTACTAATTGTCTTGTCACAATAGCCTCCTGGACAAGGGCAGCACGCAGCTTATTCGCAACACCGCGGCTTCTCAATTAGCCGATGTTCAAAAACAGAATCCTGACAATCTTTTCTCTTTGCTCGGACGTATTCTTCCATATTTGCAGTCCAAGTCCTGGGACACTCGGACAGCTGCTGCCAAAGCCATCGGCGGCATCATCAGCAATGCGGATAAGTTTGATCCAAATGCCGATGACCTGGAAACAAAACCAGACCCCGCAAACGCAGAGGATCTTCCAGCCACACTTGAGGAACTCTCCCCCTATGCTGATGACCACTTACAACTAGACAAGCTTGATATCAAGTCAATCCTCCGCCATGGCAAGAAACTCCTTGGTAGTGCTGGCAAGGAGTACGAGTACTCGATGGCCGGCATGACGCCAGCTCAGCGCCTTGCTCATCAAAAACAAAGCCTGACCAACCGTTTGGGCCTTGCTGGAGAATATATGGAAGATGACATCGTCAACGAGAATGATTTTGCAACAAACTCACAACACAAAGTTTCACAACCTACAACCCTCTCACGAGTCGACACTAAATCTGCCGCCCAGCGATCTGACAGTTTCGGGACCAGTTCACCGTTCAGTGCCATATCACCTTCGGAAAACCCATCAATCGACGAAACCGGGCTCAGTAAACGCCAGTTGAATCAGCTGAAGCGCAAAAACAAATCAGCCGCAAAGGCTGGCGCCAACAAGATGAGAGTCGTTGACTTATCAGGACGTCGACCGTCGGAGCCTGCTAATACCCCTGTAACTGCAACCCCCCATCCTGTCAAGCTCAATGGCCATGATGACTCCAATGGCAGCTCAAAGCCAGACTACTTCTCCATCAAGCGAGAAGGGCCTGATGATGATACGGCACTGGTGTCTGAATTCAAGGGCGAAGCTGTCGAGGAGAAGCCAATCATCCAGCCTGACGAGGAGCATGCACACGATTGGCCATTCGACGTTATGTGCGACTTCCTTTCCATCGACCTGTTTGATCCGAACTGGGAGATTCGGCATGGCGCCGCTCTGGGTCTACGAGAAATAGTCCGTGTCCACGGTCGAGGAGCTGGTCGACGTTTCGGAAGATCGAGAGTTGAGAACGACCTTTCCAATAAGTGTTGGCTGGACGACCTTGCTTGTCGTCTCCTATGTGTCCTAATGCTTGATCGTTTTGGTGACTATGTCAGCGATACCGTGGTGGCTCCTATCCGAGAGTCTGTTGGCCAAACTCTGGGTGCTCTTTTGACCCAGCTTTCAGACGAAACGGCTATCTCCACTTATGCCTTCCTTCAGAAGATGATATACCAACAAGACTCCGGTGTCCCAGTCCCCATTTGGGAGGTCTGCCATGGTGGCATGATTGGTCTGAGATATTTTGTTGCCGTTCGAAAGGATCTACTCCTTCAAAATATAACTCTCATCGATGGCGCCGTTGCCGCAGTCGTCCATGGCCTCGCTCACAATGATGACGATGTGAAGTCAGTTAGTGCCGCAACACTCATACCAATTGCTGGTGAACTCACTACAATGCGGCCTGAGGCACTGTGCGGCCTTATCAGCGTTGTCTGGGATTGCCTCTTAGACATGCAAGATGATCTCAGTGCAAGTACTGGTGCAGTGATGGACCTGCTTGCAACTCTCTGTTCCTACCCTCAGATCTTGGATGCCATGCGTAAGAACGCCGCGGGCGATCCGGACCAGTCATTCGATAATCTCGTCCCTCGCCTCTATCCCTTCTTGAGGCATACAATCACCAGCGTGCGGCTCGCTGTCTTGAAGGCCTTAACAACCTTTTTGAACATTTCAAATTCAGAGAGCACACAATGGGTTGATGGACGCATCACACGGTTAATCTTCCAAAACATGCTGCTCGAAAGGAACGAAACAGTGCTATGGGCCTCATTCGAGGTATGGCAAGCCTTGGTTGAATTTATGCAACGCCAAGGCCTCTATCAATTCACTGGCACCGTCGAACCGCATATCCCTTACATGCTCAAGGCTACAACTCAACCCATTGGTCAAGCCCGAAGCCCCATCCCTATGGACATTTCACTGCTCATTAAACCTTCTGGAGCTACAATGCCGGCTATCGCAACAAAGCTTGGGCCTAGTCAGGAATCTGACCAACCTTCTAAGAAGCGTCGGAAGGTCGAAGCGTCTGACGCGACTCAGCAACACTCCCACAATACTGATGGGCACATGTTAAATGGTGAAGTAGACTTGGTGGGCGTTGAGGTTATGGTTCGGTCCCGAATTGCCTGCGCTAGAGCGTTGGGTCTGCTACTGGGTAAGATGAATGAACAACATCTGACGGACTACTGGACGACTCTTGGCCCGCTTGTCAGCTCTCCGTATTCGAGCTCGAAGCTATTCACGTCAATGCTTCTCGAAGAATTTTCACGGCATCAAACGCTCAAGCCTTCTAACCTGTCCAGCATTCTGACACAACTGCAGCAGGTCCTGGACGATGATGGCAATTCATGGTACTCTGACATCGTCTCTGCCCTGCAGGCTGCTCGCGGGCAATGTCAAAGTTTGATCAGCGCATTCCAGAATAATGCACATGTTCCACGAGATAAGCTTCCTGCTATTGCGGTGGTTTGCCAAGGAGACAAGGGCGCAGGCCCTAAGGCTTTCTCGTTGGCTGATGCTGAACGCATAGTGACCACAGATTTTGAACGCCTTCTCAAGGGCCTCACTCCTTCGCAGCGAATTTCAGGTGTGCAATATTTGAACGATGCTCGCTCAAATGCTCAGACAGCTGTGCAGGATGCGCGAGCGCTGAAGACCAGTCGAGATACGGCCATCAAGGCGGCTGTTGCCGCAATATTTGTGAGGCTTCGAGAAATTCCCAAAAGGCCAGGCCAATTGATCAAATGTATCATGGACAGCATAAAGGGAGAAGAAAATGAAGAATTGCAGTCGCGGTCAGCGTCGGCTGTAGCTGCACTCATCGATTTCTATACAACGAGTCCGAAACGTGGACCAGTGGATAAATTGGTCTCGAACTTGGTCAAGTTTACTTGCGTCGACACCTCAGAAACTCCGGAGTTTGCCCCTAATGCCTCCTTCGAAGATGTTGTGCTGTCACTCCGGAAGGAAGAGGATAGAAAAGACCACCCAGATGCTGCGCGCTTCGAACAAGAAGCTAAAGAAGCCAAGATCATGCGGCGGGGCGCGAAATGCGCCCTAGACGAATTGGCACGCACATATGGCAGCGATCTACTTGAAAGACTCCCAGTGCTGAAGTCGCTGGTCGAAGGACCAATTCAGGATATTGTGGGACCGGTGGATGCGGCTACCCTGCAAGTCGAGAATGAACTCGGCCAATCACTGGTCGATGCCTTCTCGGTCCTGCGTACAATGTCACCGAATCTTGACCCATCCCTTCATACTTGGATACTCTCCATGACACAATTGATCGGCAAAGCTATGCGAAGCCGGCTATCAGTCGTCCGCTATAGTGCTGCAAAGTGTTTTGCTACTTTATGCAGCGTTATTCCGGTGAATGGCATGACGATGCTTGTTCAAGAAATCCTTCCCAACATCGGAAATCCGCTTGATCTGAGAGATCGGCAGGGGATTACCGAATGTGTCTACCACCTGATTCAGGTCATGGGCGACCGAATCTTGCCTTACGTGATATTTCTCATCGTTCCTGTGCTTGGTCGTATGAGCGATGCGAACAATGAAATCCGGTTACTTGCGACGACATCGTTTGCTACATTGGTCAAACTTGTACCCCTTGAGGCTGGCATTCCCGACCCACCAGGTATTCCAGAAGCATTACTGGAAGGCCGTGAGCGGGAACGTAAATTTATGGCCCAAATGTTAAATCCAAAGAAGGTCGAACCATTCCAAATCCCCGTCGCAATCCAGGCCGAGTTGCGGTCATACCAACAGGATGGCGTCAATTGGTTGGCATTTCTCAACAAGTACAACCTTCACGGAGTACTGTGCGATGACATGGGCCTAGGGAAAACACTTCAAACACTCTGTATGGTAGCCAGCGACCACCACATGCGAGCTGAAGAATATGCAAAAACACAGGCACCCGATATGCGCCGCTTGCCATCACTCATCGTCTGCCCGCCAACACTTTCCGGTCACTGGCAGCAAGAGATCAAGCAATATGCACCATTCCTAAGTTGTGTGGCATATGTAGGGTCACCCACCGAAAGAGGAAGCCGTCGCAACCTCCTCGAGAATGCCGACGTTGTTATCACTTCCTATGACGTATGCCGCAATGACAACGATGTACTCGCGGCAATCACCTGGAACTATTGTGTGCTTGACGAAGGACATTTGGTCAAGAATCCAAAGGCAAAAATAACGCTTTCCGTAAAGAAGATCCTCTCCAATCACCGTCTCATTTTGTCAGGCACGCCTATTCAGAATAATGTGCTCGAGCTATGGTCGTTGTTTGACTTCCTCATGCCGGGATTTTTGGGTACAGAGAAGGTTTTCCAGGATCGGTTTGCGAAACCGATAGCCGCCAGCAGGAATGCAAAATCCTCATCCAAAGAACAAGAAGCAGGTGCCCTCGCAATCGAAGGCCTCCACAAACAGGTCCTTCCCTTCCTCCTCCGACGGTTGAAAGAGGAGGTACTGAATGATCTGCCACCCAAAATCCTTCAGAACTACTACTGTGACCCAAGCGATCTTCAGAAACGTCTGTTCGAAGATTTCTTCAAAAAGGAGCGCAAGACCGTTGAGAACAGTGTGGGTTCAGCTGACAAAGAAGCCAAGCAACACATCTTCCAAGCACTTCAATACATGCGAAAGCTTTGCAATTCTCCTGCGCTGGTTGTAAAGGAGGGGAACAAGCAGTACGAAGCGATTCAGAAGCAGCTAGCTGCTTCTAAATCATCACTTCGAGATGTAGCACACGCCCCCAAATTAGGAGCTCTGCGCGACCTCCTGGTGGATTGCGGAATTGGTGTCAGTAACGAGTCGAGCGATGTCTCAGCTTCCAACTACGTCTCCCAGCACCGGGCCTTGATATTCTGTCAGATGAAAGAAATGCTGGACATGGTGCAGACTGAAGTATTGGCGAAATTGCTTCCCAGCGTGCAGTACTTGCGTCTTGATGGTAGTGTCGAAGCTACTAAGCGACAAGGGATTGTCAACCAATTCAACAACGACCCTAGCTATGACTGTCTGTTGTTGACCACAAGCGTCGGAGGCCTCGGACTGAACTTGACAGGGGCAGACACGGTGATCTTTGTTGAACATGACTGGAACCCTCAGAAGGACATTCAAGCGATGGACCGAGCGCACAGAATCGGACAAAAGAAAGTAGTCAACGTGTATCGCTTGATAACTCGGGGAACTTTAGAGGAGAAAATCCTCAATCTTCAGCGATTCAAGATCGATGTGGCGTCTACCGTTGTCAATCAGCAAAACGCTGGATTGGGAAGCATGGAGACTGATCAAATTCTGGATCTCTTTAATCTCGGTGAGACGGCTGACACTGGCGGTGAGAATAACGGGACCGGAAAGGATGAAGATATGGTGGATCTTGAGACGGGTGAAGTGAAGAAGAAAGGGGAGAAAGGATGGTTTGACGACGTGGGTGAGCTATGGGATGAACGACAGTACGAGGAAGAGTTCAATCTGGACTCGTTTGTGCAGAATCTGCAGAAATGAGAACTAGTGATTGCAATGGCTTGCTGGGAATGGGTGCCCATCGGCGGTTTGAAGTTACTGGCGACATACAGCAGTTTTGCGGGTAGCCATGGATTGCGGCGACTTGTTTGCACGCATTCTTCTTCTGGGAGTGTATGAGTTACGTCGCAGAAAATCAGTATATAGTCCTCTCCACTAGGCATGAACTGCCCAAGACCCACTTTGAGGGCACATTTTCCATTCTCGGTCATTTCTAACACGAGGACTATTATAGAAGGGGATTGCTTGAGGTGTCTGGGATGGAATGATCTCTTGTTCACGCATTCTCGAGATCAATCAACGTTTTTGATGAAACTTCCACCACGAGGTGGACATATTGGAAATACAGCTGCAGTTCTGATACAGGCTCAAGCCACACAACTAAACATTTAATAATCACAACAGCGCCAAGTGCACGGAGTTACAGGGGCGGTACCGAGTAGTCGCGGACCGAGTTTGCTGCTTTGAGATCCTTGGGTCGCCGAACAGCGCAATCGGCTAATCGTCAAACCAGGGTCCTCACCCCCAGGAGAAACATCAGCATTATGAATAAGTTAATTGTGAACTGCCCTGCACCCCATCTAGAATATGCTCCTCTAAACAGAGACTCACACAGAGACTCACGTGAGATCATTACCCGACCTGGTTAATAGAGCGCGGGGCCATGGCGTTTCCGCGGGCAAACTCCTCTCCACAACTGACTTTGGAAGCCAACTGATCAGTCAGATAAGTGATTAACAGTCAGAGCTAAGGAGTCACTATGCACTCTTTTTTTTGCGCCTGGTCAGATTGCTGGGGCCGTTGTACTCCGTACAGCGCTGGATCACAGACAGCCGAACCCCATGCACATGCTCTCTATCAACGACTGGCGCCCTGGCATGGTGGGTGTCCCTTCCACAGGCGATGCGTGAGGCTACGCATTATTACTGCATTGGGCGATGAGAGCACGGGGCTTCCATGCATGAAACGGTAGAGTGAAATCTCACGTCCGTAGTCGATCTGGAAGGATTCATGCTTTAGTTGAAGCGAATTCTCCGGAAGGTAGTGAATCTGGGGAGCGAAACGAGAATGAGAACGAACCGATCCATCAAGCAGATTTGGATAATTACTTGGATTGGGTGCCTGAGAGTGGCATTTGAACTAGGATCCAAAGCAACACTTTCCTGCTAGAGGCTAGATCTACCTTTTTCGGTGACCTGGTGTGCTGTTTAGAGCTGCGGTCAGCACAGCCAAGTTGGCGATTTGCGCCAATCCAATCTAGGCTAGGTCGGCTGGTAGCGGGCTAAGCTAACTCAGCCACCCAATCGCTATACATGGGCGTCAGGCCTCTTGCCCAATACCAGACTAGTGTCGCGGCAAGGTGCTGATAAACTCGGCTTCTAAAATAGAAACCCAAGCCAGCCCAGAATGCTTAATCTCACCGAGTTGATGGCAAGGTCAGCCACTGGCCCTGATTCCACGATTGTTACCATTTTCCTCTTGCCAACTCGCCGGTATTGGTCATTGCTGATTGAGGTCCATTAGATCTGACCCTTGGACCCCCCTCCCTTCACCGATGTCCCCCGGTCTAGACAGCTTGGGCCAGTTTCCACCGAGATCCCTATGTATCGATAGACGTGTGAGCGACACACCGTTCTGGCCTAATGAGTGTGTGAATTGGCCACTAGGTGTCAAATATGTGAGCACTAGTCTATTTTCCCACATAGGTTCCGATTTCGAGCCCGTCCTGCCTCTTAGCGACGCCTCTACCAGAATAATGCGCAGCGGACTAAGGACGTTCTAATTCTGACGCTGACTGAGCAGCCATGACAATTGATTGCGCACTGGGGTACTCACCTTATCCGATTCCATGGAAGGGAGTCTTCGCTCGCCGAGGGGCAATCTCTATGGCCCAGTCGGACCCCTTCAGCCCCTCCGTCAGCCAATCTGAAGGCGCAACATACCAAGGAACGTTCCATGGCCACGTATCGATCAATGCTATACATAAAGGCATCTCTCACCTCGCCTAGATAGCCATTCTCTCATTCACATCCAACATATAAGCAACTACATCCAATTATATTAATCTCTTTTCCTTCAGTTACCGCACGCTCTTTAGCAACAGCAACCACCTCACCATCTTAATCAACCACCACTATTCCAGCTTTATACCAACTGAACCAATCGACCTCAATCAACATGCTTTCCAAGACCTTCGTCATTGCAGCCCTCGCTGCCGCTGTCACTGCCACCCCCATCGCCCAAGGACAATCATCCTACTCTGCCCCGGCCGCAACCGGCAGCTATGCCGCCACAGCCAGCTATGCTCCCAGCAGCGCTGCTCCTGCTCCCGCTCCGACCGGCGCTACTGGACCTGTGGCAGCTAACCTCCCTGCTCCTACAGGTCTAGTTGCCAAACTCCTGACCGAGCCCAACACCGTCAACCGCTTCACCGACCTCCAGAAGGAACTGGCCGCTGGCACCATCAACCTCAAGTTCGACTTCAACCCCGCTGCCAACCCCACCGTCACCCCTGGCGAAGGTGGTCAAGTCGATCTCGCCCAGCGAGCCAACTTTCCCATACTCACCGGCACCGGTATCTCAGCAGCCGGCATCTTCTTCAACCCTTGTGGATTAAACACCCCTCACTTCCACCCTCGTGCGACTGAGTTCTTGACTCTCGTCACTGACACCAAGATGCTCTCGGGCTTCGTGCTGGAGAACGGCCTCGCCGCTGAATTTAACACCACCCTAACCCAGTTCCAAGGCACCGTGTTCCCACAGGGCAGCATCCACTTCCAACAGAACCTCGACTGCAAGCCCGCTGTCGCCATCGCCGGCCTCAACTCCGAGGACCCCGGTGCATCTTCCGTCGCCCAGAACTTCATCGTCAACCTCGACCCTGAGATCGTCGACGCCACCCTCGGCTTCCCCAAAGAGATCAACGCCGACAACTTCGCCCAGTTCCGCAAGCACATCCCGGCCTCCCTCGCCAAGGGTGTCGAGGAGTGCTTGATCCGCTGCCACCTCGCTTACTAAAGCGTGTGCGCGCATATGCCTAAGACGTTATCATGATCAAGATTCATACAGTATCGGCAACGGCGGAGAACAGGGTTAGGGTTTGGGTTTTAAACAGGCATTATTTGGTCATCACTCCAAAAGGTATTTCCAGGGCGACCTACGGCGGGGTAGTGGGTTTTATTTCATCGGCGCAGTACCAAAACTTTTGTAATCTTTCAAAGTGAAGTGTACCCAGCGGTTTAGCGTGTTCAGCAGAGCGTGCTTCCTTACTTTTTGCAAGGGACAGCCCTGAGAATAGCATCATATATTGCTCTTCATATTGCTTTTTAGACTTCTCTTCAAGGTCAAATGACACTTTCGTTCATATCCAACTAAAATAGGCTGATCTGACTGCCAACCCTTACATGCGCACGCACCGCGGCCGTATTATTCTGCTCGAAATTCCACCGCCCTGGAGCAAGTGGGATGTACTTCTCAGTATTTCCATTGAGCTCTTCACCTGCAGGTAGCCCAGCTCCTCCGAGCTTGGCCTTTTCTCTCCTACCGCCTTAAAAATCATCATTGCCCTGCTCCAAGTCCTTTGGCTGAAAAGGAACTTGTCCGTGGCTTGAGACACCCTGAAGAACCCGCTCCAATTTGCTTTTGAGGCACTCTTCGACTTGACATCCACGGCATTCCTTATTTTCTCTGCCGATCAATCATTTCTTCTTTCAGATGTCAAGCATTGATGTGTTAATGAACGATTGTATTGGCAATCGTTGTTCAGAACGCACGATGGCGCTCCACCCGCAAGAGCCTTACTATTTGATCAAAAAGAAGCTCATTTTGACAGCCCGGGGTTTGGGCCAGCCTCGGCTACTGTAAGCAATGCTTCCCAGGGCCCGTCCCTCCACGCCTGCCACGAAATCAGAAGGGGTTGGGGAAGAACTTTGTCTTCCCGTATGGACTTGCAAGACCAGGCCTGACCGAAGTACCATTCACCGAAGAAGGCCAGCTGCATGATGCCCTACCCTTTGCGAGCCTCCATTCGCATTTCTAGAAGTGTTGGGCTCTATTTCGCGGCCTCTATCAACCCACAAATACCCCCATCCGGGCCATGCTTCTCAAACCACCCTTTGACTTAACCTAACAAGATACAACCTCAATACAGTTGTCTCTGCTCCTAGTGGCACAGAACGAAGATAACGGAAAGCTATACACCAGTTTGTTGGCGAATAATGGTATGAAGGCCACCGCCCTGACTTCTTTACTGCGCGAAAGGCTGATGCGTAATTTTTCATGCTAAGGTGATCTTGGTGGTTCGTTCTGGTTGCGGGACGCAAAAGGACACAAAGTCATCAATGGCAAAACGTGGTCGACCACCGCACAGTGCGGTAAGGAAGATGCTCCAATTCCAAAATGAGTTCAACGGGGGCAGGATAAGCCTTCGAATGGAACGGTCAACCAGACCGCAGGTAAAACTGGGAACCAGGGCAATCGCATGTAACTTGTACGTTCCCTGGCCAAATCAACCGCGATGGAACCTAAGGAGATATGAGTGGGTGCAAAGGAAGACGGAAGACCTCTGGGACCAAGTTTGCTTCTCCTTTGTCGACTGGCAATTGAATTGAAAGTTCAGCTGCACTTTACCGAGAACCCCATGAGAGTGGAAGATGCATACCTTGGCATATCCAGGTACCAGAATACTTAGTTGTAAGCTCGAGTCGCCACAATAAGCCACACATAGTCATATCCCCGACATATTTTGCTCATTCACCTGCTGCAATGACGTTGACTGACTCAAAGGAACAGCTCCCTCTTTGACATCAACGGGGGTCAGGTATTGAACTCTGGGAAGAGCGTCTTGGACACGGGTTCTGCTTCAGCAACAATATGCAGCAACTTCGTTCTCGAGCATATCCTTAGAATAAACGCAGACAGAATGCAACTTGAAATGGATGTCATCTACTCAGGCGCAAGTAGCTTGATCTTTTGTAGCCAGCAATGTCCCCGCCGTTCAATTAGGCTGAAACTTGCATGAGGCAAGCAGCTTCTGCAAGCCTCGCAAATTCTTGGGTTGGCTGAGGGGTCTGCGTCCCAAATCTTGTGGAGAATAAGTGGATAAAGAAGAGATCTGAGTCTTAGATTTTCCACCCTTGCCAATCTAAGATGGGTTTGAGATTATCGTTGCAACCTGAGAGGCTTCTGATTATGCATAGCACTCATGCCTCAGCTAGACGATCCTTGAATAATTAAGGGTCCATTGCTCAAAGTAAAAGTAAACACTCGTTAAACAAACCAATATAGCTGTCCAAGAATTATTGCTGATGAGACTGTGATTTGCATGAGAAGCGGTATGGCATTGACAATCGCAAATTTCAGTTGCGATATATGAATCCCTTTATCAGCAAGGAGACCGCGCCAGAGAAGACCAGCCAAGCTTCCAGCAAAGGTATAGCTAAATGCTCCGATGTTGCTGCCCATGGCTACCGCATAAATTGCGCCAAGTAATACTCTTTCGTCCCTCAGAACTGCCTCAGACTGTGAAAATTTGGGGTTCCGCAGAATCTCTACAAGGATGATTGTTGCGCCGATATTAGTCCCAGCGAGCGGACACAAAAATGCCGCGGAGACAAATCCCATGAAGAAGACTGTGCTAGCAGGCGTCATACAAGCATTGGCAAATCCAGATGCAAAGACAGAGATCCATCCTCTCTGCGCGAGTCCGCGCACCAGAATGAATTCACACATAGCGAAAGGAAGCAGTGGGATCGGCAGTCGTTGTATAGTCCGTGAAGTCGCAGGAAAGCGACGACTGAAGCGACGAAGTAATGACAGGAAAGTGGTGTGGGAATGCGGCGCAGCGGATTTCGCTTCCGGCGAGAGGATTGAGTCAGGCGATGCGGAGGCCTTCTCACGCTGAGGTAGATGCACCGGGACTGGCTGGCTGCCATTGGATCCAGTATGATCCAGTCTTTGCATTCCGGCGGTTTGGTCGATTGATTGCCTACGAAGAAGGTTCTGCTGCTGTTGTCGGGGCCTGAACCAGTCGCTTCCGAGATCCCATAGAAATCCAAGGACGCCTGCCGGTGCAGTTACCATCCATACTTCCACCGCGTGTTTGGGAACAAAGCTAGTCCCTACCAGCACAGCAACTGTTACGAGCAGGAGGACACCCAAGAAGATTGCACCAATGGGGTCGCGCAGCTTGGACCAGGGATCCTCGGTGACAGGCGTAAGCGTCTTGGGTATGCGATTCCAGAACATGGCAAGGATGACTAGGTAGTTGAGCGCGGCAGGGACAAGTGAGGGTAGAATTGTCCATTTGGTGAATCCGGTTAGGAAATTGAGACCAAAGCTCCCCGTGATGAGAATATTTGTTGGGTTGGATGAGACCAAGACGGCGGATGCGGTGTTCGCGGCCATAAACTCGCTGAATACCCACGCGTTTGGCTCCAAGCCAGTGTGATGGGTCAAGTATGCGAGAAAGGGGGTTCCCGAGAGAATGAGAGGATCGTTTCCAACGATGCATGCAGTGAGTAGAAAAAAGAGATAGAGATACGTGAAAAGCAGTCGTCCAGAACTTCCACCACGCTTTGAGACGTAGAAAGCGACTGCCTCGAGCGCTCCAGTCCCGTCAAGAGCAATCGCAATGTAGGCAAGGGCTATAAAGAGAACGAGAACATCATATGGCTGAATGGTGTCGTCGCCCACGATGCCGAGCCTTATTGTACTCCCATCGATGGTCGTGGTGGCCAAGAGAAGTATCACACCAATGAGCGGAGCAGTAAGAAGCGACAGAGAGAGGTATAGTTTGCAATTGCAAAGAGTGTGGAAATCCTCATCACCGATGATGTGTGCTTTTTGCAGCGACACAAGAAGTGGCCGTTGTAGTACCCTGGATAGTGGAATCTTCATCGGCCAGATAACGAAGATGGAAACCACGCAGAAAACAGCCAAGATGAGACCGCTGTGGCCGTCGAGGTGATTCTGCTCACCGCTGCTGGTTGCCATTGGGTGCACTTGACACCTGTCGTTGACTCGTCGACGGCATGAAGAAGACCGCGAGGAATCCTTTTGTCAAGCTTGAAGGTGAGGGCTTAATATTAATCTTCGAACCACTGGGCAGGGCGACGTCATTCGCCCCCAAAATTTTATATAGACTTTTCTCACCTAGGAGGTGGTTGAGCTCTCACCCTCGCAGCATGTCGGGCAGTGGGAACAGATCAGAAGGTTCACCGATAGGTTTATTAGTTGCGTTGTGGTCCCTTTGCAGCCTTCGCCAGCGGAACGACGTGAGATGCCACCTCTGTATCACCGCCAACGCTGCCAAGAGGCTGGATGTCCTGGACAGGCAAGAACCGACTTCCAAGTTCCAGCACGGAAGGTCATGATCGACGTCTGACAGATAAGTCGACGAGAAAAGCCTGATCTTGGAGGGGAAGAGCTGTGGCGGCAACAAAAGAATCTCCCTGTCAGACGACTGAAAAGCCCACTATCAGCATGTGGCTCCGAGGCAGACGGTGATTGGGAGAAATGACAAAGCACGTGAGGTCTTTGTCGTCAGACACAAGAAGTTGGAGATTTGGTGGGAGCCGAGGGGGCGGGGGCGGGGGCGCTCCTGGCCATTTAACAGGTACCTATGAGGAGGTACATAGGCACAAGTATAGAGGTATGTGGAGGTATGGTACACAGGTATAGGTACGTAGGTACAGGTACATAGACACATGGGCACATGCCCCATCCTGACCGTCTGTATCAGCCCTTTGCATTGCCTCTCTTACTTTTCTTCCTCAACAGTTCAAGCCATTGCCCACCCCAGCTCCCGCACTGCTGGTAGCATATCTATAGCAGAAGCAAATGGCGGCAATCATCGATTCTTGACTGGAGCTCTCGCTCTCCTCTTGTTTCGAGTGGCGCATGTCGAGTTCGGGATCCGCGACAACAACTCGCTGGGACGGGGCAGACCAGTGGCCTATTTCAGAACATTGATTTGGCTCGCCGGCATGTCAGCTTATGCTACTTGGTTGGCCAAACCTCACTGGGGATCCTAGTTCTCCTTAACGAGGCTTTCACATTGCGGTGTGGAGGAGAGAGCAGGAGGAAGGAGCAGGTCGATGCACGAAGACGGTTGCTTTGGGATCGAAGGTGATAACCAAACTATCAACTTAAATCAACAACCTCCTTCTTTGCATTCAACTTTCGCTCACCAATGTTACAAATATCCGTTCTTTTCTTCGTTGGTATTTCTCCCTTCATGGCATACTCGCTGCACACTTTCGTCGGCCCAGGATCACGATAGCCATTATCGACGACGATGTCGAATGCCCAACACCTCATCTCTTTCAACCGACCCGCCATGAAATCCCCTATTGACCATATCACTATCCAACTCCCAATGCCATGTCACCACCATATACCTTTCTCTGCACAGTCTGTTGGCTGAAGCACAATCTGCCCCCACATACCTTCGGACTCGAAGGCCGCATTGTCTGCGTGGACTGCTAGAGGTGGATACATAGCATCAGCATATGCTGGCGATGTGGTGAAGTGGTCTTCAGGAAGACCGATGCCGTCAGCTTTGGGTGGTGCTAGTGGCATTGGAGTTGCTTCTCATGTCTCATATGCGCGGTGTGACCAACGAGCCTCTTGCACATACGATGACTGCTAACTCGTTACGCAGTCGCCCTTGACTCCCCCCAGCTATCTCACAGATCGCGGAAGCCCTCACAAGAATGGCATTTTTGTTGACGAGCCTCCTGTTTGTTTGCGATGCAGTGAACAGCCTGAGTCTGCTCGGAACCTGGAACAGCATGTGAGAGTCACCGGGATCCCTTCGTCGGAGATCATTGTTCCACAACGACTGGCAAATCAGACAGAAATGATATCACTGAGCGATCCTCTCGATCTCACAACCGATCAAGCGTCACACGGAGAGCAATCACAACATCTCACACCCACCTGGATGACGCTTCTGCCTTCAAGTCGAAAGTCGTTTGAAGCCGGTCCGTATCAAAACATGGCCAGCCGACGCTCCATACGTCCTGGAAGCAAACCTAACCTATCCACCACGCTGCCCAAACGTTTGATTCACCCAGCTCCAGGAGGTATCCTGACCCAAGAAACTTCGCGACCAAGTCAAGAACGAGGGCCAAGCCTTCCACGTACCGCAGATCCTCCTCTTGCACCCCAGAATGTCAGTAAGGCAAATCCAGCATTGGGACGACGAGACACCCGAAATCATCCTGGACCTCTGGGAACTGTTGAACGACATCGCATGGGACCAGACCGCCAATTACGAGGATGGTCTGCTCCTCGCCATCTACCTACTAGCAACCCCATAAATGACTTTCCTCTCCCTGGCGAGCAGAAGATCCCCCACGAATCTCCATCTGGTCAGACGCAAAGCAGCCGCAATTCATTCTCGCCGCAGCTCTTCCAGCGCCGCAATTCCTTGCCTCGACGCCGTTCCTCCCTCTGGAAAATATGCAGTGCGAGCACAAACACCACTGCTCCTGCCGCCATTGGCACATGCGGTCCAAATAAATCCCACAACCCCTTTCCCTCGCAGGATATCTCGCCCGCCAAAACCCCTCTCTTGAGGGAATTGTCGAGCTTCTTCGCCACGCGTGCTGGCAAGTGGGTTCTTCCCAGCCGTGTCAGCAGCTACGGAGTGTCTGCAACGTCAAACGTTTTGTCGCCTAGTCGCCGAAGCCAAAATCTACAGAGCGGAAATAACTTGGGCCACTGTGAACGATGTGGAGTCGATATGTCGGACTGGTGGGTGCTAGGGAACAGCGCAACTGAGACTGAGAGCAGCCCGCTGTTGAACGGAGATGTCGACGACTCGATCCTTCTGTCCACCACTGGCAGCAGCAGAGTGTGTCCAAGCTGTCGAGATGGGCCGGACATGCCTGGAGCCTGGTCGTGAAACAGGCCTGGATGTGGTCGTTGTCGGCGAAAATGAAACGGTCATCCGCAAGCCCTAGCTAGACACTTTCAAATCATGACTGTCGAGAAATGCATTGATTCGAGTTCAATTCTATTTATAATTCAGTGGTTTGATCGTCTTGTATTGTACAAATATGTAGTCAGAGGAGAAGTAAAGCATCCCATCCCACCGCTTTATCTATTAAGCTGGCCCTATCTGCCTGAACCAGGGAGTTAACAAATTCAGGCTGCTTGGTAGTCTAACATGCAAGGTTAAAGGCTGTTACAGATTGCGCTCAATAGCAACTGAGAGACATTATGAATTAGGCAAGAAGGGTAAGAAGGACAAGAAGGATAAGAAGGAGAAATATATACGAGACTGAACACTTCGGCCAAAGGGAAATGGCAATCTCCATGATATCGCTGCCGTGTCTGCGAAGATGACTCATCTCCCCGCGCTTGATGTATCTTGCAATGTTGCATCTGAGGACACTGATTTGCGGTTTTCAACGGACTGTTGTCACAGCAACACTTCCCCGTCCGTCTGCTCTGGGTAGTGATTAATCTGAACATGTGTCCGGTGCCTGGAAATAACTGGCGAACAGAAAACATACTGTTCCCATTTTACCGCCTGGAATTGGGGATGGGTAGCCGTGGGGCCGTTTCCTAGCTGATCCCTTTCCAACGTCCCCAGCCTCTTCCAAACTCCAAGCGCCGTTCCCGTATAGTTCCAGGTCCATGATAACCTGATATACAGCCTTGGACCATAGCGCTGTTGAAGGGGCAAAGGTAGGTCGAGAGGCGATGCTCCTTCAGTTCCATTCATCGCAACTCAGTAGCGGCTCATGAGCCAAACTTTTCTCTTGTCATCATTGAATCCACGCAACAAATGCATGGCACCTTCTGTTGTTGCGACATAGTCATCAACTATAGCATATCCCAGAGCGCGCCTCAAAACCTTGTCCCGGTCCAAAGCCTTGAGACTCTTTTCGAGGGAGTTAGGAATCTTCACCGAAATACCCAATTTCTGCCGTTCTTCCTCGCCAATCCCTGTTGGATCGCCTAGACAATCTTTGAGTTCGAGTTTGAGGTCTTGTCTGAGCCCATGCAAGCCAGATGCAAGTAGTGCTGCCATCCCAAGGTATGTATTTCCAGTGCCGTCTATAGTCTTGAGTTCAAAGTGGCCAGGGCCACATTTCCGTAGTGGAACTTCCTTGTTCTGAGTGCCCCAGCAGACGTATTCGCCTCCAGCCCAGATGCCAGCGCCAACACGCGCATAGGATTCTTCGATTGGAAGGGTGAAGGCCAGGATCGCCGGAAGATGTTCCAGAACGCCGGCCAAGAATGAGCCTTCACATCTTTCGACCGTGTCGCCAGGCCCGTTCACGCTGAAGTGTGCGTGGTTTGCGCTCCCAGGACTGGAGATGAAGGGTCGAGGATAACAAGTTGCTTTGAGACCGTACTTCTTGGCCACATTCCGGATAACATCTCTCGTTTTGAACAGAACATCAACAGCTTTGACAGGTTCGAAGGCGGGAAGAGGAAATTCCCACTGTCCAGGGGCAGCTTCGGCATGAAATTCTGGCAAGTGGATATCGATCTCTGCTAGAGCATCCACGATTTCTTCGATCATGGGCAGCGTGTCGAGCTGTTGGTTGGTCATTCCAGCCCATGAGTGGACGAAATTCAACGGTTGGAAGTCAACATAGTCAGATTTATCTTCGGTAAAAATGGGGCGCATGAACACGATCTCAATCTCGAAGCCCAAGAGAATGGTTATATTGAACTCGGCTTTCAGAGCATTGGCCTGTGTCTGCAATGCCCAACGAGGGCATCGGTCGTAATGCTCTAAAGCAGGACCCTGTTCGGTGTCTGCCATCCACCAGGTCTGCACGGTTGCAGACGGTGAAGAAATGCCTCGGTTGAGGGTGAGCGTTGAGAGATCGGGCAAAAGAAAGAATTGACCGGTTGGCGAACAACCCGTAGCAGGTGTGTCGTTCTGCAACAGGCGGGTCAAGGCGGAGGTCACATAGGGACATTTTCCTGACGATAGCTGTTTTCGGAAATGAAGGATGGTTACCATTCTGATCCGCGGCGTGCCGGTGTAGTCGACGAACTGGTACCAGATATATTTGACGTTTGGGTTTGTGCGCATAAAAGCCTCAAAGACGGTCAGATTTTGTGCGAAGAGAGCAGCACTCGAACTGGGCCCAGACGCAGTGCTTGTACTGCCGGAGCGCAGTGCAAGGTGAACATTGGCCGCCTGCAATGTGGATGCAGATCCCGAAGGACGTAGGCCAGAGGGGCCAGTCATGGCGACGGCAGTGCTAGCATATGATCTAAATGATGGAGCCTTCGAACTCCCGTTGACCAGGGTACGCAGGCTCTCGCCTGTCGCCCTGCCACAGGCGTTGAGCAGCTCCGGGAATTTGCGTTCTTCATCCAGCTTGTACAATGTGTTGGAGTTCCAAAACATAATGTCGATGGCCATGTCAATTGCTTGAGCTACTGTCACATCGCCAGCAGCCACATAGGCGGTCAGGAGCCTGTCGAGTGATTCCCTGAAGTGGCGGTTGGCTAGCCAGTACGTTTCAGGATAGAAATGACCATCTGTGCTCCAGAGGATTTTGGTACTGGGGGTGAGCTCGAGTGCTTGGCGCAAGACGGACTCTTCACCATCCCGAGACAACATAGGGAACACCTCCCCGATATCGAGCCAGGCATTGGAGTAGGTGGTTGCAAGATAACCTGCTTCCCGAGTATATGGGTAGGCGGAATGAAGGAGGACAAAGTCCACGTTGGGAAATGCTTCAATCAGAGGTTGCATATAGGCAGGGTTGGCCTTGACCAGATTGATATCAGTATCACCTAGGCCGGTATGGAACTGGAATGGAACGTTCTCGCCATCGGTATCGACGAGTTTCTCCAGAACGTCACAAACTGCGACGACGAGATAATCATTGACTTCCTTTTGTTGAATACGATACTTATGGTCTCGAACAGCACTTTGCAGGAAGTCATGGAAGGACTGTAGCAGTACCGATTCAGTGAGGGATTGTTGGGGGCGGAAATTCTTCCGACTCTCAGTTGAGATGTCGAGCCCGGTGCGGTAACAGATGACAGACTTGAAGCCACGAACATCCGGATCATTGGCAAGGGTTCTGATTTGATTGCGGAACACGGTGTTGAAGCGCACCAGAAAGCTCTCGGTCTGGCTGATAGGCCAATCGGCATCCAGACCCACCCTCATGAAGCCAGCGGCATGGGCGAGATGCTCAAGCAGGTCGGCAGCGATGGCTTCAATGCGCACTATCCTCGAGACTGTGGGCAGAAACTGACGATGCCACTTGAAGGGATGGATGAGCTCGGGGGCCAAACCGTCATCCATCATGATGGCGTGAGTGCCCTCGAAGCATCTTTTTATTAGGCCGGGGTAGTCTCTGCGCACCCACTCATAGCGTGCGGATTTGACGTCTTGCAATGTTTCCGGACACTGATAGAACTCGGCCAGGTGTTTCACCCCACGCATATGAGGTAGGCTGGAGTGGACATGGTCTAGGAGGGCATGGCCCTGTGCTTCGGATGTGATGGACTCGAAGGGGAAGTCGGCACTTCCATATGCGTGGTCTTCAGTGAGCAGATTGTGGGCATGGTTGTCTATTATGGGGAATGTCTGGATGATCTGCTGGAGGTCTTGAATGCCTGCATTATCGAGGTCTTGTAGGTGGTGCAAATTGGGATAGAGGCTGGGCTGCGGTGCCATGGCGCCGGCCATGCAAGGAAGGCAGGCTCGACTGCGTGGTGCTTTCGATTTGAAAGACGACGGGAAATGTAGCTGGGGCTCTGAGCGTGGCTTTGGCTACAGCAGAACCGTGTCGGCTAGGAGAGGTGATGGGATTGCGATAGCCACGGTCGGCTGGTGTTGGTGGAATCGGACTGCGCGTCGCCACCTGGATAGCTGATACACGGACAATGGACGGAGAGAATGATTGATGGTAAGGTGTGCAGCTTCAAGCAGGAGGATTTCCCAAGCAAGACGAAGAGAAAAAGGACAGGACAAGCGAGAGTGGAGAAGGAATCATGGGTCATGGATGGCAAGTAGCACAGCATGCAGCAATAGCAGTCAAAAGGACGAGGTGTGAGTATCTCTTCCAGACACAGATCACATCAAAAGGAGGCATTGGGAGGCCTGGCGACACGTTTTGGGCGTTTTGCGGAAAGATGGACCAAGGAGAGACCCCCACAGCTGGGAAAGGCTTCGAAGCCCCAAAGCCCTAAAGCCCTACGAGACAGTCCCAGTTAAAGCCCGAGAGCCCTGAAACTGCAAGCTTGTCCAGGGCTGGTGCGGGTGATAGGTCTCGGTACTCGGTAGTGCCAACCTGGCAAGGAAGGTGCCCGGCGCCAGGGAGGAGATAAGGGTTAACGACAGCCCGTCTTAGGCGTCCCTAATCAGCTAGATTCCGTCAAACCGTCAACAAAGCTGCCCACAAATCCGAGAATCTTGGTGACCAGGAAGGGGGTGAAACGCCCCTGATCTCTATTTATCTAGGGGCTACCAGGGCTCCCGTTGGTTCAGCCCATTTGCCCAGAGGCTGTGCTGCCACCCGTTCGGCTCGGTCCGTCGTTGGGCTCGGGGCTCTGAGACACCTCCTGCCAGCGGCCCAGTGCTTGGTGCCTGCGGACTACTCCGCACCGAGAACTACTTACTTGTACAGTAGGTACGTGTAGTGCACCCGGACCAGCTTTGCAGCCATCCAGTTCATGACGTACTGGATTCGTAGGGATGCTGGTTCCCGCTCTACCAGGGGCATGCCACTGCAGTACAATATCGATTTAATCACTGGCAGGTCTCGATCGGCAACCTTTCGACCAATTCAACCGCTCTAGATTCTTAGGTGGTCAAAGGATGTGCGGTACACGCGCGTGGGGCGTGTGTCATGTCATCATCTCAGGCTTGTCCTAAACGTGCCTTGAGTTCATCGACCCGTGCAATCAGTCCTCCCGCCTTGCGCCGGAAACTCACACAAACATCGGAACGCGTGGTGATTTCCACGCGGCCGCCATGTGCGACTGGTAACGCGGATGCAGATCTGTTTCGAGTTTTCAGTTGGAACGTCAATGGCATCGGTCCGCTGCTCCAGAAACAGCTGATCTTTGAGTCGTCCACTGTGAGCCCATTGAGGCTGTTCCTCCAACGCCACCGCTGGCCACAAGTTCTTTGTTTACAGGAAGTCAAGATCAAATCGACGGACACCGCAACTCGAGGAGCCTTGATACGGGCCGCCAATGGGGGGAATGCTCCTGGTGAGCCAACATACACCGCTCATTTTTCCTTGCCAAGAGACAGCTATAATGCTACTGCTTTTGGAGGTAAGATCCACGGAGTGGCCACTTTGGTTCGTGATGATACTGCGACCGCCATCCGTGTCACACGCCGGCCGGAGTGGGATTTGGAAGGGCGTGTGCTCATCCATGAACTGGAGAACCACCTGGTTATCATCAACGGGTACTGGGTCAACGGGACTTCAAGGCCTTATCGAGACCCTGTTGGTGGACATGTGAGTGGGACGCGACATGATCACAAACTTCGTTTTCATCAGTGGATGCTAGAAGAGACTCTCCGCCTCGAAGCTGCCGGCCAGTGTGTTATCCTCATTGGCGACATGAATATCGCTAGGTCAGAGATTGATGGTCATCCGAGACTACGGACGGCTCCAAGTCAACATGTGAAGAATCGAGCGGATTTCAATGCCAAGTTTTTCACGGCCATTGGGGGAATGCGTGGTGTCGATATCTTCCGACACCTGCATGGAGAAGAGAAGAAATACACCTACTACCCGCGAGGCAAGGTCTGGGGCGAGAGTTGCGACCGAGTCGATCTGATAGTCCTCAGCCGCTCCCTGGTTGAGGCAGACTTGGTGGCGAGTACGGATATTTTCAATTCCCCTGTCGAGCGGGGACACAGTGATCACGTTCCACTTTGCATAGCACTAGACATTGACCTGCGAGGGACTCTGACTCCTAGATGCATACCGAAGACTTCAAACCTATCATAGCCCCAGCCACGGTCTGCTCTTTTGTCTGATGACGGTTCTTGGAAGTTGTTCTCGATAGCCCTCGAGGACGCTTTGCTATTTGGAGGTTCGAGCAGCCCGGACTCCAAGCCTTGGTAGCACCTGCCAGTGGACGGATAGGTAGGCCAGCCCGCTAACTCAAGGTGGTAGGGCGGCTTCTAACTAGCGGCTAGGAGGATTTGTGTGACAGACAGGCCGTGACAAGTGTGTCATTTGTATCGGCGCCAGGAAATTAGCTATTCATGCTAAAATGACAACGTTTTGTTATTTATGGCTAGGAGCTGAAAGTTATAGGTTCTTACTTAAGTATAGTGATATGATGTATTGAGATATCTAGATTAAAGTGGTGCACTGGTAGACTCGTATAAAATACCTTTGGCCGCGCTAAGCCGTTGAATGTGACTAGTGTCATGAAGTCGGTTGAATATCTCTCTCAGTCATATACTGCCGTTTGACGGTCATTTCACTAAGGTGACGACGGACTCCACGAGTACTCCGTAACTTACAGTAAGAACGCGCTCCGGCTCCCACCTCCATCGCGCCTTCCGATCGCGGCGCACTAACGCTGAAGGTGCGCGTCCTTAGGTAATGCCGCCAGTGTGAACATCATTGTGGACGGTGACATGCTCGGAATAAAACGAGAGCCGCCACGCAAAGAATACTCTGACATCAGACGCCTCTCCTCCATGGACTCGTTCAGTGTAGATTCTGGACGTTCAAGCGGGATTTGATTCTGCTGCAAACAGCGCACCATCATGCTGGCCCTCAAGTCGATGCGGCCTTCATCTTACTTCCTCTCCAACGAACCCAAACCCACTGCCAAGGAGCTTCCACCCGAGATCCTGGACATCATTGCAAGATATCTCTTCGACGAGGGTCTGGGTCAACTCGACAGCCTGCTCCCTTTTTCTTCTGTGTCTCATCAGTTTCGGCAGTCCGCACTCCCTTTGCTCTTCAGTACTGCCTCCCACGTCGTCAGGGACCGCCTCGACCAAGGAGAAGGCGGCCTGCTTCGCCGGCTCGTCAACCACGCCCACCTTCTCTGTCACGTGCGCACTTTGCACCTCAGGAGGCCGGTCGACATCAAGCGCTTCGTTCCCCCCAAAAATCAAAATGACGCAGACACCCTCACTCAGACTCACCGGGCCTTGGACTTGCAGGCCATTCGCCGCAGCCTGCCCGCAATGTCTCGTTTACAACAAATTAGGTAGGCAAGAAATGCGCATCACTCCCTCGTGCACGTCGTCACGGTGCTGAACCGCTGCTGATAATGCCTTAGATTGGACTGCTCTGCGGATGTTGCTCATCATGTCTTAAAGATGCTGCCACAAGATCGGACCTATGAAGTCATCCTTGATCGGGTCTACTCGTCTTCACAATGGCCCAATCTCATTGAAGCCACCGTCGATCTCGCAATGATTGCACCATGCCACAAGGTCAGTCTCGGGGCATTTGGTGACCCACCCACAAGAAAAACTATGAACAGCCAGGCAGCCTACGACGTGATGTCGAGGGCCAACGCAATCGACCTTCACATGGCTTGGTTGCTCTCACAGCATAGACGCTCCGAAAATCCATCTCCGAACCCTGGCCAGTGCTCTTTCATACAGAATCTTGCCGCTTGGGATGAGCTGCGACTTTTAGTACGACGAGCAGATGAAACCGGGCATCACTTTCTCCACGATCTAGATGCCATCATTCCGTGGGGAAAACTTAGACGATTGTCTATCATTTGGGAGTACTCGGTTCCTATGAATCAGTTCATCCATGATATCTCGACCCACCTCACTCGACTCGAAGCACTACGTCTGCGTGCAGGCCACCGTAGATTATACCATCCACTTTGCAAATATGAGGTTCCCATAACGGGTCTATACGCTGATGCTCCCCCCGTGCCGGAATTCGCAATCAATTTCGCCCGAATGAAGTGCCTCCGTGAACTGGAAATTGACGGCATATGCAATCATGTTCCGATATCTGGTTTAATTGGTTCTGAGCTGAGATGTTTCCGCCTCCACCGTGAGGACGCTGGGTGGTCAGTCTACAGCGTGGAGAGCCAGAGAACTCCAGCAGACATTGCTATGGCGGCAAAGATGGCGCCCAATCTGGAGAGGCTCGAACTAGACATCGGCTATATCGATAATCTTTGGCATCCTACCGCAATCCCGGGTGTTGATGTCGACGTCGAGCAGTACTCTTTTTTGGATGCAATTTCGAAATTCCGCCGCTTGAAATTTCTTCGTTTATTTCCTCCCTTTGTACCCAAGAATACTCTGCGTTTCAGCCCCAGGGCTCCCCATTGCTTACCAGTAACGGATGATCAAGCGATTCGACTGTTTGAGCACCTGCGAAGAAAATGTCCGTCGCTGCAAATGCTATCACTGGCCGCAGTTCCGTCCTTTGTCGACATCGACACCATGTGCTGGGAAGTGAGGCGCAAGGGGGAGAAGACAATCTTAACGACAAAACACCGAGAGCGCAACTATCAACACCGGCAAGTGTGGATTGGCCAACGAAGATTGACTAGCGAGATCAAAAGATTCACTACGCCACAGATATATCTGAACGATTCTGATTCCTGGGTATTGACGCGAAATGACGTCCACGACTTTCGATGACCGAACGTTGAGCCCCTGGAACAACACCACGATACACAATGCAGGCCAGGATCGAGGCAGCGCTGTTGGGCTGAATTTAGGTAAGTGGTTCAACTGTGACATTAAAAGCAGGAATTGCGTTTCTCCTTGTCGTGGCCGTCGCGTGCAGCCTTATTCGGAGCTCTAATGGCGCGTTTAGCCTAGTCCGCATCTGGATCTAGAATGTGTCCACTTCAGGCCGAGAGCATGAAATGCCGAGGGCCCCGGGAAATAATGGAGGGGGCCCACCAGCACCCAGCGAAATGACCGAAGAAACTCAGTCAAACCTGGACCGGGGGCACGTTCCGACTTCATGAACATGATTGGTCAGGCAGCTGCCCTATACGCAGTACTCCGTACATACTGTCCTTCTTGACCCCCCAAATAAGCGTTTCTCCACGATTTCAAGGGGCTCTCTGTCGCACGGACGATGTCAAACTAAAAGCGGCACAGCCTAGTTAGAGTCACGATGTAAGTCTTTGGAAGGTAATTGGATAATTCCCTTGGCTCGACTTTTTCGACGCAAGCCATCAGACCCAAAATACCAGCTTAAATACCTACATGCGTCGCTCATCACAAGTTTTGACCACTTCCACCACTTCCCCTCCGCGACCACCATGCTTCCACTCCCAGTGTGGATGACATTCTTGTCCATCTTTACAGCGTTGGCCTCGGCTCTTCCTGCTCTGCCACAAGTTTACCTCGGTGAAGAGCAAGAACTTCCAGCATGGGCATTCGACACCAATCCGCCCACCCTGGAACACAATCTTCACGCCGAGGCCACTAGCATTCCAATTCGGACTGACCATCCTTTCATCGTGCCTGTGGACAGTGCAGGAAGACCGACCGGAAAGCCGTCTACTCCGTCCGAGTTGCTGATGTGGCACGATGCCGGTTCTTGATATAACGATAACTGCGATTCCTATTATTTTCGAACAGATCACTATCATTCCAAGGCATGCCTAATCAAAGGCCGTGACAACAACCGTGTTCAAAGGCTTGTTGTCTTTTGACCGCTTACGTATCAATTGGCTGTGCTAGTCTATGAGAGGACGGCTGGCACTGCATTCACATGCAAGAAATGACTCGGCATTGAGACCCAACTTATGACCAGCAGCCCCGCTGCATCATGCCTCACAACTATTTTACGGCAGGTCGACCGCTTATCGCCCATCGCCCGGATCGCCCAGATTTGTATCGCGGTTACCTATCCATGCTCTCGGGGCATTTATCGAACCCTGATGGCCCATTCATTCATATTTCCATGGCCTAGCAATCGCTCTCGAAGTATAGACAGTTGTGATGTTGGATGCAACAATGCATGAGTAATGACGGACCAACCACGCCATACCCTGTGTAACATGAGCAATGCAAAGATGGTTGAAACAGATACCAGAAAACGTCTCTTAACCTCCAACATACGTAATAGTACGCGTCATCTAGTATAGAACTAACTGAATTCGAAGTCGTTACGTTCAGAATTGGCAATATCGCGCTATCTCGTCACGTGCCTAAGAACCTGTGTCACCACTCATCCCTATGGTGTGAAAACAAAATCTACCTTGTCTAGTCGTGAGACATTGTCCCCATCCCACGAAATGGGTCCCGCGGTGAGGCTGCTGTTAAATGAAGAAACTCAAGCTCTTCCCTATAGTCTTGGTTGGACTCCTGGGGCCAATTGCACTGGGCCTACACCTGAACGCCCCCGATTGGGCGCGGAACTCTCCGAATTTAGGTACTTGGACCCATCAGCGGGGAACATATGAAACACGCGTCCCATATTTGAAGTTTGTCGAAATTTCATGATTGACGCAGTTGTATTGTGGGTTCCTCGTTGTTAGTAGTAGTGGTTATTTGACTGCTGCGCCCCAATACTCGATTTGTCCTCAGTCATACTCCTTCAGCTCTGGTCTGAGGCGGAGCGCTTCGTGCGGAACGTCGTACCAGTTTGTCTTCATTACTGCAGAGTGTGGATGTTGAATTTAAACCCGACTCGAGCTTGAGGAGCGGCATAAGGGCAATTTTTGTCTTCTCTTTTGAATGAAACATATATGGTTATGCTACAGACATGCTCGAAGAGATTCTAGCTCACGTACCAGTGGAGGTAATGGGACTGGTTCGCATCACACATAAAATACTCGCGGGTTAGTCTGGAACGAACACACCTCTTGATAGTACACTGTGTAACCATATAACTCTCCATGTTGCTTTGACTGACCTAACACCAATCCAGGGCTTATGTGACTGTTCAATATTGTCCCGCGATCGTGAATGTACCGGTCTTAGAGATGAGATACTCGTTGACAGCAACATCCTTGCCAGATTCCTTGCCATAGCCGCTCTCCTTGATGCCTCCGAATGGGGACTCCGCCGCAGAGGAATTGCCCGTGTTCTAATGTCACAAAACATGTCAGTCAACTGTACTCGCCGGGAGCGCAGCAATCATCGTGTGATTGTATGGTGTACTCACCAAGCCAATCATGCCAGCCTCGAGGTTCTCCAACATCCTCCACATGCGATCGACGTTCTTGGTAAAGGCGTAACTCGCCAGGCCCATGCTGGTGTCATTAGCCCATTTGACCGCCTCCTCTTCCTTGTCGAACTTGAAAAGCCCCGCCACCGGCGCGAACGTCTCCTCCTTGCTTAGAAGCATCTCCGGCGTCATGTCCACTAGAATGGTTGGGTCCATGAAATACCCTCCAACACCCTTACCTAGTCCGGAGCCCTCGTCTGCGGTCGCACCCTTGTGCGCTTTGCCCGTGCCCAAAACAAGCCGAGCCCCATGCTTGACCGCATCTGCAGCTTGCTCTTCTGCCTTTACCAACCCTCGCGGAGTGGTCACAGGTCCCATGGTTGTTCCGTCGGTGGCGCCATGTCCTACCTTCAACGCCTGTGTCTTCTCAACCAGCATCTGTGTGAACTTCTCGTACACCCCGCTCTGTACGTACAAGCGGTTTGCCGTGATGCAGGCCTGACCCGCGTGGCGCCATTTGAGGGCCATGAACTGGGCAAGTGCCTGCTCGAGATCTGCGTCATCGAAGACAATGAATGGGCAGTTCCCGCCGAGTTCTAGAGTGCACTTCTTTAGGCCTTTGGCACAGAGTCCTGCGACGATCTTCCCGACTCGCGTGGATCCTGTAAACGTGACTTTCTTCACAAGCGGGTGCACAATGAGTGCTTCCGACAAGCTAGGTGTGTTCTCTAGCGACGTTGTCAACACGTTGAAAACGCCAGGAGGGAAGCCGGCCTTGGTTGCGAGGTGTGCCAGTGTCAAGCAGGTGAGTGGCGTCTCGGGACTAGGCTTGACCACCATCGTGCACCCGGCCGCAAACGCAGCACCGGCTTTTCGCAGGATCATCGCAATGGGAAAGTTCCATGGGACCAAGGCCACAGCAACACCGATGGGTTGCTTGATTACAAAAGTCCGCCGGTTGGGCGCCGAAGGCACGGAGACAGAGCCTTGGATGCGTTCTGCCTCGCCCGCGAACCACCAGGTGAAGCCCAGCGAATAGTCGAGCTCACCATATGCCTCGGCCAGTGGCTTCCCGGTTTCATAGGTCAAGATTTTGGCAATGTCGTCCCTTGCTGCAGTGATGAGGTCGTGCCACTTCATCAACAGCTGCGCTCGTTTTCGCGGATTAAGGATGCTGTATTCCTTGAATGCTTTATAGGAGGACTGGATCGCGGCGTCGACATCCTCCACTGCGTTGTCCGGGGATGAGGCCCATGTCTTGTCACTGCCTGGGTCGATAATATCGAAGCGTTTTCCGCTCTTCGCCTGCACCCATTCGCCGTTGACGTATGAGTCTTGGTGAAGGAGATCAGGGTCGTTGAGCTCAAAAGGAAGCTGGGGCTTGGACATATTCGCGGCTTTGAGGGGAAACAAACTGGAGAGAGCGGGCGAGTGTTGTGATGTGATGAGGTTCAAGAGAAGATGGCAGGATGACGACGACGACCACGATGATGATGGTGATGGTGATGATGAAGGAAAAAGAACTGCGTAGCTCGTTGACGATAGATTATTAATACAAGATTTAGTATCTCCGACCCCTGCAGTGAGCTATTCACGGCGTGGCCAGCGTCAAGCGTCGGGGGAGAGGGTGGTGATGATGCTGTTGGCATGTCATTATTTGATATTCAGTGCAACCCCGCACTACCTGGATGGATAGATGGGCGAAGTTTTCTCCAACCACTGGCGCCTTGGAGAATCACACATCACACATCTCACTTTTCCTGCTCTCGGAACCTTGGGATTCTCATACAGTTGGAGGTGAAGCTTGGTTTGGAAGACTCGGAGACCATCGGCCCTCGGCGATTGTCGCTCTTCGGCACCATTGGCGTCCTAGACCGCTGTGAAGCAGGTTTGTTCAGCGGTGACTGCGGTGCTCTCGGGGTTGCTCGGGAGGGTTCCCGATGACCGGAGCAGATCAGATCGATCGGCTGGCAACTGGCAACTGGTGACTCCAGTGGCAGTGGCTCGGTTTAAAGAGAATGCTTGACCTGTGCACATGAATTGTTCGGAGAGAGCTATAGTCTGACCAATGCGTTCAATCTGTGCCTGTCCTACTTCGTCCATAGACACCACCAGCAAGAACAGGCTTGGCTGGATCCCACGGCCCAATGACCACATTCTTATATCGTTGCAATCCTATCAACCACCATGAACAGCCTCCCATGACAAACGCCGTGATAAACCCGCCGATGAGGAGTCCTATGGTACTTCGGAGAATCACATGCCATATCCACCCCAGGCAGAAGCCACAATTTCCATATGTATGTGTGTATGATTGTGATAAGATGAGACCGAGGCCGCAGGTAGACATGCCCACCAAGCCCAAGGTCAGCAGGAGGTGCACGTTGAAAGATTTATGTCGGAGATGTCGTCGGAAGACTGGAAACAGTCCAAACACCTGGATAGAAAACAACGTGAGACTGAAAACGGCTGTGGAAGTCCGCAGTCTGGATGCCAGAACAGTACTGGCCATCAAGGCAGCATTGGTCGATAGCGAAGACGGGAACGGAGGAGCGCGAACCGAATGGTTGAACTGCGCAAGTACGGGTTCTATCGTTCTATGCCCGGCTGCTCCCGGAGAAAGAGGCTCGACCTGAGTCTTGGTGGGGATGTAGATGCTTCCATAATCGAAGAAGAAAATGTTGATTATCAGCAGCCAGGTAGCCAGCGCCCAGATAGAGTCAGATGATGTTGACTTGGTGAGTGACTTCAGAATAGGCGACAGTCCCAACAAGACGAAGTAAATAAGACAAGCTGACCGAAAAGTTTTGCGGCGTGCTTGTGAGCCAGGCGTTACTGCGGTCGATGACACAACGCTCTTGGGTGACTGAGGCTGCCGCGGCCGGGAAGTTGTGGGATGGAGATGTTGGAAAGGTTCGGGAGACATTTCGCCCAGGGTGTCGATTGGCGAGATAGATTGAAAGGATGATTTGGACAATGACTGCGTGTGCTTCATGGCAGTCTTCGATTCGTGGTCCTTGACACTGAGGTTGGTGGTGGACAAGCGAAGACCCATTCCGCGCCCAGTAAGACTATTGTTTACATGACCGTTGGTGTTGGTGTTGGTGTGGCCGTTGGCTTGGGCTGTTCCACTCACGACGGGTTTGACGGATTCGGCTGAACTGGTGCTGGATTCATCGTCGAGGTCAAGAGATCGTCGATTGACCTTCAGCAACGTGGCCATCTCTTCTGCCTCTTCCTGTCCTATCCAATGGTCCCATAGTATCCAGCTCACGAGGGTTGCAATCGTCCCACAAGTGACCACGGCGACGGGCGACAAGCGGCCCTGATAGATACCCGCATAGGCACAAATATAGATTGCGACGGAACACACGTGTTGAACTATCACCGCGGAGTCGGCGACCAAGGGCCAGAAATCGTATGGTCTCAGCCGGGGATTCCTCTGCAGATGATCAAGAAATGTTTCGGTATCGGTATAGTTGTCCGGAAAGCCATGCTGTTTGATCCAGAGCAGCTTTTTCCAAACATGGGGCTGCTTTCTTCTTCTGCTGGCGGCCCTCCTCTTTTCCTCTGCCAGACGCGCCGCAACTGGTGGAATGGCGGGAGGTGCCCTCAGAGACGCAACGGCAGGCCTGAGAGCCGCCGCGGCTAACGATGCAGCGGCAGAGCCATTGATTTCAAGCACAGGGCGCAGTCTCGGCGGGGAGAAGGGCTTGAAGGCGTCCTCTGGGGCAAGGCGGGTTGCTTGAGGTTTCCCTCGATTGGGATGGGTCTCAACGGGGACTGGAGGTGGTATCGGAGAGGGAGCCGGCGATATGACAGGAGTGTCATTCGCTGAGGTGGACGATGTGGTGGCGGTGGTACTTGCTGAAGCGATCGGGGTGGTACTGGTGCTGGTCGTAGCGGAAGGTGGCGCCATGTTGGCCCTCGAGTCGCTACCTCGTTATCATAGCGAGGTTGATGAGTCCCCAAGGTGTCAGTGACGTAGGTCGGTGGCTTCTGCGTCGATCTAGAGTCATGGACTGTTGGATGGTCTCGAGTCTCGACATATGCGCCGTAAAGAAATATGCGACTCGATGCAGCCTGTAGGGGCACGTCGAGCGGGTTCCAAACGCGAGAGTGTCTGACGATGGTCAGGGCAAAAGGACTCTGTTTAAGCTGCTAAATGGCATGTCATACAGCAATAAGTAACAGTCTGACATGTCAAGCAAAACGTCCAGGATCTCGCTCGGGTATCTTTCTCTTTGTGGCCCTATTCTCGGGCTTCCTACCTACTGTAGGTAGTCGGGTCCCAGGAGTGTGTATTATGTAAGCATACCAAGTCTTCCCGTTGGGTGCCGTTGGGTGCCCGCTTCTTGTAAGCCTCGCATCTAGGCACAGAATTGCGAAAGGGTAGAACCGTTTCCCAAGGGGATTGCGCCGGGCAGTAGATATACCTCTTGGTGGCAATTTCGGTTTAGAGTCGTGTGTGTTTTTGAGCCAACCTTGCCACAGAGCGGAGCCATGCATCGACATCTGACTGACTTCTTCTTGGGCGGTATCTCCCAACAGGAAGATGATTTCAGCGGCTCAACTGAGTCTATCAGTCAGATAAAAGGCCCTGAGCATTGTTCCTGGGCCCGACGGACATGATATGTTATTATTAAACTTCAGGGCAAGAATGCCGGTTGAGCTACTTCGCTGCTATTCACTTCTCAGTGCCTCGACTTTTTCGTGCTCCACATGCCACGCCTTGTTCCCTTTATGAATAAGTTCGATAATTGTTTTGCCTTCAAGTATTGGCAACCGTTCTGCGAATCTCTCTTTTGGCCAACACGTCCGCGTTATGTTCTCTGGATACTTGGTAGTACTGCAACTGAACCCCCATCATAGACAAGACTTCTACTTCCCATTTGATCTGCTGAAATCCATCCGAACCCTCAATCATCTACCCACGCTTGTTTCGAAGTTTTCCCACCTCCTTGTCATAGACCCAACCAGGGTGATGTCGATACATCGCCTCCACAAGATAGCTTGAGTCCATGGTAATGACAACAGTAACCTCTGTTGCACCACGAAGAGCTGAAGAGCCGGTGGAAACAGCCTGGCACATTGAGTGACGAGCAGGCATGATCTGAGAACGGATAACTCTGAGTGCTGTAATAAATGCATAGATTTCGGCCTTTTGGCTAGTAGAGCGTTCCCCTGGTTGTAGGATCAGCGGCACGCATTAATTGAACAGTGAATCTGGTCCAAAGCTGACACCAAGACCTTCTTCCACTGAGGAACAAATGTCGCTGTGCCACTAACCAGAGTGAAGCAGCGATCTCTCCAAGGTAGTAGTAGATCTGGTAGCACTGCGCTCCTCTGAGCGGCAGCCTCCATATCCTCGATTTCATCTTCGAGACTATCATCGTCATCGTAAGGGTCATATGCGAGGTCAAGACCGCAAAAATGACAGACACGAAGATGATGCTCAGAGCAGACTGCCTTGCCGTTCCAAGTAGGGAAACCAACTCATTAGGTCTCTTGAGACCTCCAGCGATAGATGAGGTAGCGCTCGACTGCATGGCTTCCAGTGTCAGTAAGACAGTAATGACATCAAGCAGGATTCGATTGTCAAAGTCATCGTGTCTGCAGAGGGTGAGATGCGAGAGACAGATATGAATTTCAGGATGCAGGTTGATGCAATACGCATGGGACCTTTCAAATTGTAGATTGTGATCTTATCATCTAACAACTACCTAGGAGGAGGAGGAGGTGATGTAGAATGAGGGGTTCTAAGTACGCCGCACCTCGGATTGCTCATGTAGCTTCCACCAGGCCCCAGCTGGCACCTTGCCCTTCGTGTATCACAGGCAGGCAGCAAGGCCATCAATAGTATGACTGAGCACAAGGGATGGTTCTAGGGTATAGCTTTCGGTTATGTGCTTAGAAAATATCGAAGGTTCTTTGTCAAGATACTGTAATTATCAGGCCAACAACTTGTGCACCGAGGTGGGTAGTGTCGTCTGATAGCTATCAGTATCTGGGAGTAGCACCATATTAGGCGCCTTCAAGGGCAGTCGTGGGACCTTCTCGCAAGGAAGCAAAATACCAAAGATCTTTCGCTATAGCATTGCCGTTCCTCCGAGAAGTTCGACCGCTGCGTTGCTGATGCAAACTTTGCCGGTCTCCTTCACAACGACTTCATAGATAATCTTACCTCCCTGCCTCCACATCTTGGTAACCACAGTCTGGCCTGGCAACACAGTACCACTGAATCTAACCTTGATATTTCTGAAGGCCCCATAGGTCTGGTAAACGTGCTTGCCGCTGATTCCAAATGTTGCCAACCCATGTAATATTGGAACACTGAACCCCCCTGCAGCCGCAAACCTTGGGTCAATGTGGAGAGGGTTGCGGTCCCCCATCAGACGATAAAGCGCGGCAATATCATCAGGGGTACTTTCTTCGACGACTCTGTCCGGCTTCCGAGAGGGCGGATCATTTATTGCGGTGGCGGCACCACGATTCGAGGGCTGTCGTTGACCCCCAAACCCGCCCGAGCCACGAATGAAAGCAACATTCTCATTGTAAAAGACAGGGTCACCATTCGCATCAACTGTAAGTGAGCCGCTTCTTACTGTTGCAGCATTCTTCTTGTCCACGACTTCTATCAAACGTGTTTCGGTTTTGAGACTGCCTGAAGTTGGAATGGGGAACTTCTTGATTTCAAGGTATTGCTCCCCATGTAGAAGCATGTGCTTCTGATAGTTCGGAATGATTTCTTTCAAGTCGTAGGGGCTCGTCGAGAAGTACGTTGGAACTATACCAAAAGTGGGCAGGACTTGGAATTTCGGTGCATTCTCGTAGACAAGATTCAGGTCTGAGCGGTGCACGCCCAAGGAGAGGTTATACAAGATCACTTCCCGGTCCGAATAGGTATATGTCGACTTCCCCGGTTTCATGGAGAGAGCTGCCTGAATCTTTGAGATATATTTTCTGTTAGCACGATCTTCTTGCGACATGCCGGCGGCCTGATACATTGTCAGCTTCAGAATCCGACCTTGAGGAGTTTGGACTCACCACGTTTGGATTCTTCATTGCATTTCCCATGGTCCACTTGCTCCCCTCTTGGGGCGTGTCCGGATTGTCTGCAAGCCCGTTGTCAAAGTTGCAGATTTCAGGGAAGGCCTTCACGGTGTTAGCAATAATCTGCACGCACTTTGAGGTGATACTCCTCACCCGTGCAACCTCCTCTACAGTCGGGACGCCTTTCTCATGCTCGAAGTCAACCCCCCTGGCCCTTTGCCATCGTGTTGCTGCAAACCAGCCCCCTGCAGCCTCATATAATTGACCAGCCGCTGGTGGTTTGTCGCTGCACAAAGCAGCAACCAGAGGTGCCACGTAGTCTGGTTTTGCTGCAATTACATCCTGCTCAGGCCAGACGGTTCGGGTCATATTGGTGCCTGCGGAAGGAGCAACAGCATTGACCACAATGTTGTATTTCACACCCTCGCGAGCGGTAGTCTTTGTAAAGCCTATAATACCGCATTTCTATGAGTAGGTGTCAGTTTCTGTCAAGTTCGATGTGAAATTACTTACTGCAGCCGCATAGTTGGCCTGGCCAAAATTGCCGTATATTCCACTCGTGCTCGTGATGTTAACAATACGTCCATACCTTTGTTTTGTCATATACGGCCATGCAGCTTTGGTGATGAGATAGGTTGAGCGCAAGTGTATATTCAGCACCATATGCCACTGTTCGTCAGTCATATTAACGAATGCCTTGTCCCCCAAGACACCCGCGTTATTGACTATGATGTCAATCCTGTTGTAGGAAGACACCACTCTCTCAACGATGTTCTGCCCTTCCTCCACAGACACTGAAATTGCGATTGCCTCTCCACCAAACGCACGAATCTGGTCTGCTACCTCCTTTGCATTCTTGACATCATTAACCGCGACTTTAGCGCCTAACTTCGCGAAGTAGGTAGCGTATGCTCTTCCCAGGCCATGGGCTCCACCTGTCACAAGAACAACACGGTCCTTGAAGTTGATTTCTTCTGGGATATTAGTACGAAGTATTGTTTTGGCCTTCTGAAGTAGTCCCATGATATCTGCTGGACCTTTGGGGTGTTCTGCGCCATTCCAGTCTGTAATATTGCCAAAGTTCTGGAGCACTAAAGAGGTACTCAGATGTTCTGGGTTGGCAAGAAATCCCTGGCTTCGTTCCCAACGAATTTTGCTGTAGTGTCCGGCTGCTGCTTCAAAGATGCTTCCTGTCTCTCGACAATGGCTACTGACAAGGACTCCGACAAGGGGAACGACCCAATCAGGCTTCATGATATCCATCATCTCAGGTGTCCAGACAGTCTGCGTTAGTCTGCTTGCGGCTCCTGGGGCGAGAATATTGCAATGAATGTTGTATTTTGCCCCTTCTTTCGCCAATGTCTCGCCAAAGCCTACCAGCGCCATCTTCGCTGCCGCGTAGTTGCTTTGTCCAAAGTTCCCAAACAAACCTGATGAGGAAGAAGTATTGATGATCCTCCCGTACTTCTGCCTCCGCATGTAAGGCCAAGCCGCTCTCGTCGTTTTCATTGCGCCATGAACGTGGACATCCATTATTATGTCCCAATCTTCATTCTTCATATTTCGAAGAGTAACATCTCGAAGAATGCCAGCATTGTTGATCAGTATATCCACTCTCCCGAAATTATCGATCGCAGTCTTGACGATCTTCTCTCCATTTTGTACAGCATCATAGTTAGCCACTGCAGTTCCACCGGCACGATTGATCTCATGCACGACCAGATCTGCAATTCTCGATTTCTCCCTTCCCTTGCCATCTTTTCCATCGAATGACCCTCCAAGGTCATTCACGATAACCTTTGCGCCTCTTGAGGCAAGGAACTTGGCATACTCTTTTCCCAGCCCATTTCCTGCGCCGGTAACGATGGCTACTTGGTTATCGTAACGAATCTCGTGTGTCATGGCTGCTTTGTCGTCAAGAAGCGACGACAGGATGCGTCTAAGACGAGTAGAATAAACCAGGAGACGTCTCGTAACCGAGGACCCGAGGTATCTGGATGAATTTCTGGTATAGATGAAGAAACCCCGCAAATTTGCTCCACACTAACTTCCCCGGGAACGCCTAGGAAAACATAACTTCACGATTGGAGATACGCTGGAGTACCCTAGAAAGGTCAGGCCGAGGTGCCTGCGCGCCGCTCCGGAAGTTCGAGTCTCTGGATAACCGGGGTGGACAGTTTGTCAGAACCGACCGATCGGTGATTCGGTGAGCTGACTAACTTGCCCGTAAGCACACTCTCAGTGACTCTTGGGTGACTCCGGCACAGGTACGGAGTACCAAACATTCATTATTAGCTCTGCGAGTTTCAATGGCCAGGAAACAACACGTTCATCCATCATAATTAGCACCCACAGCCTGCATTTAGATACACTGACTAATCCAAGTAACCCGGACTCCGTAGCTGGTCAGAGAAGAGCGCTTAATTCCGGGTGATATTTATATGATTTATCTATATCCTCCCACCCACTCTCGGCGATTCAAATGATGGATTGCGCATTCATTGTGGCTGGATTCCATCTCCAAGAAGCTCGAATTTGGCGGTAGTCCACTTCTGTCATGCATATGCTTTCAGTAACTCATGAGAATTGAGATCTTGGAAGGCAATCCATTTCTGGTGTACTGTCCATGAGGGAAAATTCGCACATTGTCCATGTGCTGGGTGCGGGCGAACGTCGACCCCAGTGTGATCCGTCGAAACACACTCCGTGGACAGTGGCAACCGATCAAATCTGTTTGTGACAGGTCACAGACATCGTGCAGCCTCTCGATCACATTCTGCTCTCCTGCATACACAGCATCATGCACGCCACCATCACTGGCAGCTACTAGTTACAAGTCTAGGTTTTGCCAACTATTTTGTAGACTCTCGGCATTTGCCTTCTTGGTTACCTAAGTGTTACCTCACCTCCTCCAAGAACGCACAAAGGCTCAAGGAGGCAGCACATCAGAAAGCGTCAGTGGCCCTTGTGGGTATCGTTTGATTCCACAGTATTCGCTTTCCAGTCCGTCATTGGAAACTTTTTGATGTAATCCTTGGTCTCGCCACTCACCCAACTATCACATCACCTTTTGGCTGACAGCTTATGTAGGTTGATAAATGGTACGCCAGCGGGCCCGGATCGAAGGCGAGAGTGTGGTTGTTCTACCTGCAGTCAGTATACGGATGGCAGTTGTGCTACACTCCATCTATTCGTGATTGACGTACTTGGAGACCTAACTTGGTGATCTGCATTTAGGGTCGAACGCTGGATCAGCCTGGCCAGAGCAGCTTTCCTCATGGCTTGCTATCCGTGTCCGCAGACACCGACAATTTTGAGCCACCCGCAAGCCCCTGGCTGACAAGTGGATCGAGATCTAGAGTTTTTCAATTGGTCGCTCTCTAAATTTGGTTCACCACATCCCTCTTAAAGCACGCAGACAGGGTTAAGACACAAAGCTCTTCATAACCCTGTTCCTCGTGAGCTAGACTTTCAGTCCTTATTAACGAGGCAAGCTGCATTACGCGAAGAGCTACTGCCCCAGTAACACGAAACGGCTGGCTTGGATGCGCTCAACTTGAATCTCGGATAAGGTGGCTTTTCGGTTAGGTTTTCCTTCAAGATATTTATTTCGTATGCAGGGCTTGTTTAGAGATCGATGCGTTCCGCTGCAGGCCGCAAAATTGGTAAAGTATTGACACCTAGTGGTTGGCTTTTATAATGATTCTGATCATCCGCCCCACGACGATTCTCATAACATGGAGAGAGTAGCAATATCATAACCAACAACACTCACGACCACAGCGGCACCTCACTAATGGCTCAGGTAGACCCTACCCCTCTTGAAGGAAGGCTCTCTTACACTCTCGTCTGCCTTGTATGTCTATGTCTCGTATCATCATGTTTTGGTGAGTCAAGTTCTACCCACCTAAACATGGGGAAGATGGCTAATTTCTCATCAGCTCTACGTGCACAACGTTTGAAGCTGAAATCAGTTGCACGCATGCCTGCCATACGTATATACCTAATTTTTGTTTACTTCTGGGGAACCTGCTTCATTATTGCTGTTGCTACTCTACGATTCGGCTATCAAATCAAGAACCAGAGGGCATGCCTAGCCGCGATCATCCTCTGTCTCGTCTTCTACGTCGTCGACAAAGTCATTCTGTATCTTTTCTTGATTGAGCGGATCCACATCGTCCGCTCCCGCAGGTACACTCGTCTGACTGACAACTGGTACCTGGCCAATATTGCTATACTTGTCTTGGGCTTTGGGTCGATCGCGATTCTGTCCTTTATGTTCCCAGTCGCTGAACTCACAGATGGAAGATGTCGCATTGGCCTTCCTTTCAAAATTACACTGCCATTATTGATATATGATGTTACCATCAATCTCTATCTGACTGGTCATTTCCTGCATTTTTCTAGACCCTTCATGCTTCCAGACATTCTGAAGCGACTGCCACTCACAATGAGGAGCCCATATATCAGGAATACTAAGCTCGATTTCCCCACGAGACCTAAGGATGGTAGGCAGGACAATTTGCGGACACTTGCCAAAAGGACACTCAAGGGAATGTGTGTTATGCTGCTAGCTACGACTATAAATCTTTCAATCTTGTTCTATATGAGTGGCCGGGAGGACGAATGGATGTGCTTCATGTTTTGCACCTTGGATGGTACGCACTTCATTTCGCCTATTTCTCAGGGATTGGCATACTTATGCTTGCTATAGTCACAATTGGCATTCTTGCCCTGCACTACGTTACAAATCACCCTGCTGAAAAGCAGCTCGGGGTAAAGGTGCACGTGTTGGGTCGCAGATGCTCCGGTCCATTAGCTGGCGACACGGTGACACCACATGATTTTCCAGGCGCTGGAGGAATAAAATGTCCTATCCAGACTTTGATTAGCGTTGGCAGCCAGCATGACCTCCAGGATATAATTACGACACCAGACCGAATATTTATTTCCAAAAGCTATGAAGTACGCTCACCTTCTTTGCTCACTTCCTAGTATTCTTCGTCCGTACCAAGTACTATACTAAGGATTACGTCAGGTCACCCACAACACTGAATAAGCTCTCTCGAAGACGGTCATTAAATCAAGAAGTCTAGCTACCTACAGTGGGAGCTAGGGGTAAGAGAAGCCACCTGCCGGAAAGACACACCGATGATACGCTTTCAAAAGCATGTAATGCAGGACATACAATGCTCTAGGGGAGTAAAACCGGGGTAAGCCGAGGTAGCTATGGAGTTCAGAGTACAACTAATTTCTCGTGGAATACTGTATAGCAAGCTTCCTACTCCACCGTACTTTACGGCTGGTGATCAGATGATCGACCGTAGGGAATGTGCTCGTAGGATTTTTTATCCCGTTTCGGAAGTTCCAAGCTCCCCCGTGGAGGCTAAATTAAGACATCAGCCATGGAATGTGTTTCGCATTACCACATAAGAAGTCTGCTAGTTCCAGAAAATTTTGATTTCTAGTTACATTGAGCCCAAGCTCCGTCACGGCGACATAGAAAAAGTATAATTATCAAGTCTTGCGACATCATATAATCGTTAAGAAATCATGTCACTCATTACCCCGCTTACGCGTTCATCATCCGATCGACATCACCAAGCAACATTCTTGCATTCTTTTCAGTTGTCGGCCATTAATTGCATGTCGCTGGGCGCGGTTCTCTGGTTATATTGTGCGGGTTCTACATAAGGTCCATATGGAGGCTGAAAACCCAAACTCGGAGGAAGTAGAATCCGGCAATAATATTCACTCGACTCAAATACCAGGGAATTCCCATGAGAACAAGCACGAAGAGCAACTTGGGCATGACCATAATCTCGAACCCAATGCTACTGGGATTCAGCAAAGAATCCAACCGCGGACTTCTACAGGGAATCGTCAGGGCGATCTTGAGGGAAACAAGGAGCATCAGAGCCACGAGCATCAAACGTCCCAACCTGTTTGGTCGAAGGTATTTGACCGGGTAAGGGGATCACAGCATAATAGGGCATTCAAATTACCTCACCGCAGACCATCAAACACTTTTTACACCCAGGTTCACGATGGTCCTCTGCAGAGCCAGGAGAAATCATCCAATCTCAGTCATGAGCCCCAGCAAAGTCAAGAAGGTAGCGGTGATGGATCAGGCCAGTTCCAAACCTATACTAAGACTGCTGCCGAAACGGTGCATACTTTCTTGGGGCATAATACTCATGCCACATATTCTATGACTGCAAAGTTTGTCAACCCTTACATTGCCTCATTCGTTTGGTTCTAATCATTATAGCTTCGATTCTCCAGAGTCCTCCATCGACGAACACATCCATGATATTGACTACGTACCAGCCCCTGAACAATACAAACCTGGTCTTTTTGGAGCCCTCCTTGCATATAAGCTCGACCACTTGCAACAGGACTGGGCGAGCAAGCAAAAAACATTGCAGCCTCACATAGGTGTAACACCGAAGCACGATGTGAAAGCCCATCATCAAACCTATTCACTCACGACCTCGGTTCCCAGTTCCGGGACGTCAACTCCCAATAGAAAGGTTAAGTGGTACGAAAAGCCTGAGCAGGCGAACCCAACCGCAGCGGCTTTGATGCAAGCCGCTTTGTCATCTACAGGTCCCAGTATGGCAGGAATTGGCGCCATACCACGACCGAGGGCAATGCGTCCGAAATCAGCTGATATGATCTCCACAGCGGTTGACATTATTACACATGGCAAACACCAAAACCAACAGCGGTGGTCGAGCAGTACGCTTGAGAATCACGTGGGCCTAATCACAGAGGTAGCCGACATTATCGCCAGAAGAGATTATTTGATCAAACTCTGTGGTGCGCTCATGGAATATGGAGCACCAACCCATCGCATTGAAGAGTATCTCGGTGCTTCTGCCCGTGCCCTCCTCATTGACGCCGACTTTCTCCACATCCCAGGGGCTGTGATCTGCACGTTTGCGGATCGAACAATCCATGCCAACAATGTCGATATTGTCAGGAAGCGCGGTGGCCTCGATTTCGCTCGACTGAAAGATGTTTTTAATGTATACAAATGTGTCATTCATGACAAGTTGACCCCAGAGGAGGGTATCCGAGAGATTGACGCTATTCGCAAGCGACCTGATACCTATTCCGAGCTCTTCCGAATCTTCTTATTTGGCGTGGCTTCGGTTGTGGTCGGACCTTTTTCTTTCGAGAGCCGTCCCATTGACTTTGGTCCCATATTCCTTTTGGGCTGCACGATTGGCTTCATGACTATCAAAGTCGTTCCAAGATCCGAGCATTTCAGCAACGTTTTTGAGGTCTTTGCCTCCGTTATCGCGGCATTCGTTGCACGCGCTCTCGGGTCGATTCAGTACCACGATGGAGGGTATATCTTTTGCTTTTCAGCGATGGCACAGAGCAGTATTGCTATGATACTGCCAGGTTTCATGATGCTGAACGCGGCACTCGAATTGCAGGGTCGAAACCTGATCTCTGGCTCAGTCCGTATGGTCTATGTCATCGTCTACGTTTTGTTCCTCGCTTTCGGGTTGCTCATTGGTACAACCATCTTTGGACTGATGAAACATGACGCTGTTTCCTCGACAACGTGCGACATTCCGCCTTGGTTTGCCGCGGACATGAATTGGAAGCTGATTCACACCCGCTTTATTTGGGCGCCGTTATTTGCATGCTGCACGGGACTGATTTACCAAGCTCGATGGCGGCAGTTACCTGTCATGGCATTTATTGCTGTTTGTGGCCATCAAGCAAACTTCTGGATTTCGACTCAGCTGTCAAGCAACCCCCAAGTTGCGAACGCTATTGGCGCTTTCGTTATTGGCTGTATTTCTAACTTATACTCCCGGCTATTCCATGGCCTTGCAGCAACAGCAATGTTACCCGCGATTTACTGCCAAGTCCCTGGTGGTCTAGCATCATCTGGATCATTGGTAGCTGGTGTCACCTCTGCGAATGAGATTTCCGGGAATCATACAGCTAGCAGTACAACCCAAGACTATAACGGTAGCTCGGACGGAACCATCTTCAATGTTGGCTACAGTATGGTTCAGGTTGCTATCGGTATCAGCGTCGGGTTATACCTCAGCGCATTGGTTGTGTACCCATACGGAAAGCGAAAGAGCGCGCTTGGAAGCTTTTGATTGTATGATTATATGGATAAATAATGTTAGCGTAGGACAGTCCAGCCTTCCGCGCTTCACCCTTGGATTCTATGTAGATATGACATTCAGACTCCTCCCGAAGTACTGTGGTTATACCTCAAGGCTTCATTCATTAGTCCTTCTGATCAGCTGCTATTGCCCAGCAATCGACGTTCGATTGCCTACCATGAGATGCACTCCGGCTCAACAACTATTCATCCGTTGGCTCTCAGTAATGTCCTGTGGTTTTTCTTGACATGCTGAAACGGACATATGCAACCATACCAGCCGCTCCAAGCGCCATGGAGCCCGCGTAGAATATTGCCGGTCTGTATGCCTCAAATCCGCCTTTCTCACCCCCATATGCTTCTAACAAGTATCCAGCAATAGGAGCACCCAGCAGATATCCACCCGTCCAACCTGTCACCATCATTCCCATCGCAACCGAGACTCTTGCGCTACCAAAGACGTTCCCAACCACGGTCGGCATAATGGCGAAGAATCCTCCATTGCCCATCCCGTTGATAATCAAAAAGACAATCAGTGGTGCGAGGGAAGTTGAAACGGGCCATAACACTAGCATACTAATCGCACTGATGATGAGCGACAATAGGAGACTATTGACAGAACCAAGCTTGTCACTTAGTAGGCCACTGAGAACCCGGCCTAGAGCTGAGGAAAAGTTGAATGCTGCAAGTAGGGCTGCGCCCACTTGTGAGGATTGACCAATTGAACGCGCGTAGAGTGGTAAGAAGAAGGGAGGGACGAAGAGTGGAAAGGTTGCTTTTAGCTCGTCAGAATACTAAGTGATACCAGGCTAAGTGCTTAACTTACCAACGGTTCCAGCCAGAAAGAGCACGGTAAACTTTGGATCGCGGAACAGCCTCCTACTAGATGTCAGTGCCTTATCTCGAAGAGTGGGAAGGGTAAACCCACCATTCAACAAAGGTCGCAGTCTTAACGGGTGTCCTTTCTCTGATGAACCACGCGGCTGGGAACCCAGTTGCGCACGTAAGTATGCCGATCAGCCTGAACGCCCAGGCTGGACCGAGCCTCTCAACGATTGTAGACATGGACAAGCTGATCGCAGCGCCTCCAAGGCCTCCTCCAGCAAATACGATACCGTTAGCCAAGCCTCGACGATTTCGAAAATATTGCGCTGGTGTTATGGAGACAACCTGGTCACAGGAGTAACGTTCAATATCAGATCTTCGACTATCCGTGCCACCTGAGTACGAGCTTACCATAAAGCTGCAACTGACTCCATATCCCATGATACATCCTGCCGTGATGAACAAAGCCGCAACACTTTTCAGTGCCCAACCGCTTAGCATCTGTCCAAGTCCCATCAAGAAAACTCCAAGAAAGGCCACTTTTCTGGCTCCAATCGCTCTGACTAGACGTCCATTGATGATAGCAAAGGCAGCATTGCATGCAACCGCCAAAGACCCGATAAAGGCAAGTGTTGAGGCCTTGGAAAGCTTTGATTCCACAAGTGCATCCTGGATGACTCCCCAGCTGTATGTTGTGCCAACAAACCAGAAGGTGAGCAAGCTGCATGCTGCAACTATAACCCAGCCATAGCCACCATCGGGGGCACTTTCATCTGCAAGCCGGGAAGCTTGTACGACATTCTCGGCGGCTGAAATTCGTGTGGAGGTATTCCAGTCTTGAAGCTCCCTCACTGGTAACTCCTGATCACTAGAATCAGGAGCTATCCCAGGCTCGAGAGTAACTCGTGTCAAATGAACACGACCTTCAATCTGAGTGGAGGGCATTCGCGAAGTATATTGTCCTCAAGATGAGTTTAGAAGATCCCACAGAGAAGAATTTGAAGGGCGTTATTTCCCAGAAAAGGGGTTGAATCACCACTGCTCACAATTCCTCAACAACAATATAATGTCATCGGCGTCCCATGTGTGCTTGTCACCCATTTCAGAGGTAAAAGGCTGTGCTGAACATCGCATCTGAAGGAAAAAGCCACCCGCCTGGCTCGGTGCGCCCCGCGCCCTTGGTTGACAGCGATCATTCTGAAATTTTCATTGGTGGGGAGCTGGAAGATTCCCGGCCGTGGCCTGCGTCTGACTCATAACAAGTGTTCTTGAGTACTATACTATCTTCATATCTGACTTGGGTATATTCGATGGCGTACGAAAGGTTAACGTGCAATTTAAACGTCCACCTCCGTGATGATCGAAGCGGCATGCATGTCTAAACCCTCGTGGCTCCCTTCAGCAGAGTTCTACTTAAAGTGATTCGATAGGTTGACGAAGACTAGACTTTGCATGCTGCATTCGCCTTTGTTCAAGTAAAAACGAGTGTCATTTACTAACTACCAGAAAACTTCCCCAACCCGCGTGACTTGTCCTCTCAAGTTTCTCAACCACAGTCGGTCGAGTTCTCCTCACAAAGGTACCTTCCACACTCTCGGCCAAAACTATCTAGAACATTGAGCGAGCATCAGCATAGTGAATGTCCGGTACAGGAGAGTGACCCAAGCGAAGTAAATACTCAAATCAAACTCCCTTTTCCTACCCAAATTTCGTTGACAAAGGCGTACCTGAGATCAACCTCGTTCAGCAATGCTCCACTGGTCCAGAGTTTCCCATCCCTATGCCAGCGCTTTTCGTACCACTCGGTATCAGGAGACAGCTGTTGAGCCATGGGAAGCAAAACTCGCGGTGCGATCGCTGATTTCCCCTTGAGAACCCTGGCTTCCAGTGCCGACTGTATCCCTCCGCAGATTGTGACGAATACTGTAGCCTCTTCGTAGGCTTTACGCACATAAGCGAGCTTCTTCTCATTTGGTTTGTAGTTGACGTTGTGCGCTCCCATGATGGTAATGTCTAGAGTCAGAGCAGATTCACAATTGTGCTAAATTCGTTAGCACTAAACCATGTACATATTAATCAAGGATTTTATGATGACACAAGCCTGATAGAATGCTCACAGTAGGTTGCACGCTAAAGCCTCCAGTTAGCTTCTCCATTTCCCCAGTTTCATTCACCCAGTAGAAGTTCATATCAAGGCCTTCCTCCTTCAACTTCGGGTCCAAGATGGTCTCCGACCATTCATCGAGGAAACTTCTGGATAAGCCATACAGTAAATTGACTGGTGTCACATCTAGAGCCTCTGTCTCGCTATCCCTTTTCGTATGTTAGCCTAGCGTGGTAGTTGAGGTGTGGAAAGAAGGAATGATGTACCCTCCATGAGAATGACGCCCACAGTGAGTGTTCGGCCGGGCTTTCTAAGGTTGAGGGTGCCCTGGTCACTATTAACTCGACTTCTTCTGAGTTCTAAATCCGTCCTAATGTTTGGGCAAGGTTTTAGCTTGTGGACTCTTGGATCCTGCGAGAATACTGGAAGACTGAAGTTCCAATTCCTGAGCAGGTAACACATCTGTTCTTATACCTCTCGTAGTGGAAGTTCACCCTGTCCAACGACTTCAGTGGTACGTACAGCCCAATTCTTGCATCAATGTTCAGGAGAGGCTCCGAAGTTTGCTGAGAAATTTTCAGGCGCAGCATGCCGGCCTCACTACATTTTCTGTTTGAAGCAAGCGGTGTGGTTCTCTCGAGAACGCCACTTCGCCGGAATCCCACAGTCTTGAACCCTGTGTAAGGGCCATTCTTGTATCAAAGAACTGTTCTGCCTATTCGATTGATGCTGTTCAGTGTACCATTTAGTATGGCTTCGACAGGAGGGACCAGCTATGTTTCTGGTTCTAGAGCCCCATGCAGGAGTGGAGCCTCGCCCAGAAGGTTCATATTTTTAAGTTCGGCTTGGAACACAGACGAATGTCCTTCCGCCGAACCAATCGGAAAGAAAGACAACTTCAAATGGTGGCCGTGTCTCGACCACGATTTTCAATGTTTGATTTGAAGCCGCTATCCAAGTCGCCAGTACGTAAAACCTGGGGAACTTTACTTCGGCTTCAGACCTTGAGCAAAACTAGGAACATGAAAGAGGAACTCAAAGAATATCACACATGAACACGAGCCCAAAACTATCTTCAATCGCCGGTACCATAGTCGGTCCACAGTTGTCATTTCCAGCTCAACAGACCGCCTTAACGTTCTCTGATTTTGTCAGCTCATTTAACCGACGTTGCTTCTTCTCCAATCCCATCTCCCTACGCGTCTGCTCAACGCGTTTTCAGATACTCAGTGACCGCAGGTGCGATAGAGGGTCGACGAGACTCCTGTGTAATTGTGACAAGACTAGCTCGGCGCTGAGCTGCAGCATCTTCCGCACGCCCATGAGATGCGAGGACGTTCGTGACTGATGGGAGAACAGATGGTCGTCGAGGTGGCTGGCCGGCAGTGGAGTACTGCTCTGCGAGTTGATTTTGCTGATGCTCGTCGAATTCATCAATGACAGTGGTGGCAAACTTGCGAGCCGGCAATCTCTTGGCGAACAAGATATCGAGCTCATGGAATGTTCGGTCCTAGATATGACGTGAGTAACGGCACGGACAGCCTCTGGAGTTGAATACGAACTTTTGTCTCCGGAAGTCTGAAATACGCCCAAACAAAGACCAACCATGCACATCCACCCCAGACAAATCCTGTATACCCCTGAAGATTCCACGCGTTAGGATTCATGAAATAGTTTTCGAGTGTACCACCAATGACACCAGTAATATTAGACACGTTGCGAGCTAGACAGACGGTCTTTTGTCTGAGACGTGTGGAGCCAATCTCCGCAGGGAGAGCCCAACCTGTTTTCTATCAGTTGTGTCGTTGTTCAGTCGTTTGACTTGTCTCACCTAGTTGTCCTGCAGATAGTTGGAATGTAAAGGTCCATACTAAAGTCATGATGGCTTGCGCCCATCCGACGGATGTTTTGTTTGTCCATGGGTTGAGGATTCCAATGATGCACAACTCAATGGCCATGGCAGCCATGCCCCAAACGTAGACAGTTCTTCGGCCAAAGTAACTATTGAGAGTTAGTATAATACTTCGAGTTGGTGTTCTGGTCCATGCCAAAGAAGGGATGACTCACGGCATAAGCAGAAACCAGTTACAAAAGCAGGCAAAAAGGGCTAGAGCATTGGCACCTAGACCCAGCGAGTATGCAGCATCCGTGTCCAGACCGACTTGCTGGAAGAAATATGTGGATGCGTAAGCGAAGCACAGACCGCATACCAGCTGACCTCCAAAGACAACACATGCGATTTCAGTGCGTCGCAGCTCAAAGCCTTTAAAACAGTCCCAGTATGTAGTGCCAACAGAGAGCTGTTCTTCGAGATTATTGGTGTAGACAATCTGTGCCAATGTTCGCTTGGGGTCCAGCATCGGAGATGGCGTTTGCAGGCGACGGATAGACTTTTCCGCCTCCTCCAGCCTGTTGTGTCGAACCAGATGATATGGTGACTCTGGTGCAAAGAATATCAAGGGAATCAGGACAATTGGCCAGGCCCATTGGAGAGAGTATGGGATGCGGTAGCCCCATTGATCTCTGCGACTCACTAGCCCTCTGAGGATTCCGGCACTGATAAATTGGCCAATGATAAAGCACATGTTGGTGTAAGAAGTGAAGTAGACGCGGATCTGAACAGGGAGGACCTCCGATGCGTACGCAGGGGCTGTGGTAGCGAACTATGGGATTGTAAGTTGGAGTTCTATTTTTGTCATGTTTCAGGGCAGGAAAACTTACGATTCCCCATTCGAAACCGAGCAAGATCTGGCCAACTAGGAGAACTTGTTTCGAAGGAGCAAAGAAGACGATAAAGAGGAAGCAGCTCATGACACAAAGAGTATAGAGAAGTACTTTGCGAGGACCGAAGGCAGCAACAAGCCAGCCATTAAGGATCGTACCGATGATTGATCCGCAGCCTGTCCGTCTATATCAGTAGACGTTGCAAAGGGCATTTCTTGCAAGTATAGCTTACCTGCACCTTGACCCAAACCAGTCTGCCAGGCAGCTGTCAACGAGTAACCAGTCGGTGTCTGCTTAGTGACCCCTACATAGTCACCGTACTTGATCTGAAAAGATGCTATCTTCTGGTCAGCGTCATGTATATTAATTCTTGACTTACCTACGGTATGCGTAGAAGTTTCCAAGAAGATTGGTATCGTAACCCTCCATGATGACGCAGGTAGATATGGCAAGGCACCAGAGGATAGCCTTCCTGTACGCCACTAGGGCTTGTCGAACAGTCATTTCCTTCTCGTCTCGAGCATAATCGTGTGCGGCGACACTCAACTTTCGATCGCCCCATTGTTCCTCTCTCCACGATCGATCGAAGTTGCCGTTGGCCTCATCGACTTGGGAGGTCTCGCGAATCTTGTCGTCCATTTTGAAAACCGAGTCGTTGGGAACAGAGAACTAGAATGATAAAGTTGCCGTGGTCGCTTGAGTTGAATTAATGATCTCCCTCGATAGACATCAGGTGGTTTATGTAGAATTATGGTGTAGCATGCGACCCCAGCCATCGGGTACTCGAGATGCTTCGGACATATCAAACCACGCCACTCTAGAACGTCGCATAGAAGGCTGCAGATGGTGGAAAACGACGGACTTTGGCTCAACAAACCATCTAGCGACACATACTTCGCGAAGATTAGCGTGAATGGCTTCGCGAGGCGAAATACTTCCATCCTCTGTGCTGGTGGATTGGGGAGAACTGGAAATCAGGTATTCGGCCGCCCCTTGGGGGGGTTTGACAACGTTCCCCGCAGCAGGCGATCTCTGTCTATAGTCCATGGACTTGAAGGAGTGCTAAGATCGCGGTGGATCAGCGTTTCCCGCCTGTTCGCCGCCATTTCCGCCTGTCAGCTGGTCCTCGCCAGAGATCGTAGCGCCAGAGCTATTGTGGCTGGGGACTAGGCTCTATCAGTGAAAGAGCCAAGAACAGACTTTTATGTCTTGTATTCCTCAAGATTTGATGTTTTTATATCATTTGACCACTCAGAGTGGCGTAGAGCTTTAACAGAACGCAATTCGAAGATAGATGAAGTCTAATGCTGCTGTAGTATGGATTGCACATCACATACGGGAACCTAGCAAGTAAGTACCTAATTAGTAACGTTGTGGTTTTGGGCCTTTAGCTTCCCTAATTTCACATTGGTCAAGTGAGATTCGGGCCTTGTTCTCGGGAATTCGTGTCTGGTCAGCATGAAATCTCTTTGAGTGCCTTGAATTAAAGGCATGGTTGCTCTGGCTCTTCACGGGGAACGATATGGCCTGCTAGAGTGCGACATTCGTCTCAGCAGTTTAAGTTTTCCGCGTGTGGGCGGTATACAGGTGACAGTTTCTCGCGATCCCCGACAACCCACTACCCAGAGCAACGGCTTACGAGTAGCTTGCGGAGAACCCTGCTCACATCATGCTCCACCTGCGAGAAACCTTTTAACGAGACTGGGGTAATCGGCCGAGGCGGCTGACAAGCGACTCTATGGGGCTTGAGAGGTAAGTTCTACGCCTTGAGACGTCACTACTTGCATGGCAGAGACTCCTTTCCAGTCTGTGGCGACTAGTTCATACGGGTGGCTGTCCATTGGCGGTCAGTATTCATGCCATTTCCACGTCCATGTCTTCATCCCTCAGTCCCTGTAGCTGGAAAATTGGCTGGATCTGCGGGGTTCGCCTCGCAGAAAGTTTCGGCCAAATGTGATCAAGGGCTACACCAATGAGGAACGAATGGCTCGGAGTTGTTGCTTCTTGCTTTTGATTGATCTGAAGAGCTTGTGAACACCAAGGTCCAGGTTTCTCTCTATTATTCCCATCAGCATGGGGATGGGACCTCGCTGCCTGTCCTGCCTCAATCGAGCCTTGCAAAAGCACCTCCTGGCAAGTCCGTTGAATGGACGTCGAAATCCACAGAAGTTCAAGCTGAACGTGGCATGGGATGTTGAGCAGTCGCAAGTTTGCACTCTCTCTATCTGGTACAGAGACAGAATGCGATATCTGCGATGGAAGACAAGGTTGTCCATCCGTCAGAGCTACTAGAATTTGCGATCTTGCCAGCAAGCGCTCGACATGATTATGAAAGAACATTGAAATTCAATGACACCGCGGGCACTTCCACCCACTCTGTGCGAGGGGAGTCCATCATCACTGAAAATGACTATCCAAGTCGAGGACTTCAACGGCTGGAATCATGGCTTTCAGGCTTTCCAACGATCAGTACCGCCGCTCTTACAGCGAACCAGGCCGAGCACAGGATGAAGTTTCGAGCCGCGCTGAGAATCTACCCGAAAGCCATCGCCTGGGCGGGTATGATATCTCTTGCCATAATTATGGAAGGTTATGACACTGCCCTCGTCACATCTCTCTATGCTTTCAACGAGTTCCAACAACAGTATGGAATTCCGGACCAGAACGGCCAATCTCAAATCACGACGAAATGGCAAGCTTCTCTAAGCAATGGATCCACAGTGGGATCGATCATTGGCCTCTTTGCGAATGGGATAGTGACGGAAGTCATTGGATACCGTCGAACCATGCTGGGCGCCCTCATCCTTCTCGGGATATTCGTCTTTCTTCCATTTTTTGCTTTCAATATACAGACTCTGTTGGCAGGGCAGTTTCTCTGCGGCCTTCCATGGGGTGTGTTCTCTACCTTGTCGACAACCTATGCAGCAGAAGTCATGCCACTCAGTCTCCGAGGATACTTGACCAGCAACATCAATCTCTGTTGGTTGCTGGGGCAGTTCGCCGCGCTTGGAATTCTCCGTGGATTAGCCGGAGTGCGGTCGACCTGGTCTTTCCGGATACCCTTTGGGCTTCAATGGGCGTGGATCTTGATCATCATCGTGCCAACCTGCTTCGCACCAGAATCGCCTTGGTGGCTGGTGCGGCATGGTAGAAAGGAGCAGGCGAAGAAGGTGTTGATGCGATTGAGGCGTGCTACTTCAGACCGGGAGCTAGACAACACCATCGCCATGATGGAACACACTGACCGAGTGGAGAAATATTCAAGTGCAAAGATTGAGAGGTCAAAGCCCAGCCGGTTCAGCGATACCTCGTACGCTGCCTGTTTCCGGGGGTCCAACCTGAGGCGAACAGAGATAGCCTGTATGATATTCATGACACAGAATATGTGTGGGCTGCCTATCATCGGCTACGCCGCATACCTGTACAAACAGATGGGCTTTGACGAGCGCCGCAGTTTTGATATTACTCTTGGTATGCAGGGTCTCGGGATTCTCGGCGCGTTTGTGTCCTTGGCCTTGCTCAAATATGTCGGACGTCGCCGCACACTCTATCTCACTGGGCTCGGACTGCTTTTTGTGACGTTGATCGCAGCAGGGGTAGTAAGCTGTCTTCGTGAGAGTCGAACAACTCTATGGGTAACAGCTGCCTTGATGCTGCTGGTCATTTTCATCTTCGACTCCACAGTTGGCCCGGTCACGTATTGCCTTGTTGCAGAGCTCCCATCTAACCGTCTTCGAGTCAAGACTGTCGTTCTGGCTCGTGTTGCATACAACATCAATTCCATAGTTACCAATGTTCTTATTCAACGGATGCTGAACCCGTCAGCATGGAATTGGAGGGGCAAGGCCTGCTTTTTCTGTGCTCTTCTCAATTGCCTATGTTTTGTGTACTGCTTTTTCAGGTTACCCGAGACTCGAGGTTTCAACTTTCACGAACTTGATATTCTGTTCGAGAAAGGAGCCGATGCGCGGAAATTTGCAACATTTCAGGGGATTTTGGAGAGAAGTGGCTACTACAGTTTGATTGAAGAGGACTCGGCCTGATGATGGAACCAGTGAGATGTTAGTGAAGCGTATAAAATGACCTCATGAGAGGCATAGAAATGATCCCCGAATCGAGCCGGACCTAGCAATGGATATATCCACGTGCTGTGGCCATCTCTCAATATGTGACATTGTCTACCTCTGGGCGTGAGCCATGGTGCCACTTGGGTGTAGTAATTACTTGATTGTCCGCCGGCCTGAGGATGCTCTGGAAATCCAATCCAGAACCCACGTACATCCCGGGCTGCTCAAGTGAATTTGTGTGGCATGGATCAGCAGTAACCCGACGACACAATTTCATCAACACTATCATAAAAGAATGTACACAACTCCCACGCTGATGCTTCGCTAACGGACTGGCGCTCGGCTGTAGATTGCTAGAAAACTAATGATCTGACTCAAACATTGTCCAAAGACTTTTGTTCACTGTCGCTCGCAGATAGCAAATGTTCCCTTCCCATGTCTCAGTTATGCAAAGCCGAGATTTTGGAGGATTGCTTTGGCTTCATTTTGCGGAAGGCCGGCAACGCCCATCGCTTGGACTATGTTGCCTCGTCGTAGTCGCTGAAGGCCAACGGCTACCTTCCATCCCTCGCTCTGAGAAAGGATAAAGACATACTTTCGACCTTCTTGCTCTCTGATGGTTGCCCGAAGCACATGCATTCCGTTGATTTCGCAGCTCTGTGAAACAATCTGGTTAGCATGGTCACTTATGAAGGCAGTTTGTTGAGGTCGAGAAGGGGTCCCAGTCAATGTGGTAGGGCTGGGAAAAGGGCGGGTGTGCCGCGATGACTCGAGATCTGGCCTTTGAGAAGAAAACGGGAATACCATACCTCTGCGAGCTTCATCGTCCATGCCTTGACATCCCACTCGCGTTGGGCGACTCCTCGAACATCATCATCTATGAAGAATCCCTCGGTCGTGATGCGAAGGATCAGGCCATCGGTCACATTACCTTGACCTGATATCAATTGGGAGACGGGCGTACGCATGAAAGCATTGTTGAAAGCGAAGACGCCTTTCAAGATTATCTTGTCGGGGTCTTTGGTGGAGTAGGGTCCTCGCGCCGAAGGAGGAGGGGTGGTCCTGGCCGTGCTCTGTGAGGGCGCGTATGAGGACTCGGAATACATCGAGGCGGCAGAGTTTGCTTTGTGGGTCTGTTTCGGCCGGTCGTACGGTCGGAAGGAGTAGGCATCGTCCTCTCGCTCGGTCCTGGCAGATGGCATGGGGGGCCGTTTTGGTGAGGCTGGGGCGTGAGCCTGGGCTTCTGCTCGAGCCTTGGCTGCTGCATCAGCGAGGGCTTGAGCCTCCGCTCTGGTCTTCTCCTTCTCCTTCTCCATTTCGGCTTTGATGGCGGCGGCAGCAATGGCAGCGGCCTTTTCCTCCCTCTCCTTCTTCTCCTTCCGTTCACGTTCAAGTCGCTCCGAGGCGTCCTTTTCTCTCTGTTTCTGTCGTTCCTTTTCGAGTTCTTCCCTCCGTCTCTTGAGCTCTTCCGCTCTCTTGCGTTCTTCTTCTCTCTTTCTCGTTTCCTCTCGAGCCTTCTCCCAGCTGGACTTGGTGCCTGTGGTGTTTGCCTTGGTATTGGCTTGCGGGGGTGCCCTTTGCCATGAAGATTGGGGTGGAGGGTTACTGGGGCCAGGATTGGGATTGGGTGGCGGCGGAGGGGGAGACTGAGGTGGAGGAGTGTGTGTCTGGGGCGGTGGTGCGCCAGTGGCGTAGTGCGATGAATTAGGTCCCTTACGATCGCCTGAGCCCGTGTTGGCCCGCGAGCTCTCGCCGGTGGACGAGTGTGCCCATTCGCCCTGTGTTTTGCCAAAAGCCCAAGCGACTACGGCGATGCCACAGATGAGCATGAGGACGCCTCCGCCTCCTCCATTGATGGTGGTGAGCAGCCAGTCTTTGATGACGGGGACGGCGGTGGTGTAGATAAAGAAGGATGCGGCGGTGCAGAAGCAGCCAGCCAGGAAGCTGTTGCGCTGAGTCTGTAAGGAGGGCAAGTAGAGGAAACCAGAGCCGGAGGAGTGGGGAGGAATGACAAAAATGTCATATTTGCCATCTGGGAGCCCGCCTGAGCGGCCGCCGTGTTGGTTTGAGCCATGGGGGGGCGGCGGCGGAGGTGGCGGCTCCATGAGAGCAGTGCCCTCGGGAGCCTGAGGGTGGCAGGCTTATGTCTCCAAACAATGTACTATCGAGGGTGTAGGAGCCTTCTTTTTCATGTTCGAGTTCGGGGAATGACTGCGCTCAGAGCAGTTGCTGGGCCGTGGAGGGAGTCTGAGCTCTGGTGTGGAACTCGTAGCGCCAACGTGTTGTGTGACGGGTGGGAAGACTGATGGGTGTCAGGGTATGGAGGTGGATGCTGTCGTAGAAGAAATGAGACTCTTAATGGGAGTGATCGGTTGTGTGAGGACTCGGGAGTGACTGAGATTAGTAGCTGTGTGCCTGGGTAGTTGGTAGTGGAAGGTTGGACTGCGGCTTGCAAAAGAGGAGGCTGATGTTGATGACGGCGGACGACGGTTTAAAAAAAAAAAGGAAGGCCCGAGGATTGGTGAATCAAGATTGAAGATTGTGACGAGGCCAGGGCGTTGTTTGGCCGGGGCGCTAGCTAGAGGCGAGAACAGAGATCACCAGGGCTCTATCTGGAAGCAGACCGAATGAGCTCGGGCTCATCAACCGTCGAGAGTACGAGCCGTCCGTAGTCCCCTCGTCCTCGTAGTTTCGTAGTTGGGCGTTATCTGCTGCTGGTGTGAGGCCACGGACTCGTGGCCCTGGTTCCGTCAAGCACTGGCAACAGTGACAAGTGGGTTGGCCAGCATGGCGGTTGAGCCGGCGTTGCTGGAGACCGCCTGCGAGGCAATCTAAGAATCGGTGACTGGGGAGAAGAACAAGGTTCCAGGGACCTGGCACTCGAAGTTGAGGGAGTGGAGGGGAGGGCCGGGGGGAGCTGCCTGGGCCTGCCTGTGCCTGGCTACGGATCTACGGGTCGGGAGGTGATGTAGTACGAACAACACCCCACGAGTATTCTACGAGCACGAGGCAAGCTGGTGGGTGTTGATAAAGAATAAATACATCCGCCGAAGAAGTCGGCTGCACAACAACAGGCACACCGGGTCTGGTGGGCTCATGCAGGAATTTCTACGCTGGCAAATGGCAGCGGCAGGTGAAGGTCTCGCGTCGCTGATAGGAGGAAGCCGTTGCAATATCAACGCGCTTGAAGAAGAGGCGACTTCTTGGATTCCGGATTGTCACGCATTAGAATCGGCCACGTCGGCGGATGCTGCAGGCGGTGAGGCTCGAGGAGGGCTGATGGGTCTGCACACTCTTGAGATCCTTCGAGGGCGTTGGCCGGGGCGCGAAGCTGCGTGATGAATGGTGATCATGATGTGACTTGGGCTAACAGGCGTGTGGACAAGGGGGCGCGCAATAAACAACACGGTGTCTAAGGGAAGAGGGTTGCTTGGGAAACATGGACACTAAGAGCCGGGGGCTCGGGAGGCTGACAGGGATGGATCTACGGGTGGGCTGATGGGGGCTTGGGGGCAACCCCTGGCCTGGCACCCACCTGGATCTTGAATGGTTGGGCGGCTGGCTGGGCGGCTGGTTCCACACAATATGGGCCAGCCTGTACTCCGTACTGTACGGAGTATATTCGTACGAGTAGTTACTAGTACATACGAGGAAGTAAGAGACACCGAGAGGGACCAGAGGACGAGGTGGCCCGATCTCCAGGAAAAGAGGTCAGTGCCCCCTTTGCCGGAGACTCCCTCCTACACACTACGCACACCCACGAGGCACCTGCATCGACCTCCCGGGCGCCCGTGCAGGCACCAGCCCCAGCAAACCGCCCGACTGCTGCCGACACGGGCTTCGTAGACCCTGAGTCTTATTTGAAGAAGCATCTCGAGGCCCGTGCCGATGCACAATGACCTCATGCACAAGTGCTAATTCTGTTCGATCCCTTCTATCAACAGACGCAACTCTGAAATGTCTTCCTCATTCATTCGTCGCAGAGAAACCTCGCCAATTTGCCATCTGTTCTGTATCCCAGCTTGTGATGACTATCCTTGCTCGTGTCTATCCCTACCCAGCGGACCCGTACACCAGGTCAACAACAATGAACCATGCGACATCCTAGCGTATCCTTGCCACATCACAAATTCCTTCCGCGGTTCATCCCACCCCGAGCGCCCTAGACGCCGCTAGAAATTCAGTCGAAACCGTTTCCGAATGCCCTCCCCATCATAATAGAACAACAATGGACTGGAAGCAATCAACAACCCCAGAAATCCAAAGCAGCTGATCTCCCATCCATAGCCCAGCGTGTCAAATAAGGGCACGATTCCCCCGATCACGCTCCTAAGCACCGAGCCTCCTACAGTTGCTGACGCCGCATATTGTGAGAAAGAGTCGATATAGTAGTTCTGCACCGTGTTGAGAATCACCACTTTGTCCAATCCCGTAGAAGAACGTCGCCGTGATGCACGCCGCCCAGTGCACCCGGCACTCGGCCAGCCATGCAAAAGAGATCAGTCCTGCTGGGATCAACACACATCCAGGGAAGATAGCAAGCGGCAACCGAAACTCCGGCTTGGGGACCCCGTCGTTTCTCTCCGTCAACTGGTTGAACACCGTGTCAATCCGAGGCACCAAAACCCGGACCGCAATCAAGAACCCCAAGCCAGGGCCCAGATACAATAATCCCACCTGCTCCGACCTGAAATGGTATGGCGCAGCCGAGAAGATGTTCTGCATACTGGTGTAGATGCTGTAAGTCGTCGCGAATAGCAATGCTTGATAAGACTCATAATCACACTGATCGGCTGTGCGAAAATCATAAAGGGTCTCCTGATGCTCTGTCCAAGTCTCGCCGACAACGGACGAGAGTCTTCGCCCTCGTAGTAATACTTGGTTCCCGCCTCTGATTCTTCCTCGAGCTGCCTTTTGCGTTGCGCCAGGAGGACTGGCACGTACGTCTATTGCAAGAAGAAAAACCCTACGGCGGTGTTCGATGCGCAAACGATGGTCAAAATCTGCGCCATCAGCATAACATATTAGCTCGAGTCCTCTTCCGTGAACTTCTCTCCAACTCACCCAGTAGATCCATCGCCAATTCAGTCGAGACACGATTATACCACCAAAAAGAGGACCTAGAGTAGGACCTACGCTTGTCAACCACTACATTTCCATACCCACGGGTGAGCCGAATGTTCAATTATCGAGCAAAGGGCCCAGTAGGTATCACCCGTAAATCCCGGCTCGCTGCGACGGATGGTACACGTCATTGATGGTACCACCTCCATTGGCGATCCCAACACCTAGAATGTATAATGAGCGTCAACCCAGCAAAAAGGGTGTCTTGGTGCAAGGGAGGTGCTCCGCGTCACCCGCATTTACTACCAAAGAACCCGGCAGTCGTCCGTACGGTGATCAAGGCAGCAATATTAGGACTTAACGCCAACGCGGCCTGTAGCACGGAGAAGATCGCGAAACAGGCGGTGTACAGCTTCCGCCGTCCAAATGTCTCGCTCAAAGATGCCAGAATCAACGGTCCAATTCCAAGGCAGATCACAAACCCCGTCGTAGTGGCGATTACCGACTTTTCACTGGTGTCCAGATCCTCGGCGATCTGTGAGATGCCTGGAGTGAACATCGAGCTCCCCAGCGGACTGAGGATGGCCACGTTCGTCATTTTCCTCCTTTTATTCTACCCTCGAGGGTGGCCATCGGCGCCTTCAGGGAACTCGATGTAATGGCTAACCCAATTTTCGCGGGTACTTGAGTCTTCATCTCCATGTGGACGCATGAGAGGCGTTTCCTCGTCGGTAGTATTCAGCGGAGGCATCGCGGGCCATCAAGGTTGCTGTTGATGAGCAGTACAATGCCAGGTTGACGAGAAATGCAGCATTCGCAGTCGCACGGACTCACAAAAGGTTGACAAACTATCACGTCCCGCGCGGTGCCTTTTAGGCGTCTGCAAGGGGCGTGAAGGCAAATGAGTGTATGACGAGCAGACTTGGACTGCAGATGGGGAGCCAGACAGATACACAGGTTGCAGATGGCGTCAACGGATGCGTCTGCCTTTCCCATTCGAAACTCTCGAGTCTCGTGCCCGATCAAACTTGCTGCCCAGGAATGATTCAAGTATTCCAATTATCGAAGTGGTCATAAACCACCACCGCACACACTATGCTTGTGCAGCACTGGCTGGTGCATATTCGGTGCTGTACATACGGTACTTTGGTCGGGTATTACTTATTTTACTTTTGTACAACTTCAGAGTGATCCTGTTTTCCCAACTTATCCCTATTCAACCAAGGACGGTGATCTCAAACCTATGTGGCCCAATCGCAGGGAAACTGACCTTTGCAGGCAACCCCATCGAAAACAATGCCTCGGTCTCTGCCGGATTCATTCCTTGTGGTCTTCGTCGAGTGTGATCATGCAACTTCCACACCGGCTTGAACTTTGAGCGATCGACTTTTGTGCAGCATCCCCAGGAAGTGCCGTCGCCGGTCCGGCTCAAAGTTGATGATATCTGCATCAGTCTGGAGGCGCAGCGCTTCTTAAGGGCGGCCAAGCGAGTAGAGACGGCATTCTAGGTCGATGCAAAGAGGCAATGAAATTGGCGGCCGGTGGGTGATATGCTGCAGGTGACGTGAGTCCATGGTCGAGTATAGTGCTCTGCACAGTGCACACCCTGCCTGATATCCTGCCTTGTAGTGGCCCGACCATTGCCTCTGACCACGATGGAAGTCGGGTTCCAGACGGCGGCAACCGGGGAAGCTTCCACCTCACTGTTTCCTTTCGCCAGCTCCAGATTCTTTCTTCTCTTTTCTCGCCAGAGTAGTTGCCATCCACTCTTCAAACTCTTCTTCTGCTTCTTTTTCGGTCCGCCCTGTCCCGTCCACTCCTGCTCCGCCTCTCACCAGGCGCCGAACATCTTCCATACTGTTGATGTCCAAATACCACATCGCGCTGCCGGTTCCAATCATAGCGACGCTGGCGACGTTGATCGTGGCAATGTTCAATGCTTCCAGTGCTTCTACGGCCCCATTGATTTTCTTTGCTTGTTCGGCTTGAGCTTCCGGACTCGAGGCGTAGAACCCAGGATTTGTAAACCTTTTCCGGGCGAACGCCCTTCGTGTGATCAGAAGCGACAGTCCGAAGAATGCAATGCCTGCGCCCAGGATCACCTTGCTGCGATGGGGTCTTTCAGCCCGAGGAGCCTGTTGAGGAGTCGATTGCGGCTCTGTCAACGCTGTTTGGGAAGAGGGGAGTTCTGGTTTCGGCGCTGGTTCTTCCAGTAGACGTGGCTTGTCTGTTGCTGGCTGTGGTGGGAGAGAAGTGATTTTCGAAGTAGCGAACCAGTTGGTCAGCCACGACATGATGAGACCGCTGAATATGCTGATACAAGATCCACAACTGTTGCAATGTGACGACTGGGTATGACTGCAAGTTCACACTTCACGGACAAGCCCAGCACAGCAGAGGAGGAGATGGGGAAAAAGTGCAGCGCAGAACAGGAACTACGGCGGAGCACAGGCACAGCAGCTCCGAGGGGAGCCTCCCGGCCCGCCCTAGAATGCTTACATAAGGCACGAACTCACAGCCGACGGGTGACATCGCCAACAATAGATGCCTGGCTGTTGAGCCTCAGTTGTTGTTTTGCTCATTCTCCCGATCGCTGATGAAACCACAAGTAGATCCATGTTGATTTTATTCTCGCTTGAGCATCAGTGTCCCAAATTGGCAATTGCAGGAGAGAAAAGTGGCGGGTCCCAGCACCGTCTCACCCAAGAACCACGGTCTGCGTTGTCCGAGACTCTCCTCCGTCTCGCCTCCGCGGCCAACTCCTCAGAACAACACACAACACTTACACATCGGATGCTTTGGGATCCAGTCTCTATTGGCGAGGACGCCATGTTTCTGAAAGCATCACCCCATGCTTCCGAAAAACGTGGCTGCCAACGTGCCAAGTTTTCCCCTCCTGGTCTCCTACCCTCCTCAAAGTGGAAAGATATGGGCACTTTGATGATCCAGCATCGGTTACGAATCGAAGCTTGACCACATTGTCAGCGGCCACATCATTGCTTGAACCACATTTCCATGCCACCTGCAGGCAGCCAGACGCGCCTGTAACAATGTGGGTCGCCGGTGCAACTTTGGTACCGAACTTCTCGGCCCTGTCGACGCCCCTGTCGGCCGTTGCACTAATCGAACTTTATTTGCTCTACCAGCTTTCGTGGCTAATGAACAGCATCCCTGCTTGGAGGCATTTGACATCTGATGCGCTCAGCAGCTCAGACTGACAGCTTGGTGGGTGCAGCTGAAATGTGCTCGTCATCACCTGCACATGTCTTCCCGGTCCACGGACCTGAGTGCGGACACGCCGAATCGCTGTCCACTACCTAGTTAGTCCTCCTCTTCTTCGCCCACAGTACTCCGTAGATTGCTAGAAATCGGCAATCTACAGGATCCGAGAGTCGGGTCGGCTAGGCACTCCGTAATCAACTAGACTGGCATCGATACATGTTCCCTGGTTGAGATGTGCTCTTTCAACGTGCCCACCGATCGAGAAGCACGACTCTCTGCTCCATAGTCTCAAGCCATAAACAATCCTCATGGGGGCCCTTGGTTGGACTTGTCTCACATTGGCTCCCATCGGCCATCGTGAATCTATGCATCTAAAATGAGCCAACCACCCCTCCTCGACAAATGACTAGGCCACTGCTCGCAGAGTTTCACTTCTTGGAGCCAGTCACTCGAACTGCCCATCTCGACTGTACCATTCCTAACGCCCTTGATGTGTCTGCTGAAACGCGTTTCGGTAGCAATTACCCCACCTTGACAAGGACACCGTTCTAAAGTGACCACAGCAGCTTATGCCATGCCATTCCCGTTTCCGAACCCTGCAGAGGAGGGATTGAATAGCCTTGATCACTGTGGGGCTCGCTGGATTCATACGGGAGCAGATATATCCGCTGAATACGCCGCAACTGCTGTTGAATCCACGGGAGCTGACCCGGTCGCAACTTCGACATGAACGGCCCCGGGCGTGGCCTTTGAGTATCCAGCATCTGCATGCGCAGAAATCCTAGTAGTGGAGTCATGAGAAACCAACCGCCAATTGCTGCTGCCGCGCGCGAGTGGTCATTCATCGTCATCTCAGCGGGATTGCCCATGGCATCTACATAATTGGTAAGTCGGCGCAGTTCGTCTGGTACTGGAGGGTACTCGCTGTGTTCGTGGGGCAGGGAGACTGTAGTGCGGTTCCCCAGATGATATGGAATCGAGGCACAGAAACCATCGATGATGGTCTGTATCTGTCGATCTAGGTAGGATTGCAGGGTCGCATCTAAAACAGCATGTCCCTGAGCCTCGAGTTGTCGTTGGCACAACGAGATCAAGCGGAGGACACCGAAATGCGAACTGCGTGCTGCATTGTGGATATGAGAGACCTCCAGCGACGAATACACCTCACACATGCCCTCATACAAGCCGGCAGCCTTTATTGATGGATGGATCTTCGACGGCGCAACTACGGCAGGCTGCCACGACGGCGGGAGTGATTCCCGCCAGGCTTGCAGGTGCTTGTCCAGGAGGAGTGCCTTTGCTACTACGACTTGATAGAACTCTGTTGCATCCATCCCAGCTTTCGGTCCTGCTTCCGCAAGTACATATATTCCGGCGAGCTCTGCATTCAGGAGGTCCAACTGTGCAGAAGGCTGGGACTCCGTTTCCTCGTCTCGCATGGCAGGGTCCAGCATTATCTTGCGGCAGTGTTGCAAAGAGTAGCTGATGTGTCGACTTCTCGCCGCCTGGAATAATCGCCGGGACGTCGCACTCTCGAAATTTTTCTTGCCTCTGTGCCGCACAAGCGCAATTGCTCCTTGCTGGTGCGCGCCACTGTCGACGAAGCCCGCAAATCGTTTCCGGAGGGACTCGTAAAAGTCAAACATGAAGACTGTGGCCAGTGTTTGGTCACTTTTGCTCTCCACACTGTCCTGTAACGCTGCGGTGAGCTGGGTCATAGCTTTCCCATAGTAGGCGCGTGCCTGGTGCGATCCGGTCGTCCGTAAGAACCACATCTGCATGATTTCCAGTGCTACGGCGTTGATTGCAAGAGAAAGCGGCGATTCAACTGGCGCCTTGACATACAGTGGTAGAATGTGCTCAATGAAGATATTGGTGCTTGGATCCCGAGGGACAGTGACGTAATTCTGGAAGAACCAGTATATCGACTCGACTTCCGTGTTGCGTGAAGGCGGGATCACCAGGGTGAGATCTGCTTCTTTCAGAAGTTCGACATCCGGTTCTGGTGATTCATCGGACGACGACGAACGAGTTAGCAGCCTTGGATAGAGATCATTGATGTATTTTGAGGAAGGAGATTCGCTCTCCGATGAAGATCCGCAGAGATCGAGATTCCGTTTGACAGACACAGGATTGTCGTGCTTGTGTACAGCATCAAACAGGTTCCGATAGCCTGGGCAATCGCGGTTCCTCTTGGTGCAGTTCCCGCATTGGGGCCGTGTTTCATCGCACTGTCTAACATGTCAGTCGAATACCACCCAGGTAGACCGGCAGAGTGGCCCTCGTTACCGACCTTAACACGTCGATGGCGGCAAGCCTCACAGCCTTTGCTTGGGCCCTTATACACCATCTCGGCCCATCCAGGGATATCTCATAGAAGTTGTATTTGCGCCGAAGGACCACACAGCATATGTGCCTCCTGGGAATATCTGACGCTAGTAGTTGGTCCTTGATCCTTTCCACCTAATGATTGCTGCGGAATTCCTTAAACGTTACCACTAGTTCGTTGGCTAATAGTCTGTGACACATATGAAGGCAGGGAATGGTAGGAAGGGCGTCAAGGGATTATTGTGTCTGCCTAAAGTGATGATGGGTTTGTGGTGGAGAAGATGGTAATTAATTAATCAAACCTGCTCTTGTTCTCATTCTGGCTTAGGCGGTGGCTATGCAAATTGTACCTGTTGATTTGGCCGCGAGTCTCCGAGTGAGGACATGGAGATAATGAAGCCCACCGCTCCTTTGCTTCATCACACTACGTCCTCCTCCCTGGCCATCCGTACTCTTGCTTGTCACCAGATCTATGGAAGGCCTTGTTGCATTCTAAATGAGAAGACTCTGAGCCCGAGGCAGCAAGAGTTATTGATCGTTCAACGTGCAACCTGGAACAACGGCTGCAACGAAAGTCTGACTGACGACACACTTAGCTCGATGTCCGAAAGGCATCGTGCAATATCACCCAAGTTGCCGGTCACCTCACGCTTCCGTTCAACGCCTCACAAGCGTCCAATCACCTCCATGGTGGTGTTTAAGTCGTTTCATTTCGATGTTGCACTTCCTGCAGCCGCCCATTTCGTGCTCCCTCGGTGACTCCCCATTGAGAATAGCCATCCCGGGAGTACCTCTCTACCACGGCACCTGCTTGCCCCCCTTGGTCCCAGAACTTCCCACTATGTGTTTCCTTGTCCGCCATGTCGAAGAACCTCATCAACCCGCTTACACTGTCTTGAATACTCACGGGAACATCACTGGGTGACAATCCCGCAAATGCAGCGGCTTTGTTCCCCATGGCAGTCCCAACCCAGCCTGGCTGCATCGCGATCACAACCAGCCGATCTTCCTCACGACGGATCCGGCTGGCAGCCCAACTAACGGCAGCCTTCGACATGCCGTATGCGGTCATTTTCCATCGGGTAATGGTCCTGCAGCCCGTTGCTGCCGATGCTGGATGAGATGATGAAGAATTTTGGCGTTTGACTCGAAGCAAGCAAGAGGGATCGAGTTGCTTGATACAGAGTGATCGCAGCCAGAGAGTTGATGTGGAAATGTTCCTCGATCAACTCGGGTGAGACTTCTTTTGCTGGACCATCCTGCTTGAGGATTCCTGCATTGGCGACCAGGTGGCAGCAAGATATGCCACAAGATCGACAGCAGCTGATTTCGACCCCGCGTCATATTGAACCACAATTATCTTACTGTCCTTTGCCGTGGGTATCGAGGTGAGTTCGGCTGCAATCGGCGAATCGGGCCCGTCTCGGATGGCAGCAACGACCAAGGTGCCCGGACGAGCTGCGTAGGCCTTAAGCAGACCTTTTCCAATCCCTGCTTTGGTGCCTGTAATCAGGACGGTCGGTTTGAACGTCATGGTGCTCCTGTAAAGGATTGAAAGAATCATGTTTTGGGGTCCTGTGACAATTTCAATGTTATTGTACTGGGAGTATATTCGAACATTTCGTTTGACTAATAATGGGCATCACAGTGGAATGGATCTGTTTCTGGATCTAGGGCGTGGTACGTCAGTGGATGTAGGCGTGCGCGTGTCGATGACAAAGATAAGTATCTTGTGCCCTTTGAGGCAGATTCCAACCCCTCCGAGATACCACGGCTTCGGACGGAGGTGTATGTGGTCCAAGGCTGAGCGCTTTCTGATAAGTGTGTTTTCATTGGTTCTTTCAAGTCTTTCCGGATTCTGTCAATGGATATCACAATCCCTGGTGAGTGGCGGTGCAATAGGAATGTCTTCTCTTTCCCATCCTCTCGACTCTCAAAGCCTTTGAAAATCATTGCAGCAGCATCGACTGTTCGACTTGGTCTTCTTAAAACCGGCCGCACCTTGCCAACATGGCCACTGGTGATGCTTGGGTTGTTAGCGGGTACAACCGATGCGGCATCAATAAGACTTTTCAGGGTGGCTTCCTGTCGTAGTTTAAGTTTTGAAAATCTTCTCGCGTCACCAACCGCAAGCCTTTTTATCCTCGACAGAGCACAAGGTCGTCAGACCTAGGCACTAGACCCTCAGATGATTGAGGGACTCAGGATCTTCTGGTCTATAATCGACCTCCAGTCAGTACTTGCCCTAGTTAAATCGTCATTCGCCGGGTCATGATGCTTCCAAACCGTCTCCACGATCATTCTCGTCACCGCGATGTTACCAATCTTTCTACGCTGTTCCATCCTCGCAAAAGTTTGTAATATTTGCAGTCGCCCAGAGTCATCTGTCATTTCACATGCCACGACGAACAGTGGCCATGGACTAGTGCATACTTCCATCTGGGCTATCAAATCTAGCGCCGATCTGACTAAGGCATTCATTGAAGGGTGCTTGGGCGCTAGGCACTGCACACGATGGTGAAAATAAATCAAAGCTGCCACATGGTAGAAGCCAGCAGTGATTCGAATGCGTGGTTCGTTAATGTCGGCTTGGTGTGCTGGGGAATGAATGGTCTTCTTCTCTGATCACAATGGTCTAAGAAAGATTTTCCAGACGTAGCCTGACAAGATTGATCTGGTTTTCACTAGCACGAGCACCAGCGCTTGCCATGCTATTGATACAAGCAACCAGACTAATGAGCTTTTTTGAGCAACCAAGAGAACCGATGATCTGTTAAGCTATATCAGCAAATATTTCCTAGTCTTCCTCAGACGTATGCTCACGATTGATTTATCCTTGCTTGAGGCAGGGATTGGGAGAACCTCAATCTGGTCTGAAGATCTGAACGAGAACTGCGACATAACGTCGTGGTAAAGCAGCCAGCTTCGGAGAAAAGGCGACAGTAACACATTTTGTGGGCATTGTTTGACAATGGTTCCAGCTCCACGAAGGTGCACAACCCAGTTTCCATCGCTCGTGTCGAAGACTCCGTACACACAAAGCATCATACAAGCGGCTACCTGGGGGCTCGTCAAATCAGACTTACCTATACGCAAAGATCATTCTAGAGACCGTAGCGCCCGAGTCTTATGTCGCAGTGCATCGTTTTGATATCCAAGATGAAAAGAGCAAAGTGCGAGGATGGCTGACCTCAGGCTTTGGGATGCAGGGGAGTGGTGTGATAGTGCTATTGGGATCAGCTCGTGACGGAAGCCATTTTCTGCATCGTCCAGAGTGGTGATAAAATGTGCCAACTTGGTTTCATCTGATGTAGCGTTTCAGACTCAATATTCTTCGGAAATGATCGAATGCCCGCCCACTCACAGTAAGAGAGAAGCTTCTCTTCTCCACCATTCAACCTTAACTTTGGTAAGCCCCGGTCAACCATAAGAACAACGGGAGCAAATTGGAAGCTTTGCGGAACATGCGGCGCCGACAGATAGCAGCCACATTGTTGAATATCGTCGATGTTTGTGTTGATCAAGTACACAGGGGAGAGGTCAGCTCGCACAGTGCTTCTGGGCACTGTGTCGAATTGATTTTCGATGTTTGCTGGTTTGAAAGGCTTGCGGCGACCATCTTCCTTGTCCGGCCAACTGTGTTTCATTCCATAGCCTTCACATGTTCTGCGAGCACGACTACAATTGTTGCAAGCAGGAAAGGTTTTGTCGCATCCAATCTTCCTCCCTATTTTGTTTTCATTAGCAGAAGCTCAGAAGCAGCCATCGACCTTACTCTTGCAGGTCCAGCATGATACCTGTGGTATCAGCGTATGCATTTGGCTACTAAGTGCAACAGGCTTTGTAGTAAGACTGCATGCTTCCTCGGGCATGGCCAGAAATGTCCACATATCACCGTGGACAATGTTGGGCTCAGAAAGGGTAATTTGTGGCGCTTGAAGGGACCCTGGAGCGCGGGCTAGTCCAAGCTCAGTAATAATAGTCACAACAATGGTCGGCGATTACTCAGGCTTTTACAGATAAGGCGACGCAAGGACTGTGAACGGCAGGCCGAAGCTTGGCCAATGCCATCGACTGTGAAGCCTCCTTCAACAATGAGCGAGTTTGTCCCCTTTCGGGTATATTAGCGATACTCAGGGTACCAGAATAACCCCGATATGGCCAAATCATCATCAACTTCACACAATATCACCCCTATTTTGAAGAGACTCAATAAGTATGGTCCAACCAAAGAGCCAAAGCAATGCAGATGCAGCACTGGCAAGGCTTGGGTACCAAGCAGAGCTTCCGAGGAACTTAAGCATGCTTGGTGTAATGGGGCTGTATGTGATTATGTAAAGTACGTCTTCGGTGAGTTAAGCTAACAGTGTCGCAGCTCCATGGCCATCATCGCGACACCCTTCGGATTGAGTGAAACGCTCTCTCAGGGCTGGCTGCTTGTCACGCTGATATCAATTGCCATTGCGGCGTCCTTGGCTGAAGGATGCTCTGTCTTTCCAACCGCCGCCGGGTTTATTACTGGTCCGCTGTCATATCCACCAAGGAGTGGGCGCCCATCGTTTCTTTCGTCGATAGATGGCTCACGCTGGTCGGTAATTGGACAGTCATCCTGAGCATCAACTTTTCCGGGGCACAAATGATACTGAGCGCAATGACTCTTTGGGACGAGGGTTATGTGCCTACCGCATGGCAAGCCATTCTTATGTTTTGGGCCGTAATGCTGCTTCATGCGCTTGTGAATATATCTGGTTCGAAATACCTCGACTTTATCAACAACTTGGCAATGTATTGGATCGCCACGGCAGTACTCGTCATTTTGATTGTGACCTCGGCAATAGTTGATCTTAAGAATGAGGCTTCATTTGTGTTCGGCCATTATGACGCTTTGGTAAGCGGCTGGTAGGTTAAAATTACCTTTTTGAACGAAATTTGACTGTTGCTGACAATTCTGAAGGCCATCAGGCTGGGCTTTCTTCGTTGGACTCCTTCAGGCAGCTTATACTCTGACTGGCTATGGAATGGTGGCCGCGATGTGCGAGGAAGTTCAAAATCCACATCTCGAAATTCCAAGAGCGATGGTCTTATCGGTTGTTGGGCCAGGTATTACTGGAATAATTTATCTTCTGCCCGTCCTCTTCGTGCTCCCTCCGGTGGAGATCCTTCTTGCTGTGAAGAACGGCCAACCTATCGGGTTTCTCTTCAAGATAGTCACTGGATCAGCTGGAGGAGGCTTCGGGCTCCTTTTACTTCTTCTGGGTGTTTGAATGTTCGCTGGGATAGGTGCTTTGACAGCATCAAGTCGATGCACTCATGCCTTTACTAGGGATGGAGCCATTCCAGGTCATCGTCTGTGGCGGCAAGTGCGCAAGGGCCTTGGCGTACCAGTGATGCAGTTCTCCTCTCGACTCTCATCAACTGTTTGCTGGCGCTCATATAGTTAGGCTCTTCGGCTGCTTTCAATTCCTTCTCCCGAGTGGCGACAATATGCCTGTCTGCATCCTACGGGCTCCCAATATTGGTGTCTGTCATACGTGATCGGAATATGGTGAGGAATGCGACCTCCTCACTGGGGAGGTTCGGATACGCGATCAACATTGTCGCTGTGGTCTAGATCGTTCTGGCTACAGTGCTATTCTGCATGCCGACAACCCTGCCAGTGTCATCGTCAAGTATGAATTATGCAAGTGTTGTGTTTACCTTTTTCGCGCTCATCAGTGTCGTCTGGTACATTTTGTATGCAAGAATGCATTTTAAAGGCCCCCCGATCAGCAACGCAGAGGGCCTAAATTTGGGATACACTGTAACGAATGGTGAATCCTTGGAGGGCGGTAAGGGAGACGGGCTAAAGAATGCGTGCGCGGAAGGGAAAGAGGGCACTGGGTCTGCTGAATCATCAGCAAGATCTGGGAATGTGAAAGATTAAGCAGGTAGGAGACGTGATCCCAGGGTGGCAACACAGAGGAGGTTACCTAGTCCAAGACTCTACTGCGTAGTTTTCTATCGCTCTATTCCGTTCTTTCGAATTTAGTAGCTTTAGAAAAGGTTCTAGTTGAGACTAGTTGAGGCTAGTAGAGTCAGCGGAGCTATTAGGACTATCTATATATACGTACTATACTCCGTGTGGGTTTCTTTTACTGAGCCTTGGGGCATCTTCTTACCTATCGTTCCGTTGCCTTGCTTTCAGTCTTCCCATCCTCCGTACCTTCCTCCTCCGATACATCATCGCATTTTTGCTCTCTAGGAGTGAAGTTTACTTGGCATGCTACGCACCTCTGTTAGGTTGACTCTTATAATAAAACCTTAGCCTTCTGGCTTTTTCCTTAAACCAACCCCCTTACATATATTCACACCATCCCCTTTTCCTGGCTCTGTCGGCCTAGGTATAATATCTTGCAATGTTGGTGTTCTCAGCTAAAGGCCCGTATATGTGTGACTGTCTACTGAGATACAGCGAGTAAGATTGCTATTAGCAAGGTTCTAGGAGCATCACAATGTCGAGGCGAGTGACTTAGCTCTCTTAGCAAATTACCATCGAAGAGCTAAGTTAAGATGCATTAATATTCAAATTTCTTCCTGTGGGGATGGGTATTTCATCAAATATGACGTACGGCAGCTGCTGACTCGGCGTCGCTATCCATACGGCCTACAAGTCGGTACCTCGTTCTTTCCCGTTTAGCCACTTCCTCGGGCCAGCCATAACTGACCAGAAGTTAATATACCGGCTCCATCGTATCCGGAAACAGGGACATTCACTACAAGGCGCGTGCCGTAGCCATGGAGTCCCTGGAAATAGAAGAGGGTGAGTGTCTCTAGATAGTAAGGGGACTTTCAAACTTGGGTATTATTACTCTCGTTTTCGGCACCTCCTATTTAGTATTGTAAATTTAAAGAAGTATAGGTAATAACTACTAATAATAGATTATACATTTTCGTTTCAATTGGAAAAAGTAGGTTGCTACTTTAATCTTTTAATAAATACTAGTTTATTATTCTTATTATTAATTTATAATTATTATTCTAGTATACTAGAACTTCGTGTTGTGTCCTTTTCATGCACGTCTTACTTGGGTGAGGTTTATGTAGAGAATATACTACCAAAAAACCTCGGAAAATTAAGGATACCTAATAACCGTAACCTTTTGAGGATCTTGATTGCTCATCTTACTAGAACCCTGCAGCGTTCAGCAAATAGGTCCAGATTTCACCCCGAGTAGGAAATGGGGGAACTACGTGTACCATCTCCTCCACCACCAAGCCTTGTAGAATGGCGACCTGACTCGCATTTACAAACTCCGACCCCTCAACACAGCAAAACTTTGCAACAACCAGCTTGTCAGTTGGTTGTGCTGCAAGGCCGCGCGAAAAGAAGACACTTACCGGGGCAGTGGCGGATTGCCGTGGGCTCTAGAGTCATCAGTACCTCTCATTCCAATAATCTGGTCGCAGGCTAGACAATCTATCTCGGTACAAAAAAATTCGACTAGGGACCTTGACACCCTCGCTTTGTCCTAACCTACCGATTGGTGGCATGTTTATCAACGTCTACGAAGTGAATCGTGGGCGGCTCCTAAGGGTTCATCTCACTCTTGCTCGGACGGTGTTGGATAGTGCTCATTCAGGCATGACCCTCTTTCTGCTGTGGATCGAGCGAACAGGCTAGGTGACTTCCTATCAGGGTGTTGGACGAGATGCCCTTTAGCTTGAAACAGCGGCGCTTGACGTGAGGTGTAGTGTTGTGATTGTTAGGGGGGTGGAAGCAACGGATTCTTGGTCGCTTCTTCGAAGTCGCCACAATGAAAGCAAACACTTATGGCGTTCTAATAACTCTAGTCTTTCTCTTTTCCCAACACCTTATTACCGCGCGCACACTCGATGGTAGGGTATGTAGTCTTTGCAAGTTGCTGTGATGAACAACTGTACCAAGCTAAATTCTTTTGAGATGACGTTATTAGTCGCTCGTGGATGCTTCATCCCAAGGCTTACTGACAAGGGTAGCCTCAGCTCTTACTTGGCCGCTTGGCAGATGACTTGCAATTTAGCTTCGCCCGGCATCTTGGGTGTACCCCTAGGGCGTTAGTAGCTAGGACTTATTGCTTCGGAGCGTCCTAGGCGATGCGTTCGGCCCCTGCAGCTGAAGCTCGGAGAACTGTTCCGCATTGGCCGTCGGCGCCAGATGCGGGCCGCCAAGAGGGTTGGGGCTGGATATGAGAATGCCCGCTGGTGCCCGTCAGCTTCGTAGTTACATAAACTGCCGATCTACATGGGTGTTTGGAATCCCAACAACAGCCAAGCCACCTCCCAATAATATAATATCTAAAAGTAGTATCAATTTATTGTCCTTTTCTTGGTTACCGAGAGCAGAATAGTCTAAAGATCTCGTCCACCTCTTTAGAGGGCCAGGAACTGGGAACTTAGAAACTAACTCGTCTCTTGCTTGTCCAACTTCTCAGATGGAAGCACCAAGGCTTTCACTAGCTTGTTCCAGCTTCAAAGACCTTCAAGGGTAACTTTGAGGGCATAGGACGTTGAGAGCTACTTATCGCTAAGTACCAGCTTACCAAGTAGGGCTAGTGCCGTTCATTCTCCTCCTAGGTATCCTCCTCCGAAGCAATCTTTATTTTTGCTCGGATAATTCAGGGTAGTATTCGAAGAGCTGGAGCTGAAGTCACCATTACAACTCGAAAGAATTGAATATTAAGTGGGAAACCGACTTCTTCACCCTTTATATTCCCCTCCCCTTCAACCTTATGAATCCGCGGAAACATCTATTTGTTGTTGCGAATCTTCAATCTTGCTCGTATATTAGACCATTCATCTCCAACATTTCCTTTTGATATTTTCCCACCGGTGCAGGAAATTCAGCATCGTGAAGATGCTACTAGAAACGTTCGGTATATTCCAAACTACTGCGATTATCATCGCCGGATATGTGAGTCCATGCTTTACTAAAGAGGTAATTGGACTCTAGGATCTAATCACCCTCCATATAGTGTATCGCAGTCTCAATCTATCGCTTAACATTACATCCTCTGGCTAAGTACCCGGGGCCATTGCTGGCAAGAGTTTCAGGGTGGCCTGATGCTATTTCAGCCATCAAAGGCCGCAGGCATATTGACCACTATCAACTACATTGTAAATATGGTAGTGCATCCTCTAAACTTGTCGGCAGTGTACATGCTTATAACGTATACATCTAGGCGATGTCGTGCGTTATGCACCCAATTGTCTGTCCTTTAATACTGTCAAGGCATTAAACGACATCTACGGCAACAGAAACGCAAACTTGGTTAAATCTGGGTGGACGGCGGCTTCTGAGTACATCAATCAACCCGCCAACTTGCACACATATTCAGATAAACAGCAACATGCGCAGAGGAAGAAGCTGCTTGCACACGCCTTTTCCGAGAGTGCTCTCCGGACTGCAGAAGAATTTATGCTGGAGAAGATTCGTGCCTGGTGCGGCTATCTAGACCAAGAAGGTAATCACGAAGTTGACCGACTTGGATGGAGCGAAGCAAAAGACATGGGCCACTGGTCAAACTTACTGACACTCGATATTCTTGGAGAGCTCTGCTTCGGCGCGAGTTTCGGTGGAATGGAAGCTGGCGACCATAACGTTCTTGACATGGTGATCTTTAGCGCAAGGCTAATCCAGATGGTGCGTACCAACTTTTACCTTTTCATAAACCTGACTTTTAGTGTTTTGGCGGAGGACTCTGGGACGCTAACGATAAAATAGATCGCATATCTCCCGATCAAACTGCTGATCTGGCCTATCCTCAGAAGTCCGAGGCTTCTTTCCGCCATCTCGGCAGAAACATCTAAGCGTCGGTGGGCTCTACGTTTAAAGATGCGTGAACTCATCGAAAAACGATACCAGATGGAGCTCCAAACCGAAAAGGAAGGCACTACGACGCGAAAGGATTTCTTCCACCATCTACTTCGCGCGCATGACCCTGAAACTGACGCTCGGATAGAGCCAACAGAGCTTGTGGGTGAGGCAGTCTTACTTGTTGGCGCTGGGTCTGATACTTCATCCACGGCGATTGCCTCGTGTCTCTTCTACCTTATTCGAAATCCAGAGGCACTTAAGAAACTCGGCCAAGAAGTTCGAGGAGGTTTCTGTGACGTCGAGGAAATTCGCTCTGGATCTAAACTCTCGTCACTGCTTTATCTTCGATCATGTGTTAACGAAGCTATGCGTATGACACCTCCAGTTCCCGGAGTGCTGTCCAGGAAAATCCTTCCTGGTGGAGCTGTAATTGATGGACATCAACTTAACGCCGGCACGATAGTGGGAGTACCGATCTATGCGATCCACCATCAAGAACGATATTTCCCCGATTCATTCTCCTTCTTACCAGAGCGATGGATTCTAGGTTCCAAGACACCACTCTTCGATGTTACCGACGAAAGCCTTGCCCTGGGACGATCTGCCTTTTGCCCATTCAGTCTTGGTAGCAGACAATGTATTGGGAAAAATATGGCCTATATGGAGCTTTTAGTTAGTATTGCAAGACTCATATGGCTATTCGATCTTCGTTTCTCCAGGACCGCTGTTACTGGAGGAGGCGACCCAAAATTGGTGGAAGCTGGAAGGGACCGAACGAATGAATTTCAGTTGCATGACTGGCTGGTTTCGGCTAAAAAAGGCCCCTTTGTCGAATTCAGGAAGAGGCCTACAATCTAAACAGCAACCTCCTCTCATTGCAGTAAGAGGACACAATCTGGAGGTATTAGGTCAAGGCAATTTATAGTAGAAGCAACCTACGTGGTGGGTGATGCTAGAGCTGAGGAGATACCTAGCCGCTAGCTAGAGGTGAATCATATTGTCGCAGTTTAGGAATCAACTATACATGTCAAGACACTATAGGATGTTAGAGCCTGTCGAGCATCTCGAATAGCTGGGATTCTGAGTTTGACATTGTGCAATAGCGCTGCATTAAATCCCACGGACTTTACCTCCTTTTATTTCAAGATGCGAAGCTCCCTGGCCGCTACTAGGTACAATATCTCTCTGCCCTCCAGCAGTCTTATTGTCGACGATTCACCAGACTATCATACATGACTTGTCACTTCTTACTAGAGACAATTATACCTTCGAAAAGCCTCTCATATACCATCTCTTTTCACCGAGATAATTCGAGACTTTCCCGAGACTTGGATGTCTCTTCTTCAAATAACGATCAGTATTTATCTTTCTTCCCCTCTAAAGCTCGATTTTCCGTTTGTCGCTAACAAGAACTCAAGCGGTAATGGACCCAACCATTCCGTGAGAAGCGGGCGAATTCATCCTGATAATGGGAACCGTTGTCAAAAGCGACCACGCCCTTTGAGCTTTGGTTAATCCAATCGAAGATGAATTAAATCACAGGGTGAATTCGTCGTCAATGGCTCGTGCCGGTACACCCTGAGGAACGGCGGCCGGACAGTGGGCGTAGACTCTTCCACCTACCTTAGGTTCGCTCGCCTGAGCGAGGGCAACTGGAAGGAAGATTCATTTGGAATCTTTGTGAACTCACGAGAGATTATGGATATCATCAAAGAGATGAATTAGAGATGGACTAGGGCTTCGAGAGGTGAAAATGACGGCCAGTCGCGGTGGAGTTCCCATTGACAGACAGTACAACGTAGTGACTCACGATGCAAGAGGGCTTCAACGTCTTGCAAAGGAACGAGGCTAAACTACGGAGTCGCTTTACCCCCCATAAATTTTGGCTTCAACCGAGGATCGAGTACAATATACGTTTTAAGTAGTAATCTATCTTCTTTCCCCTAGCCATTCCTAGTTTAGCGAAGACATAGTAGGTAAAGTGTAGTTGCAAGAGGGTCTCCGGCACAGAGCCTCTGTTTAAAGCCCACGAGAATGTCATTGTTGCGCCTCAGCACTAATGAGGCACTGTGATTCTTAGTGGGTATACCTGTCAAGATATATTCCATCTCATGCCATTATGCTTCAAGAATGTGGCACAAATGAGAGGAAATCCTCCTGCGGACGTATCTCATTCCTCAATGACGGCTCAACCATATGCAAGAACCACACAATCCGGGGTTTTGGCCAGAAATCTAGCGACTGTGTGGACACGCTCGAGCGCTATACTATGTGCGCGAAGAACTGCCGGTGCGCAGAGTCTAGTGTGTACCCACCACTAGCTCTCTACTCATAGCCTTACTAACACTTTAGTTAGCTTTGAACGTATAGCATGTATTCAGAGACTCAGTGTCAGTAGTCAAAATCTCGTTGCTCAAACAGGTTGGGATGCGGTCAAGGAGAATCCTAAGGTTCTTGCAAACAGGCCTGGATCCTAGGTATATTGATACAACCCGGAAGGATCTGATACCGAGAACTTCAAGACATCTATCGACCAAATTCTTTTGGAAACTTCTTTAAAGAATACTAACACTCCTCCAAGCTGTGTTTCCTAGTCCGACGGAGCTGCCGGCCACTTATTCGCGAGGTAGGGTACGCTTATTACTGCCCATATTTGACTATCGAACAGTGTCCTTCAAGATAACTAATTCAACTGCCTTAGATTCTTTAACAGCAGGACTCTCACCTCGGTTTGATTCCTCTAGTACATGAATGCTCCTGCTGCTCGCTGCATATTGTTGATTGATGTTGGCAGTCCAATCGATTGGGCAAGGTTGCACGCAATCAAGACTATCTTACTGGTTTATTATTCAGTTTATTATTCCTTTCTTGGGTGCGTCGGTCACGCAAGACATGTCGACACGTCAGGCGGATGCACAAGAAAATTGTCAATCACCCAGGCCATGGTCGTGTTGCTAACTCCGTCGGCCAATCTCAGCCAGTGTTGATTTGTTACACTGGTGTCATTGACCCATGCATTGGAGGCATTGCTTGCAGTAATAGAGTTGTATCCATCCTCATTCGCATAAGACAACATCGGCCACAGACCGATGTTAGCAAATCCGCCGATACCTAACACCCCGTACAGTACTGCAATGGGATCCCACGTCTCACGACGGACGGACCCTCGAGTCACGTACCACTGATAAGCAGAAATCACTGGTGACTCATTGGATGTGAGGGCATCAGCCAAAGGCCTGTCCCCTGAGTAAATGTTGTTTCCTAGCTCACCACCAGAGAAAGTGATGGGGATCGTCTGGGGCACATTCTCAATAACATAGATCGTACTGTTGGGGTCATTCCCCCCAAAATTGTACTCCCAACCAGACGGATAACGACCTCCCATGATGATGATTTCACTCACTTTGGCTGTCAAAAGCTCAGAGCCGCTTAGAGGACTGATGTCGTCGCCTTCGGATTGAAGCAGGTTCGCAAGATTAGTAAGAAAACCAATCGAGATTATATGCATGCTGTTATTGTCGGCCGATGCAAGAATATTTCGATAGAGCTCGACAGGGGTTGGAGCTAGGGATGCATTGGTAAGAGGTCCGGGCCAGTTGTAGGCAACCTTGCTGGCATATTCGCCCCTCCTTTCAAATGAGTCAGATTGGTTCACAGCCAAGATCCTGACCTACACGTAATCCCAGTCATCGAAGAACGTCACGTTTGATAACGGGCGGAGAGCAGCTATAGGAACCTTTGCGTTGCCAAAGTATGAACAGATTGACTATGAGACATCAACTTCTGTGCATATAGCCTAAAGAAACATACATACACTTGCGGCCGGTGCACCATACTTTGACGGAGTGTTGATCATGACGCCTCTAAGTTCTGCCAGGCCGCAGTTCTGGAGCACGTTGGCTACCGTTAAGGCTCCAACGTCGTCAACATCACCAAACAGATCAGTGTCAATGATGATCGGCTGACGATATGCAAGTGTCTCAGCAACAAAGAACAAGGTCCTTGAAAGCAAAAGTGCAGTAGTGACCGTGGCTCGCATCTTCGCGAAATTTGCAGGTAAATAATTACAGTTCCTCAAAGCGCTAGGGAGAACGGCGACAAGTTTTAAGACCTCCCGACCACCTTCCAGAGGCTAACATCTTCAAATTTAACCATCGAGTGAGGACTTGGCTAAGTACTTCCGGCTTTCTACCGCACGCCTATAGGAGTGCTCCGTTGTCATGATAAGAACTAGTGAAAGATCAGAGTCTGATAGTATTGGAATACTATAATGCGGGTAACTCGCGTCTGAATGAGTCGCTGTCGGCGTGCTAAGACATGTCCGAAGTATGATGATAGCCAACGATAGAATATGAAAGCTAGGATTAACAATAATTATACTAGAACTTCCCGGGATAGAAATATAACCGGGCCAGATCAAGTGTTCTCGTACGATTTTTAGTGTTTCATGATTGGGTGATAACCCAACATTTGCTGAAAGATATTAGGCGCCCTACCACCCGTAGGCCGACACTTAGTGCTAAGGCTAAAGAGCTGCTCGTACGATAGCCCGAGCAACCACTTGTTTTATTGGTGCGAAACTAGGGTATCCTTACTGTCTGGAACCAGAACGATTCAGTGCTATGGTGGACTGACCTGCCGAACTCTGATCTTTGCTGAATTGTGAAGATATATCTTCTTAGAAGACCGTCCTCGTTACCCAGAAATCTAGTCCCTGAGTCTTCCTCTAGTATTTGCCGAACCTTCAAACTTGGATTTCAGTGCAGACCGAGGCTTCCTCGCCACTGATCAGGTGTGAGAAAAAGTAGCTGCGTATCCTGATAGTAGCTATTGCAAGGCAACTCAGAAACATGTCGCCGACAAAATATTTGGACCGACCTATTCCTGCCATATCCCTGGCCGACTTCGATTCTCGCATCGACGAGATCACGCAGCAGCTTTCCACCGCAGCCGAGGACGTAGGCTTCTTTTGCATCGTCGACCATGGCATCCCACTGAGCACCATCGACGACGCTTTCGAGTTGTCGTCGAATTTTTTCGCGCTTCCGGATTCTGTCAAAGCCACGGTGCCCTTCTCTAATAACGCTGGTTGGGAGAAGAATGCTCAGATCCGTCCCTCGACTGGTGTAGCTGATCGGAAGGAATCCTACCAGATGCAGTTCGGCGCGAACATGGAGGGCAAATGGCTTCCTGATCCCGCGATTCCAAATTTTCAATCCTCAGCACTCGACTTCATGCATCAAGTCCAGGCAGTCTCGGAGAAGCTAATGACCTGTTTCGCCCGCAGCCTTGGCTTTGACGACAACTATTTTATCCAAGCCCACAACATCAGCCGGCCTGAATCCCAGACCGTTTGTCGACTATTGCATTACTTCGAGGTGCCACGGGAGAACGGAAGGAATGGAGAAGTGTGGCATCGAGCTGGAGCTCACACGGACTGGGATCTTCTCACTTTGCTCTTCCAGAAAGGCGGTCAGTCGGGTCTCGAGATCTGCCCTGGCCGTGAGGTCAGCACATCCTTCGGTCACGGCGACACCTGGACCAAAGTTGAACCTTCGAGCACGGGCGCTATCATTTGCAACATCGGTGATTTGCTAATGAGCTGGTCAGATGACCGCTTCAAGTCGACTTATCATCGCGTCAAAGCTCCTACAGAGCCAGGTGACTACTACGGGGAGAGATATAGCATCGCATTCTTCAATCAGCCCTGTCACGATGCGCTCATCCAAGGGCCTAAGAAAAAGTACCCGCTTGTAACGGGCGCAGAGTTCACCAAGAATGCAATGATGTTATACTATTCCGAAACATTGGAAGAAAAGTTAAAGCAAGATGAGGGTATAACTAATGGTCCTTCCCAGGTAGATCTAGGAAGCAAGGTCGTTGACGAAATTGGTGCATAGACTTTACAAATATGTTGGGAAGAGCATAAGAAGCATTGGGTTTTTATTTCTGTCAGAGGAAAACCGTCATTTCCTCTGCGTATTCCTTCACAATCAAAAGTGTATACTATTCCAGAAGTACGGCCAAATCATATTGCTACTGTTTTTTTGTCCGATTGCCACAAAATCAGCAAACAGAGAATGTTTATTCGTATTTTGGACGTGGAAATATGCAGGTTCACATCAGCCTCCAGGACGGCTAGCTTCCCTGGAAAATGATATCGATCGCAGTCATTGTCCTGAGCAGGGTACCCTACGTTATAGTGGCGCGCATCAGCCCAAATGCGAAATTGCCGCAGTTCGGCCGGACGCAACACTACTACTCGATAAAACATTCGAGTCAAGCTTGTCAGTGCCGTATAGATATCACTAGTAAAGATACTGAACTATGTAATTCTTTGCTTTGAATGAGGCAGAGAAGTCGTAACCCCATTTGAATCCGTACCGAACAGTAACTTGTCCAGCTCACTCTTGTCGTGGGGAAAGACAAGGTTCAAGAAAACCCCGACCACAGCGGCAATGATGAATGGGGTCTCCACGACGAGATTAATACCCTGCTCAAAGCCCTGTAGGTGCACATTCGGCCCGCTATAGTCCAAGATTTGGTGAAACCATGTCGGTGTGACGATGTCAATGAATCCGATGCCGAGGGCGATGGTCATGATGAAACGGTTGCGTCGATCGAAATGCACCATTCCCAGAATTCTTATACCCGCTACAACAATAGTGCTGTAGAGGAAGACCTGCATGCCACCAAGGACTGATGGAGGCATAGCTGAAAACACAGCACCGAATTTGGCGAAAAATCCCATAAGAATCAAAAAGCATGAAGCTGCCCAGCCGGCACGTCTAGACTGTAAATCCGTTTGTCAGTACAAGTTTCCTCACGGCGGGTAGAGGAGACATAGGTATCCTTACCGCGCAGCCAGTAATGACGATGACCCCGTTGTTTCCGGCCTGTGCAACCATAGGTCCAGCAGTTCCTAAGGCGCTGATCAAACTGCCCAATCCATCGCAGAGAATACCTCCCTGGATTCTACTGTTGAACAAAGTGCCTTCGACCTCGACTCCGGATATTTCGGCCGTAGCTAGGATGTCTGGCATACAGCTGACACCCTGACAGATAAACATGATGAGCAATGGAAGCACCAAAGCCCCATCGACCGACAACTTGAATGTATGAACCCAGAGAAAAGTGACGACTGGGGCTGAATCGATGTTTTCTCTCGACCAGTAGCCAGTCGCCCCAGAGATCGCACACCCAATGGCGAGTCCAATCAAGACAGAGCCTGACTTCATCAGAGGAGACCCAAACTGCTCGACCAGTATAATGCTGACAAACACACTGAATCCAAGCCCGATCAACTTGGGATCAGCCCAAGGGAGTGGGTTTGGTGCCTCAATATTTGGGCATAACGCGTAGAAGCCTTCGCCGCCATTGCAGTTATAGGAGCCTGCCCAATTTTGCATACCGTTGCCGATCAAGAACACACCGACCAACAGTAAAAGAGTCCCAGTGATGATTTTTGGAAAGATCTTGTTGAGGAGACGAGGAGGAACAAGTGACATGGCAATTTGAATGAAGACAGTGCAAAGCATCGTGCCCAGAAAAGCCCCCCAAGCATCAGGACAGGGCAACTGTGTTCCATCTTCGGCAATCGGACATGTTCCATTGTTGTAGCGCATACTGGTGTAAGAGAAAGCGATGGGGATTATATCAAATGTAGGTCCAACGACAGACAGCAGACCGGTACCAATATAGAAAGGTGTTCCCTTGATATGGACCCGCGTGACTTGAATGGCTGTGGCAATTCCAGTGGTGATGAACGCTGCCGACACCAGATAGGATACTTGCTCCGATCGTAGATGGAAGGCTCCAGATGCGATTGCTAGTGGAGGTGAGACAACTGATCCGATCATAATGAGTGCATGTTGCAAACCAAGAATGATGGTCAGGAGTATGGGCACTTGATCATGCAGGCCATAAAAAGGGACTGATTTTTCCTTGTATTTCCTGTTGAATGGAGGGATGTTGGGCGTGATGAGGTACCAATAGTCGTAATCTCCGATCCAAGCATCCTTCGACTTGATGTAAGTAATGAGCTGAGTGGCCTTGTCGTGGAAGGTGAGTTTTTCTGCTGTTCCTTGACCCAATCTGTCGTCTGTTGATAGGTTGAGGCTCTCTGAGATCATTTTACTGTCCCCTGTTGCCATTTTTGGGAGATCCATGCGCGATTTTGGACTAATCGAGTGCGTTACTAAATGCAGATGGTAATGTGCCCAAAGTATCGAAGTGGTCTGAGTCGTATGAGATGATACTGCCGCCTTATATCTTGCTGTTCTTGCATTCGCTGGTCGACGAACTGTAATCCAGAGCATCAGCTGGAAGCCTATCTTCGAGCATATTTGAACGAGCTCAAGGACAGTATCAGCAGTCGTACGAAAAACACACTTTACTGTTTCAGGCTGGATATTTTCTTATCGCCAATTAGTCATGGACAAGCTTCGGACTTATCGGTGGCTGATGTTCTCGTACCAAACGGGAAACTTGATTGGTTCGAAGACCCGAAAGCCCGACGAAGCACTCGATTTGATTTAAGGGTGGGACAACAAGCCTGAGAAGGGGCTAAGCCACAGGTTCCCAGAACGCTGACTGATTGGAATCATTCCTTCGCCGAATAGAACCCCATCTACGGCGACTTCCGCCTCAATGACTGTTCGAATTTGCAGAGGATGATTTGGTTTCCATCCCGAGACTGTCGGTGCTTAAAGACGAATCTTCTGACTGGACTGTCATCATTTCAGGCCTAGAGCAATTTAGTGAGACATCCCCTCGTCACACGGATCTACCGCTTCCATGTCGACCTTGTTCGTGAATGCAACAATCATTACCGTCGATGATCTGAAAACGATCTGGCTGGATGGGGCTATACTGATCGATGGAGATCGCATTGGCGCGATTGGGAAAACAGCGACCTTGCTATGTCATCCTTCGCTGCGGGATGACTGCAAGATCGTGGATTGTCAAGGAAAAATCATCCTTCCTGGTCTCATCAATACGCATGCACATCTTGGTCAATCAATTCTGCGAGGCCTGGCGGAGGATGTCCCTCTTCACTCTTGGCTTTGCGACGCGATCTGGCCGCTGGAGGCCAATTATGAAGACGATGACGGTTATATTGCCAGTAAGATGACCATTGCCGAAATGTTGAAGAGTGGTTCCACATGCTTTCTTGAGGCGCTTCTCACCCCCGGGACTGGGTTCGAAAATGCAGCCAGAGCAGTGGACGAGATGGGAATCCGAGGTTGCTTGGTATGGACACTAAGCTTGACTACTCCTGCCGGCTGGCAGCTGACATTTGGCACATAGGGCAAGCTTGTTAAAGTCGAAGAATCGGATAAGTTCGGCATGAGAGACCCTCGAGATCGGGATATCTCTAACATGTCGATTGAAGCCGCCCTGGCTGCTTATGAAAAATACCACGGCTCGTGCAGCGGGCGCCTTCACGTTTGGATGGCGGCAGGCACTCCTCGAGGCACGGCTGAATCGGCACATAAAGCGATCGGAGACGCCTGTTGTGAACATGGAATTGGTTTCACCATGCACTGCGCTGAAGCGCCTAAGGATTATGTTATCTACCGTGAAAGCTATTTCTGCAGCCCGGTGGAGTTTTGCCATAGGACAAACATCATTGGGAGGGGTCGGCAGACTGTGCTTGCCCATATGGTGAACCTTGATCTCAGCAAAGATCTTCCATTATTGCTCGAAAGTGGAGCTACTGTGGCGCACAACGCAACAAGTAACTGTAAGCTTGGTTCTGGTATTGCTGCCATACCTGAAATGCTCAAGGCCAACATCAATGTCAGTCTTGGAACCGATGGAGCGCCGTGTGCGAATACCTACGACATGATCCAAGAGATGCGGATCGCTGCACTCATTCACAAGGGCTCCAGACAAGATGCAGCGGCAATAACCGCAGAACAGATTTTGACAATGGCGACCATAAACGGAGCCAAGGCACTGGGGCTGGACAAGGAAATAGGGAGCCTCGAAGTGGGCAAGAAGGCAGACTTCGTGGTAATAGATCCCACCGGTTTGCACTGTGCACCGTTCGATTCAAGCCAGATATTGGAGGGCGGTGTTGACCCAGTAACGACCATTGTCTTTTCATGCTCGGGGGCTGATGTAGATAAGGTCATTGTCGATGGTGAAGTGTTAGTGGACGGTGGGAGACTGGTCAGGCACGACGAGCACCAGATTAGACAGGAGTCGCAAAGAGCGATCAGGAGGATTCGCAACAAGACTGAGATCCGGACTCGGATGGCACGAAACTATTGCTAAAACACATCAAGGCAAGTACAGAGGGCCTTATTAGGTCAGCTCTTGTGGCATTATGTTGAGAAAATCGCAAATGCTCGAGTTAGACTGGAAGGCCTCTGGATTTATCCTAAAGTATTGGCTGTTCTTGCTCGTGTGCAGATTTTGTCGAGGACTCACCCAGAAGTGCTGATTTACCATCCTTAGGTCCTCCTAGAGATCTTGAAACCGTCAAATGTACAGCAACTGGCATTCAAAATCGTCACTTATGGCGTTCCTCCAACATTTTTGCAGCTTCATTTATAATTTTGGGCATATCGGCACAGTATATGTTCTTCCACAGTAGGTCCGTCCTGCCTTGTTCTCCGCGGATTCGTCTAGGCATCTAATCACGCAATCGGCGTTTCCATCCGAGAAGAATGGAATCGAATATCTTTCAGATCCGGAATTGTTGATGACCCGGTGAATGTTACTCTTGTAAGCGCCACCGGTCCAAACACTCAGCATGTCTCCGATGTTGGCGACGTATGCATCATCTCGCGGTGTGACTTCAATCCATTCATTTTTGTCCTGGTTCAATACCTGCAAACCAGAATTTCCATCTTGGAGCAAAAGTGTAATGGCGCTGAAATCAGTGTGGGCACCTGTGCCCTCGATCATTTCATCCTCAAAATCCGGGGGAGTGAATAATGAAGTAGACGAACTGATTCAATGGGATTTTGCCTAAAGTCGGCGAATACACCAGTATCCATGTTTTCCATTTCTGATGCAGTAACTCGCAAGACAATGGAGGACGAATCTGACAAAGCGCGATGGTACTCGAGCAGAGGGATCTTGAAATGCCAGTGTGGAATAAGCTCTGGACTTGGCCAGACGTTGGGCTCTAGAAAAGGGGGAAATGGCGGATTGCCGTCTGGAGCTTCGCGTCCTAGAAAATACCCCTAGAAAGACTTGTTAGATTCGAACTGCACCTCTGAAAGCAGACGTGCCTATGTCAGGACTCACCTCTTCCAAACCAGCCTTCTTCCCGGGCTCGAGGAATTGGGTTCCCAAGACCTCATATCCACGACCAGGAGTCCCACTAAGCTTGCACTTTTCCTTGTCTAGGAGATTGAAAAGGGCTTTCGCTGCCACAAATGCCTGTTGTGGGAGGGACTTGGAAACACTGTGCCATACCAGCTGGAAAAACCCACTGGTGGCGCAAGCTTTTCGGATCTCACCCACAATGGCATCGGCAGCAACTGACGCAGGGCTATGTAAGTATGGACTGAGGTCAACTGTAAGGATTATGATGTCGGTGGGCTCTTGTGCGGCCATGTGGAATATAGTATTTCACCCTTGGCGGTTACATTGAAGTGAATAGATATTTTTAAATCGGCCGGAGGTAGTTGTACTGGATTGACGTGGCGAGGCGTACCACAGCCTCCCTCGTCGCAGGTCTGTTGTTGAGATCTATAGGCACGAACGAGGTTTGGTCGGAACTCTAAAGGATGGCATCACGTCGGGTCGGATACCTCCACGTATCAGCCTATCAAGTGCAAAGACGCATCTGTGTGTTGGGAAAGCAGTTTAGGTAATCTTCAGTACTTGAACTACAGCTATCTACGGCACGGTCCAGGTTCCACGAGACGCGCAAGCAGTATCCCGTACCTCGGTAAGGTTGGTGGAAACGACCATGGAAGCTTAGCACCTGCCCCAATTAAGGGGAGATGTCGAACAACAACGGGAACCACTGTAAGAAAGGCGCGCGTTGATCTAACCACGATACAGACGTAGGCGGGAGGAGAGATAAGGGGGATCTTATGCTAGTGCCCAACGGCAACTTTCGTACGATAAGAGTCACGTGCTGGGAATGAATCAGCGAAGTCCCTCCAGCCACCTTGGACTATCAATCCCGGGTTTTGTCAGTGTACAAGTTTTCCCCTTTGATATCTTCGCTGTTCCCCAGTTCCAAGCACACATCCAGATCTCTCGCCACTCGATTGGGCTGTTGGACTAAAATGGTCAAAGCACGAAAACGGAGTACCTGTACCGAGTGCAGTTTACGACGCCAGCAGTGTGATAGGAGGCTCCCGTGCGGGCGATGCATCAAGCGTGGGATTCCGGATAAGTGCCAGTTAAACTGGCAGGAAGGCAGATACGACCCTTCGAAACATCGAGCTTATCCATCCAGACATCGCGATTTCAGACCGACTCCACCTGCAGGCAACGCAGAGCAACCAGCCGACTTAGGTCTGCTCCAAGGTTTACCAGGACAGGAAGTGTCGCTCGAACCCGAGGAGTCTTGGGGATCATTCAGCTCCAGTGCGGCACATCCGCGATATGTTTTTACGCCGTACGAAAGCAAACAGCTCCGGAAGAGCGCTACTGGAGTTCATAGTGGAATTGGAACCTCGATCTTCTCTTCGGCTGGGCCTATGTCGTCTCTGCCGTCTACTAGAGCCCTCCACGAAGCATATCTACAGATGCTAATGCCAAGTCTTGATCATATCTGGAAGTTGGTCAACTATCACGAAGCTTACCTCCTGTGGTATCATTGTTGTTATCATGGGCCAACATTTCGATCGGAACTCGAAAGTGTGATTGCAGAGCAAAAGGATAAGACAACACTGCTGGTTAGCGACCTAGATGGTCAATGGCTCGCCCTCCTGTTCTCGATAATGGCTGGTAGCCTTACGTGCACAGCTGAGTGGCGACTTCGAGATTGGGGCTTTTCCCAACAGGAGGCTGTCAAGTTGTCCATGCAATGGTATAGAGCATCCATCACATGTCTAAATTATGGAGAATGGACATCTGAGCATAAACTATACTCTGTGCAGGCCGTCACTACCTTGGCCATGTCCGCTCACTCCCTCGGCCAATCTAGTGAGCTCTCCATTCTTCTTGGGGCAGCATTGAAGATCGCACAAACTCTTGGGCTTGATAAAATTAGTCATGACGCAGTCGTGGACAAGATTGACGAGCGTTCTTCCAATGACCAACGGCACCGCTCACTGAACCGCGAGATTGGTCGGAAGTTATGGTCACAATTATGTGTCCAAGACTGGATGTCGCTGCCGTTCGCCGGAAGCCATCATATCAATCCATCTCATTTTACGACGACAAAGCCATCAAGTCGGAATCACTTGACAATGGAATACTTGCCAGCTACATTCCCAACTTATATCAGCTATGGAAACTATATTTTTGAAATCGCAAAACTGGTCGTGGGGCATCACGAGGCAACATTGCAATCTACCACCCCATTCACCAAATATCAGCATGTCCTGGACTATGATGCTCAAATGAGAAACCTTGCTACGAAGGGCATGCCTCGATATTTCCACGTTGTCGAACCTGTGGATGCTTTGTGGCCGGAATGGGTTCACTGGGCGAGGTCGAGCCTTACCGTTTGCTTTGCACACAAGATCATCATGATTCATCGCGCCTTTATACGACAAAGCTTCACTAATCCAGTCTACTCTATGACAAGAGTTACCTGCATTGCGGCAGCGAAGACCATTCTGAATGAGGCAAAGAAAGCCAAGGACTCGAACGGCCCAATCATCTGGATCGATAAAGGATTTTGCGTGGCCGCCGCGGTTATACTTTGCCTAGACATATTCCATCGTAAAGAGTCCGACCCAGAGCTTTCTATCCATAAGGGGCTTGTTGTGGAATGCATTGAACAGCTTCACAAATTCGAAAGTAGTGCTATTGCTGTACGAGGAGCTAGCTTACTAGCTGGAATTCTCGCACATGGAAACAGCGCCAGAAACGGTTCGGACTGGCCGCCCCTAAGTATTGACACCCGTGAGATACTAAAATTAATACCAGAAGTTTCTCCCTTACATGGAGGTGGCGCCTTAGAGGCATTGGTCGAGTTACTTCCCCCTCAAGCAGGCTTCAGCAATATCTTTCTCTCCGAAAATATTTTTGGACACAACACCGTAATAAGCTGAGGAGAAATAGCTAGTCATTACTAGAATTAGCTAGCTTTCGCGAGATTTAGCTCTTCCTAACTCTCTAGGTTTTATTATCTCTAGTCGTACCTAGATATACTATACTTTCTCTCTAGATTTTGTTATTTCTAGTCGTATCTAGTATTAGGAACGAAGAAGGTATATATAGGTCCCTCCTATTAAGACTAAGCGATACCCTATCAACGCCTAGTCACGTGATTAGGCTTATATAAGCTAGGATTACGTAGTATCCATTAGGCAAGGCTATACTTAAGCCTTACGGAAGATTCTATAAAACGCCATTCCATTCTATAGGATTAGAAATTACTTAACTTAATCTCTAAGTATCCTAGGAGTTAACTCGTATTTACGAATACTCGGCAATTACTCTCGTACTTACGAGATATTATAACGGAGCCTACGCCTATATAAAATAGGCCTATACTCCTTTACTTAGATAGATCTTAAGTTATTGAATAAGATAGAAAGCGACTATATATTCTACTCCTTCTTTCTACGGTCTTCGGCTACTTCTACTATAGATCCTAAACCTTATCCCTCGAATAATAAGTATTAATATTAGAAACCGCTAATACTCTAATAGATTTAATTAAAAATAAAGTAAGGTATAGCTAGATATCTATATCTCCTTTACTAGAGTAGATAGATTTAATAACGCTACCCTCGTAAGCGAATTTCTTAAGAAGTAGGGCCCTTAAGCCCTAAACGAGGCGATTAGACTTCTTATTAATACTACTAAGGTAAACTAGTAGGAGGATAGCTCTATATACGACGATATATAATTTAACTAACTTAAAAATATATAGAAGGAGATAAGGGTATAAGCTAAAGTAAAGAGTATCGATTAGGCTACGCAACGGGTTAGGCTAAACCTAGTTAAAAACCCGGAACCTAACCTAATAGAGTTAAATTAATTAGGTTTCTAAAATAGCTAAAAACTTAACGGGTTTTTTAATCGGGTTAAAAAAAAAGAGGATAGGGTTTAAAACCTAATAGGACTACTAAGAGTTACTAAAAATAGACTATTTTTAAGAAAAATAGAAATAATTACTATAAATAGTATATTTTTTACTAAAAATAGTAATAATCTAAGTAATAATCTCTATTTTTAGTAATTTAGGCTACTAAGACTAAACCTAATAGAAGTATAAACTCTATTAGGTTTTTAGTTAATCGGGTTTTTATAAGGACTAAAAACCCTATAGGGCTTTTTACTCGGGTTATAAAAGGTCTACGAGTTATCTAACCTAACTCGTTACGTAGCCTAGTATAGTTATATAGCCGGACGATATTACGTAATACTAATAGTGTATTATAATTAAATCGGTATATATTCTCGCCTATCCTATAGGTCGAATAAGGGGGTAGGGCTACGTTACTAGGGTTTCTCTCTCTTCTAGGACCGTAGGATAAGAACTAATCGACGTTAAAACGAACACTATAGTAGCCACAACTAAAACGATACTCTTTACTTACCTATATTAGCGGAGGAATAGTAACGCTATCGATCTCTATAGTCTTAAGCCCGCTAAAGGACTATACTTTTAAGACTTCTCGCAATAGACGTATATAAAGCTATAATAGCTTTATTCGTAAAGGTTACTATTACTAAAATTTAGGCTATATAGTTATATAGCCGAACTCGTAGAAGGAAAAACGCTCTTAATTCTATAAACTATACTCTTATAACTACTATTTAATATCTAATGTAAGCTCGCGTATATTAGGTTACCCTTCCTCGCGTTACTTATCTCTTCGATCGTCTACTTTCTTCCTCTCTTACTTATTCTTCTATACTAAGGCCCCTTCTCTTTTTTCTTATAACTAAACGCCTCGAGCCCTAATATATCCCTCTCCGCTTCACTACTTAGAGAATCCTCTTAAGTATATCTATAATACCTAGAACTATAGGCTCGCTAGCTAACTCGTAGAGAAATTACCTCGCTTCCGTAGAAATATCGTAATATTAAGTAATCGTATCGTATTAAGAATAATTCTTTATAGCTAGTATTTAGATATTCTTTTCGTTAACTTAAGGCCGTAGTATCGGTTACCGTAAGAGAAAACTTAGAGAGTAACGTCGAGATTAACGATATAATAGTCCCTCTCGATAACTTATATAAGCCGTTTACCTTATAAAGAGTAAAGAGCTTTAAACGAAATATTAAACGGAACGAAATTATAGTTAACTAGTAGTAAAAGAAATATCTATACTATAATCGTAACGTTCTAGTATCGTATTCTTAAAGTAATATAAATAAAATAATATATAATAAAC